GAATCACAAGATGCCTACGCCTATGCCCTTGCGGACGTTGCCAACGTTAAGCAGCGGCTACAGGACTTTGATGGTGCGAAGAAAGACCTGGAGATAAGTCCGCTCAACCTCGCCATCCTCATCGAGTTGATCTGAGACGTAAATACTTCTTTCTATAAAGTGAACGCAGACTACTACCATGTTAGTCACTGTGGTATTTTTTTTTTTTTTTTTTTTTTTTTTTTTTTTTTTTTTGTTTCTATGAATATTTTTGCATAAGAGCAGGGATTAGAGTCAGGTTGGTTCTATTTTAGTGAGTCATGATGCGGGGCTGGTTTGCTGGTGTTGGTTTTGGTGTTGGTTTGTTGTATAGGATGGTACTGATGCAAATTGTACTTTGTAGAGCAAACACATCTCAAATATTGTGGTTGCTTTCTATCAATACAAGACAACAGTAAGCCATTATAGAATTGTCCAAGATGTACGCAGTAACCACTCAAATCATACCATACTAATTATTGGCCAAGCGGCATGCATATACGTGGCTAATCATGCTGTGCCCAGGACCAAACGCTCAACAAACACAATTATCATATCGTCTAAACGCCGATTTACGCCGTGCGTCGTCTGTTCTGTGTGGGTTGCCAAGCGTGTCAAGCAATGGCCAAGATGAAGTCTAATCGGACGCGCCGTCAACGCGCCGTCTGCAGCTGATTCAATCAATGCGAAACAAGGTCATAAATACCCAAATGGGAAAGACAATCAGTAGAGGCTATTCTGCCGTGACAAGTCGAAGTAATTGTCGCTGGTCTTGGGTGTCATTTTTAGTAGGCCGCATAGAGGTGACATAGGACTGGGCCATGAATGCGCCTGTGAGGATGTGGGTTCATCTGAGTGAATGGATTGCCATGAGGAAGAACTGCTAGAAGATCGTCGAGAGCGAGGTCGAATATGCTGGCTAGAGCTAACAGATGCAGCTCCGGATAATGCCCCCCAAGACGCACGACGGCTTGCGGGATTAGGTCGCCTGCTACTAGTTCGCGATATCGATGGACCGTCACCAGACCTTGCTGGGGTAGTCTCGTGAATGTCGTCCCAATTTTGTATGACAGAGTCCGAATGAGCTGGCCGAGCACGAACTGGTTGTTCGAAAGACACAACACTTTGGGACCTCTTCAACCGACGACTTGACGAGTTATAACGGACTCGCTTGGTTGGTTCGGCTTCGTGGCTAAAGGAGTTTCGCCTTGGGTGGTGATTTATGTGCCCATGGTCTCCGCTGCTATCAAAGGGATCTGTTGAATGCCGGGTAAGCCTCCTCATGTCGAGAGGGTTATTGCTTAGTGCGACCCTTGCACGCATCTTCTGGACTGCTGAATCGAGAGCCAGTTCAATCGCAACGTGGTTCCTGACGCGCCCCATTTTGGGCCATGTCGCTCGTTCCCCATTTATGCATGACTGGAGCATGAATTCGGTTGTCGGGTTGGTGAGAGCTCGCCGGATATCTGAGTACTGTATTTCCGGATAAATGGTGATATCGCCAAAGTACTTTTGATTCATGATGGAGGCAATCTTGGTCAACGAAGTGGGAAACACGCCCAAGTCCGACAAAACAGCCATGCGGTGAAGAATCTCCTCTTTGGCAAGGTTTGTTATGGTATGCAACCATCCAGGGGACGAGTTCGAGTCGGGGCCCGTATAATCGTTTGGACCCTCGTCTTTTGGAAGAAAAGGGACCACATGTGGATTTACTTGCGACACGATGAAGTGGTTGACATTGAATATCTCCGACAAGCGGGTCATGGGCAAATCGCCGTCTACAGAGCCGTCGATATATTGTCTGTGAAGATCATTCCAAGGCACAGGTTCTTCGGTAATGGGATCCTTAGCCATGAGAACAAATGGTCTAAATACAAGAGGAACAGAGCAGGATACAGCCCTAGAGAAAGGTCAGTTGCGAAGAGATAAATGAAGGGACAATCACTTACACAGCCGACCAAATGAGCACATTAGGCGCAGTCAAATAGTTCATTAATCGTGGCAGTTCGTAGACCCCGGCGCTAGAGACGCAAATATTAAGTATTCTCCGTGTCCTGTTGTAGGCCTCTTGGAATGTGATATCCCCCAACCAGTTTCTCATGACCTTGGCCAAATGGGAGATGTCCAAAAACGAGCCGTATTTCAAGAACCGTGCCGTTTTCTGCAAGATATTCTCTTCATTTGCTTGCTCGTTGAACACATTGAAATCACCGTACGCATACGTATCCAAGAGAATGGGTAGCTCATCATCCGTACGTGTGCAGAACACAGCGCAGATAATACTCCCAGCCGACGCGCCCGAAATAATGCGTGGTAGCAGGTTCTTCTCCCACAGGACCTTGAGTACCCCGATATGGTTCATTCCAAAGGTAGCGCCACCCGAGAAAAGCAGGGCACTTCTGCCAAAAGCCTGCCTGGTTGCAAGCAACTGGTCGAGGATGTATTTGAGCTCCGCCTCGTCACGGTTCTGTTCCGAAAGAATCACCAGAGTATTGATCGTGTCGACAGCAGTGGTAATATACTGGTCGATCAAATCCTTCGTACCAACATGCGAGTGTCTGTACAAAGAGGCGTTACTCATGCCACCCAGATCACGGTTCAACGAGGTGCGAATCAGAAACAACATCCGTCCCACGTCGCAACTGATCCGGGCGTCTTCAAGCTGGTTTAACCGTTCTTGGACTTGATCGGGGTTGTAATCGGAGCATTCAAAGGTCTTCTTCCAAGTGTTATGGCCCTCCAGCTCGTCTAGTTCGTAGGCGCAGTCTCTCCATTCGTCGTACGACATAGCCTGCATATCATAACTTGGTTAGAACAGATTCTCCGTGAAACGTCCAATGGAAAAAACGTGGTTATAAACGTACATTGCGCATCTTCAGGTAAACCACCTGCTTGCGATTTTCCCGGTCAACTCGTTCCTTCCGTTCTTCTTTTGAGAGGCCATCTCGATATGCGTTGAAGCTATCCTCAACCCAACCCAGCGGATTTTTAGTTATCGACGACAATGACAGATTCGAGCTCGATCCAAGGGATCGACGACTGCTGCCAGATGGTCCTGAGCATGCGAGAGCGTCCTTACAGTTGCTATGGCGTTCCGAACAGCCTATCCCGGGGTCACTAAGGTATGACATGATGGATGTGTATGGGTCTGTATCAAGGTCATGCCTATTAACTGGAGATAAGCAATGTGTCGCACTTTGTGGAGGTATCAGGCGAATATATAGTAAAGACAAATGGCATGTGAAGAGGGTCATAGATAAGTCGAGGTCGAGGCCAAGGCAGATACCAAAGTCACGAGGACAGCGGCGATCGACAAATCCTTTTTGCGGGGGGAATATCCGGGGATGGGGCAGATTACCAGATTACTAACAAGACTACGGAGTATACACGGTTAGATTAGATTATTACAATCTCAGTGTTACATGCAATGAAACAGTGTCATCCACTGGCCATGGAAATCCTCAGCACAGATGATCTCAGACTCGATCACTCGGTCTTATCTGTCGGTATATCGTTATGCAGCATATGACCGGGTCTGAGCGCAGGGCGGGCAGAGGATGACTGTGCATTGTCCACCAGACAGTATTAAAGCTTTTCTGCCATAATATACAGGCACAGGCCAAATACTGCCTCAAGACGCATTCTTGGAAAGGTTGTCCTACTAATTCCTGACAGAATTGTTCATCCACTCGTCAAGCAGAACATTACGTTCATAAGCCTGGGGATAGTTCATCAAACATAACTGCCAGGTCAATTTCCGTCTGTTTGCGGAGTTCCGTCACGTTTGCTTGCTCCTGAAGATAATATTTCTCTTCCATTCTATCCCAGATGCGGACAGCAGTTGATGAACAAAGCCCAGAAGCTCGCCCTCGTTATCCTAGAAATATTGTCCCATGGCCCCTGAAAATTCCTATTGCAAACATAAATACTGTATGATATTAGGTAAGAGCGTGCGAATATCAACCGTTGTCGTTGGAGCTGTGTCCAAGAGCATGGTAATGGGCACGTCCATAGACCGAAGTCTAGGAAATTGCAGGAGGAAGTATCGAAAGGGCCCCTTGTGTATGGCGTCAGCCTCGTGAAAATAGTATTCTCCAAGGCTGGCTGGGTAGTAATTTAAATAAAATGAAAGCACCTCGGTTGTCCTGCTGACAGAATGTAGGCATTCGAGAATAGCAGCTCCATCAAGCAGGGGACATTCCTTTCCCCAGTGATATGCTAGGCCCACGTGAAGCGTCCTAAGACTTGGGATCTGAGGGAAGGGTCCTGGAATATCTTCCTTGATCGTTAATCTGGCGAGGACTAATTCATAAAGTTGGTTAAGTATTAAGATGAAATCGCTGTGGGGTTTACACCACCTCTTGAAAGCTCCGGGTCGAGAGACAGATATTAGGTCGCACATTGAAAGTAGGTCCAGCATGTTTCTCCAGCAGTCAAGGAATAACCGATTAAACTCGCTTTCAATTTTAGGTCAATTGCCTCATCTGTTCAGAGATGAATGCTTATGTTCTGTCGGCATCAGCCATTCAGTCCCCGCCGACTGTTCCTTAGTCAGCCTCGTATATCACAGGCCAATCAATCTTCTTCCCAATGCGTGCTCATCAAGATAGTACACCATGTATTATTGTCTTGTCAGAAGGTGCCATATGCAGGCAGATGGCTCTTAGAGAATAGTTTACAAGGCCTAACTACATTCATCTATCTCTTCCGCTCCTTGGGAAGAGCATGGAAGAAGTTCGCGATTGAGCAACTTGCCTATCACAAGTTATCAAAAATCCGGCCCAGCCAGTTCCTCAAAGCACTTCTTGCCTGCGATTCGACACCATCCTCTCGCCAAAAATGCCCAGCGCCATCAATCTCGTGAGACTCAAGCCTGCTTCCGGAAACCTTAGCAATTCCATCTGACCAGTTTCGTAATTTGCTTGCTGGCGTGAAAGTGTCCTCGTTTCCGTAGATGACAAATGTGTCGTGTGCAGACAGTTGATCAGCTGGTTTTGGACAAGGAATATGCTTTCCAGGCGCAGATGGTCCCATCTGGACGTTTATCGAGAAGTCTCCGAACAAGGTCAGGAATGAACTAATCGGTGGTAAGATGGGGGATATCAGAAGACAAGAGATAGATATTTGGGTTGTTGTTTTCGATGCTTCGTGTGACGATGATCGAACTTGCATGGTAAGACGTCTTTCTGTCAAAGTAGCTATTTCCTTTGCCGTTCGACAGATCACACTCATCGCACTATCTTTAGGAGCGTTTCCAAAAAGAACCGTGACAACCTCAATTCCCGGGAGGTGCGAAGCAATCATAGATCCATAAGAGTAGCCTCCAAGGATGATATGAACATCACCTTCTGCCTTAAACGAACCCATATAATGCAACATAAACCCGTAAAAAGACACATAATCCGCCAATTCAGGCCTTGCTGTCCAACTAGTCCTTCCCTCAGATGCACCAGCTCCCCTATAATAGTAATGTTAGCTTCTTTACCATATACGTTTCCTTGTGTTGTGTCAAAAGCAAGCATACCGAAAATTAAACGTGCCCACAACATATCCAGACCGAAGAAGCTCCCCGCCAACAAAGTTCACCACCGGATCGTCGTAACTACCTCCCAGAGGAGCATAAGGGTGAGCTACTATTGCCCCTTGTTTTCTCCAACGTGATTGTGATGCATTATCAAGTTGATGGAGTTCGCGGGGGAGATAGATGCGGCAGTCGAGCTGGATGCCGTCATGGACGGAGGGGATGGTAAAGGTGAAATTGGGAGATGGGAGATACATTTCAGCGTCCTTTATTCTTCGTCTTTGATTTTTCTAGTGGCATGACGGAGACCATTCGTGGTACCGCTGGCTTTGTGTCGTTGGTGAAGTTGTAGAAAAGTGGGTGAGTTTGGGCAACAAAGCGTCTCCGTAGCAGCCGCAACTTGGATCCATGTTAACTTTCCAACGTACCGGAAATTTGTATAACTCATGAGTCTCATAATAAAATATCTATCAGTAATCTATATATGCGAATTGGATAACGCTTTAAAGGTGACAGAAACTGCAATGCTACTACGACTCGGGAAGTAGCCAAGCGGGATCCGGTTCATCATCCTCATCAGTAGTATCATGTCGACGATTGCCTGTATCTCGTAATAAGTCCTCCGGAGGTTCCGGATTATCGACCCCAAGGGGATCCGTTGGTGCATCATCGTGGCGATCATGGTTGTCAGGGTCTAATTCTTTGCTTTCGGGAGGTCCTTGCACATTGAAAACCTCGAGAAGCATCTCGTGTGCCTCTCGCAACGCCTCTACTTCAGCACCAATGCAACACATAAGCAGCTTCCAATCCCGGTCCTCCGCGAGTTCCAATTGACCTTCGACTCGCTGCGTAGTGGCCTGCAAGTCCTCTATAATGTTTTGAACTCGACCATCTTCCGTTTTGCTCCCAGAGGATCCGCCCGCCTCCAGTACTTGCGACTGTGTCTGAATAGAACGACGCATTTCAGATCTTAAGCGCTTCTCAAACCCGGTGACCTCTGTGATCACTTGTTTCCATACACCACCACCCGCTTCAAGCGCCTGAATTTCCGCGTCCACATCCGACTGTCTCTTGTGTAATCTTTCCTGTTCGGCCTTCCAATGCTCTCGTGCCATGTCTAGAGTCCGGCGCTCAGGGTGCAACGAGTAGAATGTGGGCTCGTCAGCAGTGGGCGACAGAGGTTGGAGAGGAGGGTTCTGGAGGTATTTGCGGATGTTGGATTCCACGAGGGACAGGGAAGCATTATAGGAAGAAAGCTTGGATTCCACCGAGTTTTCGATTTCCGAGATCTCTTGTATGACATGGCGGTGTTTCGCTTTCATCTCGTACAACGTGGTCTCGAGTTCGCGGATCTCCGATTCTAGAGTACAGGCCTCGTTCTTCAAATCTGAAGAGCGTTGACTATCACGGTTGTTGCGAATTGACGATATTGCCTCTTCTAATCCAGATCTTTTCGAACTAAACTCGTCAACTTCAATCAGTGCATCATTTCTTTCCCCATCGCGAAATCCCAGTAGCTCCCGCTCTTTCTCTCTGAGCTTCAGCAAGTCATATATAGACTTGAATATCCCTTCCCGAGCAACACGTAGACCAATCTTCTTGGGAGCTGGCTGTCTAACCGGCACCGTCACCTTCGAGTCAGACAGCGATGGGGTGTCATTCTGTTGTTGACCTGAAAGACCAGCAAGGAGACCTTCACTTTGGGCATCAATAAGGACTTGGAGATTTCGCTGAACGTGCTTCGTTTGACGGTCAATGTAGATAAAGGGATCCTGGTGGTGTGAAGAGGCTCGGATAGGCAGGGGTTTCTGATGTTTGTCCGTGTATGCGAAACTGACGGACATTCTGGGATACGTAGATGAGGTAGTCTAGACGTTTAGTTCAGAGGGTAGAGATCAGTCAGTGAAGACAGGAAGAAAATGTGGTATATTTCTATTGAGAGAAAAGTGAGAAATAAGTAGAATTGTCAGCACATGATGTTCTCAAGGCCAGCAGTAATGTCTAATCATCATAAATGGGCATGGAGTGCAGTGTTGTTCCCTCGTGATCTTGTCCATTCCATCATAGGCCACGTGACATACTAGGGGTGGCTGCAGGAACCAAAAGTACCTCTCATCAGCTTGGCCCGTTGACGTGTGCCTCGCCGAACAGGGTGCGCTTTCACGATCCAGTTTACCTACGTTTATCATCCTCTGCTTCTGTTTTCCTCTTTTTTGTTCTTTTCCCTGTTCTTATTCTGTACGTCTTGTCTACGGTCAAATCTGTTTGTCCTGCGATTCTCGTTTGTCGATCTTGAAACTGACCTCACCAGTTTGAAAGCTCCCTCTCTCCGCTGTCGCCTCATTCACCAGCGGCAGTATTATCGACCACGATCCTTCTTTCATCCTTCTGGACTGGCCGTGACGCACGATAATCTCATCCAAGATGGTCGGACTTGCTTCGGCGGCGGGTCTCGTTGGCTTCCTGTCTGAGCCGGATGCGGAGTTGAGAGTCTTCGCCCTGAAGACTTTGGATTCCCAGATTGACCTGCTCTGGACAGAAGTCGTCGATGCTGTTCCTCAAATGTGGGTGATCATACGTGGACTGGATATCGCATGGGTTTGATGGCGATGGACGCTGACCGTTTGTCATTCAGAGAGGCGCTGTACGAAGATGAAACGTTCCCGGAGCGCGAGCTTGCCGCTCTTGTTGCGGCAAAGGTTTACTACCACCTCCAGGAATACAATGAGAGTATGGTCTTTGCTCTTGGTGCAGGAAAGTTGTTCAAGCTGGACAAGGGTGGCGAGTTTGAAGAGACAATAATCGGTAGGTCCACCACTGTCTAAACTACATGCATAGGATATTCGGCTTACTTGGTGCTTCTCTACGCAGCAAAATGCGTCGACACCTTCATCTCCCTTTCTGCTGCTCAACGGCCCGCCGCCGGCGACCTGCCCGCTAACCTGAACTCCGCATTCCCAACATCTGGCGAGGGAGCCAGCAGCACCGCCGCGAGCCTAACCTCACCGATAACCCCCTTCTCTCAGTCGGCTTTGCCATCAAAATCCCTGCTCTCCCGGCAGGAGGTTCCCGGTATCGACGATTCTCATCCTGGTGGGGAGGATGCTAGCGTCAAGAAAACTGAAACTCCGCTAGTTCTCAGGCGAGGTGTCCAGGGCCAGCTGCAGGAAGTCATCGAACGTCTGTTCGAGGACTGCTACCGGCAAAAGCGTTATCGCCAAGTAATTGGCATTGCGGTTGAAGCAAAGAGCTTGGATGTCCTTCGGAAGACCATTGTCAGGGCTAGTGACGATGAGAAGAAGCTGAATGGCGAATCCCGGCGAAGCGAGGAGTTGTTGGAATACGTACTGGATATCTGCATGGGAATTGTCCAGGAGCGCGGGTTCCGTAACGAGGTTTGTTTACAACTGCAAGTTTCGCTTGTCTCTATTTCTAACCGCGAATTTCTTACTAGATTCTGAAACTTATCCTCGACCTTCTGAACGAAATCCCGGCTCCCGATTACTTTTCCATCGCGAAATGTGTCGTCTACCTTAATGAGCACTCAATGGCCTCCACCATTCTCCGTCAGTTGGTCGAAAAGGGTGATGCGCGCTCCCTTGCCGTGGCATACCAGATTTCGTTCGATCTGTACGACAACAGCACGCAGGAATTCCTTAAGAAGGTTCGCCAGGAAATCGCCGAACTCGTCCCAGAAGCAGAAGAGCAGAAGATCGAGGGTGAACAGGCCGAGCCGACCGAGAATGACGCATTGCTCTCTGACCAGGGTTCATCGGAACAGAAAACTTTGGGAGGAAACAGCGACAAGCTCACAGAGGAGGCTCACGCAGCATTCAAGAATATCCTCGCCATCCTCGACGGCATCAAGTCTATTCAATTAAACCTGGAGTTCCTCTATAGGAGCAACAAGGCCGACATCGCGATCCTCAACAAAGTTCGGGATAGCTTGGAGGCTCGCAACTCTATCTTCCACACCGCTGTGACTCTTTCGAATGCGTTCATGCATGCCGGTACTACCCACGACAAGTTTTTCCGGGATAACCTTGAGTGGCTTGGAAAAGCTGTCAACTGGTCCAAGTTTACCGCAACCGCTGCGCTGGGCGTCATTCATCGTGGCAACTTGAGCCAGGGCCAAAAGCTTTTGCAGCCTTATCTTCCAAGGGAACACATTGCCGGTGTTGGGGGCTCGGGATCAGTGTATAGTCAGGGAGGATCGCTATATGCATTTGGGTTGATCTACGCTAACCACGGTGGGATGGCGGTCGACCTCATCCGTGATCACTTCAAGAAAGCTACAGAAGAGGTTGTCCAGCACGGTGGTGCTCTGGGTCTTGGTGTTGCAGGGATGGCTACTGGCGATGAGGGTATCTACGAAGACCTTCGAAACGTTCTGTACACTGACTCCGCCCTGAACGGTGAAGCTGTCGGAGTGGCCATGGGTCTCGTCATGTTGGGAACTGGTAACATGAGGGCTCTTGAAGACATGATCCAATATGCCCATGAAACACAGCACGAGAAGATCGTTCGCGGATGTGCTATGGGTATGGCGTTGGTTATGTATGGTCGCCAGGAAGCGGCGGATGAACTGATCAACGGACTTTTGGCCGACCCCGATCCGACCCTCCGCTACGGTGGTATCATGACCATCGCTTTAGCCTACTGTGGAAGTGGTAGCAACAAGGCTGTCCGCAGGCTTCTTCATGTCGCCGTCAGCGATGTCAATGATGATGTCCGACGTGTCGCAGTGCTGAGCTTGGGCTTTATTCTCTTCAGAAAGCACCAAAGCGTGCCGCGGATGGTTGAGCTGCTCTCCGAATCGTACAACCCTCATGTTCGTTATGGTGCGGCTATGGCGCTCGGTATCTCGTGCGCTGGTACAGGATTGGACGAGGCCATTGATCTTCTAGAGCCAATGTTGAAGGACTCCACAGATTTCGTCAGACAGGGTGCTTTGATTTCTCTGGCTATGGTATTGGTGCAACAGAATGAGGCTATGAACCCGCGTGTCAGCAGTCTCCGCAAGACTATGATGAGGATGCTTGGGGACCGGCACGAGGACGCAATGGCCAAGTTTGGTTGTGCCATTGCTCTGGGTATCATTGATGCTGGTGGTCGGAATTGCACCATCAGCCTGCAGACCCAGACGGGCAACCTCAACATGCCCGGAATTGTCGGTGCCGCGGTATTCGTTCAATACTGGTACTGGTTCCCCCTGGCACACTTCTTGTCGCTCAGTTTGGCGCCTACATCAGTGATTGGTGTGGACCAGAAGCTTGAAGTGCCCATCTTCAAGTTCCACAGCAACACGAGGCCAAGTTTGTTCGACTACCCACCCGAACAGCAAGTGAAGGCAGAAGAGGCACCAGAGAAGGTCAAGACTGCAGTCCTGTCAACTACGGCTCAGGCCAAGCGTCGTGAGAAGCGTCGTGAGAAGCAACAGCGCCGGGAGAGCATGGACGTCGACCAAACACCTACGACACCCAAGCCATCGGAACAGCTGCCGGAGAAGATGGAAACCGACGAAGCCAAGGGTGAGGAGGAACCTAAGGAGGGCGAGAAGGGTGCTGTGGAAGGCCAGAAGAAGAAGGTCGAGCGGGAGAGGGTGGGCTATGAACTCGACAACATGTCAAGAGTCCTTCCTGCTCAACTCAAGTATCTCACCTTCCCTGACCCGAGATACGAGCCCGTTAAGCGCGTATGTTCTTTCCCTGGTTACTTTCCTTGTCTACACAATACCGATTGCTAACGATGTGTACAGCCTACTGGTGGGGTGGTTGTGGTTCTTGACAAGCAGCCCGAGGAGCCCCGCGAGACCATCGAGATGAAGGCCAGCAAGGAAGCCAAGCAACCCGCTCCTCAAGCGGACTCTCTTTCGGACCGTCTGCAAGCTGCGATTGACGCTGCTGCTATGCAGACCCCTCAACGCCCGGCACGCGGTATGGAAGCTGCAGCCGGAGCCGCCGCCGCAGCGGGTGTGTTGACTGCTGTGGATGAGGATGAAGAGGGAGACGAGGATGCACCGGTCCCGAATGAGTTCCAATACGATACCGAGGGCGAGGAAGAGGAAGAGTAATGGTGATATGGGTTGGCATATGTGCTGGTTGTATTACTAGAATAATGATGGTATTTGTTTCATGTTGAATGCAAGCAGGTATACTGCAGTACATGGTTCATTTCTCCCTATCTTCAAACCCAACGATACGAATAACCACGGTCCGAGTGGTTCATATGATACTCCTAGTCTGGTTATTCCAATCAATTATGGTCATTAATAATGCATGCATCCTGAAGCTCTCATCATGTGCAGCTTCTCCGCAGCCTCGGTACATTCCCAATATAGTAATCACCCGCACATGCCACCATGACGCAGTCGGCTGCTCACACCCAATCAAGACCCTCGGAATGACCGAGGCCATTGTTGTGCGGCGTCGAGTTGGCTGCGATCAAGGGTAGCAAAGAAACATTCATAATGAGACACATCTAGGCATGTGATAGAGTTAAAATAGTAGATCTCACCGTCCTTATCCAGCAACCTCCGAGGGTGCGTGTAACTGACTCTCCATACTCTCTTCGGCGTATCCGGCAATATCACCGCTCCTGGATCCCCTTATATATGGCCGGCCGCTGGTCTACCCCGGACATTTTTGTGGTTTCTTTAAATCTTTTCTTTTTCTCCTTTTGACTTTTTTTTTTTTTCTTCTTCCTCTTTACCCCGGACCCCGGATTCTTTCTTAGCTTGAACGGAATTCAGCACAAAATGGCCAAGGCATTTAGTAAGGAAGATGTCGCGTCGCATAGCAAGCCTGATAACCTCTGGGTTGTGATTGATGAGGATGTCTATGACTTGACTCAGTTCCAAGAGGAGCACCCAGGTATGTTGACTCTGTGCAGAGGTTTTATTCTGGTCTGATGCTGACGGTGTATGATTACAGGTGGAAAGAAAAGTAAGCAATCCCTGCGACAGCGTCTCGTATCGACGAGTATTAACATAATTCAGTCCTCTCCCGAGTCGCCGGAAAAGATGCCTCAAAGCAATTCTGGAAATACCACAACGAAGGAGTCTTGAAGAAGTATAAGGGCAAGCTGCAGGTCGGATCACTGAACACCAAGAAGGCTGAGCCCGCACCACCAGCGCCTGCTCCGGCCAAAGAGGCTCCCAAGCCCAAGGCTGCGCCTGCGCCTGCTGCTTCCACGGCCGTGGCTTCGTCTGAGCCTTCACAGCCTCATGATCCGTATGGTGATCTTGTGCCGTTTGCGGATCCTGCTTGGTACCATGGTGTGAGTACCCAGATTGGGATGTTCCTGTGAGGGCCTCGGATTAATGTGTTCCAGTACCACTCTCCCTACTTTAACGAGACCCACGAAGCCCTCCGCGCTGAAATCCGCGAATGGGTTGAGTCCGAAATCGAACCCTATGTGACCGAATGGGACGAGGGCAAGGAAGTGCCCCACAAAATCTACAAGCAGATGGGTGAACGCGGCTACCTGGGTGGTCTGCTGGGTATCAAGTATCCTGTCGATCATACCCCATACAGAGTCAAGTCTGTGCCCCCAGAGCGCTGGGATCACTTCCACGAGATGCTCTTGACCGACGAGCTGTCGCGCGCGGGTAGTGGTGGTCTGGTGTGGAACTTGCTCGGTGGTTATGGTATCGGGTGTCCGCCACTGGTCAAGTTCGGTAAGAAGGAACTCATTGACAGGATTTTGCCTGGTATTCTGGCTGGTGACAAGCGTATCTGTCTTGCCATTACTGAGCCGGATGCTGGTAGTGATGTTGCCAGCCTTGGGTGCGAGGCTAAGCTTACTCCTGATGGCAAGCACTACATTGTCAACGGTGAGAAGAAGTGGATTACCAATGGACACTGGTGCGATTACTTCACTACTGCGGTTCGTACTGGCGGACCTGGAATGAACGGTCTTAGTCTACTTCTGATTGAGAGAGAAAGTGGCGGTGTCAGCACCAGACGGATGGACTGCCAGGGTGTCTGGAGCAGTGGCACCACATATGTCACCTTTGAAGACGTCAAGGTGCCCGTGGAGAACGTCCTCGGAAAGGAGAACCAGGGATTTAAGGGTAAGTTACCACAATCCTCGCGGAGGACCTTCGTTCCAAAAGCTAATGTCACCAGTAATCATGACCAACTTCAACCACGAGCGCATCGGCATCGTAATCCAATGCGTCCGCTTCGCCCGTGTCTGTTACGAAGAATCCGTCAAATATGCCCACAAGCGCAAAACCTTCGGCAAGCGCCTCATCGACCACCCCGTCATCCGCCTCAAACTCGCGCACATGGCCCGCCAAATCGAAGCCAGCTACAACTGGCTCGAGAACATCATCTATCAATGTCAGCACATGGAAGAAACTGAAGCCATGCTGAAGCTCGGCGGTGCAATCGCAGGTCTGAAGGCGCAGTCGACTACGACGTTCGAGTACTGTGCGCGCGAGGCGAGCCAGATATTTGGGGGATTGAGCTATAGTCGTGGCGGACAGGGGGGGAAGATTGAGCGGTTGTATCGAGATGTTAGGGCCTATGCTATTCCGGGTGGGAGTGAGGAGATTATGTTGGATTTGAGCATGAGGCAGAGTTTGAGGGTGCATAAGATGTTTGGGATGAAACTGTAATGCTGCTCTTTATTTGGTTTATTGGATTTTGGATATACCATGAGGATAATTTCTTTGCTTATAATTTGGATGTCATGTATAATAGCTCTATCATGTTTCATGTTATTTCTTCACCTCTTCACTACCTATTACGCACACCTAAATGCAAACAAGAGCTTGTGACCCAGAAAATAAGTAGGGCCAATTAAAACCCGAGAAAAGATTTCACCTTGTTCTTGTGAGGATAAAGCATTTTCCACAAGGATATTCCAGCTTCGGGCTAAGTCATCTCCTGTTCAGGTTCATATATGTCTTAGATAAATTCTTTTTCTCTTTTCCTCCTCTCCCTCCCTCTATCTCTCTCATGAAAACGGATCTGATTTGACTGTTCATTCCCTCTCTACATGGGTAAAATCTACGCTGTCGATAATAGCACCCACGTATTCAGTCACAACTGATACCTTCTTTTCATCGTAACGTCGCGCTGCCAATTGAAAACCAACGGGTGCACCATTATAGAGACCCGGATCATCTAAACACATATGGTTAATCAGAGCCTGCTTTCATGTACGGCAGGCAGCCCAGCGAAAAGGGAATAGATTAGATATCACGTACACTGCGCGGCTATTTTCGCATTCTGCTCATTGAGGGGTTTTAGAACAGGATCAAGCGCATCAACTCCTTTATCGGCGAACCTTACCGGAACCCTGACCGCTGTAGCATCCAGGATATTCACGAAAAAGGGTCCAGTCTGGGTGTACAAACTGCCTCGAAAGAACAGCAGCAGTGATAGTGGTGGGCAGATCAACGCATCAGCAGCTCTTCCACTGGCCGTGCGATCCGTCGTATGATTCTAGTAATCCAGATAGTCTTTCTGCCGCTACAGTTTGGCCACATTGAGAGCATTGATTTCTGTTGTGTTCTTCTCCTGCGCTTCTATTTTGAGGAGCCAGTCTAGTTATGGAAGCAAAGGCTCGCCCGATAACGCACGCTGCACCGTAATATCGTGTCCCCCATCCATGGTCAAGATATCTCTTTAACTATTGATCAGCATGTAAATCCGTGAGTATTCAAGGGGAGGGGCGTACCGAGTCATACTGCCAGGGGATGGGTGAGAATGCGAGGGTGGGTTCCAATCAATGATTTGAGGAAGAAAACACGGTCAGTACTCCAGAAACATCGGTAACATTGAAGGAAAAGGGAAAGCAGACTATACCTTGTGGCCCAGGTTCATGAGAATATCTCGCACATGCCGCAAAGCCTGGCACACTGGTGTATGTGGCCTAACCATATCATCATGCTCATACATGGCAAAGGCGACTTTAGAGTGACCGCGGGAGGAGTGCAGCATGAATCGCATCTCGTGCTCAATATTATCTCGTTAGGGGAACGATACTATAGGAGGATCGTGGAGCCATGGCCGTTGACTCAAAACACTCTTCATGGTCAACCGCAGGGAGGCCATACTAGGCGCCATAGGCCCTATGGTGGACAAGATCGCATTGTGACCATCTGCAGAGTTCGCCGCCTCTTTATAGGGGAGATGTCCTATTGATGGGCGTAGTCTGTATAGCCCATTGAAGGCCGAGGGCATGCGAATGCTACAACGGATATCCGTGCCGAATCCCAGGGGCGACCCTTTACAGGTCAAGGCTGTCCTTAAAATGTAGGTCTGTTGTATACGGTCCTGTCATCAATGAAAAGGTGGATGCCCTTACTGGCAGATCTCTGGCAGAACTGTGGCAGAGTGGAATTAGCAAGGATGAGGACGATGGATGAATGCAGCCAGGATTGTATGAGGAAGATCACATATCCTGGTGATCTAAAGCCATGCTGTGATGCCATCTCCAAATTCAAAGTTCTTTGCTCTGTAGCAGATTCTAAATTGCTAAATTGTATTGAAATCAGATAGACTGCAACTTTCTAAAATAACAAAGGTTTTAGATATACTATAGTTTACCCAAGCCAAAGGTGAGAGATGTACATATAAGTCTGGAAAGTTTGAATCTATGCAGCAAGACATGCGCCTTATATGACTTCATTGTATGATCTTAGGGGTTCACTTAAGAGCTACTGACGTCTGCGCGGGAATGAAGCATTTATATTGTATAGGGCCCGAAGCTCCAGCCGTAGCTAGATTTGTATGCCTTGTGGTGAAGGTTGACTCCGGGAGGGCATTCACTCCATGTGCGCAGTCCCTTTACAACTCCGATCAGAGCCTCAAATTCGCGAAGAGAACAACCTCCTTCTTTCCATTTGCCGCTGTTTGGGACGACACGCGGGTTCTTTATATTGCTGTCTCCTGTGCGAGAAGAATCTTTCGTTTATTGTTCTGTCCAGCTCGTTCGACTGTCTCGTGGAGTTCAGATTGAGGCGCTGTCGCGGTCGCAGACTGGCCGAGAAACCGTCCGACTGTCTGTCCGGTTGATTTGACATTCAGACTTCTGCATCCCTTTTCAGATTAAATTGACAATCATCAGGTATGTACTGGAGCTTGATCCTCTTTTGCGTCTTACGGCACTAGGAGAATTTATTCTGTTCTACTTGTACTTCCGCCGTGAACATCGACTTGAGTCTTCGATCGCATCTAACACTAGTCTTGTCTTTGCTAGGTATTCTCACAGTTGGATTGATCCTACGTGTGTCCTTAAAAGCTACTCTCCACCGGACTCCTACAAATTCAATTACACCGTCACAATCCCGATACCTACCTTCCAGCCAAGATGTCACGCAACTTCATGAACCAGGATTTCGGCTCTGAGGAGGAGGAGGACGATGATGATTTCAATCCCGTACCTGCAAAGGAATCTGATGATGAGGGGGAACAAGTAAAGGTGTGTGGAGCCCAGATGGCGAAAGAAGAAATTGTGCTGGGTTATGGATAAACTGACATCAGGTCAGACACAGGGCGATGAAGAAGAAGAGGAAGAGGAAGACGTCAACCCCCGAGGTGCCTCTCATGCGCGAGCAAGCACCAATGTAAAAGAAGAGGGCGACGCTGAAGAAGAGGATGATGAAGAGGAGGGTGGCGAAGAGCAGGATGAGGAAGAGGAGGACGAAGAGGAAGAGGAAGATGACGACGATGAGGAAGCTGTTTCGGTGGGTTATTTGGCCTCTCTCCGCTAGCCACAATTGAAGCTGACTTGGCATTTCTTTATGCAGAGTCGTCCCCGGAAGCGAAGAAGGAGAGGAGGTGTACACAACTTCATTGAAGAAGAGGCCGGCGTCGATGAAGAGGAAGAAGAAGGCGATGAAGAGGAGGATGAAATGGGCGAATTCGGAGGCGAGATGCACCCAGACGATATGGATGCTTTGCCTATGGGCGCAGAAACGGACGACCGCCGACACCGACAACTCGACCGTCAGCGTGAACTCGAAGCGAGTATGGATGCGGAGAAGCAGGCTCAAATGCTCAAGGAACGTTATGGTCGGAACCGCGCTGCTGCGACTGATTCCGTCGTTGTTCCCAAGCGATTGCTTCTACCCAGTGTCGACGATCCCAGTATTTGGGGTGTGCGCTGCAAGCCCGGCAAAGAACGAGAAGTCGTGTTCGCCATTCAGAAGCGAATCGAAGAGAGACCACCAGGCTCGAGGAAACCAGTCAAAATCATCTCCGCGTTTGAGCGGGGGGGTGCTATGAGTGGTTATATCTACTGCGAAGCACGCAGACAGGCGGATGTTATGGAAGCTCTGCAAGACATGACAAATGTCTACCCCAGATCGAAGGTCATCTTGGTCCCTGTGAAGGAAATGCCCGACCTTCTTCGAGTTCAAAAGTCGGAGGAACTCGTCCCTGGCGGATGGGTTCGTATTAAGCGCGGGAAGTACATGAATGATTTGGCCCAAATTGAGGAGGTGGAGACAAATGGCCTCGAAGTCACGGTTAGACTGGTTCCTCGTTTGGATTACGGTCTGAACGAGGACACCAGTGCCCCTGTAGTCGACCCAAAGAGGAAGCGTCCTGGTATGAATCCGGCAGCCGCACGGCCACCGCAGCGTTTGTTCAGTGAAGCAGAAGCCAAGAAGAAGCATGGCAAATATCTGTCCGCTACGTCGGGTCTGGGTGGAAAGTCGTGGAACTACCTTGCCGAAACCTACATCGACGGTTTCCTGATCAAAGACATGAAGGTCCAGCATCTTATCACAAAGAATGTCAACCCGCGACTCGAAGAAGTTACCATGTTTGCTCGTGGCTCTGAGGACGGCACGTCGAATCTGGATCTTGCTTCCCTCGCCGAGACACTCAAGAACTCTACTGCTGAGGATTCATACCTTCCAGGTGATCCTGTGGAAGTTTTCAAGGGTGAACAGCAAGGATTGGTTGGCCGTACCAGTTCGACAAGGGGTGATATCGTCACTATTCAAGTAACTGAAGGAGTTCTGGAAGGGCAATTGATCGATGCACCCGTCAAATCTCTTCGGAAACGCTTCAGAGAAGGCGACCATGTCAAGGTCATTGGCGGCAGCAGATACCAAGATGAACTTGGCATGGTGGTACAGGTTAAGGATGACACGGTGACCTTGCTCAGTGATATGAGCATGCAAGAAATCACTGTCTTCAGTAAAGATCTTCGACTTTCTACCGAAACTGGTGTTGACGGGAAGCTTGGAATGTTTGATGTCCATGATCTCGTCCAACTCGAGTAAGTTCATCCGTCCCAATTTACCCTACAATCTAGGTGCTAATCTACAATCTAGTGCCGCCACGGTTGCTTGTGTTGTCAAGGTCGACCGCGAGTCGCTAAAATGCCTCGACCAAAATGGCTCGATTCGGACTGTTCTGCCCACCCAGGTCGCAAATAAAATCACTCCTCGTCGGGACGCAGTAGCAACAGACCGCAATGGCGCCGAGATTCGTCACGGTGACACGGTCCGCGAAATGTATGGAGAACAGAGAAACGGCGTTATCCTTCACATCCACCGTTCGTTCCTATTCTTGCACAACAAGGCGCAGGCCGAAAATGCAGGAATTATTGTTGTGCGCACAACGAACGTCGTCACCGTGTCAGCAAAGGGTGGCAGATCTACCGGTCCTGATTTGACCAAGATGAACCCAGCTTTAATGGGGAATGGTATAGGTCGTGGTGCTGGTGGTGCTGGTGGCCCCGGAATGCCTCCGCCCAAGAGTTTTGGCCGCGATCGTATGCTCGGAAAGACCGTGTTAGTCAGGAAAGGCCCCTTCAAGGGTCTTGTTGGTATCGTCAAGGATTCCACGGATGTACAGGCTCGTGTTGAACTGCATTCAAAGAGTAAGCTGGTGACGATACCAAAGGAATTGCTTGTTGTCAAGGAGTATGTGGCCGTTTCGCGATGTTTGCTACTTCATCTCGCTAACATTTCACAGCCCAGTTACTGGACAAACTGTCGATATCTCCCGTGGGAGGGGTGGTCCGCGTGTTCCCAACGGTGCCTCTGCTGCACCACCGTCGAGCTGGAGCGGCGGACGTACTCCTATGGCTGCTGCTGATTCTTCCAGGACACCAGCATGGGGAGGTCCTTCGTCTGCACGGAGTAAGTACCAACGTGCTGACACAGATTATTTCATATGCTAACACTTTCCAGCACCCGCCTGGGGCGGTCTTGGTGGTGGCTCGCGCACCCCCGCCTGGAAAATGGATGGCTCTCGCACAGCCTACGGTGGATTCGGTAGTGGTGGTGGCGGCGGACGCACCCCAGCCTGGAACGCAGGCGCCCGCACACCATACGGCGGCAGCTCCGGTGGCATGAGCGACTTCGACGCCTTCGCATCCGGATCCCGAACACCAGCCTGGGGCGGCGCAAGCGCAAATGCAGGAAACCGCACACCCGCCTGGTCTGCCGGTGGCATGGCAGGCAGTAGCAGCAAGGACTCACGAAGTTACGATGCACCAACACCCGGTGCATACGCTGCTCCCACGCCTGGTGCTTATGCCGCCCCAACCCCGGGAGCGCCTACACCTGGAGGATGGGCTGATAGTGCGCCGACGCCGGGTGCGTTCAATGCACCAACACCAGGCGGTGCGGCTGCCACTCCGGGGGCTTATGGTGATGGAGACGATGGCGGGCCGCGGTATGATGAGTCGCCTAGTCCTTAATTGTTGGAGACATAGGCGGTCATTTCATGTTCTATTATCTTTACTGGGTATATGCATAGTGTTTTATTTTCAAAGAGGTCAGATAAGATTATGTATTTTATTTCTTTCAGTTATGCCATGGGCCAGTTCTAGAATTGCAATAGGGTAGACAGGCACAAAAGTCAATAGTCTTGGTCATCGACGATTGCGATACACTTATTACTTCCTTTCCAATCCATAAAGAAATATGTGGAAGATAGTACCGTAATAAGAGATGATACAATTCAAATAGCATAAAGCGTAGGATATGATCGTAGTACAGGACAGTTCACATACAGAACGTAAGAACTTAAATTAAACGAAAATCCCAGACAAGGCCACCCATGATAATCCCATAACAACTCGACGGCTGATAATGCATGAACAGAGAAATGGAACGTTGTATAAGACGCCTGCAATGGTTTAACAAAAAGGAGGGGGAAAAAAAACATTATTGTGGCGGTATGGCTCTGGCCAGAACCCGTATATTATCCAGGAATCCTTTAACAAGATCTTCGTACTGGTTCGTGGGATCCCCGGCCATAGCCAGTTGCCCCTGGCGGCGGATTTCGTCGGCGGAGATTTCGACTTCAAGTTCGTGGTCAAATTCGTTTTTCATGGACTAAAATGACTATGTCAGCACTTGATTCCATATTATGTGTCTCGGGAGCAGGAAAATACCTCTTTGGCAACCTGCGTAAGATCGACCTGGTACGCCAAATGCCGATAACTCATACGATCCTTATTCCGATCTCGCGCCTTCCCGCCATCCGAGTTTGTATCGACAACAGGGAGGTGACTGAGGTCGCCATCAAAGTTCATTTCCAGGTTCACACTGATCCGATAATCGACGAAGGTCCGCGGGCTGAGGACGTTCAGATCTGCGACTCGGACCTTGACGATCTTGGCTAAAATTTCACCGGTTCGTTGATCAGTGGTTACTCGGACTCGGGGCCGGTGGCGCGGGTTCAAGTTTTGTCTGATCATTGGGGGGAGCTCGGATGGGGGGACTTCGTAGAAGGTATCGCGCTCTTTTTTGTGGGCGTAAGAGAGGGGGATGCGGCCTGGATTGTTGTTGGGCATGGCGGCTTTGACGATGTCGTTCAGAAAGTTGTTCATTGCGCGGTGTTGTGCCTGGGGGCCATTAGTGGATGGAAATGCAAGATAGCTTCCTCTAAAAGGTACTGACCAAGCTCATGGAGCTCTCAAATGACGTCCGGAAACGCGAATTCTCTTTGTTAAGAACAGTCTCTGTCATCACTGGTAGATGTAGTCTCTCTCTTCGATCCTGATCGATGTGCTTTCCCAATTTGGCTTCTACCTCAACGATAGCTCCTTGGCCAGTGGCGCTTGAACCTGTTGGATCTGCGCCAACGTCATTTCGAAGAACGACATGCTGGAACAAGAAATCGCACACCAATTTGGTCATGTCTTCATGAGGAATGTACCCTGTGACGGACGGCTCCCACGCTCCAAGAGATCCAGGCTGCGGTTGTTGTGGGACGGGGGCAGTAGAGGCAGCAGGGGCAACAGGAGCAGAAGCAGGAGCAGCTTGTACAGGGGGGCCATTGGTAGGAGCAGTTTCTTCAGCATGGTATTTGAGCGGTCCTTGCGAAGATGCGCGTACTGAGCTGCCTGATACGCTAGCAGCAGATGACCGAGCGCGCGCAGACCATGGGTTAGATGGTGAGTTTCGCATGTGTTTTGGGATCAGTGGAAGGGGATTTTTGATAACAGGGCCTGTTCCGCGGGCATGGTGGGATTTCTGCGCATAAATAGGCGGTTCATTGAAGCGTCTCCTCTTACGCTGGGGCGGCTGCGAACTGGGACTTGCTGTCATATCAGGTGTGGTGTCCATTTGTGATGGCAACGACTGACCCTTGTCCTCCGGTTCCACGAGTGGTTGTTGGTATTGTTGCGATTGTTGCTGCGAAGAGTGGGATAAGGACCTTGTAGGACTCTGTTTCCAACCTTGCTCTTCGCTGTGGCTATGACTCCGTGCAGACAGCGTAGCAGCCTGATCCGCAGGTCCTATAGAGCTTCCTTGACGAGTACGCGGGGTGCCGACGGTCCTCGGGCTTACAGTCTCCTCGTGCTCCTTCTCTGACGCGGTTGAGTGGTGTCGCGGGGTCTGTTCTACAGGTTTCGAATCCTGCCAGGAAGGACGCGATTGCGTAGAAGGGGATACGAGCGGCTTTTGATCGTGACTATGGGCGGAGTCTTGCCGGACCCAAGAACTGGGGGGTTGGCCTGTTTGGGACTCGTGGCCGGATGACTGAGGGCGCACGGAGGTGGGAGAACTGCGCGCAAACGCTGGAGGCGGACCAAGAGGTGTTCCTGGTAACGACCCTTGAGCGTGAGGCGAAAATTGCTGCGATGGCAAGGGCTGTGGCGCGGCGACTGGAGAGTGATCTTTGGGGTGGTATGGATAGCTGGGAGCAGGGTCGGAAGAAAGGACAGATTGAATGGATTGAGACCGCTTCGGCGCGAACGATTGTTGCGGTGAGTGCTGTTGGACCCCAGCACTGGCAGAGTGCGGTGTATAGGGAGAGCTCAATGGTTCGGCCGGTTGGTGATGAGGTTGAGGATGGTTGTAAGGCGCAGACGCGGCAAATGAATCACGCGAGGACGCATAGGGAGTCGCGGGAGGTGCAGGAGCGGCGAACGACGGTCGCTCATGCGCGGGAGGACGATTCTCAGCGGGAGAAGAGTCAGAATTGGAAGCGCTTTCGGTGTTGATGATGCTGCGCAAATCCATGGCGCTATTGTACTGCAGTAGACTCGGGGTGTTGTCCGAGGCAGTGAGAAGTAGAAACGAGAAGAGAACGTAAAAGATGAGAGCTGGAAGAGGAATAAAACACAAAAACAATTCACGACATCGAGAATAAGCAGTTCGACAAGCACAGCGACAAAGCGACGAGGGCGAGCGAATGGCAGACGGCGAAGCTCTGCCGGAAAGAGAAAAGATGAAGCTATCCCCGGTCCCGTGACCTGCACTCATTTTAGCTTCGGGTTGTATCATCTCCAACGGTTTTCTTCACATTTTGCTATACCAGAGTATTTACAATCTGCTCTTGTTCTCACTTGTTATTTATTTTCTAAATATTCTCCTCTATCTGCACAACATATGTTACTCTGGATCCCGTGTTCCTACATGTGTCAGGTATGTGATGACGCCGCGTCATTGCGGAGTATACTCCGTACAAAGCGCAGCTAACTGACCACATGGAATTGATAGAATGTCCTTCATAGCTCTCTAATCCTCCGTCTGAATAGAGATACGGCTGTCCCTAAACTCGACTTGCGCAAATCGTGTGCGACTGTCGCATCCGGACATACTCGACCAAGAGCCCCTCGTGGCGCATGGCAACCTTTTGAGGGCCCTCCTTCTGTGTGCCTCGAGAATTAATGACCTGCTCTTCTCCTCTCCGTCGACGTGAATAACCTCTGATTGAAAATGTCGCACAATAAGGACCATCGTCGCTCTCCCTCTCCGACCGTTGAAATTCCCCTGCATACTCTCGAACCGAATAGCAGTCCTTACCCGCATTCGCATCCTGCCGAACACGGACGCTCCAAGCAGAGCAAACACTTTGCAGATGACTGGGCCGATACTATCGATCTTATGTTCACTAAATTGGGACTCGCTCTCACACCTAGCTTTCTACGACACTATGTAGACGGTCAGCCGGCTCCACCCGTAAAGCAGCATTCGATCGCAGCACTCGACGGTCTACGCGGTTGGGCGTCTTTGCTTGTTTTCAACTTCCATTTCCTCTTCACTTATACCTGGAAGGTTGCGGTCGGTTGGGGATTCAATGGCGAGAACTATGCGCTGTGGCAGCTACCCGTCCTTCACATGGCTGTCTCAGGCCACATCATGGTCGCGATCTTCTTCGTTCTTTCTGGCTACGTGCTGTCCTACAAGCCATTGAAATTAATCCGAAGTCGTTCGTGGGAGCAAACCTTTACCACGCTCGCGTCGTCTACTTTCCGTCGTGCGTTCCGGCTCTATATTCCCTCGTTCGTGGGTATCACTCTGGTCATGTTGGCCGTGCGCGCAGGCGTGTACGACTATTCGCACCGGGTAATCAATCATGGCCATACTATCCAAGGAACCAACGAGCAGCACCCGCCCATTTACAAGTATTTCTATAATCAATACTGGGATTTCTACCTGACGCTGGCGAACCTCATAGATCTGTTCGACTGGTCCCTGTATTACAACTACTACAACCCTCATCTTTGGACCATCCCCGTTGAGTTCCGCTGCTCGGTCGTTCTTTTTCTCACGATTCTCGGTACTTCGCGCCTTCGCGCACCAATGCGCATGTCTGTGGTGGCCGGTTTAATATGGTTCTGCATGCGCTACGGCCGTTGGGATGTTGTGCTCTTCTTCTCTGGGAACCTGTTGGCAGAGACCGATCTGATCAACGGCACTTGGGAACCTCCAAGGTTGCCGCTGTCATCGTCTGCAAATATGGGCCCCGAATGGCTACCCCTGCAGCTCCGTCCCTCAAGGCGCAAATTCTGGATTAGCGTCTTTGTCGCAGGCCTCTACTTCGGTTCCTGCCCCAACATCGGTTTCAAATGGACACCCTTCTACATGTGGCTTTGGGACCTCACCCCACGGACATACCCGGAACCGCACCGTTTTCCACAGACGATCGGTGCTGTCCTAATCGTCCTGGGCATCAACCGCTCCCCTGACATCCAGAAACTCTTCAATCACCCTCTCTCACAGTATTTCGGCAAGATTTCCTTTGCGTTCTATGTCGTGCATGGGCCCATTCTACATTCTCTTGGATACTCGCTCATGCCCAACATCTGGAGTGTTGTCGGCAAGGAGACGAATTTCCAGTATTGCTTTGGTTTCTTGGTTGGATGGACTATCTGTCTTCCTGTGGCTATTTGGTTGGGTGATATTTATTGGCGCGCTGTCGATGTGCCTAGCGTTAAGTTTGCTCGCTGGCTGGAGGACAAGGTTATCACCAAGAATCCCGAGGGACAGCAGGATTCACATGTTTATTGAATACCCTAGATTACTGCGTCTCTGCGTTTGGATCGTTCACTCTAAGAACGATTCGAGTTCAAACTTGGTATGTGTAACTTGTTAAAAATGTGACATCTCCAAAATACTTCTGCCGGATGCGATCCATCGCCAACTCTTCAGGCATCGGACCAAGGAACCTATCAATCTCACTGATCCAAAATGAACTCTGCGGATTAGCCTGACAAGCCGTAGTATATTCTCAGTATTCCGGATACCACCCAGCAGTCTCCCAATCAACAATTCCAACAACTTCATCCCGCCGCACCAAAATATTAAAACTACTAAAGATCCCAAGTGTAAACACAATAAGCCAGCGCCCAGCATGCCGTTTAATCAGATCCTGGACTTTCGAACCAAGGCCAGAATCAAACCGCATACGTTTTCGTGAATGTAAATGAAAGTCACTAATACTACGAAACGGTCCAGATCGTAACAACGGACCTTCCACCCGATAATCAAACAGCGATCCCCAATCCACAGAACCAAACCTTATACCTTCTGGGTGCTGAAACCCTTATATCCTCTGAGCCATCATCTTGAAGTGTGAGAGAAGCCTAACCTTCTACTCTTCGCCCCGTCTCACCCATCCAGCACCCATTTTATCACCCTTGATCCTCTGCGTCACGATATATGTGCACTTCTTATGTGTAAACATGCAATAAACCCTAGGAACTGGGATTGATGTGTTCTGCGCTATAAAATGCATGACGGATGGAAGAATGGACTCGGGATCCGTACTCGACGCATAGTCGGTCTGTTAGCATGAGGACGCTGCCTTTCCATGGGCGGATGGGGCTAAGGGCTTTGATTGTTAGGGATATGGGGTATCGGTATATTGTCTTTTCAGGGAAGAGATGAAGGGTTTTGGCTCGGGTTGGTTGGGGGTGTGGATGGGTATGGAGTGTGGTCTTCTTCCCTTGATGCCATGTCGGGTATCGTATTGGTGAAATGATATGAGAAGTCTTTGGTATTTCAAGGTATGAATGATATGTGAGTAGATTCAAATTGTTCATCCGGTGTTGTTAAGGGGGTTTGCTGTCACGTGTGTCCTAAATAGCTTGTATCTTGTACTTCAAAGCCAAGGCTTTTTATTTTTTTGGTCTATTTCTAACTAGAAAGAAAAAGATATGCATTCAGGCTTTATACATCATTCATTCATTCATGGCCAGCTTTGCATGATAATACCCATAGGGGAATAAACAAGAGAACAGAGATAGAGAAGATGAAAAAGAACCCAAATTTTCAAGAAAAGAAAATGACCCATTTGCAACCGTAAGGGGAAATTGAAAAGAAAATTAAAGTCCAACACCCCAAATCCCTCTCCCACCACAAACACCCAGCCAATCGCGCGGATGGCCAGAACCGGTAGTCCCGCCCTGGGGCGACCAGCTGATGTTTGAGATCTCATAATCACACTGAAATGCTGCTGCTGGACCCCGTTCGGTGGTGGTAGCCGGTGCCCGCTGGTTGGGGTTGGGTGCTGGGATAGGGTTGGGGTTTGTGGTTGGAACGGGTGCAGCGTTGTGTTGGTTGATTAGGTCCCATAGTAGAACCATAGAGTCATCCGCCCCGGATGCCAGCACTCCGCGGCGGTTGGGTGACCATTCAACGCAGTTGAGGGGTGATGAGTGGCCCTTGAGCTCTAGAAGAGCTTGACCCGGTTGTCGTACATCTAATACACGAACGACGTTGGAGTCTTGAGAAAAGGTGGCAAGAAGATGGGAGTCGTGAGGGGAAGCTTTATTTATTAGTTAGGCTGTTCTGCAATTTCACGTTGATAATCGAGTCTTACCTGCAATACGCAGCAATGGTGGGGGATTATGAGGCGCCGATGGACTGCCATTTCCAGGACTCGCGACTATATAGGTCAGCGTCGGTGCATTCACTCGGTTGGGAAAAGGTAATAAAGCTTACCCTTTTCATTCTTCTCTGTTGGTTCGTAGATGATAGTACTATGCTCGAGACTACGCAGATCGAACATGCGCACGCTACCATCGGCTCCGCAGCTGACAAACACATCAACGCTGTTGGCACAGAACCGAACATCGTACACCTCTTTATCATGTGCAATTAATTGTGTCTTTGCTGTGAGTGTGGGGATATCCCAGATGGTACAGGTCGTGTCAATGCTGGACGTGATTATCAAACTCGGGGAAATGGTGTTCCAGTCGAGAGACGTAATCGGTGCAGTATGCTCGGGGGACTTCGAATTCGACAGCAATGCCAACGGTGACAGTTTTGCCGTGGGAAGATCCCGTTGATTGGCGGACCGCGTGATCGAGTTTGTATGCAATGACTGCGGCGAGGGTAGCGACCACAAGCGTAGGTGGTCTCCTGACGTCGCTAGCAAATCGGTCGTTTGCTTCTGTGACGAAGGGGGTTCCCAGAGGATTCGCGTAACCGGGTATGAATGCATAGCTTCTGCCGTCTTCGTATACTCCAGTTTGATTTCCCCATTTAGGGCATCAGGTGTATCTGGGTCTGGCTGTGTCCAGTGCGTGTCGACAATTTGTATCTATATCTTAGTCAGTAGATGGGATAAAAGAAAAAACCAGCAATAACATACATAGTTGTGATTGTCTTCCAGATAGCTTCCCAGTGCAATCTTGCCCCCAAAATAGTTTGAGCCGGAGAGCGGCCATTTACACCAATCCACCGCGTAGATAGGCCAGGGTGCTATATAATTGCTGTTTGTTGGTACCTGAGCGTCTCCTCCATTGAATTGGTTCCCGCCTGGGCTTGTAATCTGGTCGCCGAATAGGTCTGGTGGAGGTCGAATATCAGCTAGCCCCAAAGGAGAGTATTTCGGTCCCTGCGGCGTTTGCGGTGGATACCCGGGTCCCGGAGGCGATGCGTATTTGGATGGATCTGATGTCGCATGCTGTCTGTATCTAGATTGGTCGAAATTCGACGGGCTGGACCTAGAATAGCTATGGGAGTTCGACGTGCTGATGCTTGAGCGAGGGGTGGTAGGTTGCTGCTGCTGCTGTTGCTGTTGCTGTTGCTGTTGTTGTTGTTGTTGCTGTTGCTGCGGCGGGAACTGCGTCGACAACTGGGGTAACGTGGGTAGTACGGATGGCGCTGTGTTCATTGACATTGCTGGAGGTCGGTTCATATTCCCTGGCTGGAGCGCCCCCGGCACTGGAGCAGTGCCAGCGCTGCCGGCGTTCGCTCCGCCATACTGAGCATTCGAGGGTTGGTGGACATTGATCGCAGGCACATGGTTGTTGGAAGCTGGATCGGGGGGCGGGTGGAAATCGAGGACCATTGACTGCCGGTTGAAATTTGCATTCGCCATACCTGATGACGATGGAATATGAAGCTCTTCTGGCTGGCGCCCGATGGTGCTCGTTCGTCGGGAAGACTCGAAGGGCTGCGCGGGGTTGGACATCGTATGTGGAACTGAAGGCCGGGGGAGCTGTATGAAAGCGTTCAAGCAGAATAAACTGCCGAGTAAAAATCTTTGGAAAAGCTCACAGTTCTCCTTATGCTGGTCCAGTTGTTGGTCCTGTAGAGGGAGACGGTGGGATTCCCAGAGCCCTTCGCATACGGGCACTCACTGGAGACTCGGATTCGCACCACAATCCTAGTTGCTGGCAAGGGAGAAATGGTTCATGCCCTGGATAGAAACTAGCGGCTCACCAGAACATTGTGCAGCGCGTGTAAGAGACAGCGATGCCTGTGAGGATCCGAATGGCATCGGGCAGAAGAGGGAGACGACACGGGCTGGAGATGAGGCTATCCAGAGCGACCGTCATGTGCCGCTGAGTCAGCACTCTGTTCTGGATGACCTCGACTTCACTTTCTCTTTCTCTCCCAACTTCGACTTCTATTTTATTTGGATTTGCTTGTGTCTGGCTATTCTATTGCATCTGTACTGTGCTGGTCTCATAGAACACTATCAACAACATGGATCCTGATCGTATCAGTCCTCCTTCCGCCCTGTTGCTGCTCCCTCCCTCGCCTTCGGCTTCATCTGAACAGCTTCAGGAGGTGTATAGACCTTCTATTTCTGCGGCATGCTCCAAGCTCCCTCGAAGTCTCAAAAGTGCCAATCATATTGCAATACTAGATGTTGCAATCTGCGTACCCGGACTACTTTCTCCGACCTGTTTGCCCCGGACGCGGATCTTTGGGTCTCTTCAGCGCTTACTGTCAGACATCTATAAAGTCATTGGCATTGTCTGCGCGGAACAAAAGATTGAACTAGACTTACCAGGTGGTGTCGATGTACGAGTGGTCTTTCTGGACTTCAACCCCGCTCCTGGTCCGATATCCGAGGAGGCGCCTCGGAACTCACAACATGGCCCTATTCTCAATTTACATACGCTGGCAAGCTCTGGTCGGCCATGGGACTGGATCTTCTACCCAGATAATGCCAGGGGTCAAAATTTGGCCACGACCTTCAGTAGTATCTACTCCCAATCCAAGAATTCCGCAGCCGGAAATCTACATCCAATTCCAGGAGGACCGGAAAAGACGCCATCCGAATCGCTTCTGGAATTGGACGATAAACCGCCATCTGTCGCACATTATTCGACTATTGTAGGGGGCACTTTCGACCACGTCCATTTAGGACACAAGTTGTTACTCACGGCCACTGCACTGGCCTTGGAGCCCATTCAGAGTGCAGACTCGACCAGAGAAAGATTACTCTCCGTGGGAGTGACGGGGGAGGAGTTGTTAGTGAACAAGAAATATGCAGAATTTCTTGAAAGTTGGGAAGAACGGTGCCAGAGTACCGGTTCTTTTCTGTCCGCGATCATCGATTTCAGACCCCCCGAGAAGAGTGCACCCAGCATCCAACGAGTGTCGCAACCGGGACCGAATGGAAAGTATATTTTAATCAAGCTTCAGCCAGGCTTGGTCCTCAAACTCGTGGAAATATCTGACATGTTCGGACCTACGATCACTGAAGAGAGTATCAGCGCCCTCATTGTCTCAAAAGAGACTCGGTCTGGCGGCTCTGCTGTCAATGACGAGCGTACAAAGAAAGGTTGGAAGAGCCTCGAAGTGTTTGAGGTCGATGTGCTCCAGTCGGGTGAGGTTCCAGCATCCGAGACTGAGAGTCTCGCATCAAAGTTAAGCAGTACGGATATCAGACGGCGACGGATGAATATGGCTTCAATGTAGTTTGTTCTACAACTAATCGATTGATCCAGCGGTGAGCTTTATGTTAATGATTTCGCTTGCACTCAGCAGCCTCGATCTTGGTTCATACCAAATGAACTACAAACATGAGTAGGCGTGACAACAAACCACTTATTGATCCCTGAAATCTCACAGCATGGCTGCGTGCAAAAAGCAAAATGGGCCGGTGCCGCCGACGGTGCATCGACGTGCATCCATTACCAACAGTCTCTTCAACGGGACAAATTGAGAGCCCGTTCTCCTGTAGTTTGTATCGGAATATTAAATCATTGGAATTGGGCCGCAAATACTGGGGCTTTTACTGTTTGTTCCTTCGATATCGCCTGGGCCTGCTCGACAATGTGTTGATCCCTTCCTTCCGGCCTTTTCACCGGCGATGATTGGCCATGGAGCCATTCTGATCCAGTTCTGCATAGTCAACACTCTCGCCGGCGCGTTTCATGTTATTCGCGGAGTTTAAAACGCAAAATCACCGAATCATTGCCTGCTATCGAATTGAACCCCCATTATAATTCTTCGCTAGCGGGGCTAACTTGCAGCTGGCGTCTATCTGACTTGTGGTTGCCATTGCATTATCATCCCGCGTTCTTGCTACTCCTCTGCCAGCCACCATCGCGCTGTCCATTCAGTATGAAACATCTGCATTTTCCCTGGCACCTCCTGCAGGTTCGCACTGGATAACCCGCATGCAAAATCAATCATGTGATCTCTAGACGCCATCTCTCAACCAATCCACCATTCTCTTCTGCTTATGATGACGGTGAAGCCCCTGAACACGTATAACCATGACTGCAGCTCACAGTGTATGGATTTGATGGCAAACTGTATGGGATTTTTCTGGGCGGGACGCTTCGGAATGCCGTTTGTTGTCAGACATAGCAAACCGGACTGCAAGCGCGCTATCTGTTGGTTCAGAATCTAGAGGGTTCTTACCGATATGCAGTGTACATGCAGGCGCAGAAGATGAGAGGGGATGTGTCACTTTTGTTGGTTACTGTTGAACATTGTTATTTCTTGTTGGTGTTCTTGTTGCTTTTTTCCACTTAACCTTTTATATTTTTTTCGCTGCACCACATTGTCCTCATTTCTTTTTCAACACCTGAAAACCCAACCTGCATCAAATCAAGGCCAATTCCCCCCATTTTCTTTTGCCCTTGGTTCCATGTCGTTGCGAGCAGTCAAAGAAGTTAGGACATGCGATTGTCTGAATGCGCGAAAGCAATGGACAGACCACGGCACATTGAGGACTTGGCAGATGAACTGCTCAGCGAAATTCTCTCGTTTCTGTTGAGACCAGAGCCGCGGCCGTTTAACTTTCTGCCGGGCTTAACTGCTCCGTACACTCTGAGTAGCTCTACTAGGGGCTTGCCCTCGGAAGCCAATAGCGATCTGGACAGATTCCGACTCGTCAACAAACGGTTCATGCGCATCGGCACGCCCCAAAAGTTTTCTCGCTTTGTTGTCCGTTTCTCTGAAGAAGGTTTCAGGCGGTTGGAGCATTTGCTGGACATGCAGCTGGCCTGTTATGTCCGACATTTTACGTATATGGTGCGACCATTTTACCAAGGAAGCGGTACTACCTGCATACACCCGTGAAGAGAAACGGCGCTGATAAACATTAAATAGGCTGGCCGCAGGTTCTGAGTGGTGTCGGCATTGACGAGTACCGTGTTCCAATTCCTGTGTTACGCAGTCGTTTGAAGGACCAGAACTCCCTGACGAGAATAAACCGTGACCAGGCGCTTTTACAACGCGCATTTTCTTCATTTACGTCACTGAAGCAGGTCAAGTTACTGCGGCTGGTAGACAAAACGGACGAAAACTTGGAAAAATGCATTCGCGGAGGCCCTTTAGAGGGGACGGTAGTCCTAGATTGGGAGACAGCATGCACCCGCGCAATCACCAACTTGGGCATCGCTCTATCAGAATCCCCCTGCAAACCAATCCAATTTTACACACCGCACACCCACACCATCACCCGCAAGATGACAACAAAGCTATTACAAGTCCCGTCCACGCTATTTCCCGCCATAGCTTCACGACTGACAAGCCTAGACATCACTTTCGACCCCATGACCGACGCAAACACCAACATAAGAGCCCTGTCCACCCAGTTCCACGCCTTCTTCAACGCCGCCGCAAACCTAACCTCCCTCCACCTATCCTCTCTAACTTACCAACCCCTCCCTATAGACCACGTCATCCCCTCAACCCTCCATTTCCCCCGCCTCCACACCCTCAGCCTAGAAAGCTGGATAATGAACGCAGAAGACCTCACCTCCATCATCCGGCGCCACAGCCACCGCCTCCGCGAGTTCAAACTACACACCGTCCACCTCCTAGACGGGCGGTGGAAAGACGTGCTATCAGTCCTGCGTTATGAAATGGCCGTCTTGCAACGTGTGAGCTTGGTACATGTTAACTATTCTCGGATGCCTGGGCGGGATTATGAACATGGTAACGGTCGGGTTAATTGGTTGGGCATTACGCCGGGGGAGTTGAGGGCGAGGACGGTTGATGAGTTGGGTGATGATGGGGTTAGAATCAATAGTGACCAAGCTTGGATTTGGGCGAAGTGGGTTATGTCAAGGCCGTGGTAGTGGACCTTTGGCTGGGATTGTTGTATGGGCGTGATGCACAGATTTCTTTACAAATAAGATTGTATGGTTAGGTTATTTGGTTGTCAGTCTCGTTCATTTGATACTAGCTTAGCGTTAACATGGTCTGTTTGTATATTCTCAATGAGTATGACTACCTAACAGAAACATTTCTTGTGCAGCTACAGCCTCGACCCCAAATTCACATGAATTGCCTTCGTCTGCGTATACGCCTCAAGCCCAGCCTCCCCAAGCTCCCGACCAATCCCACTCTGCTTAACACCCCCAAACGGCACCCGGAAGTCACTATCATTACTACTATTGATCCAAACCATTCCAGCCTCGATATCAGACGCGACCCGGTGCGCGCGCGCAATATCCTTCGTAAATAGCGCAGCACCAAGACCGTAGCTAGTATCATTAGCGCGCTCAAGCGCCTCCTCCTCAGTAATGAAGCTAGAAATTACAACAAATGGGCCGAAGACTTCCTCGCGGTAAATTCGCATATTATCTTTCACGTTAGTGAAGATGGTGGGGGCGATGAAGAAGCCCTTTCCTCCCGCAACGTTCTTGACTGGTTCGCCTCCCGCGACCAGCGTAGCGCCTTCTTTCTTCCCGGCTTCGATGTACTCGAGCACGCGCTCGTATTGGGCCTGGGTGACCTGGGGACCTTGGAAGGTATCGTCGGCGAAGGGATCGCCAACCTTGTTGGTAGATGCCATGGCCTGCTTGAAGAGTGTGACGAATTCATCATAGACAGAGTCGTGGACGAGCACCCGCGAGGTCGCGGTGCAGACTTGGCCTTGGTTGTACATGATTCCTAGATGCGCCCATTTGGCTGCTTGTTCGAGGTCTGCGTCGTCAAAGACGATTAGCGGTGATTTACCTCCTGTCTCTAGGGTGATGTTCTTCATTGTGCCTGCGGCCATTTTCATGATCTCGCGGCCTGTTTGGGTGGAGCCTGTGAACGCGACCTTGTCTACACCCGGATGGGCGACAAGTGCACTGCCGCAGACGCGCCCGCGACCGTTCAGAATGTTCACAACGCCCGGTGGAAAACCTGCTTTCTCAAGCAGTGTGGCGAAGTAGAGGATGCTCAGCGGCGTTTGCTCAGCGGGTTTCAACACGACCGTGTTGCCGCATGCTAGGGCCGGGCCGAGCTTCCAGGCCGCCATGCCTAGGGGGAAGTTCCAGGGGATGATCTGGGCGACGACACCGATAGGTTGGCGTAGGGTGTAGGCTAGTTTCTCGGGGTAAGTGCCGATAGTTTGGCCGTGGACTTTGTCGGCCCAGCCGGCGTAGTAGCGGATTGTGTTGATGACTTCGCCTACGTCGGCGTTGAGCGATTCGCCGTATGGTTTGCCTATATACATTAGCACGAGGTATAAAAGGAAGTGGAGCAAAAAAGCTACCATTATCCCACGTCTCGATCGTGGCGAGAGTCTCTTTGTGCTCCTCGACTAGATCAGCCAGTTTCGACATCAAGCGGCCCCGATCCGTGCCGGGCAATGACTTCCACGAGGGATCTTTGAGAGCCTTCCGGGCTGCCTTGACGGCAATATCAACGTCTTCTTCACCGGCCGCATAAACGGAAGCAATTTCCGATTCATCACTGACTCTATTAGCTTCATCATCCTTATTATACTAGAATAAGACGACCCACGCAGGATTAATAGTAGCAAACTTATCCCCATCCTTCGACGCAACGAATTTATTATTAATAAACAGTCCAGTAGGCTGGGTATACTGGCGTCCATTCGGGGCCGTCAACGGAAGCATAAGATCCGACATCCTGGCGTGGGTGCTGTGGAAGAGTCGACGTCTGTTGTATGGGGTGACGGAGAGAGTATGACGATAGGAAGGGAAACTGCGCGCACAGAGACGGACGCTGGAGAACATAAGCCCGCTCATGGGTCTTCACACTCACTTATTTATTGTCTGGGTACAGAGTATTATCTGGTGGTCAATAGAAGAGGACTGTCCAATGGAGTCTCAATCCGCTGATACGGCGGTCCAGGTGCCCCTCGTCGGATCGACCTTCTCTTCTGGGGTTTTCTCTCCTCTCAACTTCGAGTCTACGACCACCCCGAGTACCATTATGAGTGCGACTTACCTGCAAATTTGATTGAGCATACGCCTATAAAGATGGCTACGGCGCATCTATTCGAGACAAATCTCTGTACAATGACATGGCCGGCGTCAAGAGAACCCCGCTTCGATGCTGTGATCTTCTGAATCCTTCACCTCCCATGATCCCGCGTTCTTTTATATTCGTCGAGTGCATTATGTACTAGTGTATTATAGGCGGCAGGGCAATGCGTGGAGGCTAGGCTGGCTTTGCGACAGCCCCCGACGAGACATTGGAGGTGGAATGGGGCAGGCTGGTTCAGAACTGGCATAGACAGGACATCAATGTCTGCTCTGCGGTCGAAAGCACCCTCCTTGTGCTAGAGTTGAGTCTTTCCAAAGAGTTGAATTGTTAATTGATTTCCCTAAATCGTAAAATACCCCATTTACTGTGTACAAGAAAAATGATTACACCCATGTCCATGAAAAAAAATGAAAGCAAGAACAGAAAAATAACCCAGTCTCATCCCATGAGTCGCTGCAAAATATGAATCGGCCAGAATACTTCATGCGTTGCGTCCTCGTTTATTGTTCACTCGACTCCTCGCTCTCCTCTTCATCTCCCGATGTACTCTGCCGTAACCCGGCGCCTTCCTTCTCCTTGGCTAATCTCATGATGAATTTCCATTGTGCGCGCGTCACGGACGATACGCTGAGCCGGGTCTGTTTGAGGGTTTGCATGTTCTCGAGGGGTTTGCCGGGTGCGGACTGGGCTTTGAGGTCGTTGAGTGTAATCATGGCGGGGAACTTCTGTCGGAATTCGACGTGGACGATGTCCCATTTGGGGTCTTCTCTGGTGGATTTCTCGTCGTAATAGGGGTTTGAGGGGTCAAATGCAGATTCTGGAACTTGGGTCAGTATGCGTGCTTGCGGTGCGGAGAAGGCTCTCAAACAGACCATCTGGGGAATGCTCTTGGACAATTTCCATAACGCCAACAATCCCAGGAACCTTGCAGTTGGAATGATAAAAGAAAGCCAAGTCGCCCTTTTTCATATCCCGAAGATGTCTTCGTGCTGTTCCTCGTAAGCCAATTGCCTGTTGTACATCGTTCAAGGCACCTTACCGGAAGGGTTGCGGATACCTATTCCATGTCAGCTATGTATATCAATCAACTCATTCAACGGCAATTGTAAACCCACCATCCCACGGCTCCGGCTTACTCGCCGCGCGCAAGTCATCAATCGAGAACTTGACATCAACACCCTTCTCCAGCCGCGACTCCGGCTCAGCCTTCATCAACCAATATGACCGGCCCTCATCATCCTCATCCTCTGAGTCCTCCTTATCTTCTACAGATGTTGACTTGGTCGCACGCTGATCCGCTCCATTCGGTAATGGGTTTTTGCGCGGCCGTCCAACAGGTCGCTTGCCTTCTTTTGGTGTCGTCGGTTTGGGTGCTGTCACTTTTCAGAATCGCAAGTTAGTTTCCAATCTACCCCCGCTCCAGCACTCAGATTCTTAAGGATACAAACCTTTCGCAGACTCGTCCTTACGAGGCCTTCCACGACCCCGCTTAGGTCCCGGCGGAGGCTTAGGGGTGGCACTTTCGGGGTACTTGCGAGGACGGCCTCTCTTCCTCTTCTCTCCGGTTGGGGGCGCTGCCGTTGTCTGGATTGGGTTAGCCGGAGCGATATTGGAATTGGGCGGCCATAGTCTTGAATCACGGAAAGCCAAGAAACAGAATGGGGAAAAAAAAGACAACCGCGAAGCTATCCTCCTGTCCATCGCCATATCCCGTATTAGCGCGGGCTTACCTGGTTCGCCGTCAAGCCATTCTCATTGTCCTCTGGCGAGTCAGAAGTCTTTCGCTTCTTGGGCGGCATTTTGTTGATTTCGCTTGGAGTTGGCCGAGGGAAAAAAAAAAAAAAAAAAAAAAAAAAAAAAAAAAAAAAAAAAGCTTAGAAAATTCGCGCGGAAGCAATAAAAACCTATCCAAATCGATACAACACAGATAATCAATCAAACAGTCGCAGGCGATGGATTGATTCACCAGTCAACAAGGAGCGAGCGGGGAGAGGAAGAGGAGATGATGGTGAAGGGAAAACGGGCGAAATCGGGAGATACGTCCAAGAAAAAGTAGGGGAAAAATAAAGAAAAAATTCTCAAAAAAGCAAAGAGGGCCAGCGACAAGCGCGCAAGAGAAAAAGAGAAAGCGAGAGCGACGCAGGAGTCCTGGACTGGGCAAATCGTCGCCGATTCCAGCAAATCTGAAGCTTTGTTTTGAACGCGACGGGTGGAGCGCACGTGACTTAAGATGACAGTAGTCAATATATACGGAGTACTTAGTCGTGTTTCTCTGTACTTGAATACTAATGTATTTGAGAAGCATATCGGAGCATTGTGCATTATGAGGGCTGGTCTATTGGTGCTTAACATTCCACAGAGCACTTACCATGGTCTGATGTACAGGATATATATCCAGGCTGTGACTAACAATATTCAAGATCAAGCTAGTTGGACTCGATAACCATCAGCAGACTATAAGCTGAAATACACGAATAGTGCTATAAACACCTCATTCAACAGCGAGCACTACTCGATTCTTTTCAGTGTACGTTCCATGGCCGTGCCGTCGGATTTGTCACCTCAAGCAAGCTCTAACACCCCGAGGTCAAAGAAAGAACCCAAGATTGACAGACATCAGAGCTTGGCTCAACTCTTTCGATCCAGGGCTAAATGATATCCAATAAGTACCGGATTCTATATAAGAATTGCATAACCGCAGGCCGCACTGAGTCTTCCATTGGAAAGCACCCAAAAGCTGCATTTCAGTAACTGTACCATCTTTGCAATATCAATCCGCCAATTGAGACGGAAAGAAAGGTCTAGCCCTCGGTTTGACTTTAATATGTATGTACGCCTTTTGACGATGCGTTGACAACGCTCCGTTACGATGATCTACAAGAACTCCGTACAGCCTTAGACTACCGACATTATAAATCTGTGCATGCGCATGGACGAACCTTGCAGGTTTATCAAAACTTTAAACGTCTTTGTCCATGCTCCGAGCTTCGGAATTCGGCACCAGATTGGAGAGCTCCATGTTGATCTTGATATGTACTTGTAGTTGTGGCCGGATGCGGTAGCCCTCTATATCAACCATATTCTGTAGTACTCCCCGGGAGCAGCAGCCAACTCGAACATCGGATCAGTAAACAAAACCCAGAATTAGTCATGAAATAGTCCAAAGCTTGACTCGAATGATTCATGCTGAATGAATCTCCCAACACTTCCCCAGTTCTACCCGGCAGCCGAACTCGAACCGGATCTCTCTCCGGATTTCTATCCGTCTCCAAATCCCCAATTTGGGGAGTGTTAGGATAGCACGTCTTCGATCTTTCAGCTTGTGATTTCTAATTCCCTTTCTTTTTTCTTTTGTTCTTGCCTGAGAGGTTTACTATATATCTCTCCTTTTTCTCGCTCGATTTGTCCTCTTTCTTTTCTGTATTCTATTCATGATTGCCACGATTACGAATCGCGGACTATGGACGACAACCCTCGGATATCGCAATCTTCGGATTCAAATATCGGAACTGCATCTCCAAAGACGGAGACGACAATGACTCTAGAAAACAACGCCAATGTCAATCATGAAACCAACAATAACAAAGAATACGGAATCCTTAGCACCACCGAAGATGCATCCCACCAAGACATCGAACACCTCTACCTTGACTTCGAAACCCCACTCCCAAACCCCATGGGGATCTCCTCCCCGCGATCCGGCCAATCACCACCACCGTCACCACCAAACTTGAATAAATACACATCGCCGTTCCTATGGTCGAAACCGCGCAAGACGATTATCACTATAATCTCGTGCTGCGTTACGGCATTGTCTGCGTATGCGGCCGGAGAGTATACGCCGCCGTCGGAGGAGTTGACGGCAAAATGGCATGTTAGTAAGGTTGCGTATAATGTGGGGATTACGTTGTTTACGCTTGGGTTTGGTATTGCGCCGATGGTGTTGGCGCCGTTCTCGGAGATTAATGGGCGACGGCCGATTTTTGTGGCTAGTGGGTTGGTTTTTACAGGTGTGTTTCATTGGAGTTTGAATGGATGAGGTTTGCTGACGGGACGTAGTATGCTTGATCGGATGTGGTGCTACGGATTCATATGCTGGGATGCTGGTTGGGAGATTCTTCCTGGGAATTGGTGGATGTGTGTAACATCTTAATCCTGTCCGTCACACAAGGCTAACTTGGTTTAGCAACGTTCTCGACCATGGTGGGTGGCGTCATTAGTGACATCTATCATGCTCAGGATCGTAATGGCCCTATGTCTTGCTTCTCTGGAGCCGCGCTATTTGGAACTGGGCTGGGACCGCTAATCTCCGGCTTCATTGAAATGCGCGTTTCCTGGCGATGGATTTTCTACTCCGAAGCCATTGCCTCCGCCATCTTTCTGGTTCTTCTGTTGGCCTTCCTTAAGGAGACCCGGGGTAGTGTGCTGTTGAGTGGCAAGGCCAAGGCTCTCAACAAGTATTATGACAAGCTTGAGGAAGCAGGTTACTATGGTGTCGTCTTCACCGCGGAGGATTCAGGCGAAAAGCAACGGGTGCAGCGCATCCGGTGGAAGGTCAAGAGTGACGAGGAGCGAGAGACCTTGGTCAGAATGGTCACCATTTCTTGTTACCGGCCATTTCGTAAGTTCAATTCTACATCCACATGAAATCCATGGCTAACAAAACTAGATCTCTTGTTCACCGAACCGGTGGTGTTCTTCTTCTCCCTTTGGGTCGCATTCAGCTGGGCGATCTTGTACCTGAACTTTAGTTCCATTCCTCTTGTCTTTTCAACCAACCATGGCTTCAATGTGGAACAGATTGGCGCCGTATTCTCCGGTGAGTGGCCCTGCTTGTATCAAGTTTCGTTTATACTGACAATCCGCAGCGGTGTCCATTGGTGCTCTCCTGGCCACTCTTTTGAGTATTTACCAGGAGAAACTGGCGATGCGCCTGGGCAAGATGCCAAATACACCAGAAGGCCGGCTCTACTTTACCTGTGTCGAATCCATCCTCATGCCTATCGGTCTTTTCTGGTTTGGATGGACATCCTACTCATCCGTTCCATGGATCGTGCCTACCCTTGCCCTGGGTTGTGCCACCATGGGTATCTTTTCCATCTACCTGGCCACGTTCAACTACCTTGCGGATACGTACCATCGATATGCCAGTTCCGCCATTGCTGCGCAGTCATTCTGTCGAAACATCCTTGCTGGTATCTTCCCGTTGGTTGCGAATTTCATGTTCACGAATCTCACGTATCCCGGTGCTTCCAGTTTGCTGGGAGGAATTGTATGACTGATCATCGTTCTTTTCTGGGGACTTTTGCTAACATGCGGCAGGGTATTCTGCTGACGCTCGTGCCCTGGGCGCTGGCGTGGAAGGGGCCTCAGATCCGTGCGAAGAGCAAAATCGCTAGTGTAGGTCCTCCGCCGTGCATATGCATAACGAAATGTCGCTGACCTATTTGCAGCAAATCATGCAGCAGAGTTAGCTACGCGCATTCCAAAAAGTCGCATTCGACCTGACGTGACAATTAGATTCCTATCACTCCTATACATAACTGTAATACTGCAGATAATAAAAGTTAATAGCATAATTGATCATCCTAATGCCTCAGTCCGTCGTTTTTTGTCCTTTTCACGGCGCAATTGCGCCATCGCCAACGGTCTTTATTGGTCTATTGTCGGCCGACTATTCCTGGTGAAGGATGGCTCGGCCGACAAGTTCGGATGAGAAGAGATTGGCATTGTAAATACAATCACAACTAGGATGTATACAAAGAGAGCGAAAAGAGAGTCTTTAGTAAGGAGAGATTGAAGCAGAGATTGTTCAAGAGAAAAGAAGGACAAGCAGTCAAAGTAGAAGTAGAGGGGCATCATGTGATTTGGTTATGAATGTGGGCGAGAGTGGGCGGAAGCGCGGGGCAGAACCTAGGGCTGGCAGCCAATCAGCGAACAGCTTTGGGCAATGGCGTGATTGACGGAGGGGTTCTCGAGGTAACCGGAGGGGTGGAGGGGTATACCTCTCTATATAATCCCGGAGGTTCTCTTCTGGACATCTTTCACATTAACCATCCTCTATTATTTGCTGTGCCCATTTACAACCCCTCTACACACCCCAATTAATCACAATGGCTCAGGAACGCGCTCCGTAAGTGCCAATTCGTCCTCACAGCTACATTGACGCCATACTAACGACAGCAGCCTCCGTCTCGGCTCCGTTGCCCCCAACTTCGATGCTCAGACCTCTAACGGTCCCATCACCTTCCATGACTTCATTGGTGACAGCTGGACCGTCCTCTTCTCCCACCCCGATGACTTCACTCCCATCTGTACCACCGAGCTCGGTGCTTTCGCCAAGCTCGAGCCCGAGTTCACTGCTCGTGGCGTCAAGATGATCGGTCTCAGCGCCAACGGTGTCGAATCTCACCACGCCTGGATCAAGGACATTGACGAGGTCACCGGCTCCAAGCTTCAGTTTCCCATCATCTCCGACGCCGAGCGCAAGGTCGCCTACGCCTACGACATGGTTGACTACCAGGACACTACCAACGTCGACGCCAAGGGTATGGCTCTGACCATCCGCTCTGTCTTCATCATCGACCCCAGCAAGAAGATCCGTCTCATCATGTCCTACCCCGCCTCCACCGGCCGTAACACCGCTGAGGTCCTCCGTGTCATTGATGCCCTCCAGACCACCGACAAGCACGGTGTTACCTGCCCCATCAACTGGCTCCCTGGTGACGACGTTGTCGTTCCTCCTCCGGTTTCCACTGAGGATGCTGAGAAGAAGTTCGGTGAAGTCCGCACTGTTAAGCCGTGAGTCCTCTTTTTTCTCCCTACCGGAGAAGACAATTGATTCTAACTTTGGACAGTTACCTGCGCTTCACCAACATCAAGAAGGAGTAAATATATCACGAATCATGATTGGATGGATAGATAAAAGGCTATGAAATAATCCTGTGAAGGTTATTTGATTGATACCTCTTTTATGAATATAATCTTCTGTACATTTACATTCTCCATCTGTTCCTGCAGTATTCTGTACAGGTGTACTCTGCTGCATATGTACTCCGTAGCCTTATATATTTAGACCCATCGGAACCAGCACCATGTAGAGTGACAAGCGAACCGTGTTTGTATTGCTTTTTCCCCAATTAAACGCCGCGTCGGTCATCCCACGGCATCTCATATTTGTAGAGTAGTATGTGTCTTATATTAATACTATATTTCATACTCTTACTGCACAAGCACAATGACAGCTTACGCTAAGTCCATCTGACAGACCGCCTTAGGTTTCTGCCCAACGGCTCCTTTTCCGTGTCTCTTTTCGCTGTTTTTCTTTCGTCTTTCAGTGGCTTCCACCACCATATTCCTTGTTCGCATTATTGGAGAAACTGACTGTCGTTAATTGCGGATTAATTTTTTTTTTTTTTTTTTTTTTTGGTATGGTTCTCCCTCTCTTCCTCTCCTGGATTTCCCGTCCCGGTGCGGCTCTACGTTGGCCTTTATTTATCGGCGGGGATGATCAGAATAATATTAATAGCACACGTCTCGCTTTCCTTGCTGTTCCTTCATAGGGGATTTTAAACTATTGGATTATCCCTGACTTTGGCTGACAGGAACCTTGCCACGATTGATCATCTATTTGTACTGCCGTATTACCGTCCATTCGCTTCGGAGCGTCCCTCGTTACTTGTCCCCTCCTTCCTCGGTTATCAATCACAGTGTGGAATGCGCGCTACGTTATAAGAGAATAGACTGAATAAAATCGATTGAGTCGGGTCTCGCCTGTCAAGATGATGTCCCGAAGTCAGTCGAGCTTGGGCTGGGTGGATTCGGCCAGAGACGACCCTTCGACCGCAGGCAACTCGCCTGCTTTTAATCAGTCCACTTCTGCTTCGGGCCCCATCAATTTGTCGGGTTTGGTTTGCAATGTGCGCAGGACGACAGGCAGGGAGCCGCGTCCCCTGGTGGGTGCGACGACGACTATCCTGGGCGACAAGCTCTACGTTTTTGGTGGCCGGATTCTTTCTCGCAGTCGTCCGCAATTGACGTCCGATCTATACGAACTCGATTTGGTCCGCCGCCATTGGTCCAAAATCGAAGCGACCGGCGATATTCCTCCTCCCCGATACTTCCATAGTGTTTGTGCCCTGGGCGATGAGAAGTTGGTGTGCTATGGTGGCATGTCCCCGGCTCCGGAATCGTTGAACAATGGGCCAGGAGGACAAGATTCGCAGCCAGAAGTTGTCGTTATGTCCGATATCCACGTATTCGACGTACCGTCTCGCAGCTGGAAGCGCCTTTCCACAACCGATTCGCCTCAAGGGCGATATGCGCATTGTGCGACCATACTGCCGTCCAGTGCATATTTCACTTCAGCCAATGCGCCCCGGTCTGCCATCCACTTTAATCCTTCCTCTGAAGATCCTAATCAAGGGTCCATTGGGGTCGATATTGACGGCTTTGGCGGTGCAGAGATGGTCGTGACCGGAGGCCAGGACAGCTCTAATCATTACATTGAACAGGTCAGCGTCTTTAACCTCCGGAGCCTTGAATGGACCAGCACCAACTTCCTGGGTCGAAGCTGCGGTGCATATCGAAGTGTGGTCGCCCCATTGATTGGTATAAAACTCTCAGAAATTGGGTCTGCCTGCACGGACAAGGACGCGCATGAGCCGATCAACGATTCGCAGGTTGAAGGGTGTCCGATGCTGATATACTCGAACTACAACTTCTTGGATGTCAAATTAGAGCTCCAAATCCGTTTACCGGATGGTCGTTTGATTGAGAAACCCATGCCTAGCCAGGCATCCCCTCCCGGCTTGCGATTCCCCAACGGAGGCGTTATCAATGGCCATTTCGTCGTGAGCGGTACATACCTCACTTCTTCGAAGCAGGAGTATGCGCTGTGGGCACTAGATTTGAGGACCCTGACCTGGGGTCGGATCGATGCCGGTGGTTCGGTGTTTGGCCAAGGAAGTTGGAACCGGGGCATGCTTTGGTCGAGAAGAAACGCATTCGTGATACTTGGCCATCGCAAGCGCAGCCTGGTGGAGGATTACAACCATCGCCGGATTAACTTTTCGCACCTGTGTCTGGTGGAATTGGAGGCCTTTGGGCTCCACAACAATCCTTGCAAAGTTGCTCCTACATCCGGGTACCAGTCGTATAGTGCCCCGGCGATTCCGGCTTCTTTGCAGCACAAGTTGCTTCAGTTGACCTCGTCGGGCGGGCGGCCGTTCTCAAACGCCTCGGATGAGCTGGGCAGACTCGCTCGGTCTCTTCCAGAGATGGCGGATATGGAGCTCCAGGCTATCGGTGGTGAACGCATCCCGGTGAACTCACGCATCCTCTCGCGTCGATGGGGTCCGTACTTCATCCAATTACTACGAGAGTCATGCGACAATGGAGTTTCAGATTCAGCCACACTCCGACCGCCGACTCAAGTGTATGGGAATCGAAACTCGACTATCACGATTACCCCGTCCATCGGCCAGAATAGCAGCTACTCAAACGCAACCACCTTGGTCAGCAACAACCATGCAGACCCTGCCAAAGCCATGCTGGCAAACCTCGAAATACCCTCCGCGCATGTCTTACCTCCTACTTCCCGTCCTCGCGTCCTCTACCTCCCTCATACCTATTTTACACTGCAAGTCCTCGTAGATTACTTCTACACATCGTCTCTTCCCGCAGCTGGATCATCGCTCTGCACACCACAAATCCTCTGCTCCCTCCTACAACTGGCGCGACCATACCAGATAGACGGTCTCCTGGAAGCGACCGTGGAACGTCTGCACCAGGTTCTCGACGGCCGAAACGCCGCAGCTGTATTCAACGCCGCCGCCATGGCCGCTGGAGGCGGCCGAGGCACCGGCTTCACTAGCGGAATCGGCGGTACCCTCGAAGCTCTCAACGGCGTGAATACAGCAGCCGCCGCAGCCGCAGCCGGAGATGCCGCGACCATCGGCGCCGGAACGAACGCCTCGAATAGCCACCTCAACTCTGACTCCTCCGACACGGAACATGGAACCACTTCCGCCCGCTCCATGTCGAGCAGTTCTGGTGGGCCATCTCGCGGCCCACCCCTCCGAATCAACACCAGCTTCTCTTTTGGCCGGAACCGTCGTCACCGTCAAGAACAAGGTGCTACCCGCGAGCGTGAAGACTCAATCAGCAACGCTAGCACCTCCACCTCTGCATCCACGAGTACCAGCTTCGATTACTCCGACTCTGACACAATGGGTGGTGATCGCTCTCGCTCCGTGAGTCGGCAGCGCCAACGCCACGATACCGATGCATACGGGGAGGGTGAGATCTGGACTGGCGATCTCAGCAGCGTCATCGGATTGCAGAAGCGCGGCCTGCGCGGTTTGATGGAAGGTCGACGGTTGAGAGAACGCAGCGCGAAACCGGCCAGTACCAGCGGACCAATTTCATTTGAGGGTAGTGTTCCGGGTGGTCCATAAACCCGTCCCGCCTCTTCCCTTTCCCTCTCCTTTCACTTTCACTTTCAGGGTTTTCATTCGGGTATGTTTTTGTTGGTTTATTGAAGATATAGATACCAGTTTTGGATACCAGTCTTGCGTGCGTGATACTTTCCTCATTTCGCGTCTGCCCTTTTCTTGACGACAGGAGTTTTTGGAGCGTTTGAGCATCTTGGATAGCATATAGAGAATCAATGACTTGGATTGGATACTTGCTTCTTCTGTGCTATAGCAGTAGGCATTCGATACCCTAAACCCTACTCTGTCCCTCAAGCGAACCCCTCGTCTAAAGAACCGCATCGTCCGAATCGCATGCGCTCCGAAACTGACCAAGCCATAACAGGCATCGACAACACCTTCAAACTCTTGTCTCTCACCGCTACAGTTAATGTGGTTTGGATTTAATCGGTGAGCGAGTCAGAACGAGTACCTGATTAACAGGACGATTACGGCGCCCAAGGGTCGTGAGCGGGGGGATATGTCGGGGTCGCTGTGTGGACAGTACTGTACGGCATTGGAGGCGTTCTTGGATTGTAGTCGGGTTGTGGGAGGAAAGGAGAGAAATGAGAGGGCAGAGGGGGAAGTTCTATTGAGTAGAGGTAAAAACAAGGCTCCTGTGATGGCGAGGAGATGGCCGTGTTGAATAAGGAAGTGGGTTTTAATGGGAATGGACTAGACCTTTCGTTGGATGATTTACTCTGGGCGTATCAAGGGCTATGGATGGGCAATGATATAGAATTTCTATCGACAGAGGGAGGGTGTCAAGGATGTGGCCCCGGCTGCGCCGGTGCTGTGGTTGTTAGTATCGTGCTTGTTGAAGGAAAGAATGGCATACAGGAAGACTTCTGGGGGTATATTGTCCATTATTGGGGTTGGTATATTGGTGTGTTTACATATTCATCTTTCGTCCAGACTGCATTAGCTTCGGACGAAATGCTACTTGCTTTTTGGCTACATAGTACGGAAGAGACATAGCTTCCATGACTGCTATCCTCGCTGTAAATAGCTAAGCCAAAGTAAACCATCAAACCTCGGACGGGGAGCAGTCACTACTCGTTCAAATAGCTTCAATCCTATCGCCACAGCAATCGAACGATAGCTCTGGATTTGTCAATCAGCTCCAGCCAGTCAGCTACAGAGCACAATATACAATGCAGGGGCAAAAATGCCAGCTCAACCAAGACAGAGCTCCATAACAGCATTGCCATATGGCACACTTCCTGTCGAATGAACAAACATTCTGGAAGGTTATCGCGCGGAGCGGAGAAATCAAATCAAATTAAAATCCTCTCGGCCGTAGACCGACTCGCTTTGGCTTTTACGGCCTGGCCTGCATAGCCAGCCTCATTGCAATGCCCAAACCCAAATTAACTCTGGGACGAGCACTGCACCTGAATGAAAACGGAAGGCCTAGCAGCAAGAAGGTAGCAGCTGCAGCGCAGTGCAAATGCAAGTCCAAACCGAGGCAACTCGTTTCGGCAAGACGATCAACAATCAAATCAATCAACCCCGGACGGATGGACGGACGGAGCAACCAAGCGCAAAGGCAACGCAAAGCAAAGCAAAGCAACGGTCAGCCACCGCACTTGCAGTTGCCGGTACACTACTCCGGAAGTAGGTATGGTACGGTACATACGTACTAATGACATGTGGCCAAGAAGCAAGCCCAGACCGCAAGTCGCAAGTCAACGAATGTTGATCATGGATTCCTGATGAGTCGGCCCCGGGCAATTTCCAATGCCAGTCAAGTCGAATTGCCAAAGTCCTATATGACCAGTCTGCCAGGAACTGGTGATCCATGCTGCAAATGCATGTCTGGCAACGGCGCTGTATGTCAGCCGTTTGGTATATCAAGTACTAGGATGTGTATCCCTGGCTTGGTCAATTTCACAAAATACCTAGTACAAGAGACTGTATTCCAGAGATATCGATGCTTCGGCGGTCATCGTCTAGAAGGAACCGGTCAGCTCCACCGACGCGTTGTCGGAACGTGTCCCGCTGGATAAATAGCGTGTGGTGTGGGGGTGAAGAAAGACCGGCTTCAATAATGGTCTCAATAGTCTTCAGAGCTCATCCAGCTCCGAGCTTCCAGATCGAAAGCAGACTAGCTCAACGCCGGTGGCAATTAATTATGCCACATGTATATTCATGGACGGAGTACGGGCGGAGTACAGAGAACAGAGCACACAGTTGTCGAGCAGTTGTCTTACCGCCGCTTCCTGATCGTCAATCAATCTGTGGATTTCTGATGTTTGTTTTCCGAATGTCTTCCGACGAGTATGGAGACCTGCTGAAGTATGTACCTGGATGGATTGGGCAATTGCTAGACGTACCTTTACGGTGTACCTTGGATTGTGTCATAGTACTTTGGTCTGCACGCTGCACTTTGACCGAAAGGGACGTGTTTTGACTAATACAGAGTAATGCTGCGTACAATTGTCAGTGATCGGATCGAGGTTATTCCAGTTCTTTTGCATTCTCGCGCGTCTTTTCGTGCGAGTACAGAAAGGGTGACGTATAGTGAAGTTGACGGAGTTGTAGAACATTCCATCGGCGGGATTAAGTGGGATGCCTCGAATAAATGTCATATCCCGTCCGTACTTCGGGATGTGATGGCTTCAATCACCCCAGCTGAGACAATAACCGGCAAATCAGAACGTGCCTCACCACCAAATTTGGATATATCAACTCCGTGGCCATTCCATATTTCCCTAATTTGGAAGAAAAAGAAATATCGCCAGTTGTCTGTACTCCGTACGGCGTGTACTATTATTCTTTCTTTTCCTCGCATTCGACTTTCCTTCGAGTGGCATCCTCGGGGGCCAGAAGTACTCCCAATATACTCATCACCTCAGTCGCATCGGGTCCTTCCCCGAGAACACAAACACGAAGCATGCAGAATGCGGGCCGTCTGCATTCGCGATCTGATTTGCATCACGATCCTTGCTTATGTGTTCTGTAGACGTAGCTTGCGTCGATACGTAGGTACTCAGCAGGTTCCGTATGCACTTGGGGGTGTTTGTACGCGGAGCGCCGTAATGTAGGCCATGCATGCATGTCGAATCACAGGACGAACAACAATGCCTTTCAGTGCTGTACTTTGTATCCACTGCATATATGTCAGCATATGTAAGCTTATGTATGCACAACCGAAGTGTGAAATGCAAAGCAGGCTCGTGGGATGATAGAGATTGCTTTTGTTTGGGTGAAATAACGCACCTGTGGTCCCGGGTTATTGGGTATAGACATGCATCCTGGTTGTGATATATCCAGTTGATTGTGGTACCTGGACCAGTGTGATTTAGTCTGGTCTAGTTCAGAATAGAATATGAGTAAGGATTTGATGATGAGCGCTTAGAGCGGTTGAGGTTGAATGACTTGACTTGGTACTAGATATAGTAAAGAGGGCTGCTCCCGTGACATGACCAAACAGGCGACCTGCGCGACCTCACCACCAACGAACCTCTCGTCCACGACAGTCAGGCATGAAAGACTACATACACTACAATGACAAAAAGATGCAGCTGGCTAGCAACTACCACTACTGTACTCTGTATTGTATAGATTTGATTTAGATCGATCACCTTGCAGGGCCCACGACGCTGACTCGTTCTCATCCACTGCAGAACATGCCCGTGTCCGATCCTCTGTGCTTTTTCCAGCCTGGATCTTTTTCCAAATTCATATCACTGGGTCACGGCACTTAGATAGATCGGCTTTCTTTCAACTTGGCCATCCCTGTCACTTGCTTTCTTTTTTCTATCTCCGAATCGAGCACGTATCAGTATAGCCTCATTTTCACACCATCCCACCGGGTCAGGATGTTGGCTCGATTTTTGAGACGTGAGAGATAAAAAGAAGACAAAGAAAAAGAGGCCCGAAAAAAGAAAGGAAAAGGCCGGAATGTGACACATTCTGATCCGTCGGGAGAAGGACTGTGGCCGGCATCCGCGGTCTCACTGCCGATACACCTCAGTGCACCTGCGCAGACAGCTCATACACAAGTACTGAATTACAAATGCCAGACGTACGAAGTGTTGGAGTAATATGGGGCCTTTTGCTCACCGTGTTCTGGTGGTTCTCCGTACAATAGTAAGTCTCTGACTCAAGGACCGACAATCTACCAAATTCAAACTACAAACTAACACCTTTTAGTGCTACTCCACGAAGATGCGGCCTGCAGATTGCTCTTGACCGTATGGTTGATGCCCAATGTAGCGCTGTTTTGTTCCTGCCGAAACCCAGCCCCAGAAGAGACACTCGTGCTGTTGATTTGACAGTTGGCCATCCACGACAGCAGGCAATACTTCAGGCTCTTATGCTGATCTGTCCGGGTTGATCGAATTGCAGACATGGATCGCTTTGAATATCGATCTGATTGGGCCACCGAAAAAAGAATTTCTTTTTTTTTTTTTGGCTTTTATTCTCGCATGAGAATTGCCATGACCGAAAGGATGGGGCGATCAGGGCGAGAAAGAGAAAATAAAAATAAAAATCAATAGGCGCAGCGACTCGGTACTACTATTTGCTGGTCCATGATGCATGCACAACACCTTTTTTTTTTTTCTTTTGGCGAACACAGACTGTGGCCCCAGTTGCCGGGTGACTTGGCTCAAAGTCACTAGTACGTCCACCCGGAAGTCTGCTAAAAGTTTCTCGGGACTCTATCTGCTCCGTGCTAGTAGTAGCTCTAGCACGCGGAACAGGTCCCTAACCTTCTCTCACTATACCATTTTGGAGTGATTAATGGAAGATATGTACTAGCGGTCAAGAAGATCCATGGCTCTGGTGACGGCACTCGCAGCGTCACGCAGTAGCCTGTGGACTGACCATACGGAGCATCCGTATCCAAAGCTGTACTTTACCTTGGTGAGAGGTTCCATTCTATTTGGACCCGCTCCCCGGTTCCCCGATGTGGTGCTGATTCGTCCAAATCCTAGCAATCCCAGCTTCACCTTTTTCTTTCTTTCTTTTCGCATCTCCACAAGACCCGCGTATAGAGTGGGCTTTGCGGACACTCAATCTTCGCATGCGATAGACGCAGAAAATGGATACCCCGTCGGTCTTGGGCTGTATCGTCGCTTCGTTTCCCACGCTGCCGGTTCAAGCTATGGGTCTCTCTCACCGCTGAAAAACCGCGGCTGCTGTCAACGGCCATGATCGCCTGCCTATCTGTCTAGCTGTCCGACGAGCTGTCTCGCTCGTTCTCGCTGTCTTACGGTACGCGCTGCTGCTGCTTCTGCCGGGGTGGTCAGGCTTGTTCTGCCCAGACCCATCAGGTTTCCTTTCGAGGATAAATAAGCCAGGGCCCAACATGGGTTCATAAATATATCATCATCCGACGTCCTCTTCTAATCTCTTCCTATAATTTTTTCTTCTCATCACGCATTCATCACTTTAATCTCTTGGGTGCCTCATCTTTCTATTTTACTTCTTTGAGTCTTTTATTGTTTGCCTTCTTTTTATATATTACTCTTAATCTGGGCAACTGGTTTTGTCCAAAGCACTCATACCTAATCACCATCTCGACCTCTTCATACTTTTTTATAGAATAATACTTTTACAACCTTCACCGTGGCTACACTCGGGATCAGCGTGCTGCCGGCACCTTACGCCAACTCGGTGCATTCCTCCCCTCAGTGTCATTCACTTTCGGGCTATCAGATCAGCCACCATAACATTCATTCGACTGCCTCCCCCTCTCTTTCTCGCCCCAAGCCAACGGTGCTATTGGAGAGAGGGGGGCCTACGCCATGCCCCAGTGTGCAGCGTCTGACGAGCAACGGTGACGCCAAAACGCCCGTGTCGCACAACCGTTCCTTTTCGGGCTCCTCGTCTGATGACCTCTCTCCGACGCCTACAGCCGAAGAATCCCACAGTCCAGTTGACAAGAAGAGGAAGGCAGACAGTGAGTCTCCTGAGATGGAGATGCGGGACTCTGAGCGTCCCCGGCCAGTCTCCTGGCCTTCGGGACCCGTGGAACCCCCGACGCAGCTTCCTCCTATTGCTGTGCCTTCCATCCTGAACCCGGCGAAGGGGGCATCTCACGTCCGTATGCCATCCTCTCCAACCCCACGTTTCGCCCATCCATCATCGGCGCACCCGGCCAAACGGCTCTCGCTTTCCCCGGGATCACAACAGCGCTCGATGACCACACCCATCTCGAGCAGCTACCCCGGGAAGCTAAGCACTCATAACTCTCCTCTGGCACATGAGTCCCGGTCCGGTGTGTACAGCACACCTGGATCCCCGTTGACCTTGGACCCTCCGATGATGTCTTCTGGCCCGGCGCCCACATCGACCTCTGTCCACTCCACGCCAACCTTCCACAGCCGGCGGATCAGTGCGGGCCCAACTCCCAACCCAAGCCCGCAAGAAACAACCGCTAGCACTCCTCAGTCTGTCTACAGCCACTTTGGACGGTCGTCTCCTTCCTTGTCTGGGCCATCGCAGGTGCCGCCTATGGTGCATCCTTCGCCCTACGGAACACCTGACTCTGCCAGCCGCCTCCCACCTGCGATGGGAGACCACCGTTACCCTACGGAACCCCCGATGCAGACGGACCAGAACGGCACACTGATCCCGTGCGTCCTGGACCTCAAGTCCGGTTCCTCGAGCCAGGCAGAGAAGCGCAAGGCCAACAGCGATGCATCGCGCCGGTTCCGTAACCGCAAGCGAAATGAGCTGCAGATGGAGCAGAAGATTACTGCCCAACAGGAGGAAATGCGGAAACAGACCGACCTCCTGCATCGGCAAACTCAAGAAATTCGCGCTCTAGCGCAGGAACGCGAGTACTACCGCTCCGAGCGGGACTTCTACCGGGAACAACTCGGTCGGGTACTCCCTCCCAGCCAGCTTCCTGCACGCCCAGCCTCACCTCGGGCACTGTCGTCTGTCATGGAGAAGCCCGTAGACCGCGGCAACGAGTCGGTGTGGCAGCAGAGCGCAGCACCCGCGACAAGCCTTCCGGCCCCCATACCTGCCACGAGGGCGCCAGGCGCATGGACGACGGCGCCGTCCGCATACTCTACCGCCCCAACCGCGAACACCGTGGAGGAGCCTGCCCGGTCGTTGCCTCAGATCTCTGCGACCTGGGCACGGTCCTAATTGACTTCGATTCGTTTTTTGCACTTTTGAAAAGTACATTTTCTGGTCTTCCATTCCATGTATTACTTTTTTATCTTCTTTTGATTTAGAAGACTTTCTGCTGCATGTCTTGAAGACGCCGGAAAGCCGTTGACTTCTGACCCTATAATATTTTGATTCTGCAATTTTGGAGGACACAGTACAGATTGCAACTCATGCCACCTAGTGTGGATTTGGTCTCAAGCGCGGGTCTTTACGCACATACTTTTGTTTATTTCTTGTTTATTTCTGTTCTATAATTTGTCTGCTGTTTTTGTTTTGCATCCCAATGTTGGGCTTGGAGTTGGTATTTTGATATTTAGAGATATTTCGGTGTTGAGGTTAGACTTGATGCGATGCCAGCGACTGGTGACGACAGAACAATACATGATAGATACAACTTTACTTTGGATTTCTTGAATTATGCCTTCTTTTGACATATCTTCTGTCTGAAACGCCACTGAAACTGCGATATCGGTGGAAGATCGGGCGTGGGGTACGGGACCGCCCAGAGGACCAAAGCCAGACAAGGAAGTCTCCGGCTGCGCGAATTGAGTCGGTGTAGTAATACGGCCAGTAAGTGCCTGTATATACCTGTGTGTCGTCCGTTTCAGAAGACATATAGGGCTGATCGCGGCGCGAGAGATCCACCGGCTAACGGCTCTGCAGTCGATTTCCGAGAATTCTTATCCGCCGAACTACTCTATTCCTCTACTCCTCTACAAGTACAGAGCATTAGAGTCTATCTATCATACGTTAAATATCAATATCAACTCTCTCCAGTCGTTGAATTATCTCTCCCCACGTGGCGGCCGCCGGCCTATCAGGCACCTCCACCGCTCCACGTTGTGCCTGACGCGCATCTCCCATCATCCCACGGTCATTCTGACTATCAATCTATCTTCTCGGATTCTCCCGCCATCCTCCGTCTGTTCGTCATATTCTACGCACGGGTCAATCGCAACGTGAATCCGATATCGCCGGCTCCCGCGTGGGTTCTATCCGAAACCTCGGTTAGATGAAAAGATGAAGATGGGCGTTTCACTATATCAGGGCCATGCGGCCCACGGGGACCGCGTGGGTGAGACGGAGAAGGGTGACTACTTCTACCAGACTTTTCGTGACGGTCCGAGTGATTGTAAGAGTAAAAGCGAAAGTTTGGACATTCAGGAACGTGTTCGACGGTCTTTTGCTGTGCGCGTTATGATGAGCATCGCCGCGTTTGTCCTGCTCTCGTTGGGCTATTCGTGAGTTCATGTGGTCTTGTTAAAGAACGACATGCTAATTGAATTGGATCAGTGTGACTGGAAAGCCAGTCTCAACTACGGTCCCTGACCAATCCTCCTGCAACACAATCGAGGGAGGATACCAATGCTTCTCTAACGTCTCCCACCTCTGGGGACAGTATTCTCCCTACTTTGCCGTAGGAAGCCAGCCTGGCCTCTCCGCTGAGGTTCCGTCAGAGTGCCAAATCACCTTTGCGAATGTCCTCTCGCGGCATGGCGCACGGTTCCCGACAGCATCCAAGAGCTCCAAGTATTCATCCCTCATCGAAGATATCCAGAACAACGTTACCTCGTTCCCGGACAAGTATGCCTTCCTCGAGACGTACAAGTATAATCTAGGCGAGGACGACCTGACCCAATTCGGTGAGAACCAACTCGTCAACTCGGGAATCAAATTCTACAACCGCTACGAAAACCTCACAAGGAACATCGTCCCATTCATCCGTGCATCTGGGTCAGACCGGGTCATCGCCTCGGGCGAGAAATTCATCGAGGGCTTTCAATCCGCTAAAACAAACGACACTCACGCAAAACCCAACCAAACCACACCCTCCGTCAATGTGGTCATCACCGAAGGCACCGAGTACAACAACACCCTCGACCACAGCATCTGCACAAGCTTTGAAAACAATGACGACTACGAAGACTACGTTGCAGGCAACTTTACCGGCCTCTTCACGCCCTCCATCCGCAAGCGTCTTGAGTCCGACCTCCCAGGGACATCCTTCTCGGACTCTCAGATCACCTACCTAATGGATATGTGTGCCTTTGACACCATCGCGCGCACCCCAGATGGTAGCAGTCTCTCCCCGTTCTGCGGCATCTTCACGGACGAAGAATGGAAACAATACAATTACCTCAACTCTCTCAAGAAATACTACGGCTACGGTGCGGGGAACCCCCTCGGCCCAGCCCAGGGTATCGGGTACACAAACGAACTCATCGCCCGCTTAACCCAAACCCCCGTCCACGACCACACGAGCACAAACCGCACACTCGACTTAAACCCCAACACCTTTCCCTTGAACACAACCCTCTACGCAGACTTTGGACACGACAACGGCATGATCTCCATTTTCTTCGCACTAGGTCTATACAACGCCACACAAGACCTCTCTCAGGATACCGTCGAATCCGCAAAGGACGCAGGCGGATACTCTGCGTCTTGGGCCGTGCCGTTCGCCGCACGTGCGTATATCGAGATGATGCAATGTAGTGGGGAAATGGAGCCTCTTGTCCGCGTGCTTGTTAATGACCGTGTTACCCCGTTGCATGGTTGCAAGGCGGATAATATGGGGAGGTGTAAGAGGGATGATTTTGTGAAGGGGTTGGGGTATGCGAGATCTGGGGGGAATTGGAATGGTTGTTTTAAGTGATTTTTCTCTTTAGGTAGGGGGGATGTGTTGAGTTGGTGTAATTATGTTATACGTTATACCTAAAACCTAGTAACTATATCTTTGGAAATTGGAAATATTAGTTTTGGTTTACTGAATGTCATATACGGACCCAAGGCAGATATCTACTAGGTCATATTCAATAGAATAATGCATAAACGCTATTCATATACAGATCAGTACAAGATTAACCTTGTTGCACAATATCATACCCCAGCTCGCACCCTGTCATGTCACATCAATCGTTCCTGACCCCAGACCTTTCCGTCTTCTTATCCCCATACGCTATACAAGTACCATATTAGCCATTACCCTAGACCACCAACACCCCAACAAAAGTAACATAAAGTAAGAAAGACTCACTCCGATCCCAAAGAACATAAGACGTAACCAGAAATATCGGCAGGGCCACAATCGTCGATGTCCATCTGCGTTCACCCAGTTAGCTTCCGATCGCGGTATCCCAGAAACAAATCAATGTGGAGTAGACATAAAGAGAAGGGGGAAGAGGAATACCGTCTCGCAGCGGTCTTATACTCCCTAGTCCGCCGAATATCAATTGGTTGACGGGGATGCGGGTGCCCATGCGTATGCGGATGCGGATGGGCTCGCGGGTGTGGGTGTGGTGTGTTGAATGCTAGGACGCGGGGTTTTGGGGACATTTTATTTATTTTTTCTTGAATTGGATTAAGAGTTGTTTGGTTGGGTTGTATGTTATTTGCTCGGTGTTGGTCTGAAGTTGAAGATGCGTATGTCTGGGATCGGGTTAGTGAGTGCACAATGAATTGAGAATGTGACTTACTGCTTGATGTATAGAGTAACTATCTGTTATGACTTATGTAGAAAGAAGTTCGTAATATATAATGCTTAGGATATGAGGGCTTGATTTTCTGAGGCCTCGATATCGCAGTGGGAGCAATTAGTGCACTATACCTACTTCGGACATCACATGATATATATCACGTGAGCAATCCACAAATAAACAGTCCAGTATAGCAAGCAATTAATTCGATAAACCAAACCAACCGAGATAAATTATATATAAAACAGACAAAGGAGACTTCAACTCTGCACTTGAACTAATCAATAATCAAGCAGACCAATCAATGCAAGCCATAGTAACACACAATCACACAACCAACCCGACACTTGCAATTTAGGACAAAACAAAATACTTGTGGAAGGATCCCTTGGATGAGTTGGAGACCGGAACGGTTGATATTAGTATAATCGAACAAAAATGTCTTCTCGCGCAGTGCTGAGAAGGTAAATAGGTAAAGGTAGCAGCCAAAAGGTCGCGGACACCGGAAAGCCGAATTCTAGCTCAGATACGATAAGCCTCGGTAAAACCACTCCAAAGCGTAAAACCAATGGCCATCGATCAAAATGAGCCGAATAAAGAGGAGCTCTGTGGTGGCCGAATCAAATCATGTCATGAATGACATGGCTAGGTCCATCGCAGTGCCCGTAGCGCGACGACGAGGCCGCCGACCGGGTGTATCATTTGCTCCCTGCTCATCACCAGCCGTCTCGGATTCGGATAGCTTCTGCTTTTTTGCTGGGTGCGCCTCATCTGGAGTATCTTCGGTCGTAGAGAAAGTGCGTTTTCTTGGTGGACTTGGAGTTGGGGTATCATAGTCGACAGGTTTATTTTGATTGTGCATTTCATGAGGGGGTGGTAGAACAAAATGATTGGGGTGAGAATCATTAAAATCGCGATCAGCTTGAGGGATTTCCTGCTTTTCTTTCTTGGTAGATTCGGCATTCGTGCCGTTATTGCCAGCGTCGACGGCAGCGGCGATGCCCTTTCCGAATTTCAATTTAATTTTCATCGATTTCTTATCGGGTGATTCGGGCACAGCAGACCCTTCAACCGGTGTTCCTGGTGCCGTAGCCCGACGACGTCGTCGCTGCTTGGGCTGAGGCTTATAGTCCGAGCCATCTTCATTCTGTACCTGAGTCCGGCGTCGTCTGCGGACCTTTTCGACCGGTTTAGGCGTTTCCTTGGGACTGGCTGGTTTGGCATGGGGGGCATGTTGGGTAATCAGAGAACGGATATCTGCGGCCTGCAACGATCGGTCGACGACAAGACCGACCCGGCGCGCCTCCTCGCGGGCTAGGATTCTCTCCCTTACTTCGTCCACATTTTCGTAGTAAAAAGTGAGTTGGCTGTTTCGGGGGAGGTTGCGCTCTCCAATGCGTGGAGGGAAACCGAAAATGCGGTCTTTGTCGAGTTGATCGCGAGACTTCAGGCGGATTGGTGGTTGTGGAATCTTTGAATCACCATAGGTGTTGTTTGGGCGATACATTTCAGAGTCAGAAGGTACCATGAGGTATTCCTCTCCATGCTCGTTGACGAAGCCTGTGTGTTTCCAGCCTTTCTCGTCCGTCCATGGTTGCGAGATTTGCTTACTCTTCTTCGTAACACCTGGTTTATTTGTCGCTGCTGTCGCCGCCGCCGCCGCCGCCGCCGCCGTAGCCTTGCCCTTACATATCGATGGCGGAGCGTTTTGTTGTTCTTTCTTGGCGTAATACTCCTTGCGTAACTGGGCGAGCTGGGTTTTGGCATCTGGGGTCGGTTTGAAACTTGGTGACACGGCTTCTACGGCTAAATCGAACAGCCGTTGGGCAACGAGTGCCAAATCGGGATGAACGGGTCCGTTCAGTTCACCGGACTGCGATTCGGCTCTGATGGAAGTTCCTATTTTTCGGCGGTATCGCTTTTCTGATTCGAAGGACTCCATTGCCCGCATCGTAGGCTTCCTGTTCCGGCGGGAGATACGCGCAGCTGTAGAGCTTTTCGGGGATGCTTGACCGTCCGGTTGACCGTCAACATAGACTTCTGTGTCATTGTCTGATTGAGTACTGTCGGGAGACTGCAATGCGCTATCCGGCATTCCCTGCTCACAAGTTCCGTTCACCCCCTGGGGAGCTCCATGTCTTCTATTGGTAGACCGCAATGGAGTAGCATTAGTAGAGTTTGTGGCGTTTGCGAAGTTTGCTTGATTCTTCCTTGCAGTCTTGCGCTCGCGACGAGTGGGTACCGTTGCTGGAGTAGCAGGAATTGTATTATTTTGCTCTTTGAGGGCCTTCTCCACGGTCTTCTGTCGGGGTCCACGAGCAGACATCTTGGAAAGTTTGGCATTGGCTTCGGTTGCGACATTTTTCGACTTGCGTCCTGGACGTGGGGTAGTTATTTGAGACTGGTCAGGGGTATTCTCGACATCTTCAGCTTTCTTGAGTTTAGCTGGCATAGACTTTCGCGTTTTGCGATTGCCTTCAGTGATGGAGGTTTCCAGTGCGGGTGCTTTGTTAGCTTTGTCCTTCTTAGATTCAGCTACCTCTGTCTCAGTCACAGAATGATGTCCGTTCTCAAGAAAGGCGTGTAAATTAGACTGTTTCGCAGACTGGGAATTGCGTTTGCCATTGGATGCTGGCGTAGCGGTTTCGGCCGTGTCGCCATTTGGAGTGTCGGGCTTATGATTCCGTGCGTGATTTACGGCAACAAAGCCAGATGTTGTTACCTGAGGAGTGCTAAATGAGTCATCCTGATTTGGCGTCTCAGGGACATCCTGCGATATTTGCGAAGCCTTGTCGTCTCCGTCGACTGACTGTTGTGTCCTCCGGCGTTTGCCGGGAAGTAGTTTTTCAAAGGTGGTGATGAGGGGAGTGGTAGGAAGAGATTGAGACTGAGAGGTTTGAGACATGAAGGACTCGTTGGTATCAGGTTCTTGCGTTGCTATCCGGGAAGCACGCGAAGAACTATGCAGGAGATTCTGATAGGGTCAGCGATGATCTAAACGAAGGACCAAAATGCAGTGTCGCAAATAGAGTAAAACAGCCGATCGAGAAAAATGAATATAATGAGGAAGGGAGATAGTAAAGAGAATAATACTGAAAGGGTGAACCTACAGGTTGTTCCATTAAAACTGCGGCGCCTTCCGGAGGAACAGATGCTCTGCCGACCACTGTCTACTTCGTTAGCATCCAGCCTTATTTTTTTTTTTTTTTTTTTTTTAAAAAAAAAAAGAAAAGAAAAAGAAAAAAGCAGACGCAGCAAACGCGATGCATATGCATATCTCCGTCGAGTAGGGTGTACGGTTCTAGCCCTCGACCGGGAACCAACGACAGCCACATGGTCTTACTTTTTAATCCAGCCTATCCACGGCAATATCCTCCTTCTCTTTTATTTCCAATGATACCGCAATCTTGTTATCGCCTTGTGTTATTCGATTCGACTCGTTCAGCGCCAAGGTTAGGCAAGCGGATAAGGAGTGTCACGTAGGGAGAATCACTCGACTCAAATTCGCTTTCGAGGGAATAACTATTTAGCAAAGGCTCCTAAATCCAGTAGAAAGACATGTTAGTTGATCTGAACGAAAAGGAGTTGTCGGAGGACAGAATAAGCAATAACCGCAGCTCCGCCGGTAGCAACAAGGGCTCGGTGTACGCAGCCCGCCACCACCATCGCGATAACAACAATAACCCAACGTACCAGTGTAAAAAATAATATCCAAGCCACTCAAGACGACACAAATATTCGAAAAAACCACATGGAGAGAAATGTAGGGAGCGTCGGTGGAGTGGAGGGAGGGAGGAGTTAGGGAACGCAAAGTCGACTGTCGGCGGACGCAGGAGAGGCCTCGTCAGGGCCTAGCAGAACACCATATATGGCATGGTATGGGGGAAATAAAACACAGCGACCGAAGCAAACAGAAGAATAAAGCGAATAAAAGGAGATTTTATGGTTTATTCTGGGGGGTGGTAGGCAGAGATGGGGGAGTAGGCTGGCAACAGGGCCCGTTGGAAGGAGAAGAAGCGCCGGCGGGCGTCTGGAGCAGCGCCGGATGGGCAATTAGGGCTTGCGCTGGCGGGCGGCTGGTCACGGGACTGCCGCTAGCCCCAAAACAGATAGCCCGCTTGAGCCTCCGCCGGCAGAACACGTTACTGTCCTCTATCCTCTACTGCTCCTGGTGTTTGCATCTTGCTATATTCTTGCCAAAATGCAGCTCTGGCATTCTCTCCAGCTCTGTCTTCTTGCCGCTGCCATTCCTGCGCGCGCTGCTTCGGCATGGGGCTACACTGATGCCACCGTGTCAGTTCAGACCAAGGGCGCCGGCGTCGGGTCGGGCTTTAAGCAGGAGTATGATGCTTTGCATAACCCTCTATTTCTACGATATACTGATAAAGATATAGAATCCCCGATAACAAACCCCTCGCAGCCCCCGTCTCCCTCGGAAGCTTAGACACCCTCCGCGTGACGCTGACTGCCCAAGAAGGTCGATCTCCGAAGCGGGCGCATCAAGTCTTCCTCCTCATTAAAGATCCCGAAACTGGCTTGGATATTTCATACCCGTTCAATGTGAAGGACAATGGCAAGTCGAGGGTAGATCTGGTAAGTGATCGACCGTGACAAGTATTACTCAACCTGCGTAGGAGCTGACGTATACCGCTGGATAGACTCAAAAGGACCTCCCGATTCAATTCCTCTCCCTCCCCCAGCCGGTCGACGCTCGTCTTCTCATCGGATCCTTTGGCACCTCGGAAGCCTACAATGAGCCTGCGTTCCAGCTGTCGATTACCCGCAACCCCGACGAACCTGTCCCTACGGTCGAGGTGTCGCGATACGGCAAACTGCCCGAAATCCATCACATTTTCAAGGAGGACCCCAAGAACCCACCGATTGCTGTTACTCTTGGTTTTCTGGCTATGACCCTGGCTGCTCTTCCGATCCTCGCGGGTGTGGTGAGTGCTAGTCAATCAATTTCCCCTGGTCGGATTGACGCTAATTTGATTCAGTGGTTCTTTCTTGGCGTCAACCTCAACCATCTTTCTACCGCACTCAAGTCCGCGCCCGTTCCTCACGTTGTCTTCCTCGGATCGTTGGTCTCGATCGAAGGAATCTTCTTCCTGTACTATACCTCTTGGAACATATTCCAAATGCTTCCTGCTGTTGCTGCAGTTGGCGCCGTTGCGTTTGTCAGTGGCAGTCGCGCACTGGGTGAGGTTCAGGGACGACGACTTGCTGGTCTTAGGTAGATAGTATCTACTGGTCTAGTGTTCGACATTTTCTCACCCTACATGGTATGCCATGAACCTCTACGCAATTCTGCGGGTTAACCTTTTAGCCTTTTAGCGAATGTAAAAGCATTTTCATGAATATATTATATGCTCAATCATAGTGTAGTCTTAGCAACCCTAACAAAACAAGCCTGACGTCACCCGAGGCTTTCCAAATCGGGCTAGTCTTATTGGCGGGTCGCCGCTGAAGATTATCTCCGGCTCTAACAACTGCATCGATTCCTACTCTCGCTCCCAAGCAGTCATATACAACTATCTAATTGTCCTACATATTCACAATGGGCTCAGCATCATCAAAGCCGGCCAGGTCGGCAGCAAATGCAGTCTCAAAACGCCAGTATCCCAAGCAACCAACCGCCCCTCCGACAGCCGCTCCGAGCGCAGCAGCAAAAGCAGCACAACCGCAACCTAGAGCACAAGCTCCTTCTCAACTTCAGAGAGAGCCTAAGCCGAATCAAGGACCTACATATCATCCGAAGGAGCGGGCATCGGGTGTGAAGTCAAGCGGTACGTGCAACTCGTACAGGGAATTAAAGCACAACTATTCCTATGCCTATATACAATTCAATTCTGAGGACCATCTAGCTAACTGATTTAACACAGCAATCGACATCGATGGCCGCGACCCCGACTTCGCCGCCTCCCTCCGCCACATCGGCCCCGTTAACCCAGCGCCCACATTCTCCCCCTCAAGCACCTTCCAACCACAACCCCGCACACAACCCGCACAAACCATCTTTCCCCAAGCATTCTCCAACCCGTCGCTCCTCGTCTTCAGCGCACGTGAAAAAATTACCAAAGCCGCAGAAAAAGAAGCAGAGCAGATCGGGAAGCCGAGTTTTGCAGGGAGGCAGTTTCTGGATGGGTTGACGATTAGGCAGGTGATTTCGATGCGGGATAGGCAGGGGCTGAGTGCGGAGGAAATTGAGGGAACGTTGAGATTGGGGAAGGGGGTTGTAGAGAGGTTAGGGAGGAGGGGGATTGTGGGGGAGATTCAGTGATCTTTGGATCTGGTGGTTTGTACGATATGTGTGGAGGTTGGATGGCATTATGTACTCTACTCTGTATACCCATGAACAGGATTGAGATTTATTGTCTCTCTGAAGGGCTGAATGCGTAGGCTGTTGGGACTGTTTGCTACACATTTTGCTCATGTACAAAGACGATGTACTCCAACTTCAAGGATATGACCATATCCCAACCATAACTTACCAAAATATCACACTGGACAATAACCTAGCCACAAATCTCCCTGGCATCCTTAATTCCGCTGATATACAAATTTCCTCTGGGCCAATTTCCTCCTAACCATCTACGGGGTTTACACTTTTGTCGATGTCAGTATTCCCATTGCCCTGGGGAAAAGCCACTGATTCCAGCAGGGCGTAATCTTCGTGGTTCCCGATAGACCTACCAAACTCGTCTCGTTCCTTCTTATGGATATAAATTCCTGCTCAGTTCCGTGCTTAAAAACATTCAATAAACTGCCGTTTCTCAAATGACCACCAAAGGTCTCCTCTCGAGCACCTGCACATAAAAAGCGGCAAAGTACTCGCAGTATGCATATACGGAAAGCCTGACGTCCTAGGGAGGTTCCTGCTTTTCAACCCCCTTCATCTGATTACAATACAAGAAACCCCGAGATCTGGAGTGCCTCAAATCCTCGTCTCCGAGCATATACCTTAGGTCGTGGTGGAAGACGTCGCTCGCCAGAATTCCACCATGTGCGAATCCCAATTCCAAGATGTACTGCGAGGCAGTGATTCTGTTGCTTTGTCGAGATTCGGACACGGATTACGGGCTACTTTGGATTGCGATGATGCCCTATATTTTGGAATTCCTGGGTGATGGATCGGGGCTTTTTGCTGAAAAAGATTGGGAGGAGTTTGGGGGTTTTTATCATACAATAAAAGTGAGAGATCGAAGGATGTTGGTGATCTTGGGGGGGATGCGTGGTGAATTATTTCGGAGGGAGTATCTTCCTAGTGTAGAGTGTTTGACTATTGTTATGAATTGACACTACTTTGAGAGTGACCGTGTTCTACCTATCTCTTTAAGACCTGTTATGACCCTCATTTCCAACCTGTGACTTACTATTCAGATGTTGACGGCAGTACACACTGCCTCTCCGGGCGTTAGAAAGAAAAGTACACTGCGCTGCTACATAAACCATAAGAGACGGGAAACGGACATGACCAGGTCCGATCCAACCGACACCGAGATATAGGTCATCTAAGCAATCCATGGCAGATTTAGAAATTCCAAAAGCCTAACAATCCATCTTCCTGTTATCTACTAGATTATTAGTAGACATAGTTTACCGAGGAGTTTACCCCATTCATTCTCACAGCACAAGTTAGCCATGAGCATCCGGAACTATTCACCTCTGGCAGTCGACTAGTTGTCGATTCAAAGCAGATACTGATATGATACTGCTCCGATTACAGGGAATCAGGGCTGTTCTTGATATTCTACCAAGTACGCCTCGAAGGCAGGGAAAGTGGAAAGATGCGTGTGAGACTTTTTCTTTAGCAAACCGTACACTAATGATCTCCAGTTCTCGTTATCTTCCCAGTGGCAGCACAGTTCATGTTGAGTGTCTACGAGCGACGCGTACACGCATCGGAAGTCGACCTAGTTGACTATAATTAAGTATTCACGTATTTGATCCCGCGAAGGCAATTAGTATGCATGGTGCAATGAGCGCCAGACCCCCGGCAGAAGACCCTACATTTAGGGGATATATTATGTCTTCGCAAACTGTCTTTCCTTAGTGCCACTCTTTTCAAGAATCGTGCCGTCCATGTCTGTGGCTATCTGGCAATCCTCCATCAGCGCCACTTTAATACCTGATGACAGCATTGACAACGCTAAAACAAAGATAAGTGCAATGGCCAAAGGCAAACCCTGGAAAGAACATTCTTTGTGTGGAGATATCCGCTACTCCATTTAGCATATCACACAATCGGTACAGCAAGGCACAGCTTTCAGGCTAGTAGCACTGGTGAGAGAAATATGGATTGCAACCATCGGATCAGAGTCCGTTGAAGCCCGGAATAAGAGAGAAGCAATAAGGGTGGTCACAGGCATATCAACCAGATAGCGCAATTAAGTATGTTTCGCTCCTCAAGCCCGATTGATAAAAATTTAACAGCAATCAGACGCTGAGAGCGAGGTTCAATGCTATTTGGTCTTAATAGAGAGAACATGCGAGTGATTGAAGATGCCTCAAGTTTAGTCACCATACCTCTCTTGTTCCCCGCGAGGTGTTTGCTTCGACACTACAGTCCGTTAGGCATTCACGAATATCGGATTACGTGACTGATATAAGATATGGCAATTAGTGCTACTACAAGACCTGAGGCTATATCCATTGGTTGATGGATACTGTCGTCAAGCAAGACGGAAAAAATAAAAAAAATAAAAAAAAACGCCAGCGCCCAAAAGAAAAGGTACATTCGCAGTTATCATCTGAATGGCGTGTACCACCGTCGAAAGGGGTGCAAATATTTCCACCCTTCCATCCACCTGAAGAGAAGGGAAGAAATACACTTATTATTGATAAAAACTTGAACCCTGGAGGCAAGTGTAAGTGCTCCTACACTGCTGCCATACTAGAACGTAAACCGACCCTATACAAAAACCCTTAGAGAGAGAGAGAGAGAGAGAGAGTAGTAACGTTGTGTAGTATGCCCAGAAACAGAACTTACTACAGCTTTCTATGTCCTATCATCGCGCACACACCAGATGTGTAAAAGAAAGGTTTAACCTTTCATGTACAGGTTACCAGTTGCTAATAGCATGGGTTAGGCTGTGTCGAGACAATCCGTGATCGGGATCGTCACGGAAAGAGATAAGAAAGTGGTTAGCAAGGCATTTCTTTCGAGCAAAGGAAAAGAATTAAGTTAAAGGGAATACTGCTCGGTCGAAAACTGGCAGAGGAGCTGGATAGTGAATACTATAACATTGAGGGTGCAGACTAGACGGTAGACTTGAGTTCTTCTGGTATCTTGTTGCGGTGAGTCGTAATGAGACATCTGTTTAGGATATCGAATTACCATAAGATTTTTCATGAACAACACATGAAAGCATATGACAGATCCGATGCATCAAGTGCCCTACGAGTCTGACATTATTTCCGCCCGGTTATCCTCAATGTCCTAACTGATCAGCCTTGCCAATAGTTCTGCCTGCTTATCAGCACCTTCGTCGACAATGGGATAGCGTCCAACGCAAACGTAGCAACTAGAAACTAGAGAATATGCCTCGGCTGCTGCGCACGAAAGTCTTGTCGATGATCTGCTGCATCACTCGCTTGCCTTGTGTAGCTGGGGTGACCAATGCCGGGGCGGTTCTTTCTGTGCGATGCTGGACAAGGCAGAGATTGATGGCTTTGTCGTTCGATGACGACTGCACTCCCTGTAACTGGGCAAATGGAAAGGAATGCTTACTTCGTAACACCCTGCTTTGACTGGGGAGTCGAATCAACGTCTGTTGCATCTCCGCGACTCGGTCGGCGCTTATTCCTGTGTTATAAGAGGACTATGTAGTACATTTTGCGAGTGATACTGTACTGTATGATGTTGGTATTCAAAAAGCATAACGTTCTGACTAATAATGGAGTAAAAACCACACGGCCGCTGTCAATCGATGCAGGGTCTGCCACGCTGTACTCGAATACGAGGGTCTGCCGGGGTCAGTGCTAGCAGTGGACAAGGCCTGGAGCAGGGTCCACTTTGTACGGACTACTCTGTAGATACACTGCTCTCACTTCAAATCGTAGAGTACTTGCACAGAGTAGGGACTAGGGAGTAGGAAATACTATGGGCATAAATATTGAGACATCACACCATACTTGTACATTAAGATAAGCACTCAACTACTGCATCGGTAATACTCCGTCAACCCCGACGGAAAACTCCGTCAGCCGAGACAATGTCGCAGAAAGCCAAGAATAAACCGAGGATGGGCAGAGGTTGTTGGAATGTGACAGGAACGTGGTTAGCGAACATCCCGGCAGTGCTCGTATTCTTGGTTCTTCGTATTTGTACAAGTACAAGTACAGCAGTACTCCGGAGTAGAAGAACGACCGCACATACCCAAAAAGGCAATTCGGCCAGAGAACGATGTCATGATTGGTCCGAGCGAGTTATTTCTGGTGCCTGTTCTTGGCGTACCCCATAATTGAGACACAAATAAGAATAGATGAATGGAGTGAATACATATTCTTGTATTGACCGCAGCATTGTACTCTTTATACAGACATTGCTCTCCTGACAGTGTTCTGTACTCTGTACTCTACTCGACCACATACTCTCTAGAGATCGATCGACGGCGATCCGGGCAACGGAAACGAACCCGTGATCGTCATTCTTGTTGGTCCGAAATTACGAATTGAAGGCGTGACGCACGTAAGCATCCCTTATATGTACAGAGTATGTACTCTGTAAACAACAAGCATACCTGTACGGTAATAAGCATAATCCTCCGCATAACTGTATGTATCGTCCCTGAGACCCTTTTTTTAGCGTGCCCCAGCTGAGTCAGATGTCGCGTGAGAGATTCCTATTTAGGGATTACTTGCGTGTTGATTGGCGGATAAGATCTCCAGACACACAGTACACAGTGCATAGTAGAATCAGGGCAAGAATGCAGAAAACGAAGAAATAGGATATAGAATGATAGGATAATAGAATAGATACCTATGCACAGTGAGTAGGAGACAGCACAATACAAGTCCAGAGGATGGAATTGTGTAGATCATGTAAATACATGTACACAAGGCAATGCAGATCAAAGGGTCTGGTAAGGCTGTGTTGGTTCGTATTGTCACACATTACGTCTCCTTCTGACAGATCGAGCCGCACTCTTCCTTTCATCCTCTCTTCTTTTATTCTCTTCTTCTCTTTCTTCACTGTCTTCTCCCTCTCTCTCTTTCCTCCACACTCGTCCCCAATCTAAGATGATCCCGTCATGCTCCGCAAGTACCTGCCGTCCGTTCCTCCGCTACTCTTTGCCCTCGTCTTCGTGAACGTCCTCTCCTCCAAATCACTACATCTCTTACAACATGTCCAGTCACTTCCGGTACTATACTTGGTGCTCTATTCACCAACCCTGATCCTCTGGGATCTGTTTGTTATCTTCGTCTCTCGCGTGCTGCTGGTCTGGCCCGAGACTCGACTACGATGGATTCCATTTCTCTTTGGCGGCTTTATTGCGTACGTCGCCCTTCCTCGGTGCCCGAGCTACTCAAGATGCTAATAGCTTAGACTCCTCACGTGGTTTGCAGCAGCCGTCCAATTCGGCTTCTTCTTCGAAACCGGTGCCGAGGTGGAGTGGTCCGCGACCGATAGCTTTGTCCGGGATCCCGCGGCCATGAAGATTCTCATGAGTGGTATTTCCAGCGTCACTGCCGCCGGTACCGTCCTCTTCCTTGCGTCGTTTGTTTTGAGCGGCCGATTGTACTCAATCACCGGCCGCTGGTTCGATTCACTGCGGGACCGGTGCTGGCAGGGCGTGAGAGAACCAAAGACCCTGCTTCCATTTGCTAAATCTCCAGCCGGTCGACGATGCGCGTTCCAATACCTCCTGCCTCTCACGGCTCTCAGTGTCTCGTTGATATTCCTCGAAGCAACTCGTCCCTCCATTCCGTATGATCACCTCGCGCGAGCTCTGCCGTTGACCATGTTGGATGCTTTTCACAGACCTGTGCAGTTCATGGAAGGCTGCCGTCCGCCACCCCTTCCCTTTCCTCTGCCACCACACAGGAAAGGAGGACCACCACCACCACCTCATCATCATCACCGTCCCTTTGACTGGGCGTTTGGGAAAGGACCTCCTCCGTTTCCTCCGCCGCCTCCGCCTCCACCACCGTTGGGTGATTTTGGTGTCCAGCCTTCGTGGTTACCAGAGGATCCTCCGCCGGGTTTCAGCCGTTGGCAACCAGCACGGATGCGCGAGGAGGAACATGGCGACCAGCCACTTAAGTGCCCCAGTGGACCTTTCCAATACTACAACCCCAGATCCGACCCTCTGAAGATTTCCAACTTTGACGATGACATCATGGAACCCTTGCAACAGGTCTTCAGGGACAACCCAGTCGAAATCAACCACGTGGTTCTATTGACCCTGGAGAGTGGTCGAAAGGAAGTCTTCCCTATGCAGTCCGGAACACCCATGTACGATTACCTCGTGGAATCACATGAGGAGAAGGAACGGAAAGATGCAATCGATAAGCTCTCAAAGATGACTCCGGTCGCGCAGATGCTCACAGGTGAATACGCGTTGAACAGCGAAGGGAAAGTCAACGACTTTAGCAACCACAAGTGGCATGATAGGTCAGAACCGGGCATGGGTGGTCTCAACGTCAAGGGTGGGTTGACTGCGAGTTCGTTGACTCTGAAGAGTATCTTGGGTAGTCACTGCGGTGTGAGCCCGCTTCCGGTCGATTTATTGGAAGAAATCAACCTAGAGTTCTACCAACCCTGTCTTCCGCAAATCTTTGAGCTCTTCAACCGACACAAGTCAAACGAGTCCGAATCAAAGGATGGCGGATTCCAGGGAGACCAATGGAAGTCTGTTTATGTGCAGTCTAGCACGGTTTCATACGATAGACAGGACAAGTTGAACGAGGCCATGGGCTTCAACTATTCGATTTCCAGGGAGTCCTTAAGAGATCCTGATTCAAAGCATTGGCCACCGGCGACAAGCGAAATCAATTACTTTGGGTATGTTTTTCTTGCCTTATCTCCGTCCATTTGTCTAATAATGATTTAGATATGCGGAATCCGAAACCAGGCCGTATCTCCGGGATTTGATCTTCGACGCTGCTGAGAACAACACTCGTCTGTTCCTGTCGCACCTGACTAGTTCAACTCATCATCCATGGCGCACGCCGAAATCCTTCCACACCGAACAGTACACTGGAGACCAAGGCAACGTTGATCATGACTCGATGAACGACTATTTGAATACCGTTCGTTATGTGGATGACTGGTTGGGTGAGATTCTGGGTCTGTTGGATGAAGCTGGAATCGCAAATTCCACCCTGGTGGTGATTATTGGTGATCAGTATGTCTTTTCTTTTACCCTGCTCGTGACTCAAGCTAATCGATTACAGCGGACAAGCCTTTTCGGAAGATGCCAAGGTCACTGGTACCTTTGAAAACGGCCATATCAGCAATTTCCATGTGCCGATTGTGTTCCGACACCCTCACCTGCCTCACGTTGACATTTCCGCCAACGCGACATCTCTTGCCATTCTCCCCACGATCTTGGATCTCCTCGTTCAAAGCCAGTCTCTGAATGAAAAGGATTCCGCAATTGCATCGTCCCTATTCCCTGAATACCAAGGTCAATCACTACTCCGGCCATTCCATAACGAGCGCCCCGACGACGGCCTAGCCGTATGGAATTTCGCTCTGATCAACGGTGGAGGCTCTATTCTAGCTATCACATCCGCAAACACACTGTATCGTTTGATTCTACCATTAAAAGAAGAATTCAACTACCGATTCACACATCTCGGAAAAGACCCCGGGGAGCTCAAGCCACTAGAAGGATGGTCCATGCCACGGTTAGTGGATCGAGTGCGCAAGGACCATGGTGAAGAGGCCGCAACCTGGCTTATGGATGCGGAGAGAGTTGGTCGCTGGTGGGTTGCTGAGCAAAAGCGAATTTGGGATTATCGCGGGGAGTAATGGGCTTTTTTGGTGGTTCTTTTTGGGTTCTTTTTGGGTTCTTTTTGGGTTCTTTTTGGGTTCTTTTGGGTTCTTTTGGGTTTATTTGGTTTTGGGCTTTTTCAAACTGGGTGGTGTACAGTAATATCATGCATTTACGGCGTTGTATAGAGATGAATAATGAATCTTTGGCGATGACTCTTGGTCCGTGCAAGTAACTAGTCATAGTAGCGAAAGTCGACTGACCTCGTGTTCAACCTAAATCGATACAAATGCATGGATGTCATATCATGTGCATTGTCTAGCCAACCTTGCCTTGTACAACACAAGGATTATACACCATATTAACCAACTAACCAGAGAAGTACAGGGTACAGAGTGCACAAGAACAAATCAACCTCTACCATGCCGCATGCCCCCCATCAACCCTCAAATCACTTCCCGTCATAAACCCACTAGCCTCACTCAACAAAAACACAGCAGCCCCACGATACTCCTCGGGCCTCGACAACCGTCCCAACATATTCTGTCTTGGCCACTCAGTTGCTCTCTCGGGATACTCTTCAAACAAACCGGTCACCATGGATGTCAGTATGTACCCGGGGGACAGCGAGTTAACCCGGATATTGTACGGACCCCATTCCATCGCTAGATTGCGGGTTAGTTGCAGCACGGCAGCTTTGCTGGCGTTGTAGGCTGGGCAGGGCAGGCCCTTTTTATCGCCTTGTTAGCGGAATAATCTTGTAAGGAGAGAGAGAGGGATGTGTAGTGCATGCTTACCCTGTTCGCCACGGTCCCACTCATACTCGCAATCAACACAATACTCCCACTCCTCCCGAAGCGAACCATCTGCCTCGCCACCGCCTGTGCAGTCATAAACACCCCCGTCACATTGATCTCCAGCAACCGGTTCGCGTCGGCGGCCGTGTAATCCAGCGCGGGGGTTTCCTGCTGCACACCGGCCGCGGCAATAAGCCCATCAAGTCGGCCGTGCGTTGTTGCTATGTCCTCGATTACGGTGTTGAGGGATGTCGTGTCACGCACGTCGATGCGACGGTAGTGCAGGGTCGTAGAGAGGGCGGTTTTGGCGCGGTTCTGCACTTTGTAGAAATGCGGGTCCTGTTTTACATCACCCGATTAGAACCTGGTTAGATAAAGTTACGCAGACTTGGATCTGTGCTGGGAAGAAAGGGAGGAGTACAGGTTCTTCTAGACGATCGAGGGCGTAGACGGTGGCGCCGGCTTCGAGGAGGGCTTCTGCTTGAGTGAGGCCTAGGCCGCGGGCTGCGCCGGAGACGCAGATGATTTTGCCGGCGAGATTAAATTCTGGTAGGCGGGTTTCTGTGCCGAGGGTTATATTCTTAGGGTTGGGTTGGGGTTGAGGTTGAGTTTGGGCTGGAAGGGTTTCGGAGGTGGTGGAAAAGGTCATTGTTGTAAGTATGGTGTAGGTGTAGACTCTTGTTAATTAAGACTGAAGGCTCGTTTGCTTGTATATCTAGACTGGGGTGTAAGATACACTCAAGAGGAGTGACTCCTTATGTACTGCCTCCCAACTTACGATACCTACTCCCGGTATCCCATCTGGTGACATCCATCGAAGACTTATGCTCACATGAACATCCCAAACCAGACACCCGTCAGCGAGGGAAAGGAAATAATTGTACACATATGAACCCTTTCCTTGTATACGGCGGTCCAGCCAGGTCCATAGGCCAAAATGTCGCTCAAGTTTGTGCAGGACATAGTGACAGACAGACAGGGTTGGAAAAGCCATATACATATATGTATGCATAAAGATCTGGATGCCTCCATGCACAGCACTGCAGCTCGTGAATATAAACTCGAAGACCTATAATAGCAAATTGAACTTTTACACTATAATATAGCCAGGAAACGGTCTTTAGGCATGCCGCCGGATATCTGAATTAGGGAAACCGGGGTCACGGGATGGTTGCTTTGATGTTGAACCTTGTTGTTCTGGAAGATTCACGTGGAGCTTACTGTGTGGTTTTGATCGGCTATGCTATAATTAGGTTGTTTTTATATTTGAATTTGGCTGGAGATGATGATTACTGTGCTGTGCATAGTCTGGGATCTGAGGTTTGAGGTAGTTGGTCATGTGAACTGGTTATTGGATTCCGGATCATCCGTAGACGGAATTTGTAAATGGAGTTGACTTGGTTAATTCCTAGGTTTTACGATGGAGGAAAAAGTTATGTGAAATATTGTATTGCTATCAAATTGGCAATTGTACAAGATGATAAAGAAAACCCCAATCCAAACTCCAAACCCACAAAACAAACCAAATCAAGGTCTAAAAACAAACTGTACACATTTAGGTATTATCCATATCATCCAATCAATCAATTCACACGGACTAGCACCTCAGAGACTGGCTGGGTCAGTCGGCTGGACATCCCTCTTGTTCTTGCTCATGCTCTTGTTCTTGCACACCCGGCCGGAAGGCGTGGCGCTGGCGCTGGGCGTAGAAGTGGTTTTGGGGGGCTGGGTGGTTTTCGGGGGTTGAGTGGTTTTGCTGGGAGCTGGGTTTGCATTTGAGGGTTTGGTGCTGGGCTTGTTGTCCTTGTTGTCCTTGTTGTCCTTGTTGTCCTTGTTGCTGTGGCTGTTGTGGCTGCTGTGACTGCCGCTGCCGCCGTGGTTCCTGTTCCTGCGCTTGTCGATGCTGCGGGCTTCGACAATGTTGTCATTGTCTTCGTCCTCGCCGGCCTCATTGGCCTCATCAGCATCGGCCCCATCATCTTCAGCATCACGGGTGGCATTCCGGTGCTCATCCGTCTCGTCGTCGTCAGTCTCCTCCACACCAGCCTCGTCATCATCGTCTTCAACATCCCGAGCAGCGATGGCCTCATCGCTCTGCTTCTCCTCGTCGACATCTTCGGCATCAATCACATCACGACCCTGTATCACATCGGTCTTATAATTTTGTCCCAGAGTGCCAACGGTGGGAACAGCGGAGAAGTCAACGAGGCTAGTTCCCTGGGGGGCAGGGGCTGCCCGTGCATTGATTGTATTGCATTCGTTACTAGTGCCTGTGGTTTGTTAGTAGATAGTTTAATAGTATAGAGAAGGGGGTCAAGTACATGATTTGATGCCCTGGTTGAGGCCTGGCTCGAGGGGAGCGCCGAGGGCGATGCTGGCGATGAGGAGCTGGATGGTTGTGCAGCGCATGATGATGGTTATAGATTGTTAGGTAGATTGGTTGGTTGATTGATTGATTGTCTGTTTGATTGTGATGATGGTTCAAATGAGCAGGATAAACGGCCATATTTATGTATTCTGACTACCATGATTCAACAAGAAACCTACAGAATACGCCTTGGTCAAGCATTCTGCCTCATCAACGTTGACCTGGCTGGTTCGATAAGGTGCACTACAACCGCTGTCAACCTGGCCCCAACTGGATTTTAGGGACGGTCATCGGGGGCGATATGCCTTGCGGTGGGGCGGGCTATGGTGACGATCGCGGGAAGTGGGCTTTCTATTCCGGGGATGCTGATAGAGCTGGCAATGTACCCAGGTGTATGTACCTGAGCTATGCTCCCTTTCCATTGTTAGTATTACCCGAAGTGAGATATATGTTGTGTGTTATAATGCCTGGCACGGTGCCTGGTTTCGTGTCCGAGGCCGATTGCGGGAGGTTGCACGCTATGCTCGATTTGGCCAATAATATCCCGTATTCTATACTTTAAGAATTTAGTCAAGTGCTATGTACTTCTTAGGAAGGTCAGATAATCTTAGATCCAATGCCTTCTCTCTACGAGTTGCTGAGGCATTGCGGAATCGGCATCATCCTTGGATCACCCCCGGTATACAGGGTATAACGGGCATAACATACACAACATGGGGCCAAATGCTGATGGACAAAATAGCATTGTATCTTAGTGGCTTGCGTGGCATAGGAGCAATGGTGGAGTGTAGCCCTGGGTCTGTCCTGCTTACGCTACTTGTTGTGATACCATGCAGTCAGCAATTGTGGTTGTTTTATTGCGGGTGAATGGAATACGCATCAGAGAGTACGGCTAGACACGCCTGTGGGCTTGTATTGAAACATGCTGGTTATGCTTGTTAGAACAGTGTATACTTATTGTGTTGTGACAGTCCGCTAAATATATATCCGAGCGTGCACACCACATACACATAGTAAGACGTGAGTGCATTTAACCGTGTCAAAGGCCATATTTGGCGGCGAGCCAAGAATATATATTCAAATAGGGCACTGGGACGTATCCAATAGTCACTGATAGATCATAGCAACCCCCAGCGGTACCTGATACGCGACGTGGGCATGCCTCAGGCAATGAACCATGTGGGTATCAGGCAATTCGTACTCGCACCGTCGGACAGCCATTGCCGGATATATTACCCCATATGCTATTGACATGCCATTGGAATATTGGGCCAACTGAAACGGTCAAAATTCTGGTGCCTAACTGCAGTCAGCTGTAGCCATGGACAGAATTTTCAATTGTACGAGTACGGTGTGTCCAGGGTGTGCATATGGAGCATATGGAGAAATACGGTGCATAGACGTGGCAGTGCATATGTACAGGTATTCCGAAGTCCTGCTGGCACCCAGTGTACAGATGCAATCGTACTCTATCCTACTGTTCAGTGTAGAAGCAAACAAAGCAATTCAAATGAATTCTCTATGCCTTTACTCCATATGCCTTTTATCCCTTTATATACAATTTCGATCGGCAGGGTTATCCTGATACGGCAATCGGAAACACCGGAGTTGAGAATCCGTGCTGACATCATGGATCCCATGCTCCTGAATTTCAGCGCGCGTGCTGATTGGCTAAAGTTGAAATCAACAGGAACCGTAGCCAATCACATGTGTTTCCAGCCTCGGTCACTCTGCAGCAGCTGAATAAAACGGGGAGCCTCAGAAACCAGGCAGGATCAGGTCCTCATTTTCTGGCGACAGATACAAATACAACATACCCGCATCACCCCGTTGCTTGAATGATCATCGGTTTCTAGACTACGGAGTACTTGACGTCGAGACTGTGGAGACCATCCTTCTACTGTCACCATGAAGTCCACCTCCGTGGTGCTTGCTCTGGCTGCCGCCCTGCCCAGTATGTCTGACCGTCAACTGCTTGGTTGCACAATGCTAACTGTGCAGGCGTAACGGCTGCTCCCGAGCCCGCGGTTGCTCAGGATTTCAGAATCTCCAGCCACGTTCGTCGGTCGCTGCCCAACGCCCCCGATGGCTATGTACCCTCGTCCGTGGAATGCCCGTCCAGCCGTCCGACGGTGCGCATTGCAGAGAAAATATCCAAGAATGAATCCTCGTGGTTAGATACCCGCCGTGACAAGGCTACCGCGGCCTTGAAGGATTTCTTCGGTCACGTTTCGATCGACAACTTCGATGCTGCTGCGTACATCGACCGGGTTAAGAGCAACTCGTCAAATGTGCCTAACATCGGTATTGCGGTGTCTGGTGGTGGTTACCGTGCTATGCTGAACGGTGCCGGTGCTATCAAGGCGTTTGATAGCCGGACGGACAACTCTACTGCCTCGGGGCAGTTGGGTGGACTGCTGCAGTCGTCGACCTACTTTGCTGGTCTTAGTGGTGGTGGCTGGTTGGTTGGCTCTATCTACATCAACAACTTTACCAGTGTTTCGGATCTGCAGACGCACGAGGATGGTGCTGTCTGGCAGCTTGAAAACTCCATTCTGGAGGGCCCTGACACCGGCGGTATTCAGCTTTTCGACTCGGTTGGCTACTGGAAAGACATCCATGATGAAGTCTCGGATAAGTCGGATGCTGGCTTCCCGACTTCGATTACAGACTACTGGTATGTACGCTTCCTTGGTTTCCATTTCTAAACGCTAACGAACTAGGGGCCGTGCTTTGTCCTACCAGTTTGTCAACGATACCAAAGGAGGCCCCAGCCAGACTTGGTCGTCCATCGCTTTGACTGATGACTTCCAGGATGGCAACATGCCTTTGCCCATCCTGGTGGCTGATGGTCGTAACCCGGGCGAGTTGCTCGTCAGCAGCAACGCAACCGTGTTTGAAATTAACCCCTGGGAATTCGGTTCCTTTGACCCCACTGTCTTTGGTTTCGTCCCCACCGAGTACCTGGGATCTCGTTTCGTGGGTGGAAGCTTGCCCGACAACGAGACCTGCGTTCGCGGTTTCGACAATGGCGGCTTCATCATGGGTACCTCGTCCAGTTTGTTCAACCAGTTCTTCCTGAATGTCAACAGCACTGCGTTGCCCGACTGGCTCAAGAGTATCTTCACCAACATCCTTGGTGACATTGGTGAGGACTCTGACGATATCGCCGTCTACTCCCCGAACCCCTTCTATGGATGGCGCAACAACTCCTCCCCGTACTCCGGCTACAAGGAGCTCGACATTGTGGACGGTGGAGAGGATCTCCAGAACATCCCTCTGCACCCGCTGATCCAGCCTGAGCGCCACGTCGATGTCATCTTCGCTGTCGACTCCTCTGCTGACACGGAATACTCGTGGCCCAACGGTACCGCGCTCGTTGCCACCTATGAGCGTACCCAGAACTCCACCGGTATCGCCAACGGCACTGCCTTCCCGGCCATTCCAGACACCAACACCTTCATCAACAAGGGCTTCAACCAGCGACCCACTTTCTTTGGCTGCAACGCCACCAACGCTACCAGCAGCTCTGGCGATGTCGCTCCCTTGATCGTCTACCTCCCCAATGCACCCTACGTCCTCTACTCCAACGTCTCCACCTTCGAGTACCCCTCGTACAACGACACCTACCGTGACCTCCTCATCCTCAACGGCCAGGACATCGTGACGCAGGGTAACAGCACCGTGGACTCGAACTGGTCGACCTGCGTGGGCTGTGCTATTTTGAGCCGCTCTTTGGAACGCACAAACACCGACATTCCCCAGGCCTGCACCCAGTGCTTCCAGGACTATTGCTGGGATGGTAGCCTCAACAGCACTGCCCCAGCTTCGTATGAGCCGACCACCGAATTTAAGGAGGTTAGCGCCGACAAGAGCGCTGCGTCGATTGCGATGCCTACGTTGTTCTCGGTGGTGGTGTCTGCTGGCGCTGCTTTGTTGTTGATGTAGGCTTGTAGCCCCGATCTTCTTTTCACTTCTACTTTTGAATTTTGGATTTTGACACTAGTTGGATAATACCATTTTGCTCGTTATGAGAGGATATAAACCAATAAATTGAATTGCTTGGAATAAACGATGTACCGTTGCATTTTTGTACGATCGTAGACGCACGTGACCATCACCACAGCAACGAAGCTGACCCGCGGCTCCGCCTCGCCCGCTGACCTCCACGACTATCATCCAATCCACGCCATTTCTTTGTGCGCCGATTTTTGTCTCTAGAGACTCATACTAACCAACAGATACCTTCAGCACGCGTCCTATACCCGATATACCCATATTCTGCGAGCCTGACGCGCCCACTATGACCACGGCGATTTGTCAACAATAGATTCGACTGTTTGTTGCTCCCCCACCGCAGCACGACGCGCTGAATCCACGCCCGAGACGAATGGAATCGGCAGGACCTGATATCATATATACGACAAACGGCTAGGAAATAAAAACGATAACAAGAAAATGGCTCGCGCGGCAGTCATCCCCCAATCACCCCCTAAACGGGGTCGTCCCGCGTCCACCAGCACAGCGAGAGGTCGTACCTCTGTTGCAACAGCGACCACGGCAGCAGCTAGAGCGAAAGTGAGACCTGCGCCCGCGAAACCTGCGACCAAGAAGACTGCGCGTGCTGATACGGATGACGACGACGATGAAATCGCGGCTGATAAGGAAAAGAAAACTACTGCTGGAGGGAGGGCGAAGACTGCGACAACATCATCGACAATGACAACGTCCACAGGCCGTGGACGGAAACCGGCTGTTAGAACTGTAAAACCGCAAGAAGAGAGCGATGACGATGATGAACTTGCGCAGATGGATTTTCCGAAGAAGCGCGTTGGTCGGCCGAAAAAGGAGATTACTACTACTGCAAAACCAGCAGAGCCGGCGGCTAGGCCGAGAGGGCGGCCGAAGGGTACTTCGAATGCTAAGACGACGACGACGGCACGGGCGCGCAGGACGGAAGACGAATTGAAGCCTAGGGATATTGCGATCACATCTGCGGCTTTGAGGTCGAATATTCTAAAGGGACCCGCGAAGAAGAAAACGGTTACGTTCCAAGACGTGACTGATTCAGAGGAGGAAGAGGAAGAGGCTGCTCCGGCTCCTAGACGGCGAAGGGCAACCCCTGCTAAGCGCGGTATGAGTGCTAAGCCTGCTCGCAAACCTGCTGCTACCGGCACGGCGACTGGTCGGGTTCGCAAACCCGCTGCGAAGGCAACCACGAAGCCGAAGCCTCTTTCGCCGAAGAAGGCGAATCAAGTCGCCAAGTCGATTTCATCGTATGTTAGCTCGGATGGCGAGGATGATGAGCTTGCTGGCGGAAAGGACCAGATTAAATTACAGGTCGACTCGCCCACGAAACACGGATCAGAAAAGACCGGACTTAGCTCCCCGGTCAAGCGCATTAACCTTACTCCTCGTCATAAGTCTGTTGATGAGAATGGGAAGCCTGTTCGCCGGTCTATCGATTTCAACGATGTTATCAGCATGTCCAGTCCTACTCGGGAACCCTCCCCTTCACCTTTCCATTATACATTGCGAGAAACGCCCAGGAGAGTTGGTCTCGCCGTCCCAGAGGAACACACCGGGCCAATTTCTCAGCCCGACTTTGGCCGCTCCCAGAACTCCCCGCTCAAGGCATCTCCCAAGAAAGGCCTCCTAGAAACACCTAGAGGAGGCAGCGGCTTCGCCTTTAACAACGACATGAAAACATCCTTCCAACCAAACTTCACTCCCGGCCAAAACTCCCCCCTCAAAGCCTCTCCTAAGAAGGGTCACTTCAATGAAACTCCCAAAACCAGCAGCATGGCCCCTTGGGATGGCACCAAGCCACTATCTCAGCCAAACTTCACACCTGGACAGAACTCGCCGCTCAAGGCCTCTGCGAGGAAGGGGAAGCTGGCTGCTTCGTTTTCGGAGAGCGTGATGAAGGCATCATCGACGCCGTCATTCAATGCAAGGATTTCGCTGCTACAGAGTCCCGCGAAGAGAGTTGCTTCTCCATTTAAGGGGTTTACGCCGAAGAGGTCTTCGCTGTTTGCGCCGAGGGAGGTTGAGAGTACTACGCCCTGTGAAGAGGTTGAGCACGAAGGCCACAATGTGCAGGCGGCCGCGCCGCAGATGGAGGAGCCTCTTAGGCTTGGAGAATTGAATGAGGGTGTGCATAAGAACCAAGAGCAGGATGAGTCTGCGGATGAGTCTGCGGATGAGTCGGGTGATGAATATGATCATGATGTAAATGATCATGACTCTCAGGCTACCATCGAGGAAGACATGGATGATGGTCAAGAGTCCGGACATGAGGAGCAGCCTGGTGATGAACTGGCACAGGAGGCCGGTGATTACGCTCATGACCACCCTGAGCCTCAGTTGCACTTCGCGATTGATGATGAAATGGACGAAGACCAGGACCAGGACAACGAAGGACCTTCTCATGAGCCGGAGCGTGAAACTGATGAATACGTCCACGAACCCGAGATTCAACCGCCCGTCGAAGCCGATGAGGAAATGGATGAAGGCCCTGAGTTTGATGCTGAGCCCGAGACTCGTGATGACGAAGACGATGCTGCAGACTATGCCCAGGAAGACGCTAAGGCCCCGACCTACGAGGACCTCGAGCGTGAGGTTGCCGACGAACCCTCGCTGGACCTTGGTGAAGAACTCGCGGAGACTTTCACTGAGAAGTACACTGAGGATGACTACGAATATCCTGCTGCTCAATCTGAGAAGCATGACTACGACAATGCCACTGAAGTCATGAAGCACCGCCAGGAAGAGCAGAACGACGACGCAGATGAAGCTGACCAACTTGCTGAATCTGTGCTGCTAGATTTTCAGAATCTCACCGAGCAACCTGAAGAACCCGAAAAGCAAGACGATGGTTTTGTCAATGGTAGAATCGCTGCGCTGGAGACAGAGGTTGAGGCTGAGATGCGCGATGCTGATTTTGGCCCGGTATCGGACCGGGAAGAGGGCACCGAGCAAGCAATTGATAACGACGAAGCTCAGATGCGTGAGGCGGATTTTGGCCCGGTGTCAGACCAAGAAGAGGGCAGTGAGCAAGAAATTGATGACGACGAAGCTCAGATGCGCGAGGCGGACTTTGGTCCAGTGTCGGATCGGGAAGAGGGCAGTGAGGAAGAGAGTGACGATGACAAGCCAGAGGTGCCTGTTCAGCAGCATGTCCACGAAGAATCGGAAGAGGACCAGGACCAAGAAATTGACGACGAGCCAGAGGCTCCGGCCAAGCAGGATGTTCCCGGAGAACCAGAACTGCCCGCTCAGTACCATGTCCCCGAAGAACCGGAAGAGCCCGTTGCCGAGAAACATCAGGCTATTGAATCAGAACCCGGAGACCTCAATACTGAAGATGACATGGAAAGCAACGACGATTTCGAAGCAGACGATGATATCCAGGAAGTTCCCGTCCACGAAGAAGAAGACGAAGAGAGCGAAGAGGAAATCGATGATGAGGAGGATTGGGACGTCGACGGGACTACTCTGGTTGTTTTTGATGAGGAGCAGATGTACATGGAGGGTGCGAGGCCTTCGCCTCGTCGTATGTCGCCTCGCAGGTTTTCTCCCCAGCGGTTTTCTCCTCAACGGCCTTCACCCCGCCGTGTTTCACCCCGCCGTGCCTCTCCTCGTCGTGCCTCGCTTCGTGCTCCGCCTCGCCGTCTCTCGCGCCAAAGCATTCAAGTCGAGCGTGAACCCAGTCATGAGCCCAGTTCTGAGCATGTCGAAGCTCCTTCTCCGACTCCTGCTCCAGTTGTCGACAATCAGTACCGTGATGACGCGGATGAAATGGACACCGACGAAGACCCATCCAACGTTCAGGAGACTGCACACAATGAAACTAACGTTCCCACCTTAAACCCCCGTTTTAGCATCCACCGCTCAATCTTTGACAACGCCCCGCGCTTCACACCACTAGCCAACCAATTCAGCCAGTGGCAGGCCAAGGCTCCCCAAGAGCAAGAGCAAGAAGCAAGTGGATCTAGTCGCCCACGACGGGGTATTTTCTCTATTGGTGGTGCTCCTAGAAGACCTTCTTCGGGAAGGCTTTCTGTGGGTTCTGATGTTTCGTATCCTGACCTTGGACGGCTGCTTGGATCGAGGAAGTCAACAATGGGGATTGTTACTTCTCAGGAGGAGGAAGAGGATATGGAACCTGCTGTTGAGGATGAGGGAGAGGAAAAAGAGGGGGAGGAAGAGGAAGAGGAAGAGGAAGAGGAAGAGGAAGAGGAAGAGGCTGAATCAGAACTGGAACCGGTTCACGAAGCAGAGCAGGAGCCAAAACCTGAGCTGGTGCAGAAACCCGAACAAGTTCCCGAGGCAGAACCAGAGACTCTTGGAGATGATGCTGCCAAAGACGATGAACCACAACACCCTGTGACTGAGATCTACACTGACCCAGAGCCTGAGGCGGAGGCGATCGACGAACGCGGAGAAGATCTACCTTCCCAGCATGCCAGCAGTCCCGCACCCGCACCCGCACTCGCACCCGTCCACAACCAGTGGGACGATGATAAGGAGAACGAGAACGAAGACCTTCCTGCACCTGGACCAGTGACGCCTATGAAACATATCAAAGAAAAGATCAGCCCCATGCACACCGTTCACACGGTATCCAAGGTACCCCTCAAGCCCGAGGGCCATATCTCGCCGCTGAAGATGCCCCTATCTCTTAAACGGCGTCGCTCATCATCGAACGCATCGCCAACTCGTGCCTCGCCACGGCTGCGCAAATCGTCTCTTTTTGCTCCTGCTCTTGCTGCCCAGGAGGAGAGAGTGCCTGAGTTTTCGCCAAGGAAGGCGCCTAGGCTTGGGGAACATGATAGTCCTGCACGGCGAGCAAGTGAGCGCAGAGTGCGAAGTGTGGAGAGAAGACAGAGCAGGGCTAGCATTGGTAGCAAAGCACCTTCTCAATCGCCTAGTCCCGTGAAATCTCGCCGGACTAGTGGATTCAGTGCGCGCAGCGCGGACCGCTGCCGAAGCAGATCGAGCACCAAGCTTCCATCCCGCTCGCCCAGCCCCGTGAAATCACCCCGCAAGAGTATTGGTACCAACGGCGCCCTAACCGGCGCCATCGTCTACGTCGACGTACACACAACCGAAGGCGAAGATGCAAGCGGCATCTTCATCGAACTCCTGCAACAAATGGGTGCCCGCTGCGTCAAAAACTGGGCCTGGAACCCACGTGCAAGCCTCCTCCCCGAATCTGCCGCAGACCAACACAAAGACGGAAGAGTAGGCATTACGCACGTTATCTACAAGGACGGCGGCGTCCGCACACTCGAAAAAGTCCGCCATGCCGCTGGTCTCGTGAAATGCGTCGGCGTCGGCTGGGTCCTTGACTGCGAGCGCGAAAACAAATGGCTCGATGAGACCGAGTATGCTGTCGACAGCACCATGATCCCTCGTGGCGGCGCGAAGCGCCGGAAGTCTATGGAACCAAGGGCATTGAGTAACGTCAACGGAACTCTCGTCTCCTCTGCCGCTGCAGCCCGACGCAAGTCAGGTATCACACCCTCATCTAGCGAAGAACCACGCACACCAACCGCAACCCGGACAAAGAAATTCGATACCCCCTCCGCTAGGGATAGAATCTATCAAACGCCTAAGACACCGGGTACGGGGTACGGCTTCCGGTTTAATATGGATGATTATTTGGGCATGTCGCCTGCGACGCCATTTTATCTGTCGCGTGCGAAGTTGGTGCAGCAAACCTGTCCGCCGAAGCAGACGAGGCAGGGGCTTTTCGATCCCTCGGATGATGTCGGGTTGGGTATGGACGATGGGGATGTTGGGATGGGTGGTGATTCGGAGAGCTCGAGGAAATTGAAGATGAGGTTGGAGGCTGCTAGAAGGAAGAGTATGGCTGTTAAGCCGTAGGGTTGAGATGGGTTGATTTTGGATTGAGCTTCGGTTGACTAGCATTGGTTTGATCGTTCTTGAACTGTACATACATACCCTTTTGCAACTTTGTGGATATTGAAACGTTCTCTGGAGTTTTGGGATTTGGGATTTGAAATTGATTTTGGAATTGATTGACTACAATGGTCTTGCTTGGTTGTAGACCTCCCATGTTCAATCTCAGTCTAACATGCCATACTAACTCAACACAGGGATTGGTTATCTGCGCCGCAATGCAAGCAGCGTGTATGGTGAGCTCCTGAAACCTCAATTAGCTACTGATCGCAACGAAGCAGTAGCAGCCTCAATCCTTGTCTGAATGATATCGCGCCATTTCTACAGCAGTTAGCAAGTGATAGCTGGAAAAACCCACCTCAGCCCTCGAGACATTCCCATCTTGTACGCTTTTCTCGAGTTCCAGAAATACAGTCCAACCGAGCGGGGGGTGGGCGGATGGCCTATGTGGGTGTCTGTGTCCGCTTCCATATCGGGCCGGAAATGCTGCTCGAATTTTTTATACTGGTGGTTAACGCGGTGAATTTCGGATGTCTGGGTTGGATGACTCGTGGATGTCGGAGATGTACGACGTGGGCATCGAATTCAATTGCTGCGTGGTAGAGCTGGGCCACAGCCTGATTTAGAGGCTCTAGGCCGATGAAGAATCCGTCATGCCTGCCCTCAATCACATCCTGGACATCGTCGACGATCCCACGTACAACAGTCACGTATTCTGTCATATTGAACGGCAGAACCGGATCCCCAGCGTGCCGAGCAGCCATTAACCCCCAGATCTGCGCCGCACGCACATGGTACTCCCACGACGGATCCGCGAACCGGTCCATCCATTGCACCGTATCAAACGCGCTGTGCCAGTGAAACGCCGGGTCAATGGCTTTATCATGCCCAAAGCCTAAAGTAAGCATCGGAATCCCATCCCCCATGAACGACAACGCATCCCCTCCATCCCCCACCACGACAGACCTGCCCCAGGAATCCAGCACCGTCTGCCCGGCCACGCTCTGGTTGACAGAGGGTTGCTGCTGCGTCACGTCGCGCACCAATGAGGCTAGTAATGGGCTGGCCTTGGCGAAGAATTGCGATCCCATCACTGCGCCCATTATGTCGACGTACGCGACGGTGCGGTTCCTCAACCACTCCCAGTTCTGCGCAACCCACGACCCAGACCCCATAAAACCGGCCTCATGTCCATCCCAGCTAATAAAGAGAATCGTGCGTCGAGGCCGCCACCGCGCTGCACAACCGCTCCAAAGGCTCGCACTATCTCCATGAGCGCGGCCGAGTCACTACCCGGATCGCCGGCCCCGGCGGTCCAGGCGTCGCGGTAGTTGCCCAAGATTACCACTTCGTCATCTATTTCACCCTCAAGCGTTGCGATGATGTTGTAGTTTGTTGGATGGGTGTTGTTGACCTCATTGTGCATATGCACGACAATATCCTTGAGCGAAGGACCAGCTTGATACCCCACCCCGTAGATACCTAGTTGCCCACTCTCCCAGCGCGCATTTAGCTCCTGTCTGTGAGGCCCTTGGTCCTCGAGCGCAAGTAACAGTGGAACCACATCCGTGTAAGACATGGGCGATATCTCTCACCACTTGAACGCAGCTGGCTTTCCAGCTGTAATTATTCCACCACCGTGCCATCAGAGTTTGTTAAGCGCAACACTCTACAGCGGATTATCTGCAGCTTGGTGACGGCAAATACGAATCATGACCCGCACTTGCGGTTCCGTGAAGATCTCATCAACCCGCTAAACGAGCAAGCGGCTGGGGCTTTGGAAAAGCTGAAGAATCTCCTGTGCAGCGAGGAGATTCAAGCTGAGACACTGCATCTGACGAGTGAGTGTCTGCCTCGGGGGTCAATTGTCATGATGGATAATCGGCGGTGGCTGCATGCGCAGAACGATGTACTGGGTTCTGGGCGTCATTTGCGGAGGGTACGCTGGGATGCGAGATCTTTTGGGAATCAAATTTCTTAGCTTGGACTCTTTCCAATGGTTTCATTGTGCTCCGTGCGAAAGTTTTGTGTGGTGCGGGTGCGTGGCGCTGTATGATGAGGTCGTGCATCAATTGATCAGCGATCTCAGCTACGCTAATATTCATGTAGGAAGATTGTATACAAATTAGGATTGATGTACAGACGCCATTGAGTTCTTACATTTGCAGAATTGCATCATATGCCACGGACTAGGGTTGCATGTATTACATAGATTACAGACTGTAATACCGAATTATACCAGTTGGTGCTGATACCGAATGATACATGTGGGTTCAGACCAGGAGCTGAAGAAGAGGTATCAGATAGAGTAGGTAAAGCACGTCTATCTGTTCGTGCGCGCAGACTCGCCCACCACCGGCCTGCGGCGGGTTACCCGTGCCGCACGTATCGCTGGCTGGTGGGACGACCATTCTCCAACCACATCACCGTCTGGCCAGGCGACCTTGCAAAGCCACAGTTGGCCTGACAGATTCACAATGGACAAGTCTATTTAGCACCGCCATTAACGCCATAGTCCACAACGGCGCCATGGTCAACTAGTTCCGCAGCTACGCATCCCTCAAAGCCGCCAACGTAGACGCCACAGCGGAGTTCCTCCGCATCACGGCAGGTAACCCTGTCATCACGCGCTTTTGATTCGTCTCCGGTGGTGCACAGTGGGATTCCGAGGGCCAGACGGGATGCCTTGAGACCACTCAGCTCGCGGCGGACTTATCCAGTGCCAACGGATACGGCCAGTCCAAGCTCATCGCTGAACAATTGGTCGCGCGCACGGCCGCAGTTCCTGGAATAAGCCCGGAGACGTGCTTTACTACCCTCAAGCCGTATCTTATCATCGGGGGCCTAGATACGGGTGTCGCAAACACGGATGATTTCCTCGGAGACGGCCAGAAAGAAGAGGCTTAGAGGGCTTGATTGTACATTGTGGGTACTTGGTTAGTCCTTGGGGTTTATCAGTCTTTTCTACGTCTGCAAGCGTAGAAACTGCCATGCCCGCAGGGCCAATTGGTTCAGTAGATGGGATGTTGTGTTGAAATGAGCCTCTCCCTTGGATTTTTTTTTTTTTTTCTGCTCAAGGAATGAACAGTACACTCTATTAAATCCAAACAAAAAGTATCCAGGGGAAATATTGCGCGACATTTATGATAGCTAGCGAGCAAATTCAGTCCTTACATATGAATTAGGCTTAATTCAGAGACCCCTCCCCAGAGATCCTTTGCTAGGAATTCCTGCTCGTACTTTTTCAACAAAAGACCCATCTCCCTCTTCCGCATGTGAAAATTCTTGGATATCTCTGTAGCTCGAGATAATCTCTTCGTACAACTCATCGTATACCTCACGCGAAAAGAAACAGGACGATGGGTTGATTATGCTTCTCCACCATCTCCTTGAGATACGCCATGTCCCTGGCAGACTTGCAACTCCCCCCCATTGGCGCAGCTATAGAAAAGCTTTGGGTATTGGTTGAAGAAGACACTGCTCATCTGATAAGAGTAGCCTTTGATATTGCATTGTGGGCAAATGCCCTTGAAATAGTGTTGTAGGACATCTTTAGCATTTGCCACTGTGAGTTCAACCGGGAAGAACGGATGGAAAGAAGCAGTATTTATCGACAATGGAGGCTTACGGCGATACTGATATCCAAGTCTCTCTGTTCTCAGCATTGGTAGAATTATGTGTATCGAGGAATTTACCAAGTGTGGTCTCTAAGCAGTTGCTGATATCAGAATAATTGTCACAAATACAATAGATATGATCTGCCTCATTCTCTTGAATATACTGGAATTTTGGACCAGACATCACCCCAGAATCCCTTCTGGTCTGGAATGTGCCAGTTGACACTTTGCACTATGGTTGAGGATACACTGAGATTATTGTCTGGGATAGACATGACAAGGAACATTTCCGGTTCTTTGCCAGGGCCACAGATGAGGAGGTAGCCTGAAAGGACCACTTGGTTTATTAGATAGGGTGCCATGTTGAGTATATTATGATACTTCTGTATGAGATGGAATTAGTATCTCAGTCACATCCTGTGATGGCCTCATTTGGTGCACTCTACCTAGCTAGCTTCTCACCACCATTATCACCACCTTTCTCATTAGAAAACCATATCTTCATCTTATAGCTTTCTATTATTGCTGGGATATATAAAACCTGTCTGCCCGCTGCAAGGGACCAGAAGTGAATTTTCACTATACAAATTCTCACTAACTATACAGAAGTGGTCATCTTGTCACTTCACCCAGCAGCTACAATTGCACTGGCTCAATTACATCTTCATTCACAGACGTAGTCTCCTTGTTGATTCTCACACGCAGACCTTTAAACAGGCACGCAATTCCTGTCTCACTCGCTTTATCTCTCCCGACCTTCTTGATAATCAATACCATCACCATCTTCGTCGCCCATATAATGGCTGTCCTGGTATTGGGTAGCTGGCCCAGCAAATTTTCTCATGGTCCTCCACAATCACATGCCAATAAATTCGATATGAATAGTGACGGACCTTGTCGAGAAACGGGCATTTAAACAGCAAAACGCCGCCCAAGAGTCTTGTAGCTTCATTAGCATAGGGTGCCTGACCGGCAATATTGGGCTGAATAGTCCATGGTGTTAAGATGTTGTCAAAATAGCCCACAGGAGGCTTGGTGGCCGGGGTGCGGTGTTCATGACTTCTCCATGAGGGATCGAGAAGTTGGAAGCGCGGCTAGGGTTTTTCGGATCGGGAGGCTAGCTCTTGCAGATTGCTCCATGATGGAGTCTTGGAGACTTGCGCGCTTTACGAGGTAATATGGAACGAAGACCCAAAACGTCGGTCGAATTCGCATAAACTGCTGCGGTGAGAGCAAATTGATTTTGATCATCGTCGGTTCTCCTTCATTATCAGAACACATCGATTGAGTCCTTGTGGCTTAGTGGTGGGTGGTTGGATTGCATACTTTCATTTGAGATTGATGTATTGTTGAAATGAGCAACAGTTTTTTATAGCCCGAAACTAAACAACACTGACATAAAGTGAAATATTGAATTTTAAATCCGGACCTAAACAGACCCGAAATATTATGATTGTTCCCATAGGCGCTGTAACTAAATAGCATTCACACCAGCCTCCTTCTTCTCATCCCACTCACGATAAAATCCTGCCACCAAAAATGCCAACTCCAGTGCCTGCTTCTCATTCAATCTCGGATCACAGAAAGTGGTATACCTCTCCCCAAGCCCCTCCTCCGTCAAACCGCCAGCACCACCTACGCACTCTGTGACCGCCTCCCCGGTTAACTCGAGATGCATACCGCCCAGGAACGAGCCAGCTGCGCGATGGATCTCGAGAGCCTGGCGCAGCTCGGAGAGGATATCGCTGAAGTGCCGGGTTTTGACACCCGAGGGAGTGGATTGGGTGTTGCCGTGCATGGGATCGCATTGCCAGACGGGAATGTGGCCGGATGCCTTTACAGCAGCAATATGGGCGGGGAGGTGCGAGGAGATTTTTGACGCGCCGTAGCGGGAGATGAGGGTGACTTTGCCGATCTCGCGAGTTGGATTGACAGTGTCGAGGAGCTGGACGAGGTCTTCGGGGGAGATGCTGGGGCCGATTTTCAGACCGATGGGGTTGGCGATACCGCGGAAGAACTCGACGTGTGCGCCGTCGAGTTGGCGCGTGCGATCGCCGATCCAGATAAAATGGGCGGATGTTGCATAGTGGCTGGTGTCGTTGGGGCTGGAGGAGGATGGGTTGCGCTGGAGGCGGGTTAGACTCTGTTCGTATTCGAGGAGGAGGCCCTCGTGGCTCGTGAAGACTTCGACGGTCTCGACGCCGCGGTCTGTGTCGATGCCGACTGTATGCATGAAGCGGAGAGCATCTTTGACGCGGGTGACGATGCGTTCGTACTTTTCCTTGATGGAAGGGGTGATGACATGGCCCAGACCCCAGTCGAGCGGGGAGTGTAGGTCCGCGATGCCCGAGGAGAGCGAGCCGCGGAGGTAGTTGAGCGTTGCTGAGGAGTGGAAGTAGGCTGACACTAGACGGGAGGGATCTGGGTTTCTGGATTCGGGGTCAGCAGCGAAGCCGTTGATGTTGTCACCGCGGAAAGAGGGCATTTCGGTGCCGTTGATGGTTTCCATTGGGCTTGAGCGGGGCCTACACTATTAGTCTGCGTCTGACCGAGTATGCTGGAGAGCACTCACTTGGCGAATTGTCCAGCAATACGTCCAATACGAACGACCGGCTTATTGGCGCCTGCAGCAGTTAGCCATTGCCATGCCATAGACAGGAAACGCACTTACCCCAGATTAGAACCAAACTCATCTGCAGCAGAAGCTTCACTTTGGCCTCAATCATATCCTGATTACAGTAGTCAAACAGCTCCGCACAGTCACCACCCTGCAAGACAAACGCCTTTCCCAGAGCGACATTCTTCAAATGCTTCCTGAGATTGTGAATCTCCTGCGTAGTCACCAGCGGAGGCAGTTTCTGTAGCTTGCCGAGGGCCGCCTGCACGCCGTCCGAGTCGCTGTAGACCACATCTTGCTTGATGGGTTTGGATTTCCAGGCTGCTGCATATTAACTCTGCTATACTACTGTAGTGATATGGGTAACTCACAGCTAGGGGTCCAATTGTCCATGGTGAGTTGTTTAGAGAGGAATACTACTCAGTGATAGCTGGCTGAGGTTTATATGATGGTGTCTCGGTCGTACAGCAAAAGCACTGAGCTGACGTCGAGTGACAGCAAAACAGCGAGGGATAAGCAGAATAAAAGCCCGAATTGCAATTGAGGAAACCACGCATAACAAAGAGAACTGTCAATACAGTCCTTGACTCATGCGCTATACCCCTTCCGGCCAAGATCCCTTTGTTATCGTGTTATCAGTGACTTCACACCTCTCTCCCCACACCTCATGCTTTCAAGCCGAAACCAGTCTGTTCCTGAACTCTATAAACCCATCCTCAACAGCGACGGACATGTCAGATCCAACTGACGACCACCACCAGCACCTCCCCGCAAACCCCGAAGACCGCAAAGCCGCCGCAGCGCTGTCCTCGCTCAACGATGACCTCGGCAGTCGAGACCCCACCGCGGACCAGGAAGCGCTCGGGAAAGCGATGAGTCGGTTGGAGATTGCGGCGGGTCAGGGTGGGCATACAGGTGGGAATGCTACTGCTAGCGCGGGGCAGACAAAGACAGAGCCTCAGGTGCAAGTGAAGGTGGCCAAGGTTAAGGCGGGGGATGTCAATCTGTTGGTGGGTGGTTCTGTCCGTGCTTTGTACAGAACCTGGTTTCACTAAACGAGCTAACACATCATATTTGGCTATGCAGGTGAGGGAATTGGATCTGAGCCAGGTCAAAGCGACGGAGCTGTTGAAGGCGAATGAGGGAGATGTAAAGAAGGCTATACAGGCTTTTATTGCAGTTGCCTAGAACACTGCTTACGATCATGACTCACGTTAACGAATATGAACATTGCATACAACCATCAGATCACCTCCCAATCCCCCTCCCCTCATATATCGTCCACAACAACAGCCACCCCGCCGTCGCCTCCAGCGCCAAAAACCACCACACCCCTCCGATGAAATTATACTGCAATCCCAGTCCCAATCCCCAACCACCAATAAATGGCCCCAGCGTACGTGCTCCGCTCGAAACACTCTGCGCCACCCCGTGGATCGTACCCAGGACAGCGGGGTTCGTGACGCAGTTGTTCACGAGGATGATACCAGCTGGCAGCGCGAATGTCCGAGAGATAACTTGTAGTGCCGCGACAAAGGTAAATGCGGGCCAGACAAGTGCCGGATTCCGGGGAATGAGCACGAGAAAGGGCGCCAATGCGTATGCGATCGCAGAAAAGGGTAGGAACGCGCGGAACGATGCCAATGTGCCTATTTTGGCCTGTACGCCTGGATAGACGAAGATTTGGAGCGGAAGACCGATCACCCCGATGATAGCCGTTGCCAGACCCACCCGTGAAGACGGGAGACCCAGTCCTCCGCCGAAGAAGATACCGTCCCGACTGCCTTCTGGGGCGCGGGGGGTGGGCAGGAACGTGAACGTCATGGAGTTGAAGGCGCTGGTGTGGAAGGCGACAAGGAAGTTGGCTAGGAGCGTTAGGAGGACATTCCGGGTCCACGTTTGGCGGAAGGTCGGGCGCTTGTATTGCGGTCGGATGGGGGGTGTTGGAGTCGGGGCGGACTCGTTCTCGTCTTCGTACAGGGAATTGTCTTCTTCTTGGTCGGCTAGAGGACGGTAGTATTGGGGGATGCGATTTCTTGAGACGGATCTGGCGAGTTTCCGGCCTAGATTCCGGCCCCAGTCATCGCGATACCGTGCAATCACATGCGTCTAGTCGATCATTAGCCTCGACTCAGTGCAACAGGTGCAAGGTGCAACAGGTGCAAGCATACCTCGTCCAGCCCCAAAAACACAGCCAACATGGAACAGAAGATGAATATTCCACTCAGCACATTCGGCAACGCGTACGGCCAATGCTGCATCCACCAAACTCCCTCCTTCCCTCCAAAGAACGACCCAGGTCCAAACAGACCAGGATAACTACCCGCCGGATCAGCCAGCATACCCCCAAAGACCGGTCCAATGATAACCCCGATGTTGAAGCACATGGGCAGCAGCAGGAACGCCCGAGCTTGGAACTTTTTCTCCTCGATCATCTCGGCAATCATCGTCCTCATCACTCCGATGTTACTATTGAGCATGCCGCCCAACGTCCTAAACACCGCCGCCGTCACGAAGGACCTCGAAAACCCAAAGCCAAGACACGATATCGACGTCCCCAGCAACCCAATAAGCAACACCTTCTTCCGTCCCACGGCATCCGTATCCGCCAGTCTCCCCCAGAAAACAGACGAAACAAACTGCGCGGCCGTAAAACAAGCCTGTAGCATACCCGCCTGCGCAGAAATCGTCGAGTCAGGCAGCGACGGATCAAACGACTTGAGCTGGTAAAACATATACGCCTGCAAAGACGTCTGCGTGACAGGTTCCGATAAGCGTGCGAATGTCAAGATGGCGAGTTGTGACTTTTTGGGCAGCGACATCCAAGTCGCTGGTTTTTCGGCTTCATTCTCGCGAGATCGTACGGGGTCGTCAACATCGTCATCATCATCGTTAATCGTAGGCTCTGGGATCGGAGCGATATACCGAAAACTTCTTGAATCGGTGTCATCGGTCACTGTATCGTCGTCTCGGTCGCGGAAGGACTGTGGCCGTGACTGAGATTGTGTGTCGTTGTCTGCATGGCCGACACTCTGGCGGGATTGACTCGAACCCATCAATCGTTATAGAGATTGAATATTTGTCTTGTGAAATCTACCCAGACACACCAGGCAGGAGAGAAAGATAAAGCATTTTCAGCATCAATCGCCATTTGTCGCCCCTCGTGCGCGATTCGACTGACTTGGCCGGTGGAGTTCTTTAGCCGCTCCGATTCGGCTCGGATTACCAAATGGGAAATGAAATGCATGTACAGTTTTACTTGTGCTATGTGTACCGATATTTATTGCCTCTTTCTACATTCTATGCTTTGCTTTATAGTGCATTCATGTTGAACCTCAAACATCCCGGACCAGACGCGGAGTCACCCACGGGTAAGGGTAGTTCTTCTGCCACCAATTGAGGCTATCTTGTTAGCTGACGAACATTCAATCAAACAACAAAAAATAGACAACTCACAATGTCCTCTTCCCAGAGATCCTCGGATGCAAAGCCCATGTCCCCCCAACGACAACAATATGCTTCTCATCCATAAAATCGGCTATCACAATCAGCACATCAACGTCCACATCAATTGAATACAACTAGACTCACCACTATACCCTGGGTAAATATCCATAGGTTTAAAGCCAGGCTGCGGCGCAAAATTCGAACTCGTCCACTCATACGCACCACCCATATCACTTTGTCCGCACAGTTGATTGCCCTTGTGCGTCACGGGCGTGGGATGGAAATGGTTGAAGCCTGTGTTGTAGCCCGTCATGTCGATGTAGATGTCCTCACGGGAGGAGGAGGGGAGGTGGTCTCGCGGTCTGGGCATTTTAGTGGACTCTATTTTCGTCATTTGGGGAAAGAGGGGGGGGGGGGGGGGCGTACAGGTCGTTGTTTGCCTTGGCTTTCTCCTCCTCGACTTGACGGTGGATGCTGCGTGCTTCGTGGAGAGTAGGGAGTCGAGCGCCGGCCCAGTCGGCGTATGCTGTTGCGTCGTCGTATGAGATGTAGACGGGCCAGTCGACAGCGAGTTTTAGCGGGACGGGTCCGAAGACGGTTTTTATGGTGAAGCTTTCTATGAAGTTCTCAACCGCATCCGAGGAGCCATGACCATTGGCCGTGCTTTCGGTACGAGTCCACGAGACTGGAATACAATCCATCTTCCCCGTCTTCACAAGATATTCGGCATATTCCCCAACGCAAACAGGCCTTGCCTGCGCCTCAAACCCATGGACCACAGCGTCATACGGCCCGCGCTCATTATCCCACGCGAAATACCCACTCCCCGAGTCATCTTCCGCGTCGTCGATTCCGATTGGGAATGTTCTTGCCCTGACAGGAAACCACTGATTCTCAACACGCTGGCCAGCAGCCTTTTCTGCCATTCCCTCAAAATCTGGCCTTTCTACCCCCGGCGGCGGCTGTATATTCGGACTAAGAATACTCATCCATAAAAACGTCTCCAGATGCAGGCCTTCATGCTCGAACCCTATCCACAGCGCGCGCCCAATGGCCCTATCAGACCAGGGTTTATCGGTTTGATAGAGCGCCTCTATCCTCGCACAGACCTTCCCCCGGAAAGATAGGATTTCAGCGAGCGTGGGCCATGAGTCCGGGACTTCGCTATGACTGTGGCACTCGTTTGGATTGTCGACGTCGGGGTCTATTCCGCGTTCGAAGATTGTTTGGTAGTAGAGCGGTTCGATGGGGGGTTTGTTTGTCGCGCGGGAGAGATGGATGTCCTCGCTTTTTTCTGTAAGATTTGTCTTTTATACCTCGTGCATTCCCCCCGCAATCATAGATAGAAGGTGGAATACTTACAACGTAGGTATATGCCCAAGATAAAAAATTAACTCATTCCGTAACGGAATCGGCTTCTCTTGCAACGCCTCGTTCGGGATCATTTTCAACGTCACCAATTCCCACGCTGCCCATAGCTGTCTCCATTCCTGTATACTTGGCACCGGCTCGGGTGCATACTCCTTTGGGTGTAGTGGGAAGGCATAGGGCGAAGATGAATCCATCTTGATACTATGCATGTATGCGCACGTAGCACGTCACTTATGGGAGAATATTCGCTAATCAAGGACCTATATTAATGTGCATGCGTTTAAATATACTTGTAGTCCATAGAGGGGCAAAGTACTAACTGACTCCAGCCAGTCACCACGTCTCCATATAGCCCATCAGCCAGCCAAATTCAGGGCTAGACGCGTGCGGTGAAGCATGATTTGCATATCCAAACCACCATTCGCCCACCCAGTGGACCCCAACCTGAAGTTATTTTCAGCTGGGCAAAAATCCCACGTAATAAACTTGATCGGAATGCTCAGCTGAAGATGTGTGGGGTTAGGATCCACTTGGCTATCATTTCTTGTTTATACACACTTTGTTGACCGGTTTAGAACTGACTACAGAGGAGTACGTGGCCACACAAGCATGTACCAGAACTCTAAAAATGGCTGTAGCTTTTTTATTCTGGACGCTGCTGCTTTAGCTAAGGTTCTCATAATAAGTAAATGTACTTGCGGGCCTGCTTGGATGGAACGTAGAGTCAAGCTCAACCCACCAGCAAAATGCGGCGTTCACGCACTACAGTAAAACCTCACTATAAGCAATTAAATCAGACCGCTCGCTATATTCTTTATAGTGAATTTGGTCGACAGCGCCTGTTATATTATATATATATCTAAATGATACAGTAAATACAGCTTCCATTCATGAAAAAAAGGTCCGAACATCAGTCTGGTACTGATTTCGCATCTTTTTCTCTATCAATGCTCGCTCATGATGCAAAAGTTCTTTTAGGAGGTGTCTGTTTCTGGATAGAGAGATGGCCAGAATTGGCGTGCTTTCTCACGTATGAGCTCTTGGGATACTGAAATCTGAGTCTCTGCTTGCCATATCCACTCATATTGCCTGCTCAAGATCTGGCTAACTCTCTGCTCGATACTTTTTAGCATCTAGCTGGTAGTCTTTTGCAGTATCAACCAGTTATAATTTGCGGAAAGGGCCTGTGAGTTAGTAGATGGAGTGACCTTCTGCTTATACACCTCTTCAAACCACTTTTGTAGCTGAATCCCAGCTAAATAAGGCTTTGATTTATGCTGGACACGAAGGGCGGATCGCTAATGGTTTGTAATAGTAGTTCGTTCGGCCATCTTAATCAAAATTCGTGGTAGGGTGGAATCGCAGTGAACCAAATATTTAGCTTTTCTATCACTCGTTATAAGGAATCTTGTATGAGAGAATTGAAAAAAGATTGCACATTGCGAATAGCGGGGTTTTGTGCAATTTTGTATGGGGATTTAAATTGGGCACGGTGGCAAGTTGCTTACAACGGGGGATTCCCTATAACGGGGTTGCTTATAGCGAGGTTTTACTGGTAACAATGAACCTCGCATCACACATTTCCTTTTCGAAATGCCCCCAAAACTCCCCCAAACTGCAATGACAGCAATCGTCTGCACCAAAGCATCCGTCAACCCCCGTCGTTCGTAGAAGTGACCTCTCAAACAACAAAGGGCATACGACGCCGTCACGCGCGCATTCAAATCAGTAATCACAGGTCTCCCCGTCTCTGGATCGGTCATGACATCCGCGCCACAAGGGCCGTAGTATCCTCTACTATGCAGGTGGCCCTGAGTTTCCCTGCTGTGGACGAGAGTCCTAACATGGTGTGATGCAGTCGCCATTTTGCAACGGATTTTCCATCGTCGTTTAGCGCGGCGACCACGGACATTTGATAGATGTGTTTTCGTGAGGAGGGATTGCTTGCTGGGCCTTAACTGTGGAAGGTCGGCATGGCGAAGAAAAGGGCGATGTTAGGGCCCGCCGCCATCTTGCGAGTAGAGATGTGTAGTCGAGGATGACTGGCTGGGAGGGGAGCATAATTGCAGTTGCTCGAGATCCAGAAATGCAAGGTTACTCTATACAAGTCATAGTAGCTAGGACAAGCTTCTAAGAATGTCTAAGCGATCCGTATCTGGAATGTGGCTTATATGGATACGCAGTCCACACATGAGCACGCTGATCGCATTCTGGACAAACAATCCTACTAAATGGGCACATGTGAGGTCTTCGTGGCGTGTGTATGGATGCTGACCTCGCCATTTTTCGGTTTTGTATGTGCCTTTCTTACATTGCTCGTGATAGTGTTTAACGAGAAATGCCAATACAATAGACTAGACAGCATTTCCCTTGGAAAGAATGGGGAGGAAAGGAAGTATATACAGCAGTAGATTAACCCTAGGTTACCAACCAGTCTACCAACATAACAATACATCGAAACAAACCGCAAGATAATCTAATTCGTACGCCTCAATGCCAACTTCGTAACAAGCACCAGCCCGGCCCCCACAAAAACAGCAACCCCACTAAACACCATCGCAGCCCACCATCCATACCCATCAATAAGCGCCCCACAAATTGGCGTCCCCGTCAACCCCGAAACCCCCACTATCAAAAACGCCATCCCCAAATACGCCCCAATCAAGCTCGGATGCGGCGCGATCTGCGCAATACAAGGCGATAGTAACGACACAATCGCTCCCGAACAAAACCCATATAGCGCTGCAAACACGATAATTGCGGCGTTCGATTTAACCTCCATCCAGCAGAGCAGGAGGACTCCCGTGCAGGCTCCGGAGATGGAGAGGAGCGTGAAGTTGCCGAATTGGTCGGCGAGGAGGCCGGGGATTATGCGGCCGATTATGGAGGCGGCGTTGAGAATGGAGAGCATGTAGGAAGCTAGGCGGGGAGACATGCCGCGGTAGATCGCGTAGGTTTCGATGTAGAAGAAGGGGGTGAACATGCCCCAGATTAGGAAGAAGAGGGAGGCAATTGTTAAGATGTAACTGGGGTTACGGAAGGCTGATAATACCAATATATTTCCCTTACGGGGAGGAAAGCGTCTTCGGACCGTGGCGCATGCAATCGCTAGAAGCGCTAGGATGATGAATCCCACGATCCGCACTCCCCAACCAAACGCGATATTGCGGATCTGGAACAAATTGTTTAAAGCAATCGGGAAAACCACACCACCAAGCGAGGATCCGCTAACCGCTATCCCCATAGCCAGAGCTCGACGGGTCCGGAAATACTGTCCAACAGCAGCCATGGCCGGCGCGAACATCATGCCGCAGCAGAGACCACCTAGAATCCCTTGGGCAAGCATGAATTGGTAGTACTCTTTGCAGAGGGATGTCATCATCACGGCGAAGACGAGGAACAATGCTGGAGGGAAGATGATCTGCCATGTGAGTTATCTTAATAGACATGGAAATGTAGTGATACATACAATGGCACCTATCCGGTCGAACAACGGCCCTCCTATCACACCCCCGGCATAGAGAAAGAATACCTGTACCGATCCAATCCATGAAATAGTAGACGACGACTCATGGCTCAGCTGGTGGCTCTGGTAATAATCTTGATATACACTGACTCAATGAGCATATACATCAAGTCACAATTCTAGTAGGGGAACACACCCATAAGCATTCAAATACCCAAACGTGCAAAACAGCACAGAAAAAGCCCCAACAACAACTCCCCATGCCTTAATTCCACCATCCGGGAAATCATCTTGCGGCGGAGGTACTTGTTCCTTTTCAGTCTCAGGCTCGACGGTACCCATTTTCTAATGTCCACGGGCTTCTGCAAAGTTCAGACCGCGAAGAAAGTGGAAGCAAAGTGGCTATCTTTGCGATTATATTCCATTCTGGATAAGCGGCAACAAAGCGAACCTTATCCCAGGAGGAAAAGTGGAAAATGGAAAGTAAAAATCCACATTGGCTTCAGACATCAGTGTCTATGAACAGATAACAGAGAACTGGGAGCGCGACACCACAATCGCGGAGGATCGACGCACCTAGACGAAGGCGCTAGCGATTGGCGACAAAGTAAGGACCGCACTAGCGTTTTTGTAGAGATGTGTTTGCTTCCGGGCCGGTGGGATACACATGAAGTGATACATATCACACATGCCCATTTCCGGGGCTTAGGAATGGCAACCGAGCCGGGGAGGGAGCGGGGTTGGGGATACCCGAGGAGCTTAATAGAAGCACAGGACAAGACTAGCCTTGGATATATCATTACTGTCATTATGTGCTATCTGTACTCTGTACCATGTCCAATATGTACACCGCATACCAATCATCTCAAAGACCCAAGAAGTTCCTCCTAGTCCCACTCTTCCCCTTCCCACCAGTATACTTATTGAACTCCTGCGGTCCCTCCTCACTAACCAAATACCCATTCGCACAAGAATTGAACGAAACCTTGGGCTGTCGCGCATAAAACCCATCAAACTTCTCATCCAGTGCCTGCGTCAGATTCGCCACCGCACCCGCAGGATGCAACTGCTGCCACGGCTTGCGACAAGCATCGCCATCGCAGGACTTGAGCACCATCATCAGCGCGTCAAGTCGAGGGATAATCTGGCCGATGGGCCGGTTTGCGATCTTGAAATCTTGGTGTTGTGCTGGGTTCGCAGCAAGGTTGACGGTTTGGTGGGGGTCAGATTTCATGTTGAAAAGCTCTTGCTCGTTGGTGCACCAGACGGAGTAATAGACACTGTAGGAGTCGGAGATTAGGCGCAGGGCTTTGTAGGTGTTGTTTTGGAATTGGGTGAGCGGTTCGATGGGGACGTTGCTATAGTGCCCGTAGATGCCTTCGGGGATGGCGAGGCCCCAGTATTCAATGGCGGCATGCTCGGTCTTCGCGTCGGCCGTGTCAGCTTGGGTGAAGGGGAGAGCTTTGCCGTCGAGGCCGGGGCGGGAGGTAGCGTTGGCGATTTGGAGAAAGGTTGGAGCGATGTCGGTGTGAGAGGACACAACGTCTAGGGTTGCGTTTTCGGGGATGCCGGGGCCGCGGATGGCGAAGGGGACATTGATGTCGGTTTCTGCATCGCATCATTAGTACCATGCACTCACTCACATGGTTTATGGTAGGGAGACTCACCATAACCACAGTTCTTCCCCGGGTTCATCCGATGCTGTCCAATATGATACCCGTTATCCGCCGAAAACACAACATACGTGTTATCCAGCACACCGGCCTTGTCCAACTTCTCAATAAGACTCCCAATCATCTCATCAACCGCCTGCAGCGCGCGCAGCCGTCTCCGTCCAAACTCATCATTGTACTGGATAAGCGTCTCATTCAGCTCGGGCAAATCCTTCACCCATCCCACAGCACCCTGGATGGGCTTGTTGAAGCTCGCATCACGAGGAATCTGGTAGTCAGGGAACAAGCCCGCATGGCGCGGCGCAAACTCCGGCTCACCAAACCAATTCGTGTCGCGACTGGGATCGTAAGAACCATTCGAGTGAGGCGCCGTAGGTGCAACAGTCAAAAACCAAGGCTTATCCTTGTTCTCGATAGCCTCGTCCAGGAACCCGCGTGCCTTATCCGCAATGACATCCGTCGAGTATTGTCCCTGGTAGCTAACCGGCTTGCCGTTGTTACGGGTCATCTGCGCATCGTAGTAGCGGTAGGTATATGGGTCGAGAAGGAAGTCGGAACTGTTGAAACCCTTGGCAGGGGGGTTGTTGTAGTTGGTTGTGCTGTGCGCGTTCCACAGCTTGCCGACGTAGTAAGTGTTGTAGCCGGCTTCTTGGAGCCAGATGGGGAGGTAGTTGTCGTTCCAGCCGGCTTCGACGATGCGGGGGTAGCCGCCGTAGGGAGGGTTTACGTCGGTGATGTTGGTGTTATGGGGCATGCGGCCGGTCCAGATGTTGGCGCGCGAGGGGCAGCAGAGGGCTGTTGAGCAGTAGTGTTTGGGGAAGGTGGTTCCTTTTTGGACGATTTGTTTCTGCGCCAGTTAGCATTTCCCAATACCTGCGCAATCGTGTACTGTGTAGATACCTGGAGCTGGGGCATATAGTCCGGACTCCCCATATGCTTATCCTGGTCATCCGTCAAAATAAACAGAATATTAGGCTGGGTGCTAGCCACAGCCAGTCCAGAGAATAGCAGAGTGTTTAGAAACTTCATCATGCAGTCGTTCCCTTCTCTCTCTCGCTGCTTTGAACGGCTTGAGAGACAGAAACCAGCCCATTTCATCGCGAGCAACACCCATCCTTATATGTCCCTCTCCCGCCTGAGATCACCTCTATCATCATCACTGTCTGAGCCAAAGCCTTAAATCGCCTGGCTTTCTTCTCACACAATCCACCTCTCCACACCCGACGCGCAGCCATTTCCCCGTCTCTGCACAGAATCCCCCATACAAAAGATGGGGAGAGTCAGTCCATCCGCAGAGAGATCATCGCATCGGCAGAGATAGGTACTCTGTCTGGCACGGGACGGAAAACATTGTACTTAGAAGGGCAGAGGTATGATTGCGAGAGCACAGCTGCATATTACGCGATAGTAGACACAATTGGCTAGTGCACGGGATAACATCAATAGACCAAAGAATGAGGTGATTGCTGGAGAGAGGACTATATATGATCAGCGGAGGTAATATCGAAGTTAATAAGTTATGGCCAGTGTGAGTGTCTACATAGTGTTCGGGTACACTGGCTTTGGTGATTTGCACTAAGAGCACACCATCGGGTCCACCGCCGATCAGATATAGGGCCCTGAGTATTTCCCCGTCGGAGTATGCCTGTGTTATCATAGCAGAATACAGCAGTAAAGACATACTCCATTAACCGGTTCCTAAACCGAGAATCCAATAATGCTTTAATGTACACAAATGCAATATTACCCAACAACGCCAACATCAGGACAGCAACAGAATAGCAGATGGAAGAAAAAAATAAAATAAAAAAGAGCGAGTAAAGAATGTTAACGTCCACTTCGACCGGTCACGTCCATCGTACTCTCAATGCCCTCCCACGGCAGTTCATCGTCATCATCATCGTCGTCCTCTACTGCAGGTCCGGTATTCTTCCGAGTAGATGCAGACTTGTGCGTCGACGCTGTCACGTCTCCACGTTCACCGGAGTTTTCAATCCCGATGGACTGTAGGGTCTGCTCCATTTCCCGTTCCGTCATCTCGCGTCCATCTTGCTTCTGGCCCTCCAACACGTCATACAACGCATAGATCTGGTCCGCTTTCATATCGACGTCCTTGAGCAACTTCTCGATTTTCTCTCCGAGAGTCTTCCGTTGTCGCTTGCCAAGAGATGCGTCGAGTTTGTTGTATGCCGCTTGATAGGTTGCCAGCTGCATCTTCAAGTGCGACAATTCGTCTTCCAATGCTTTGAGGACCGTGGCCAGTGCAACGGGAGGGTCCTGCGCGGGGCGCAAAGTGGGCTCTTCGTTGTATACACTGGGTTCTGGCATGCGCTCCGACACCGGGATGGGTTTGGGTACTTGGACCTCGTGGGTGTGGTCGCAGCTGCTACCATCGGGGATGATGCGCTGGCACACCGTGCAGTTCTTGCCGTTGTGTTGTGCGATTCCATCAAGTGCCTGTTGTGTCACCTCGGGCAATTTTGAAAAGTCCTGAGCGGCCAGGTCTGCATGACGGATGGTGATATCGGGGAGGATGAAGGCAGAGGTCATCTCCTCCACGTCGCGACGCCGTCTCCGAGGAGAAACGTAGTTGGGACCGTTGTCCGAGTGCCGTCGTTGTCGTTCCTTGGGCACGGTAAGGTTTCCATCTTCAGGCGTGCTTGTTTTAGAAGTTGCTGTGACTTCGCCAATGGCAGAGGTAGGTCTGGCTGGTGTTTTCAAAGACGACTTCCGTGGCACAGGAGCCTTTGAGCTTTGTCGGGTGGTGTTTACGGTCTCATGCGTCGCAGTAGGCTCCTTGGGAAGACCACCCAGCCGTTGTTTGCGGGCCAGCCGCTCTTCTTCAAGCGTCTTGCGTAGCTGAGCAATTTCGCGTTCCTGCAGGGAAAAAAATATTAGACCGCCAGATCGTAGATAAAAAGGCGGAACTTACATCAATAAAGCTAAGCAAAGTCAAGTCCTGCTCCCCCTGAGAAGACTTTCTCGTGTGTCGAGTAACTTCTTCCGTTGTAGTCTCAACAGGATCAGTGACATCCACTTCCTCCACAACTACCCGCTTGACGCGCTTGCCGGTATTCGACTTCTTCTTGTCAGCTCGATCGGCCGACCGGCTCTCTGACTTTTGTTTCCTGATGCGCGGAACATCAAGCGAGAACAAGGCCTCTTCAGCTCGCTCCTTCTCAAGCCGCGAGAGCTCTTTGTCAACCTGAGTCGAGATTTTGGTACGAGTGTCTTCGTCGCGCGCAGGTTTCGACCTCGAACGCACGCTTTTCGTAGTAAGGTCCCTCGTGTTGCGGCTGACATCAGCGCTGCGTTGCGTGTGGGTTTGGGTATCGTCGTCCATCTCATCAGTGGCATCGGTTTGCTCGGTCCGACCGGTGTCTTCGCGGGTTTTTTGCGTGTAGTTTGTAGATCTAGCCAGCTGGGACTTGAGTTCCGCATTTTCGCGCCTCAATTTCTCGTTCTGGTTCTTAAAGTCTTGCGCCTCGAGATATGCAACACCCAACTGGGAGACTGCCATATCGCGCTCGCGGGTCAATTTGTTCAAAGTAGCTTCGGAAAGCTGAGCCTTCCGGTCGATGATGTCCAGCCGATTCTGCAAAGCGAGGTTTGTGGCTTCCAATTTCTGATTCTCGCTTGCCAACTGACTGTCCCGTCTGTACTCTTCCGAATCGTAATCCCTCCGGCTGTACTTGTCCTTGGGACGAGACCTATCTGACTTGAGGAACGCATTCTCCTGACGCATATCCTGAATCTTCTTTTCCGCATCAGACTTGGCGTGTTCCAGCTCGGCCACTCTCTCTTGGAGAACTCTCAACGAGACAAACAAAGCTTTTTCATCATCCGGAACCGGAACAGCATCTAAAGGAAGATGCTGGCGAGAGACCGACGTATCCGGATCTTGTGACGGCGACACAAACCGCGTCGATCGCATCTTCTTATGACTAGGCAAAACCGGGGTCCCATCTTCATAAACACCAGAGACCAGCTCCGAAAGATTAGGCAAATCCGGCAACAAGAATGACTGGTGAGTAAACGTATCCCCAGCCCCATTCGCCGGAGCACTGCGCGTGCTATTCGAAAGCTTCCCACCCGGACGCACCTCCCTCGACGCCCTCTCAACAGCCTCAGCAATCTGGTGCGAAAGATTTGCGTTCCCAAAGCGTGTCGACCGGGAATTGCCACGCCCAGGCGAAGGCCGCTGTTCCTCACCCGTAAATGAAATATCGTACGGATCACGCGCTCTAGCATGCATCTCAGAAAGCGTCCGTCTCTGACTGTTCGACTGCGGCTTGATATTCTCTTTCTGCGCCTGACTTGCCCTTCGCACCTGAGCGTCCTTCCGTAGATTATCGCTAACCGCTCGTCGAGGCTGAGCACGCATTGCTGGTTTCTGCGGCGTGTGCGAGGTCGGGTAGTCCAGGCGAACGGCAGGCGAAGATGAGCGAACACTATTTTCGAAGCTCATAAGCGAATTCCGCGAATCTTCCATATGACGCGTCGGTTTTGAAGATACGCCCCTGCCAAGTTCGACGGAGAGTTCGTCGTCGAGAAGTTCGTCGTGGAGGTCGTCGTCAGATGAGGAGCCGGCGTTTGAGAATTCGGGGAAGGCGCGTTCGATGGCGGAGGTGTTGATCGCGTAATCGGGTTCGTCGTCGTCTGCTCCGTCGTAGAATTGGTGGTTGTTATGGTTTTTGCGCGCGTTGCTGGTCATGTTAGGAAGACGCGGGCTGTTGTTGTTGCCGTGGTTTGTGGATTGGAAAGCCTCGTGTTCGGGATCGAAGTCCGAGCCGAAAGACGCGAAGCTGCCGGTGGTGTTGTCCATTACAAACGACACCTATTCTAGTCTGTAGTCCTTAAAACAATTGAAAACTAGGGACGTTAGACGTCAATGTCTCCTAGTTCAAAACAAAGGACTAAAATGGGGCATGGCAAAGCAGGTGGAGAGTGGATGACAGCATCAGGAGTCTAAAATCTAAGGTGGCTGGGGAAGGTTTGTTTACACGGCAGAATGTCACCGCCCGAGTCGCCATAACAAACATTCATTTCACTATGTAAATAGATATACAACCAAGTTCATGGCCAATATCTACAATTAATACCATAGCTTTCCAGATATGTAAATGTTCAACCAAATCATCAGCTCAATCCCTCCAACGCCATGCTAGCCCACTAATTCGGGGCTGATACCACTAATGTCCGGGGAATTAAAAGATCGTAATCGTCATACTCGTAACTAGGTGTACAATTGAATGTAAGTTGGAAATCAAGAGTTTTGATGAGAAGTCGCCGTCGTGTCCGAGGCGTTGTTGCTAGAATGCTCGGCGAAATTCTCGGCAGGGTGTTCTGAAACGTGTTCTGCTTGCTCTGCTTGCTCCTCTCTGGGTCGAGGCATGGTCGGCGTCGTTGGCGTCAAATCACCAATCGGACTAGCAATATCGACCTGAATAGTAGGTAGGAGGGAGAGCTGAGGCAGTTGCGGAGGCCGACTTCTCTCCGTACTTTGATCCGTCTCGTTGTTTTGATTGCTTTGTGCTGTCTCGTCCGGTTCCTCTCTTCTCTCGTTTTCATTCGAATCCGCGGTCTGCCCAGCCTCTCCCGTTAGATTCCTGCTCCCTCGCGCATCTAGGCCGAACTGCGCTACAACGGGGCTTGAGTACGCAGGCGCTTCTCCCCAGTCCAAGAAATCGTATTCCGGAGGAGGCGGAGCACCGGTAGTATCCGGCTCCTCTTCTGGAATCGACTCGGGACGGCTATTCGAGCGAGAACGTGCGGAATGCATGGACTGCCGCTGAGACGCCACAGGAGTCAACGTATCTCCATCAGAAGTAACAGACGACCCCGAAACAAGAGACGAGTACGATTCACCACGGTAATGCGCAAGTTCACCCGTAAACCCATCCCCCGAGCCCTGTAACAGAGGGCGATTGTCAGAATCTGTCGAATTATTCCTCAGGCGCGAACCATCATGTCGCACGCGTCCCAAAGCAGCGTAGCTCACACTGGCGATTCGCCTATCCCGACCACGCGACTGGGACTCTGCCAAGAGCGTCGTGGCCGACTGGTTGCGGCTATTATTGTTTCCTCTGTTCCCCCGAGCCTCCGAGCGACTGCGATCGCGGATGGTGCTCTGCAAGCGAAGTTCCTCAAGACGAATAAAATCGCCCCGTTGCCGGGCTTCCCGACGTGCCTGTCGTCGAGCCTCACGCTCAGCATGTTCCTGCCGCCGCTGCACACGGATCTGGTACAGCCCTTCCATAAGTTCTTCTCTCCGCGCTTCCTCCTCCTCAGCGGTCTCTGGAAATTCTACAACAACATCCATGCCCTCCCGTTCACCTTCGCGGGCGATAATCTGTTCTTCTGGCTTGGGAGCCGCAGAGTACGGAGGCAGCGTAATCACTGATCGAACAGAGGTCTCACGACGAACTCCATTCGTAGAATTATCGGTCGTGTTCATCTCCGATCCACCACTACGACCCGAGCCGTGGTATGCCGTGTCTCCGGCCTGATTAGACGACGATCCGTTCGACAACTGGCCATATGAGCGCCCGGCATTCCATCGATTCCATTTATCTTTGAGGCGTTTTCCGGGGAGGTATTTGGGCGAACAGTTCATTCGACGGAGGGTGCGGAGGATAAAGAAAATGGTCACGCCGACAGTGATGGCGAAGACGACAACTGCAGCGACCTACAGAGTAGACAGAGTTAGCTTTCTTCATCGCCATAGTAAATATAAAAACGAGAAAAAAAACATACAATAATAGCAGCAGTCGTCCCCGCCGATATTCCACCCGAATCATCCTTCCCTGGATCTTTATCTCCCGGACCCAGATTATCCTGGCGATTGGATCCATGCTTCGCATCCGCCGGAGGATCCTGTCTGGCCTCCAACCATCGAAAATGGGAAGGAATATACATATCCAAATCCCTTTAACTCCTTCCAGGCAGTGGTGAAAGAGGCCTTCGAAAACCCGGGTGACAGAGCATGCAGACCAGCTGTAAGCAAATGGAGACTTGCCGCTGACAGTTGTATGTCGGCAGGAGGCAGACGATGCGGAGAGAGCGGAGAAAAAAAAAGAGGCGATGCAAGAATAAGGCAGAAGAATAGATGGACCTGCACGGAGTAATAATATGTAAGGCCAGTTCAGAGAGGATAGAAGATGACATGCGAAAGAAAGAACCGAAGAAAGAAAAGAAGAGGCGTAACCGTGGATCCCGGCTTTACAGGAACCAGCCACAGGATTTTGCCATAATACCAGTATTGTGTACTTGTACAGTATGCACGTAGGATACAGAGTGTATAAGAGTGCAAAATAGGAGTGCAATAATCTGAGGAATCAAACAAGGATATGAAATAACAGGACACATCTTGAAACAACCAACATGCTCCCGGTTCAGCGTTCTTTGACAATCTTCCTCGAGTGGTTATTTTTAGAACAGCGTTTCGTACCCTGGGTGTGCTCTGAAGTGTGAATGTTCCTATTGAGGCATTGGAAGACAATAGACAATAGGAAGAACAATACAATAGGCAACTTTATATTACCAATATTCACTGGTTATGATTATGCAGTAGGACTGGAATGCTTCAACTCTATTAACAAGAATCCGGGGTATGGAATGTTGATTACGCACTTAATGCCTCAGGCCACAACACTGACGCCTAGCCTATTACCAGAAAACCAAGAAAAAGGTCAAATACACTCCTCTACCAACGCCTTCAATCTCCCTCCATCTCGTCTAACGAGATCCCCATATCCCCCGTGTTCAACTAGACACCCCTGCTCCAACACCACCACTTGATCGGCAATCTCCATCATCTCCCGTGCATGCGTGATCATGATCACCGTCAACCCCAGTCTTGCATTGACCAATTTCCTAACTGTCTGTCGAATAACCTCCGCACTGGTTGGATCCAGGGCCGAAGTCGCTTCGTCTAGGATGAGGATTTGTGGTCGTCGTACCAGAGCACGCGCAATGACTAGACGCTGTGCTTGTCCGCCGGAGAGTCCAACGCCGCCGTCGCCTATCTCGGTTAGATAACCACAGGGCAGGGAGGCGATAAAGTCGTCGATGCCGGCGGCTTGGGCTGCAGCGTGGATGTTACGCATGCTGCGGAGGGGAGAGTCTGCGTCGAGTCCGTAGCTGATGTTCTCTTGAATTGTGCCGGGGAAGATGGTGGGTTGTTGGGAGACGATAGAGATCAGGGAGCGGAGAGTGGGTGTGTGAAGACGGCGGATATCGACGCTTCCTAGGCAGATTGCTGGGAAGTTGCTAGTGGATGGTGGTGGTTCGTAGAGAGACAGTAATAAAGATGCGATGGTCGATTTTCCAGATCCGGAACGTCCGACTATTGCTGTGCACGAGTCTTTGGAGATTGTGAAGGAGACATCCCGTAGAACGAAAGTGTCATCACGCGATGGGTAGCGAAATTCTAGCCCAGTAATAGTCACAGGAGCTGCCCGGGAGATGCCTATGCTGCCCCTGTGTTCATGCGATACACCTTCTGGGAGGTTTGCCAGACGCAATAATTGCGCTGCCATGTCGCGTGAGGTGCCAATCTGGGGGACTACAGCATGTCAGTGATGAACAAATAAGGGCAAACAAGATACTCACTCCATGATAACACAGTGCCTGCATATCCAATACTGAACAGCAGCATCGAGAACGTCGTCATGATATCCTTGACCGTAAACTCTGCCGACGACACCAGAACAGCACCATAATAGAATACCAGAGCTATATCACATTAGAGAAGCCCTGGTAGTCCGAGAAATAGTTACTCACCACTAACAAACATAATAGTCGACTCGGCCAACCCAAACAGAACCCCAGTATACCCAGCCCTCTTTAACCCCATCTTCATACACCTCGCTGCAGCCTTAATCTGCTTTTTGTGAAAGAACGGCTCCAGTGTCAACGTCCTCACCGTTCGAACTTCCGAAAAAGCCTCCACAAACACCTCCCCCGCAATCCTCCCAGCCTCATTACTCTTCTTCTCCCAATACCCACTCGTCCCCTCAAACCCCCTCGTAATAGCATAAATAACAGGCCCACAAGCCAACGTTACAAGCGTGAGTTTCCAACAAGAAACAAGACTCCATATAACAGCCAGTACGGTAATCATAACAGCCACCAACACGAACCCCGCAAAACGGCCAACCAAGTTTCGCATGTCCTCACCGTTTTGGTCCAGACAAGCAACGAGTTTGGAGGGAGTGTTGGCTTCGTCTTCGAACCATTGCTTGGGCTGGTCGAGGACGCGGTGGAAAGCTTTCTTGCGGAGAGAGTCGACCCAGGCTTCGCCGCAGAGTTCGAGGAGGTAATGCATAAAGTAGGAGACAGTTGCATCGCCGATGGCAACTCCGAGGACGGCGAGGGACCATCGCGTGGCATTGGCGTGTTTGTCATAGAAGGTTCCGAAGAGTTCGGACATGCAATATGAGAAGAGTGGTGTTGCGCTTGCGTGGCCGAGGGCGCAGACGAAGCCTATTGATAAGAGCAGTCGCTGCAAGTTGGTCAGGTTTGGGATTATGCTTTTCATGATTCCGTAGATAGATGTTTCATTTTGGTGCTTCGAGAGGCGTTCCGGCTTCATCTGATCTCCGTAGGGATTAATTGACTGTCGACGGTTAGTCGCCTCTATAGGATGGAAAGGAGCGACTGAAAGACGACGGTCATGTAGGTCTATGAGCACCGACCTTCGCTTGTTAACGCGAGCTCTGTCAAGTCGTCGCATCGGAATTCCGGGCTGACCAAGAAGATCCTCGTCTCCAAAACCGCCGTTTCGGGTGGGACTTGGTAGCAGTTCTTGGAAGATCGATTTCCGATGTTGCATGTAGGGTGCAGTGGGTGACTTCAGCGGAAGATCGGGTATATTTTCGCTCCTCTCGTGTACACTCTTTGCCATCAAGATATCATCATCCGATGTATCATCCGCAGGGTCATGATGGCCTGAATCGTACATTGTCTCTTGTGATGCCTTTGCGGCGAAGGGATCGCTTTCTGTGCTCTTTTCTAATGCCCTTCTGTACCCTGACTGCACAACAGAGCCATGCTCCATGACATAGACAAAGTCATCGTCCTGGATTTGGGTCATATCATGTGTAATAACAATTGTCGTTTTTCCCTTTCGCCATTTTTGAATCGCCTTCATGATTGCAGTGCGGTTGGCGCTATCCAGAGCGCTTGTAGGTTCGTCGAGAATGAGAATTGGTGTATCCCTTAGCCGTGCTCTTGCAATGGAAACTCGTTGTCTCTGTCCTCCGCTCAAAAAGCCCCCACCGCTACCGACACAGGTATTGATACCGCAAGGCATGTTATCAACCGTACTCTGGAGCATCGCCATATCAACACAATTTTGCACATCGTCTACACCGAAAAATTCACCTTCTCGACGTCCGAGCTCGATGTTGGTGAGGATTGATTCATTGAAGAGCACGCTCTTCTGCTCGAGGAGGGTTATGTTGTTTCGGATCCAGTTGATGCTAAGCGATTCAATCGGATTGCCGTCTATGTGAATTTCACCGGACGTCGGGAGGTAAAATCGCATGAGGAGTTGTCCAAGGGTGCTTTTTCCAGAGCCGCTTTTTCCAATCACGAATGTGGTCTCTCCGGCTGGGAAGAAGAAACTGGCTGAGTTTAGAACTGGTCTTTCGGGCTGTGATGCGTACGCGAATGAGGCCTAAATAGTCAGCCTCTAATCACAAAACAATAATATTGGGTTAAAAGAGGACCTACATTGTTCACTTCGATGTCACCTTCACAATACTGCGGATACGACGCACCCTTCGTCTCATCCGAACGCTCATCCGTCGAATAATTCAAAGTCCCCACCAATGCAGCAGCAGCAACCTTACCCTTCTCTAATACAATAACCTGTGGAAGCCCAAGCTCAATCGACTGAGCAGCTATTAAACAAGCCCAGAACGTCCGCAGGACCTCACCAGCTGACAGCTTACCAGAAATCGCCAGGGAGCTTCCATACCAGAACCCCTGCACAAACATACCAAACATCATCAACCGTATCGTTGCTATTTGCAGAGAGTTTATGCGCGCATGTCTCAGGTAATGCATTGCGGCTTTGTCGATTCGGAAGGAGAAGTTGCGGAGCTCGACTGATTGTGCGTTCAGGCATTTGACAGTGTCGATGGAGGTGATGGCACTGTTTCCGATTTTGGATGCGGTTGTGAGTTCGCCCTGTTGGGCTTCGATGCTGGGTTTCATTTTGGTTGACAGGAAGGCGACGATAGCTGAAAAAACCGGGATTCCTACCAGGGTTACCAAGGAGAGGTTCCAGGATGTATAGAGTGCCAGCACTAGGGATATGATTGTTCGGAAGGCGTACTGCAGGACGATTCCTAGCGGTTGCGAGGTTGCCATCTGTAGATCATGTATCTGGCTATTATGGCATTAGTCCAGATCCGTGATTCCGGGTGAGATCACTCACGCCTGAAGACATGACAAAGAAGCCGCAGTGCCATTCTCTTGCCCTTCGAACCACTCAATCTTCCTTTCCAACAACCCCTGGAAAACCTCAGCGCGAGCACTAGCCGCCTGTTGTTCCCCAAAAACGATGAAGAAGAGAAAATAGCTTCCATTCAGAACCCAATTAGCAATCCCAAGTACCGCCAACTGCACACAGCCGGAGACGACCTGGTCAAGTAGCGTCTGACTTGAGACACTACCAGCGCCGAACAGCATGAATGTGTTGAAGAGATTACCCAGAATGACTGCAAAGAGAGGCATGATGATACCAGCCAGGAGAGCAAAAAATGTCGCCAACGCCATCGTTGGGACATGGTTTGTGGTTATGAAGCTGAATAGAGACATCCATCCGTTCCGGTGCTGGCGTCTTCGTTCCGGGCGAGAGGCGCAGGCGCCTTTGGTAGGCGATGGTTTGGAGCCCATTGCTGGATTTGCCTGCTATTGCTTGTCAATAACTATGTCGCAGAAGAGCATCTAGGCAGTATGGGATATGTCGAGTGGAATGGTAAATAGATATTGGGTACGAACCTGCAGCCATAATGCTGTTATAGACCCTGGTGGGTAAATCAATAACTTCCTAATGCAGTGATACTTATAAAATTATCAGCCTAGAAGAACAATATGATCTTTGTAGTATTGTGGTTATTTTGGTTTGGATTGTGGAGCGTTTTCTTTGTTTATTTCCCCCTGCAGTAGTGGTGAAAAACGAAACAAAGAGTGAATATTCGACGGCACGTAATAAACACAGACTGACGACTAGAACACGACTCTAGTATAATCAGGCGTAAGTAGAACAAGTGGTTAAGATGGTTGAACTCGAAATAATACTTTCTCGGTATTACTCCATTCCGAGAAACATATTTTCGATCCAAAATCAACTTCATAGAGATTTCCTCATTCATGTGAGATCAACTATGTATATTTCCTTGTCACTCACCTGCATTAACACGCAAGACAAGAACATAGGGCAATAGCCCAATCATCCGATCTTTCCAATGCCCGAATAACGTGCTCAAGCATCATGCTATCTCTTTTCTTCCTTCAACATGATTACGCTATTACCCCCGCTGATTGCAGTGCCTGCACTCATATACTATTTCGTTTCCAACCACTACGCAGTCGCTTTCCGGATTTTCTTCTACCAGCTCGTCTGTGGTGACCGAGCTGTAGAACGAATTGTCACGGTCTGCGGTGCCGGGAGTCAGTTACAGTTTTGGCTGAAGTGTTCAACTACGCCCTCGGATTGCTGCTGGTTATCGGAGCAACTGAGTCTCAAATTTGGGCCGTCGTTCGATGGTCAAGGCCGAGAATAAGGGGCGGCAGTGAGGTAATTGACGACGTTAGTAGCCATGAAAAATGCCGGTACAACGGAATTTCTAGTCCGTATCTTCAACAAGAACAACAAATGAGCATCGCTATTTACCAGTATGGTATTCCTTGTGTACAACTTCCGGGCTAGACCTTCAGAAACATCTGGTCAAACCCAATCACTTCCCACTTGCCAGATTCCGTGTTAAGAGTAATATTGGAGTGCTTCGCCTCTCCATCCCGGAAATACCCAGCCTCCACCTCCTCTCCCCCAGCAACCGGCCGTGTAAGATGATTCTCCCCGGCCTTGACAGTGAAGTTGGCAAGGGGAAGATCCCATCCATTACGGCTGGCCACAGTAGGACACCCGAAATACTTAGCCTGCACTTCGTTCTGCGTAACATGCAGCTCATAGTAGCCACGGTAGTATCCTTCAGTCCATCTCATCTCCTCGTTCTTCTTGTATGTCGCTGCTTCAGCCTCAGCGCCGCTGATAGTGCCCCCGAAACCCTCGCTGGACACTGCTGTTCCGGCGAACTCGACACCAATGGCACCTTTGCCGGTTGTGCTGTCGTAGGACTTCTCACCAATCCAGGCAAGGTCGCTTACCCAGTTTGTATGTGTGTCACCGGCGAGCATGATGTTGTTTCCGATCTTGTTGTCGTACAAATGCTTTAGTGTGCGGTTATAGTGTGCGCGGTAGCCCTGCCACCTATCGTCAGCGTTTAAAAAGCACCCTGAGCGGGAAGGTGAAGCCATACATCCCAAGAGTCCAGATTGACTGTGACTTCTCCGGCAATTTCCCGCTTGAGACGAGAGAATCTAAGCTGGCTTCCGATTATTCTCCAAGTAGTGCCTCGGTTGGCAGAGTCGGATAAGTGTCTGTAGAGCCAGTTTTCCTGTCGTGCTCCCATCAGTGATCTTCCAGTGTCGTTTTGAATTCGTTCGATGTATTCGTCGTTCCAACCTAGTACGACAATTAGCACTGACGGATCTGGTATATATCAGATATCTTCCCACCGAGAGACGTGATACTGCGATCATAGTTCCTCGTGTCCAGCATCAACAGATCCATCAGATTACCCATTTGGAAGGAGCGCCAGATGCGGAGGCCATCATCCATGTCGACCTGGCTGTTTGCCATTAAATATACATGTTGTGAGGGAGCGGGAAAGAGGCATACCGAATTGGCATCCACTCGAAGTAGGCCCTGACGGCGTTCATTTTGCGTTGATCAACACTGACCTTGGGCCCAACGTTCAAGAAGGAATCTTCGGTGTTGTTCAGCCCGCTGAATCCGTCTCTGTAGCCGTTGTTGGCGATTTCTACACATTGTTAGCAAGTGACCATCTTATACCAGAGATATTGGTATTCTCACCATGGTCATCCCAGACCGGAATCCAAGCAAAATTCTGGTGCGACGCAGCCAGATCGTGGTCAGTGCGATACTGAAGGTCACATTGTTAGCAGTTTCCCTTAAGTGGAAATAATTATATCTACCTGGCCCAGACGCGTCCGATAATCATGCAGAGTAAAAACCTCATGTCCAGGGCTATGAACTCGCTCGACCTCAGCTGCGTCGGATCCGTATTCGTAAATGTAGTCACCGAGGTGAACCTGAACCAGTTAGCTATTTTACTGTGTTAGAGTAAGGGGTGAGACATGCCACATAGTCAACGTTATCCTTTCTCACGACATTTCCATAAGCGTTGAAATATCCATTCGCTATTAATTGTTAGCTTGTCACAAGAAATGCAATAAAATTAGGTATGCGTACGCCACTGGCTGCAAGAATGAACCGCGAGCTTGATCTCCTCCGTGTCTCCATTCGCAGTAGGAGCAGTCTTGGTCCTTCCAAGGGGACTGACCACATCGGAGTCACAGACATTGAACTGATAATAGTAGGTGGTGAAAGGATCAAGTCCTTTGGCCTCAACCTGTTGCCGTTGTCAAAACTAGCTGTCAGAGAAATCATCTTCTCGAGTGCTGCAAGCTAACATACCTTGATAGTATAATCGATATCGCTACTTGTCCACGCCATCCCTTGATCAATCACCTTCCCTTTCCCTTCCTTATCAAACACCCGATATTTCACACAAACCGGATGCGCAGAAGCCTTCACATACCTCTCCGTCTCATGATTATACAACGGCACATCCCCAGAAACAGTAACATCACTCTCATCAGACTCCATACTCGGTGCCACGCGCGTCCACAGAATCACACTGTCCGCATAAGGATCTCCTGAAGCAACACCATGGGTGAAATTCATCTGGAAGGGTTCGTAGGGGGCTTCATCGCGCTTGGAGAGGTTTCGGGCTGTGACCTTTTCGAGGTCGATTCCAAGACGTGCGTGGCGGAGGGATGGGCTACGGTAGTTAAGGTTTCCGGTGTAGCTTGCTAGAGCTAGGGCTGATAGTGTGAGGAGTGGGATTAGATACCCGGTGAAGACCATTGTTGCAGACCCGATCCTGCGCCTGTTTTACTTCTCTGCTGCGAAGTGAGGTTGCCATTTTCGATTCTTTTATAGATATATTTGTTGTATCTTGGCGAGAATGAAGACAATGATATCGGCTCGTCTACAAGCTGTAGGATGTGCCCGTAGAATCCATAGCCAATAGAGGATAACTGATTTACCACATGCCAGTCAGCTAATTAGAGACATATCCCATATGCTATATGCTTCCATAACAATTGGCTATAGCCAGACGGGGAGATTGGGACATTAGGGCTCCGTGCCTGAATGCCAGGATGCCGGGATGGACGGTGACCTTGGCTAATCTTGGCCCGGGCTATGCACAACGGATAATTAAACGAGCTACCAATCCACGAATACTATCAAGCCTCGTGAGCCTACTAGTTTATCGGAGACTATAGAATAGCCGAGCAGAAATCTTCAAGTGGGTGGATTATGTTAACTCGCCTGAGAACTCCCATTCCCATCTTCCTGCTCGTTTGCTTTCCTATACAGGTATATACTTCTGTATATTTGCACTTCTCCATCGTTGCATTCTATTCCCCAGACCCATTGGCGCGGCAGAAGGGGAATGTCAAGTTCAAAGTGTTCCAAAGTTGGTATATGATAGAGATGTATGTACAAATTCCGACGAGCCCCGAAGAAGCAACTTCAAATTTCGAAGAAAAATAAAAAGAAAAACCTGCTTTTCTCATTTCCTCCCTTCCTTCATTTTTTTTTTTTTTTTTTTTTTTTTTTTTTTTTTTTTCTCATTCTTTTTAATGCCAGTGGAAGCAATACCATGCATTTTGGTACACGATGCACGGAGTGGTCGATATGCGCAGCACTCGGAAGGAAAATGTTGTCCATAAAGTATATTCGGGTCTCGGAAACCAAACTCGATTGGTCCAATCTATATTGTCGTCTAATATCAAATCGTTTAACGTAAATCCGCTATCGTTGGACAATTCCGTGTCTAAGGTCCTATGCATGAGCGAAACCGCGTTTCATGGGTGGCTCCTAGTGGTGAGGACGAAGGAAAGCGTCGCGTCGGTTACGAGCTAGCCTTCTGTGCCTTCTCGTAGATCCAGTCGTTCAGACCAGCGCGGTTTCTAATCAAATTGTATCAGAATACAGCTCCACTCTCCATTTCCATTTTAACACCCCAAAAAAAGAACTTACCTCGCAATCTCAACAGCGTAGAACTGCATGCGAACGCCTTAATTCACCCAACAATGTCAGCATCTACTATCCTACCTTTAAGTATTTATCAGGGCAATATCTTACCGAAAATAGTAGTGTCCTGATCATACTCGTATTTGGGGTTCGTCCGGATAATCGTGCCAAAGTTGAAGTCGTGAATCGTCTTCTCATACTTCATCATCCAGTTGCGCCACTTCTCCTTGCCGGCCTTGCTCTTCATCTCGTCCTCGATGAGTGTCGCCGCGGGGTCGAAGTCGGGGAATTCTTCCTTGAAGTGTGCGTAGATCTCGTCGTCCATCTTGGTCAAGCGGAGCTTCGAGCCGGGGACCTTTTCGAGGATGGCCCAGTATGTCATGAGGTGTTCGACGGCTGTAGTGGTGTGAGCTGGTATTCCGGAATTCCAGTGATCACAGAGATGGGGACCAACCCTTGACCGCGAACTGCTTCTCCATCTATGCAGGAAGCGATTATTAGTATTTCTCAAGCGATGTCGCATGCTTTAGAACAACTCACATCCTCCAGGTTCTGCGCCTGCTCTGGGTCAAATGGCTTCGACATTTTGGCTGGTATGTGTAATGGACTCTTCTAGGAAATCCGTGAAACTATATGCAATGAAAACCGCTTTGCGCGTATAGCAACAGTAATGTTCTGTCTTGAATATGCCCCGCGATCAGTTTTTTTTTTTCGTGAGCGGAGATTTTTGCGCTGCCCGCCCTGAGCCCCGCCGGAGTTGGGGCGCTACGTCATTTACTAATGGAGTATCTATAAGGTTCTATTTAGTAGCAGAAGCGTCGAGATTCAATGCGATATGTGTATTTAGATAGATCGATTATCTATTATAAATCTGGCAATATGGTCGAGATCCAATATGACTCAAAGCACGAAGTGGCAGAGACTGGGTATTCCAGTTCCAAAGACATCGGGCATAGACCCCTAGAACTTAGGTTCATTCGTCGTCGGAATCAGATAGCTCTTCAAATCTTCCTTCCTGTTGTGCCACTCGGACAGGATTCTCCACGTTCAAGATTCCATTCGCTCTAGCCCTGCAGGGGGTTAGTGACGGCTATCTCTCGCAGGAGTTGCGCTACTGGGACATACCTTTCAAAGAGCACAAAGAGTCTTTCCGCTTCCTTCTCCTTCTCTTCTCTGGTCATAGGTGGCTCCGCGTCTTGTGGCTCGGCAGACCACCTCTGGCCAGTAATCGGGTTGATTTCTGGATTCAGTCCACCCGACTCTCCCTCCCCGCCCATCTTGGGAACTTCCATGCCACGAGTTGCCAGGAATCCAGAGGCATATCCGTACCCAATATTCTTCGTGAGGGCCTCAGCATCCCTGTCAGAAAGGACAAACATGAGCTCAAAGATTAATATCCTCAACTGCGAATACGGTGACTTTGTGGTTTCCAGCAGTTTTGAAGGGAGTGTGTCTGATTTCCCTATTGGCTGGCTTCGATTCTCGCTTTCGGGTAGGAGAAGCTGCTTCATGTGTTCGCGAGGTCCATTTGGCGCTCTTTCGCAGACCACGATGAGGGTGTAGAGGAGTGGGATTGCTCTCGATTCGAGTTCAGCTGGGCTGTAGACAGAAATGGTTTTATCCAGGACTTTGATCAGTTTGTCAACGATCCCGTTCTCGTTAGTTGCTGGGAAGAGAATGCCGTCTTCTAGCTGTTTGACCTTTCCCCCTTCATTGTCAAGGACCGAAATACAATTAATCAGTTGGCCGACGACTTCATCTAACGGCTTAGCGGGAATATCAGCACGACTAAGGATCGCAAACATATGAGGGAACGATGGCGAGAAAATTTCGGCCGCTTTAGCATTGCGTGAGGCAACCAGGTAGGTTAATTTCAGGGTATCAGTCAAAGCCAATTCGTCCATCTGAGACAGGGCCGCTTTCCCTGACTCGGGGAACTGGGCTGCATGTCGGGAAATTTGCTACAGCTGTCAGTGCCACGCTACTGCATGTTACAACAGCCGACTCACATAATTGAGATTGATTCCCAATGCATGTTCGTTAACGAGTTTCTCGACATCCATCGTACTCCTGTCTGAAGAAAATAATAAAATCCGACTGGCCATCATTTCATCATCTGAGGCATCACACTAGCCTTGGTATCAGCATCATGATGTTAGTCATGGTAGCTCTGCGCATACCTTGAGTCCCTCTGCAAGCCTACCAGAGTATCCAGTGTCTACAAAGACCTGACGCATGTTCGGATTTAACAATAGAGCATTCGCGACACAGCGCAAAGCAGACCGGCGAACGTCAGCGATTTCTCCGTCCACGCCGTATTTCATTAGAATTTCGAACCCCTGTTGCCGTCAGAAAAAGGCCACCTGGAATACACCAGCCATCACTTACATCCTTGGAATAGATTGGATCAGCATCTTTGGGGTTTGTGCCATGTTGCCGTAGCTCTAGGAGAGTCTGCACTCTTTCTGCGTTGAAGAACCCGGGGTTAGAATAGCACACAGTATCCCCCTTTTCCAAACATACGCTGAGATGTCAAAGTGCTCTCCTTTAAGTCCTTCTCGAGAGACGCCAGTAACTGAGTAACTTTCTGCAGCTTGGCTATAGAAACCTCGGTGTTAATACTTCGCGTATTATGAATGTGCCATACCGGTCTGCCGTACCTGCGCCTTGAAGCATCCCAAATTGCATCATCTTTCACGATAAAGCCTGTCGTTCAGGCGTCAATGTAGTCAGCGGTCAACTCCTGTTCTGGGAGACTCCTGGTATGCGGAATAAGGACAAGATGGCGGAGATAGCATCGGAGCCCCACTGGATCTCCGTAGTAAGCAGCTTATTGCGTTCTGCAGAAATTGCACCTGCCAAGTATTCTCTGGGGGTATAAACCTCGACTTATGAGAGTAAACACAGAGTGTTGAGTGCTGATAATATTTAGTGGCATCGTATGTAATGCAATCACTAATGTATGACACTGTGTATCGACACCTCAGGCAATGACAGCGCCACAGCCACTTAACGCGTGCACCAGCCACAGTCGCGATGAGGCGCGTCTTTTTTGCCAGCGACAGGGCTTGGCGCGGTCGTCCACTTCAGGTACCGGCCAGACATCGATCCTCATCACCTCGTCTCTCGAACTGCCAGTCGGGTTACCAGGACATGGACGGAGTTGTTTGAGTGCTGCAATCGTTGGCCCGAGCCGCAATGTTCATTGCCTTTCCTCCTTCTTTCCCGTCTTCAAGTTCTGCGCCGTGCAATTCTTTGAAATATGGTGGAAGCTGTCGCCGGTCCGCCAACTCCACTCAGGAAAACACCTCGTGTGCCGGCTCATGACGAGAATGGTCAAAACGAAGCCTCTCCCGTAATCTTTCAAACACCAGGGCCTTCGCCTTTTTCCGTGAACGGTTCCGCCGATGTTCCTTCTACTCGGCAGTCGAAACGAGTCAACTTCTCTCCATACCCGAGCCATGTCATACCGCCATCAGTCGCCAGTATTGCGATGAATTCGAAATCAGACCTGAAGACACTAACGCCGTCGAATGAACGCAAGCCCTCAAAGTCCATCCTCAAGTCGACGAACACGCCGGTTCCCGTGAACACCGCCGAAAGCGAACCTGTGACCCCCGGAAATTTCATCATGCTGCTACACTCTATTGCAGAACAACTCCGGGGAGAGTCTACAACTGCGAAACTCGACGCTTATATGCATTTCTTTGGGGTACTGAGGACATACGAAGGGGTACCGACACTGCAAGAAGTATCGGAGAAACTGGGCGTGATAACAGACTACATGCGGAAGGATGTCACCAGGGATCTTGAAAATGCGGCACCAGTGGACATCAATCTTGTCTGCCAGGCTCTAAAACTGTCTGCGGCTCTCATCTGGCACACCGAGATATCCCGGCAGCTGTCGGATGACTTCAGGGCTTTTCTGGTCGATCACTCCATCGATAGGCTTCACGATGCCAAGGTGCCCAAGTCCGTATTGATCCATTGCATGTCTATTCTATCCAGTCAGAATTTCGGCTCGAAAATTATGAACAATGCACGTCTGACACGTCTGCTCAATGGGCTACGCGATATCAGTGACAGAGTGAACGGGAATGGAATTGTCTCGCAGCGGTTGTGCATCTACCATCGTCTCCTCGAACAGTTCAGGTCATTTTTCATTTCTCAGGCAGCTCTATGGATGGAGCATCTTATTTCTGGACTGCTTCATCCCGTCAAAGACACAAGAATCAAATCGATTTCCCTCGGCTCACAGTTATCTAAGATCGCTGGGCCCAATGCAACGCTATCCAAGACTATCCGTGAGATATTCGACAAGCCACTCGGCAAGAGCAAAAAGCTAGTGTCTGAGATTTGCGAGAGAATGTCTCGGATGATGGCATCTACCGACACCAGCTCCCATGTTCCTCAAATTTGGACCGTCATTGTTTCCCTTCTGAGATCCAGAGCGTTGAACATTGACCAATGGGAGCATTTCAGAGAATGGGTCCTCGTTCTCCAGAAGTGTTTCAATTGCAGCGATGCGGCAATCAAGGCCCAAGCTATACTTGGGTGGAACCGGTTTGTCGTCGTCGTCGGCCCTAATGAAGCGACCAACCCGTCAGTGATCAAAATGCTGAGCAAGCCCATCTTCTCCCAATTTGAACGAAAAAAGCAGGAGAAAAATGGAACATATCCGAACCAATTGGCCGTGTCTAGTTACTTCAACCTCTTATATTTTTCTTTCCATCCAACCGCCACTCACTCATTCCTTGACACGGTCTGGCAGGATTACATTGCTTCTCCTTCTTCCACTATATTTTCCTCGAATTCGACGCTAAGCAACCATGTTGCACATGCTCTGTCATACATGCTATGGAGCTCGCATACTAGGGTTTGGACAGAAGCCACAATAAGCCAATGCACCAAGTTCGACCCTAGCTTCTTGCCGGCACTCGAGTGTAAGTGGACCAGATCGCGTATCACGTCGGTTCTCAAAGTCTTCGAGAATCTCTTCAAGTCAGCGCCTTGGACAGATGGACAGCCCGGGCAATCATATATCGCAAATGCCTGGGGCAGCCTCTCGAACGCCTTGTCCTATGCTTCGAGCAAAGAGATCACACCGACGCCGGAGTCAATGCAGGCTGTTGCCGCAGTACTTGGGCTCCTTCAGCGCTTATGGAAGTCTGGACCATCGTCACTTAACGCAGCTGGCAACTACGATACATTCTTTGAGCGGTTCTGTTTTCTGTCTACTAAGATCATCTCAGATCTTGGAAGCATCCCATTTACCGAGAAACTTCTTTTGAAGACATCTGATGAAACATTTCAAACCGCTACCACACCCACACACCGCGGTCAACGGGGCGACTCAAACATAAACACCCCTATTGTGCATTTATTGCGCCTGGTCAGCGATATTTCTGGTGTTAACGAGCCAACTCAGTCTTACTTGGACTTGGTTAATGGCACGCTTGAGGCCTTCTGTGACGGAAAAGAGACCAGAGGTTCACGCCTGGATCTCCTTTGTCAGTGTGTGGACTTACATCCCAGCGAAACCAATTCTCATTCTGCGCAACATAAGTTTGACCAGGTTGTCTGGGAATGCACGGCACAATTTGCTATGGATGCTTTGTACCGTCTGAAAGAGTCTAATCGTGCACCTTCACCACGCGACTACGAAAGTGTTGTCAAGATTCTCTCCGCGGGTTTGAAATTTGCCGATGTTTCTCAATTTTGGGGCCAACTCCTTGGCTCGTTTGCTCATGCTACGAGGACTGAAAAAGACGACCAGGCAATTAAAACGATGGTCCTCGAGCCAGTTGCTGAGGCTGCGACGCAATTCCACAATCGACTTGTTTACACGCCTTCCATTTCACTATTACTACTTCTTCTGTCCGTGTCATGTGAACGCCCGGACATCTCGCAGACCGACGTAAGCCATGGGTTGCATCTTCCGAAGAAGCTTCAGACGCTGGTCCACGAAACACTCAGAGAGTCCTATGGGGCCTTTGACCCAGCGAGCAGTGCAGGCGCTGCGCCCTTTATCGAATCCCTTGCATCTTTCCTGGAGTCCGGGGATCTGAATTTCCGGTCCATGGTTCTTGAAAAGCTCCAAGGACCGCTTGTCCAGTGGTTAAAGGACGAAGTGCGCAAACTGGATGCCGAATCTGACGTAGGGAGTAGGCATCTGCTTGCTGTAAGTGAACGAAAGAAAACACTGCTTATTGTTTGCGATATGTGCTAACTTAGTGATAGTGTCGCGTGCTTTCATCGGCTGTTCTAAATATCATTCAGATGTCGCTGTCCAATAACCCCCCGTGTCTACAAAAGTTTGAGCCTATCATTTGCGGAGGCTTAGAGTCATCCCATGTTTCGATATCAAAGCGGTTTGTAGACATGTTAAACACCATGTCGAAATCTGACGGATCGCTTGTCTACAGCGATTCTATATCGCGTGCTTTGCAGTTATGGGAATCGAATAATCGGATTCAGCCACCAGCCTCCTCGCCGTTGGTTAATGGCTCACAGGTATGTTCTCGGGAAGGTCTATTTGATTTAAGTTCCGTGCTGATTTGTTCAAAGGTCAATATCCATACCCACGCGGCTAATGGCAATTCGGCCCCCGACTCACCCAAGCCACATCAGACATCTGAAATTCCAGCTGTGGCTTCGCATGATTCATCACCGGTTGTCAAGGTGGATGGTACTACAATGGTTTCGCCAGGAGGCCAAAACCAATCCCCATTGCCAGAGCAACGCCAAGCAGATGAACTTGCTTTCATGCAAGGCGCAATACCGCTCTCAGCTGCGACCGCATCACGCAAGAAGCGTGAGGAACTCTTTTCAATGATCGAGAACCTGCGGTCATCGTCTCCTGCCATCACGCCAAAGGAGCTCGGATTCATGACTCCTCCCCACCTGCGCAACTTCTGCAACGCTGGTCGCGATGCTGAGCCTCCATTGACGCCTACTCTTCCGGTCGCCGCAGCTGAAAATGAGGACGTCTTCCTTGGCTCATCCCCAACACCTAGTATAAGAAACCGGCCACAGTCTTCCCAGGCAAGGCTCACCTCGTCTCAAAGGGGGAAGACACCCGACACCCATGCCAATACAGATCCCCCGTCCTCTCCTCCCACCATCAAGTCGCCGAGTCCAGACCGCCAAGAACCGCAACAGCCAGCGGAACAGGAGAACACGATGAATGAACTGACAAGTCCTCGCAAGTCTCCAAAAAAGAAATCCAAGAAAGACCGCTCAAATGCCAATCCCTTGAAAGAAAAGCCCGTCAGCAAGCGGTTGCGCTCTTCGAAGAAGTCTACTCAGAACAAGCAATCTTCGAAGAAGACGGAATCAAACATGCGATTCGAGGAAGCTAGCGTATCCACCCCGTCAGGAATTCCCAACAAACTGCCTAGCACAGGCGGTGTGAGCAACACCATTGCGGAGTCATTCAACGAGGAGGTCAATGAAGACGTGGAGTTCCAAGTTGCATCTCAACTTGAGCTAGACTTGGAAAATGCCGCGGATCATGAAGTGGATACAAAGGACGAATCAACAGAGCTCCCCAACAGTTTTCCCATGGCGAAGAAGAGAAAGCGTGGTGTTGAAGACGTCCAAACTCCTAGGTCAGAGAAGCGCCGCTCGAATCGCCTAACTTCTTCACAGTCAGCTGCCATGGATATTGTTCCGGAACTGAGAAGCACACGCTCGACGAGGACCTCGGCCGTTGCTTCTCAACATAATGATACTTCTCCCAAGTCGTCGCCGGCTCAATCTGCTGGTAAGAGACGAAAGGAGCAAGAGAAGTTTGATGTCGAGTCAACTGAACCAGCAATGACAGAGCAGGAGCAGGTCGCAGGTAACTTTGAGAACAACTCTCAAATGCCGGAATACTCTCAAAACCGGAGAAGATCGACTCGCCTTGGCACGGTTCCTGAGCAATCTGCCGCGGAAGAAAGCCCTCGGAAGAAGTCTCGGAATGCGAGACGCGCTCGTGCGCGCCAGGCCAACAGAGAGAACCGCCAGAAGAATATGGATACCAGTCAGGAGACTCAAGAGACTAGTCAAGAAACCAGCCAGGATGTGAGCCAGATTCCGGACTCGCATCCGCAGGAAGAACAATCCTTTGCAGAAAGCGTCGTTGTACAGGATACTGTTGGTCAGAAAGGAGAGAAAGAACCAAACTTTCCGGTTAAGCAGAACGAAGTCCAGGAACTGGAATCTTCAAAGCCTACTTCTACAGAGCAGCTCGCTGAAATCCAATCCGACATTGAAATGAACCGGCCTGAGGTACAGCCGGAACAATCCACCACACAGCCTGATGTCGAAATGGAAGACACAATTACGGTTCCTAAAGTCGAAACCAGTGAACTAGCACAGGAAGAACATTTCTTTGCGCAAGCCACCCAGCCCGAAGTGCCCACTGAAGCGCCCACTGAGAAGGACGCAGATACCCCTCAATCAGGCCTCATCCGCTCATTCGAGCAGTCACTGAACGATCTCAAGTCCACCACCTTGGACGAAAACAGTCTCCGACAACTCGATGAACTGCTATTCAAGATTCGAGTCGAAGCGCATGATGCGTTTCGGAGACATACTGGTTAAGTTGCATACATGCATAGCGATGGCGTTGATTAAGTCTTCTTTTTGTTTGAATGTTTCCTATTAGTTCCTGGTTAGACTTGGCTTTTGTTTCATTTTGCAGCGCTGTTAGTTTCTTTTTCATTTGTATTTGTTTGCCTAATGTTTCTGTTTGGGTACAATTATGGTGGCATCATGCTTATACTTCATATGTTATATCCTGGGTTTGGAAAGGGGCTGTATATGGTATACATGAAAAGATGCTATAGACAAATATCATGTTTTCATTAATTGGACAGCTGCTCTGGTATACATTTATGGCCTCGGTTCTCTATGCGGAGGTCGAGTTCTGTATATCAATGTCAACTCAACCCTACCAGATTGATCATGAATCTTCCACAAGATATATTGTCACTATTTACTATATCACAAAGCATTTACAAGTAATTCAAGCTGCCGGAGCATCCGAATCATGAAACTCCCCCAACTTCAATAACCTTTTCGCATTATCCCTCCCAATCCGCCTATACGCATCAACACCCCCCACAGCCTCCCGAATCACCTTCGCCTCATTGTCCCACCACCCACACCCATCCTCAATCTTTTCATATGGATAATCAACACTAAACAGCACCCGATCCGCCCCAATCTCATCAACAACATACTTCAGCGTCCTTGTCGAGAAATGCCCACTCGTCGTAATCCAGATATTTTCCTTGAAATAGTCATAGATACTCTTCTTACACATGACATCCCCGGCCTGCTGCGCAATGGGTTTTTTAACATCCTTGAACCAGTGGTTTATCCGCCAGAAGTCAAAGGGAATATGCTCGCCATCATGGCCGATGATGACCTTTGCTGTGGGAAAGCGGTCGAAGACGCCGTTTGTGATTAGGCCGAGGGTGTGTAAGTTAACGCCGTTGGCGAAGGAGAGTGGTGGGCCGATTAGGTATGAACGCTCGCGGTAGAGTTTCTCGTAGATGACGTCTGCGGGGGCGGCGGGGTGGATGTACAGTGGGACGTCGAGGTCTATGAGTACTTTCCAAAAAGCGTCGTATTGTGGTTGATCGTAGAAGAGGTATGTCTCGCCATTGGGACCGGCATGCTGAAAGTCGCAGAGCAATGCCCCATGGAATCCTAGCTCGTTCACACACCGGCGCAATTCCACTCCCGCCTGCACGGGGTCATGCATTGATAGACAGGCAAACGCACCCAAACGGTCACGATGGTCCTTAATCTGCCCTGCCACCCAGTTATTAGTTTCTGTAGCTGTCTTCTCGGCCTCTGCTTTGTTGGTTATGCCCTGGATTCCAGGAACGGTTAGAGAGACGACTGTGTAGCCAATGCCGTGCTCGTTGGAAAGACGGAGGCGTTCGTCGTGGATGTCGTTGATTTGGCGCATGTAGCGGTCGCGGTCACCAGGGGCTATATAGAGGGATGCTTCGTGTTGGGACTTTTGTTGCATCCCGGGGCGTTCGTAGGCTTCTTCGAGGACGATTTTGCCGAGCATTATGGTGGTAGTGTGTATATTGTTTCGGGTATTTATATTGGGGTTGGGACACCGATACTGATGCTAGGGATGTTTGGGTGATCTTATACTTGACTCTGAGAGCTCCTGTTCCGCTGTATCATGCCATTGAGATCATTGTCGAGAGCAGTATCCGATCGGATCCGACGCATTTTGGCCAAAGAATATTTCTCATAGCTTTCTCATACCTTCATTTCAGGAACAGAGTAACCAGTGACGTATATCGACAAGCCGGATTAGGCGTCTTGATGCTATCACGACGTCAGACGGTCATTCAGCCGATAAACTAATCGGATATATACACCTTGTTTGAGTGGAACCATAGGGCATAGGGCAATTAACGCATCCGAAATCAAGCTGGATGGCTTTGGCATCTTCCGATCTATAGCTTCCGACGGATTACCCGATCGATCACTCAGCATTATCTATATAGTATGAGAATGAATTCAATTCAAGAAGAGCCCCATTGAATTACTGCTCTTTTTCTGGCGTGGTGAAGCGATACCTCGGATTTCTTCCTGACTTTGGCTCGAAGGTTCCATTTGGACTCCCAACATGAAGCATCTCTCTGCATAGCTGCACGGTGACCGCGAAACATGCCTATTTTGGAAAGAGACATGCTATTTGGCATACTTTACGTAGTGTAGTGCCGCACGAAGATTTTCTTGATAGATACCTTCACACCACCATGAGCAAGTGCGAGCAAACACCTGCTTGTTGTTCTGTGGGCATGGAGATTATGGTTGGAGTGGGCGAGAGCTGCCTAGGCGGGTTGTTGGATGATCTGCTTTGGATAAAATATGCAGTGGCACGATAGGCCTGTAAATATATATAGATCGTATAATAAAGAAATATATTTGTTTCATAGAACTTGCTAATGGCATACCGACAAGCTTAAATATGCAAAGCAAATACGTATAGAAAACCATAGGATTAGAATAAGCCTGATAAACCCATAACAGAGCCAGATTGAACGCCACTAACCCAGACATAAGCTCTCATAATTCTCTTCTCTAGGTACATTTGCTGAGTCCCTCCACCAATCCAAGGTTAGTCTCTAGTAGTCTCCTTGCAGGCAGCAGGATCCCATTCAATTTCGTCTCCGTTTCCGTATGCGTACGGATATCCTGTCTTGTCGGCACCTTTGATGCCAGCCTTTTGGACGAAGTTCTTGGCTTTGTCAACGCTAAACCCAGGTCTTGGAATGCTTTGGACTTGGTGACATCAGTTTCTCTGCAACAAACGATGTCCTTGGCCGCTGGGAGGTTAATTGTTGCTCATTTCAGTTGGTACAAGGTGCCTAGCTCTCCCCCAACTATATTCGTGATCATTGGTCTGACACTTGGCATTTAGTATGGCTCCCTACAAATCGCTTGCGGAATCGCAACGGTTCCATGGCCCGGTTGACTTTCTTGGAAGTTTGCAACTGTCCAGTGGATTCTGCCATTAGAAGAGAGCTATTTTGTCTATCAGGAGTGCAAAAGTTTGTAAGTGAGCGGGGATGGAGAAGTATTTGGTGTATGGTGCATTAAAGGGGAACTGAAGCGTCAATTTGCTTTTGTCGCGGATGATAAACGGCTTGCTGCAAAGTACAGGGAGGTGGCTGGGTGGTCTTATCGTCAGATGCTTGTTTATGAGGAAGACCGCGAGGGCCAGTAACAACGATCAGTATCAGCCTACTAGAGGATATGATACCTTCCACGACCCATGGCGTCACCTCACCGAGTACAATACCATTACTGGAAATGCTTGGGTTCTTACAGCACGACAATTGATTTAATTTAAAAGGAAGAGGGGACCATTCACTACTACTCTTTGCCCAGCGCAGTAAAGCAACGTTTCTCATCTTAACTATAACTTCGTAATCATCTCTAATCATGGCATTTCTCTCTGGCTAAGTGGTATTTCCTATTTCTGAGATCCACGACGTAATCCCATCCGTCAGCACCTTGTTCCGGCTCAACCGAGAAAGTTGGTCTTTTAAGTGCACTCCGTACGTACTAAATAACAGGAGAAACTGCGAATTTGCTGGTGACTCGAACAGTTTTATGGTCCAACGACCATTAGATACAAAAGCACAGTGTTTGAATATATGTATGGCCTCAAAAGCAACTCCATTTGGACTACAGATGTCACTATGGAATCGTTCAGAGTCCGTTTTGGCAGAAAACATGCTGCCAGGCATATCAGCGGGTTGTCTATGTGCTATACAGAATAAGGGTCTCCTTTACAAATAACTAAGCGCTGCCAATGTACAAGTGCTAACGAACACCTGATATCTGCTCTGTGGGTACAATAAGATAAAGTCGAAGCGCAGCCTCGCTTGTCTGGAACTTCGAACCATATAGAAAACGCCATGGGAACTCTAAGATTTCCACAGACGGCCGTGCGAACTCAAACTCGCGAGACTACCGCCAACAGCTATCACGCCCGTGTTAGGGTCGGCCGATTTGGCACACTTGATGGCTGGAGCATCGAGAAAAGATATCCTGAGCCTTATCATCGGCTTTCTTGTGTTCGCATTCGGATATAGTGATGTTGCAGCTTCATATTTGGCTGAGTTCACCCAGCCTTTTTGTGTAAAATAATGTTTTTTTAACTTCCCATCACAGCCGCCTTACCTCGATTGGGGACAGATCTCGAGAGCAGCAGCTGTGTATGTGTGATTTTCTGCAATTATAATTACAGAATACATTGTTATAGTATAAGTGAACAAGCTGTAAGTCTTGATAGAATTCTATAGGGGTATATGAGTCTAACTGTACTCTATACTAGCTGCGAAATCATAGACAAGCACGGAAATAAGCAAAATAATGTTGGGGCACCTGTGTGATCTCGACTTTCATTTCATTAGACACAGCTCAAGTTTTTGAAAGGTGCCGATAAAAGCATGCGCATGACTGTCGCAGTGGACAAGCTCTACGATATGTGTCTTTGCAAGGACACAACTGCAGTGAAATCTGTTCTCGCTATCCCCCAATTACAGGGGTGTTAGAATCTCGTGCACTTTTAAAAGTACAGGTATTTCTCACTAAATTATTGGCTTCTGCGACCATACTGTTGATCCTAAGGTATGTATGGTCGACTTGACTGTCACAGATACATTCGATAAGCTGCTACCGACAGGGCAAGACGCAGTGACTTTACTATTCGATATCTAATGAGACATAGGTACACTACAGGAATTAGATTAACGCTCGAAGACATATGCCAGAGCGGCCTTGTCCATTTTGATGTAGGGCACCCAAATCACTAATTCGAGTTAGACGCCAGGACCATAAACCCAGCCCATATATAGGCAGACTCAATGTGATGGATGGCGAAGAACGGTTTGCAAAATCTATAGGAACGTACTACTGGAGGTTCGTTCCAGCCTCTAATCTGTTTTGCAACTCTTGCGAGAGCGCAAACCAGAACTGGTGTGTTGTTCACGAGTGCAAGCTGCATGATTATGCAGAATATAAAGACACGGTAAATGGCTTCTAAAAATTCTACGAGAAGAGACAGAATGGCCACGAATGTGCGAGGCTCACGTCATGCTTAATGCAACTGGAGAACATCTTGAAGCCCTTGATGATAACCCGATGAACGGAAGCCTGCCCAATTGGCCTCATTGGAGGTCGGTATTTGATGGCATGAGACTACAACAGTAACGGCGGGTATGGTGAGGCTACTCCGGATAGCTGGGCTTTGAAAGCGAGGATGGCCACGGCGAAATCGTTCTCGCCATGAATTCAATTCTCTAATCGTGGCTAAGTGCCTTGCTGAATCTCTGAGGGTTTATGCATTTCCGGCAAACGATGGATTTTCCACTTTTTTCTAGCCACATAACCACAAAAACAAAATAAGCAAATATAGTTATAAAAAAAAATCGAAGGCTATTATTTCCGATCTACATATCATAAAGAACTTGAGATATGAACCGTGGTAAAGAGTAGTTCTAGCCGAAAAGTTTAACCAATAACATAGATATTTACCATAAGTTAAACACATAATTCAACGAAAGCGCTAGTGGTCAAGTGGTTACGATCCCGTCCTCCCAGCAGTTGGATAGACGGTGGCCCGAGTTCGAATCTCGGCTGGCGCACGTATTCTTTTTTATATATATGTTATATTGTTATATATTTCAACTTTGTTCTATTGAGTTTACTCTTTTTTCTTTTTTTCTTTTTTTTTTTTCTTTCTTTAGGGGCGGGGTGGGAAGGGGTGGAGTCCTTTCTCTATTTTTATTTTGATATTGAACGTTTTAATTGGGCCTCTTGTCTTTGGCCTAGAATTTCTCTATTTGGTGGTCAAAAATACGGAGTACGTTTTTTTGATGGAATCTATTCAGTCATCAGGCTAATATCGCTGTTTACCCAGTAGTCATCAGACATCATTATCATAAGCATAAGGATCGACAGTTGACCATCACAGTCCAGCCCGAATCAACTGTCCACCCTCCCAGGAGTCACCAGCCTCCAGAGTTTGCCATCCAGCAACGGAACCAGCCTCAACGCAAATCAACTTTTGGTACGCCTCGTCAGGACCAAGATCAGCAATCGCCTTGGTCTTTTCGATCCAAGGGTTCCAGACCACAATGTCGTTCAAGGCCTCGCGGGTAACGGAGAAGAGCGGCTTGTTACCATCTGTAGAGGAGACGACAATGGGGACTGTGGGATCCAGGGCCTGGTAGACACGGTCTGTTTCGCCGGTGATGGGAAGAGCGGAGTGGCTTTCGATGTGGGTGGTTGCGTTTTGGACCTTGTCGACGTAGGTCTTGGATTCGAGGTTGTTGACACGGATCTTGGAGATATCCTGTTTTGGTCAGCCAATGGCGCAACGAATAAACGCGCAAGGGCAGATTAATCCAACCCACCTCGATACTCAGATAGGTATGCATCAAGACCTGGAACTCAAAGTTCTGGCTACCGTTGTTCTGCACTTGCAGCGACGTTCTCAAACCCTCCTTGCTCAGCGTGACACTGTACACGAGCGCGAACTCGTGTGGCCACGCCTTGCGGGATTCCTCGCTCAGTAACGTATGTGACAGTCCAAAGTCGAGCTTGACGGAGTCATCGCCTTCTTTCCGGTCCTTCCCCAGGGATTCCGAAGAGGATTTGCCGAGAAACTCCCAGTTCGAGTTGCGTGCGAAGCCATGCTGGGGCAATGAGGATGTAGCGTGGTTCTGCGAGGTACCGAAGACCTAAATCAAGAGTGTTAGCTTAGATGTATTTTAGGCGTTGATTGATAAGAGCATGTGGTATAAGACATGTAAACGTACAGGGAACACAACTGGAATTCCACCGCGGATAGGCTTGGAGCCATCCAGATGAGCCTTTTCGCTCATGAACAATTGTTCTTGGCCATTGGCAAGTTTCCAGGACGTCACCGTGGCACCGAAAAGATGAACAGTGACGGATTCGCCGGTTGGCAAGGTGGCTTCAATCTTGTTCTCGCGGAGAGAGACGGTAGGCTGAGGAAGCGATGCACCAACCCCGATGGCGGAGGGCTTGTTGGATCTGTCCATATTTACAGTTGTAATTGCTTTTTACCAAATAATAACAAGAGGAAGATGTGTAGGATAAGTGATAGAGGGTAATGAAGATCGAGCTGTACTATGGAGAGTTCAGCTGTAGGAGCTGTCGGAGATGCGGAGCCGACATCGCGGGGCAACGTCATCCGCAGCTTCACTTGTTTTTTATACACCACTTCTATACATTGCATAAAGAATGGACTTGAAGTTAATATTAACATAAAAAACACAGTGCTCTATCAATCTAGGATCAAGATGCTAACATAGCTATCCATGTTGCCACATGACAGTTGTGGTTCCCTCAAGGCTAACCTTCTCAATCTTCCACATTTCGTCAGGAGTTAATCGCCATCCCAGCGCCTGCATATTCTGCACAGCCTGCGCTGCGCTACGAACCCCAGCCACCGGTAAAACACCCTTGTTGATGTTGAAATTCAGCGCCACAGCCGCCATTGGAACCTGTCTATCCTCGGAGATCCGCTGTAGGACGTTGAGGGTCGGATCGAGCATGTGCATAGGATAGCTGCTGAAACGATACGTACGTGGAGGCTCGTTGAACCGCGAGTATTTGCCAGTCAGCCGGCCCTCTGCCAGAGCAGCATAGCCTTGGAAAACGATTCCACGGCTATGGCATTCGCGGATTAGTCCTGATGTTTCCGGGTGCCGTCTGATGACGGAGTACTCGCATTGGTTCACAGCAAGGGGGACGCCATGAGATGCAAGTTCATCGGCCATTTTGATCATCTCTTCTTTGCTGTAGTTGGCGACTCCGACTACCTTAGCCTTGCCGGTGTTTACGCACTCAGCGAGACCTTTGGCCACTGTCGAGATCATATTGAGATGAATGGGCCCATCTACCATGTAGATGTCCACATGGTCAAGACCGAGGTTCTTCAATGATGATTCGAGATCGCGGTGTGGCCCGCGGGATTGGAGTAGCGTACTCGTCAAATTGCCCCAGGCTTTCCATTTGGTCTGGATCACAAAATTTTCCCGCGGCATCTTTTTGAATAACTGTCCGCAGATACGCTCGCTCTCTCCATCTCCGTATGCCTGATCCGTGTCAACGAAAGTCAACCCAGCACCTTGCAGCTTCTCCCAAGCTTCCATAATTCGAGGGAAGTCATTGACAGCGTTGTATTTCCAGGTAGCCTTGTCTCCCCAGGACCATGCCCCGATACAAATGTATGGGACCAGGACATCCTGATTCTTCCCGCGCAGTGCTATACGGGCGTTGACATCCGGTGTGATGGATGCTGGCAACACATACTCATCCTCGCTGTATTTTGGATCCACTGGCTTGGGGTGAGGTGAGTGTATGCCCTCTGTTGCTGACATACCAAAGGTCAAGCCTGTCTGAAAGGCATATTGTGCTCCAGCTGCGGCCATCTCGGTTATTTGATGGACGTTAGGAATCACCTATGAAAGATGCGAAGATTGTATTTGCCCAACTTATTAGTAGGGCAGGATAAAGAACAATGTTTCATATTATCCCCAGATGTTGGGATCAACCCCAGATTTTATTCAGCAACGCCTGGGGAAGCGTGGTGAGATTTTGCCTCACCAGGCATCATGATGACATGCAAAGACGAGCCCTATGGCTGCGGACCTAATCTCCGACTTTCAACTACGGCGAACGAAGGCGAAGTACGGAGCGCTCCGGTTGCCACGTCCCAGTTGTATGGTTTGTAGAAGTAGCGATATTCCATTAAAAGTCCCATGGACAAGGGGTCCTATTGATTTCTGCGCGTGATGATTCAGGTACTGAACAAGCTTATTCTATGATCCTATTTCCCCCCACAATGTAGTAAAATGCTTGTCATTATAACGGATGGTGTGGTCATCTTTCCGAGAAACGAGTTCTTTGTTGAGCTCCATTTTCTCGACTACAGGGACTCACGGGCACGATGGGACCCAACACTCCCAATAGATTTCCCTAAGGCAATTTTGAAGCTATGGTGATCGAGATAAAAAAGGTGAAATTGCACGAGGGACAGATCATGTCACTAGGTGACTTGGACCAGAGTGCATTTATGAACGCTGCGACTGGAAAAATCGAGCTTACCAACCATCTAAGTGATGGTATTCTAATTCGACAACTCAAGACGAAAACAAAAGCATTGAACAGATACTACTGAAGGGTGAAGACTCAACTCCGGTAAGGTAAGCATGCGGGATCATTCGATCATCATACAAAAAATGCGCAGTGCATCTGCCGGAGATATAGTGTTGGCAATAGATTTGAGTCCAGCCAAGAACGAAGTTCATCAATACAAGAAATTCAAAAGGGCAATTTTCATCTTGAAGCTGGGTGTGAAACGGCCGCTGGCATCATTGATGTCTTTGTTCTATTTGCATAAGATCGATTCCAAACATGAAGCAAGATGGTAAGTACCAAGCCCCACCGAACTGTATTCTTGTGGCAAGAGGAAACTGGGATGCATATTTCTACCCTTATGCAGCGAGGGCATATTTGTTTGCGGGGTTGCTTAAGGGGTGGTACACTGGCATTCGTGGGATTGACTGAGATGTCAATCAGCATTTTCCCCATCTGAATGGAGAATTGTATTGAAGAGTGATAATGTGGGTTGGGGAGAGCACCTGCGCGTCGGCACGAAGAATCGGAGGATTCAGCATGAGGTTTGTGGCCAGCATTGGCCTGACAGGTACGCTGCTACAGTTTCTTCAATGGCTTTACGAGTGCAGGCACCTTAGGGTGGATTATATACAAGCAAGTATGCCCGACTGCTGTCGTTCATGGAATAATAAGCTACTTAATGGTCTATTCATGTGTTCTCTGTTACTCTTGTATTAATTGTCAAATGACCAAAATTGATTAAAATCCCTAACCAAAACGCCGTTCGCTATGCTCATGACCTAAAGACGCCTTAAAAAGATGTTCCGTTATATAATGCAAGAAGCCGCCACAAAAACAGCGAGAGAGATCATATCTTCTCGTCGTTTAGACCAGAACCGGTAACAGCTGCCATCGCTGCTCCTTCAGTAGCCGGTCTAGAAAGTCCCAATGCACTCGATGCATCTCGCTTGGACACTTCTTCATCGACAAAACAACCCAATCCCGCAAATGCCTCGAGCAGAGTACGTGAATAATACTCCCGCAGGTCGTATCCACCGGCCTGCACACGAGTATCCTGTCTGATGGGATCGAGATAACCAGACGGGTAGTGGTCTCGCAACATAAAATAATCCCGTTTGTCCGGCACCAGTCCCATAAAAGGATCGTACGGCTTCTCTGGTTCCGGGGTCTTGATCTTCTTCAGACCCTTGATCAAGCCAGTACCACCCGCCCTCTCTGTCGGCGCCACTGGACCTCCAGCCTTCTTAGCGTCCGAGTTCCGCAGCGTAGCTTGTTTCTGTCGAATCCGCTCTTCCTCACTACGACGAGCAGAGGACTTCTTGAGGAGAACCTTCTGACCCTCGCGTGCGATAGACGCTGCATCTGTAGGCTTGCCAGAGGCAAGACGGCTGATGACGTCCTCTTTGCCAGCAAGAATCTCACGCCGTTCGTCTTCGTATTCCTGCCGAACGGCTTGACGGCGGAGACGTGCTTGTTCTTGTTCGAGTGTCTGTTGTTCCTGAAATGACGTGGCTTCTTCGGCTTCGAGGGCCTGGTTGGCGCGAATGGAGCGGACGTTTTCAGATGCGTAGGCTTGTAGATCGGATTCGGTTTTGGATACGTCGGTCCGTGTTACGAGGTTTGCGATAATCTCTTCGCGCTGTTCGAGGAAGTCGTCCCAGGCTCGTTTCGAGTCGAATTCTTCTTCGCGGCGGTTGAGGCTTCATGTTGTTAGGCCCAAAACATTTGTAAATGCTGAATATGAAACCCACATCTGCATCACTCTCCGCCGAATATCAACCTCCCTCTCCACGTTGATGTCTTCGAATGTCTGCTTCCGAAATCGATTCTTCCGCAACGTCTTGTGGCACGCTGCCACTGGACAGTTCGCTGGTCCTCCAGAAAATATTCGGTCCACACACGACTCGCACATCTTATGGTAACATTCTGGATTAATGAGGAACCGCATGTCCGGGTTCAGATACCGCGAGGACTTGCAGACGGGGCAGACCTCTACACCGGGTTAGCTCGTCCATGCAACTCGGTCAAAGGTAGCAAAGGAGACATACCGTCATCGTCCCCGCGGTCGAGTATCCTATTCGGCGGAGGCATGATTCCGACTGTGATAGAAGGTGGTATGCGACAGAGTGAAAAGAAACGAAAAGCAGCGCCGAAAGACCACTGGATGTCCTATCAAGGGTCTCTGGCCAATCAGGGAGTTCCGTGGCTCCTCCGCCCTTCTTTTTTCTCTTCGCCTCCCGCGGGGATCCTTTTTCTTTTTCTTCGCATTTACCTTCTACGGCTGGTTCTATTTCTATTTGAATATCCAGCAGAAGTGGTTTATTTCTCCTTCTGGCCAGCGAATATGGGTGTCCCAACAAATAACTTCCACGAACTCGAACGCCAGCGCCGCGAACTAGAAGCCAACACCCTCAAGCTCCAAGAATCTCTCTACCACTGGCGAACCTGGGAAGCCGAATACGACGGTCTAAAAGAAGAAATCGACGATCTGGACGAAAATGCCTCAACTGTCGATTTCCTCCGCATCGGTCGCGACTTCGGTGGTGACTTGGTCAATGAAGAGGAGGTCAAGGTGATTTTAGGCGCAAAGCAGGGCGTGACGCGGTCGAAGGAGCAGGTCGTTAGTCTTATATCGAGGCGAATCGACTACGTGAAGGAGAATGTGAAGACTATAGAGAAGAGGTTGCTTACGGCTGAGAATCAACTGAGTGGATTGGATGCTGTTGGTCAGGCGCCTCCTGTGACTGATCCGCAGTTGCCTATGACGGAGATTATGGAGGAGCTTGATGGGGAGGGAAATATTGTTTCGAGCTCGACGCAGACACCGGGTAGTGAGGCGCCGGAGCTTTTGAATATTTTGAAGAGAGTGGGCGCGGAGGTTCCGGATACTCAGCAGGATACGGAGGCTGAGACGCAACAATCGAAGGTTGAAGAAGTGGAAAATTCTCGACCCGACGAAAAGAAGGAAGAAGAAAAGGTCGCTTCAACTCCAAAGGAAACAACAACTTCCCCTCAAGCCCCCGAAACGCAGCCTGGACCCACGACATTCACAAGTGAAGCGCGTCCTGAGATCACCGAAGAGCACCCTGTTACGGAAGTTGACGAGTCTCCTGAGGATGCAGCGCTACGACGAGAAATGCTGGAATACGGAATGAACGAGATTGGCGCCGTAGTGGCAGAGCTCGAACTGGATGAAAATGGAAGCGATGTCTCTTATGACGACGGTTACGGCACTTATGATGAAGATGAGGAAGAAGATGAATTCGGACGAAGCACGGGATCCGTCCTGAGCGAGGATTATCACAAGCAAATGCGCGAGTTGGAGGAGAGGTTAGGTGCCAAAGGAATGTGGAATATGGGCAAAGACACGGCTACGCTGCCAGATGAGATGCAATATGACCTCGATCAGGCAGATGAGCCGGCTCCAAGAAAGGAGAAATCAAAGAAGAAGGTTGCGTTCGCTGATGACCTCGATATCGCACCTGCGGCAGAGCCCCCTTCAACAGAGAAAAGGAGTCTTCCGCCTCAGCAGCCTGACGTGCCTACAATGTCGGATGCTATTATTGAACGTGCCGAACCAGCCGCAAAGACTCCTGCACCGGCTGAAGCTCCTAAGAAGACCTCTCGGTTCAAGAGTGCCAGAAAGAACGCCTTAAGCAGCGAGCCTACTACACCGACACCAGCCACAAACATCAGCTTTCGACCCCCCGAGGTCCGTTCGACAGCTCGCAAATCTAACCCATCTCCTTCCCTTCCCTTATTCCCAGCCAAGCCTGCGGAACCAAAGCCTTTCTCTCAACCCATTGCCGATGTCTTTGCACACGAGAAACCGCCCATCTCGGAACCACAGCCACCTCAAGACAAGATATTAGCGGACAAACTCGTCGAGAGAGACATTAAAGAAGGGAGCGCCCCGGCACCCGAAGCAGACGAGATTGAGGATAATATCCACAGAAAGGAGGTCGCGAGCGAGTTTTACAGAATGAGAAACCGGATGATCCAGCAGAACGGCGGGTTCATGAATAATGAACCTGAGACTGTCCCCCTGGATGAAGACGATGCGCCACGGGTAAGCAAATTCAAAGCTGCGCGGATGAACAAATCATAGAAAAGCATATATACCCCAACAATCAATTGCATTTGCATTACTATACTCCTTTCCGTCTATTAGCCGGAATTCCCTATTCTCTATGAACACACCTCGACCATGGTGTATTTCATTCAAGGATATTCCAAGATGAACAAATCGCGGGCTCTCAGGCTGTCTTTCGTTTTTCTTTTTGTCTCATTGCACGTATTGGACTGATTTCCAGTACTTACGGGCGTGAGGCGATGGGATATCTATGGAGAGATGGTTACGTTTCACCCTCGACATTTCTGATTTGTCTTGTAGAACTAGAGGTGTTCATATTTATTTTATGCAACCTAAGAAATATAATCAAACAAGATCATTCATTTTGCAGCGTACGATCGAACGATATCGACATGAGACGACACACATTCAGATGCCCATAAATGGCCATTTTACCTAGACCAAGACTCCACAGCAGCAAGCAAGTCAAGATGAACCTGGCCATCACCACTTCTTTTCAGAGCTTCCTCAAAACAGTCCGCTCCCAACCGCCGACAGAAAAGAAGAATACTAGCCCAGACAAGATCAGCATAGCTGGGCGTATCCCCCAGAAAGAACGGTCCATCCCGCTCCTTCAACAACGCAGTAGCCTCGCGAATGGCAACCTCAACTGCACCCCAAGCTTTCTCTCCTCCTTTCTCTTTCTCCAAACGATCCAATGGCATCCCAAACCACTCCTCGCGAGTCGTATACCAGAATTCAAGACTTGCGTCGTTGAGAATCCGCTTCGGGACCTGAGGGATGAAGATAGGACAAAATGCGCTCATGTACCGAGTCCAAATGTCCTCAACTTTGGCCAGGTAGCTGGAATCCAAGTGAAGTGCAGGCTGTGGGTGTCGCTGCTCGATATAATCGGCGATTTTGCGTGAGTCCATCATGTAAGTCCCATCGGGGCAGACGATAGCCGGGATGCTATATGCAATACCCTCGGGATTAGGTGGAATGCTACTTCATGGTCAGATATAAATCTCTGGACTTCTTTTTCAGCAAAAGGGCGCATTATCAGACTGACTGGTTTTTCAGTTCCGGCTTAATTTCTGGATATTCGAGCTATATGTATATATGAGCGACGCTGCAACATTTCCCAAGCACCGTTGCATAGCTTCGCTTACCCATTGTGTTCGGAAGCTAAGACTCTTGAAGTTGAGAAGAAGTCTGGCTAAACTGGAGGTTAGAGTGACACTTGATTGAGTCTTCAAATCCGTCCCAGGTCGAATAGGGACACATTACTCTTCCAGGGATTCGGCGACCATGTAAAGCCTGGTGTTTTACTGGGCAGGTCATAGAGTAGATATTGGTTGGGTGCCATGTTGGATCTCTGGGCTTCTAGGATCTCTGCGGTGGCAGTCTGAATTTCAATTCAAATAGAGACCAAGATAGCAGTTGGTAGCAAGCTAGATTGGTATCTGATTTGTAAGAAACCCCTACAGCACCACTATGTATTTAAGATAGTCTCCGAAGAGACTCGGAGCGGGGTTCCCCCCGAGTCCGGGCTTTAGATTTTATTCCTCAGGCAAATATGTACATACAACAATATAATCTTCTCCAACTACAAGTTTTCACTATCGATATTATTATTTTTTATTATAGTAGTCAATGAGATGGCATAAATATGATATACAACATTGCTCGAGTCCATCCTCATGCACATTACTACCTACAATGACTTAACAGACAACCCAGCAGGTAGACTCATCGTCCACCCAGCTCTTTACCACTGTTTTTTCTCTGTTACCAGCTTATAGCTGCTATATCCTCACTCAAAGTCCACAGCACATATCAAACTAACAAATTCTCGCATCGTGTCTGACTCTGACGAGATAGCCCCGAACCCCCAGGCACCGAGTGGTCCGGTCCCAGTCAAAATTGCTCTTACATACCATGCGGATGCTTTAAAAAAACAATGTTAAGTATATTCAACTGTATATACAGCAGGCATTATTTATTAGGACATCTGAGGAAATTATGCCCTTTTTTGACCACAATTACTATATTGCATTCGCCTGTGTGGCCTAGAAAATGACTTGTAAGCATCGAGAGGATTCCTAAGGCCTTGGGTATCTAAGAGGCTGCGAGTATACGGCGACACGATGTCGATACACCGGGTAGTAGATAACGCAGCTACTTCAATTGCTGCCGCAGATACCTTTAAAACATGGAATCACGTATCTGCAGTAGCACGCTGTGAACTTCTGCTGCTACTGTGCAGCCCAGCGGACGAGCTAGTGGCGGTTCAAATGGAGGAGACCAATGCCCCAGCGCTACGGGGGTGGGAGAACATTGACTGGACAGTTGGTCTGATTGAGTAAACTAGCGTCTATTACGTCGTTGAAAGGGACGTTCTCCCAATTGAATCGCTCGCTCGTAGATAATGTTGTTTAACCACAATCCCGTTCCTGTCTCCACAGATGTCTAGGAGCGGTAGTTCACAGTAACATGGCATTTCTCACAGTTCCCAGTTCCATAGCTTCCATGTCCATCACTGCAATTATCCAGGATGTTCTGCGCAACATCACGGATACGCTGGCCACTAAGGTCCTGGTCCCCACTGCCATTGGTAGCATACTTCAGGTAGCAATGGCCACTGCTGAACTCCTGCTGATCCTTGTACGTCTTGGTGGTGTCAATGTTGTTCAAGGCATCGATGCACTGCTCTTTCTTGATCGGGATGAAGGAGCCCTCGCAGCTAAAGCCTTCATTAGATCCTGGTTCTCTTTAGAGTTATATAGAGTGGTTATAACCTACTTGCTGTCGTATGCGGAAGCAACTGCGCCGAGACTGATGCTCGCAATCAGGCAGGATAGAACTTGCATGTTGATTATTTATCCGACGATATTGGTTGATTGATTCGATTGGATGAGAGATAGTCAATGGGTAGGAGAAAAGGGTCTGTTGAATACTCCCTTTTCCACTCTACCAACGCTGCCTTTTATACTCCCATGTATAATAAAATATCGATTCTAATGACTTTAGCCAAGAGAAAGACTCACCCAATATTGGCCCCCAAAGGATGAAAATGCAGCTTTCCGCTATAATTAGCTAGTGCGCATTCAAAGTATAAGGCTGAGGTCGACTTCAGCTTTAGCCCAAAACAACAGTTTCTACGTAGATCAACATCTCGATTTACTTTCCGGCCCCATTTGGGTTTTATGTTTGGGGCGAAATACGAGAAGAAAAGAAAAAAAAAACCAAGAAAAAGAAAACATTACAAGACTGACTAGTCAAAGTTGAGTGAGGACTGTTCTTTCCCCGCTGATCCTAGCCTAAAGAGGCATGAAAACAATTCCCCGATTTGGAATGATGGATTCAGGTTCCTTGATCCTTCGATACCTCCGTGACATTTACTATGTAGAAACATATTAGGAAAGAGGCGTATAATCACCTCTGCATACGAGTGTCTGTATGTGGGGATATTTTGCGCCGAGGAAAATACAAAGACACTGCCTTGGATATCCCGGCAGCTCAAGAGTCACGGCTATAAGAAGTATACATGCCCCCCCGTCATTGCCGTGATCCAGATTACAAGTACCCAGCTCCCATCCTTGACACTTTCCAGGTTTCGAGCGACTCCTCGTTGAAAACGATCACCCTCCCCAAAATGCACGTCCCTACAATCCTGGCAACCTTCTTGGTCCTCGCCGGAAGCCACGTAGCCGCATACAATGACAAGTAAGTCTCCTATAGCAGCTCATGAAATCTCATGAAATCCCAAATAATCATTTATAACGAAAACTCTGACTCTTTGTTTTCTTTTTCCTAGCTGCAATGGTTCCGGTGCAGCATTTGCCTTGATTCCTGGTGACTGCGATAAAGCAAGAGACAGCATCGATGCCACTGCCACTTACAAAGACGGCAAGGAATTCAGCAAGGGAACTTGTTATGTGAAGTACGCTACCAATGGCAGTGGCGACCAGCCGATTAAGGGGCAGGATATTATCAACACCATGAATAATATTCAGCAAAACTGCAACTCGAACGTTGGCAGCTACGGCACGGGCAATTGTGAGAAGTGTCATGTTACTATCAATTACCGGGTTCCCTAATTCGGGAGTCGAGATCTTACGGAGGGGGAGGATCATTTGGTGCAATTACTGTAAAATGACATGGAATTATCACACCTAAATATGCAATGTCGATTTAATCGTTGAGCCTTTCGTTATGATCCAAACACATACCCCCGCTTTGGCGAATATCTACACTAAACAGCTCATTATGTGAGATTACTCGAAGTAGTCAGCATCTATGTTCACAGAGATCCTTTCTGGTTCATGCTGGACTCGAATAGAAGCATTGCTAGAGGGCTACACGGGACCTAGCTCCGCATTACTTGGGGATAAAGTTGGAATATGCTGGATGTATGCATCATGATAAGTGTACTCTATAAATGGGCTTGTCTGTTGGCGTATTCCTTTCTATTAGCAAGAGGTGTACCACAAAGGTAATAGATAGTGAATATGCAATTCATTTGGTGGTGCTTGGTGCCTGGCGCGGAATCCTGGTGGTTACCAATTGTCGGCAGTGATCTCACTCCAAAAGATTTATTCTGATGACTGAGAAAAGTCATTAATACTGGAAATGAACAGTAGGTACTAACACGAACTCTATTGCGTCAGTGTGAAAGACTCAGCTGAGTACATACAGCATAGTATCCACATATTCAGCCCCCACAATCCAGACTGCTTCTGGCGTTCAAGTATAACAAGCGCGATGTCCTCGGAATATGCGATTCGGTTACTTCACTCATAGATCTATACGCTTATTGAGATCTCTTGTATCTTCGAAAAGGTAAATGCATGAGCCACAACAACAGCTACGCCTATTACTGTTAGATTCGTCCTTATAACATAATTGACAGGGTTCACTCGCAGTCACTGGCATGCTTTCTCCAGTACTCTATCTATGCTAAGTGTTTCATGGGCTGTAATCTTTATTATCATTATTTATCTATATTTCAAGTGGTTTTTGATGATTTATACTTCGATAGCTTGTCGTTATATATTACTATTATTGTCGAACAGGTTGAATCGAGCAAACACGCTGAGAAAAGACAATCATAGGGGGAAAAAGCAAATATACAGAAGAAATATGGCTAAATTACGGGATATATAATTTGATTCCTTGAGACATAGGAAACCCAAGGCTGCGTTTCACGCACAATGAACCTATGCATCTTACTTAGGGCTAGTCCAGGACAACATGCGACAGAAAAACCCGTCGATACAGGAAAAGACCAAACTCTAGAGCGATCTCAAGCCAATATTTTGTATAATGCATCGCAGTAGGCATCCTTGAGAACAAACAGAAATGCATAGCGCATCCTACAAGCCTGCATAACCACATGTCCAGCAGTGAATACATCAGAGCAACATTGCCATAATTCCAAACAATAAAAACGATAGTATCCTCTCCCACCCCGTGTCACAAGACAAAGTCCCCAGACAGAGAAACACTGCAAATAACAGCTTCGTCAGTTGTTATTGTTTGCTGGGACAAACGTACCATGTCAGAATCCCCAATTTCACCTACGCATACAACAAGAAGCTCTTCGCCTGATAAAAGCAGCCAACAGGGTATGTTTACTGAAACTCATTTCCAGAATATTGTTGCGTGTCAGTGTTTTGTTAAATTGTTCGCCAGATTATCAAATCGAAGACGAAAGCCCTTCCGAGAACCAAAAGACACAGAGACGTTCAAAAGCCATCGACTTGATACGCGCCCGAACGGTCATCCGCATGTCTCCTCCAGCGTCTGCAGAGAACTCTCCCGTGACGACGGAGTCGCCAGGGCGATCCCCAAAGTTATCCCCAACAAGGTTACCGGAGAAATGCTCAGGAAGCCCTTCACAAAGGCCACCGGATAGACTGGTGCTAAAGTCGCCTAGCAAGTCGCCAAAGAAACCACCAGGAAAGTCACCAAAAACGTCGCCAGTCCGGCAGAACATGCAACCACAATATCCCGCTCCATGTGGAGAGCCTGTTCAGCTGTACAAAAACCCTGTTCCCTCACTGGGACCGTCTCCCATGCCGAAGCCTGAGAGAGAGCAGAGTTCTGCAACCTCAAGCGGCGAAGCGGATTATCAGTCTTTTGGTGGTAATTATAAATATCTGTACATGCTGAACACGCAGCTTCCCCCCCAGCAGGATGCTGCCAGTGCGTTACATCCTGCTTCGCATGTTGTTTCTGACTATAATGGAGGTACGACTATGGAGCAAAGCCCAACCCTCCAATTCGGACAGGTCCTCCTCCCTACCCAGTTTCGAAGTGGCTACAGCAGTCTCATGTCATTTGAAGAAGAATGGAGGGCGAATCTGGAATCCTTCGATACACCTATGGCTTGCGAACAAAACATAGCTGTAACAATCGACCAGTTTAATACCACTAACACGAGTGAGGGAAATATAGCCCCGAACCAAACTCTTGCAGCCGCCCCGGAAACAAATAGCACAACCGAACGCAGCGAGGCGCAAGACACTCAACCTCAACCTCTCCCAAACTCGATCCCGCGCAGAAACACACTCTCCACAAAACCCAAACCAAAGCTATCCCCCATCCAAGAAATATCTCGCCAAGACACCCTATCACCAAAGTCAGAAACCTCCTCAACAGCCATAACAACAGATCCCCCATCCCCCGCCAGATCCATCGACTCGAGCCAGTTCTTCAAGCACGCCTCATCAATAAGCACCCAGTCCAGTCCCACCTCCAGCACAGCAACCACAACAACACGCAAACAAAAACCCTCCGACTTCTTTTACCAACTCGACAGCCATGGCTTCCCCTGTGCCACTAGCATATGTGATAACCGCTGCAACCTCTGGGACGGCACGAGCGTGATTTGTCCTAAATGCGGACCCTATTCTGAGATCCGGTATTGCTCAAAGGCCCATCTGCTCGAGGACGTCAAGTGGCACTGGGCGTACTGCGGAATGATGAGCTTTGAGTATCCATGCAAAGAGAGCAGTATCCCGAGGGAGATCCGGGTGAATATGCCATGTTTGATCCCATGTGTGCATGGGTATGATACACCTGAGAGACATCGACAGGCTGTTTATTTTAATGTCTGTGGTGCACAGGGGGATTATTTTATCTTTTCGGATTGGGGTGATTTGATGGAGGCCGGTGGGGGGTCTGATGGGATGGCGGCGAGGTGCTCGTCGAGGGTTATTTGTACGGTTGTGTTTGAGGATCCAGCTGAGAAAGATCGGTTTCGTCGTGTTCTCGCGGCTTGTCTTTTCTGTAATCCCCTAACCTTCACCTTTCTAAGAAGCCGCGCTAACGAATCCAGTAACAATCGAAGTCCCCGATCTAGTCGACTATCTCTTCCGCCTAATCCGTCACAACCTGCGTACAAAATCCCTCTGGTCGAAAACCTTCCACCAGTCCCTAATACATCAACTGTCCCAAGAACTTTCCATCCAAATCCAACCGCACATCACCGGTGAGCGCCACGCCTGTCCAACAGACTGGGATGGATGCAGCCGGCGCGCTTGTAAAGACGTTGTTTGTCGAAGTGAGTATCGGCAATTGCTTGGGAAATTAGGGGGGATGGGGTTTGGGCGGTTGCTGGAGCATTTGGAGGCGGGGTATTGGGTGCTTAGGCTTGCGAGGAGTACCCATCCTGTGGTTAGGGGCTTGGAGGACAGGATGAGGGGAGTGGGGTTTGAGGGTGTGTTGGAAGAGGATAGAAGGGTTTTTCGGAGGGGGGTTGGGTGGGATGGAGCTGGGAGTGGATGTATGGAAATTGAGAGGGTTAATATTTAATTGTTTTTGTTTGGAAAAAGGTTTGCGCGTTGCTTAAGGATCCCTGTATGATACACTGGGTGTCATCATGTTTGGATAGCTCAGGGCCTGGCCACAGTCAGGCTCTGCTGCTGCACAGAAAGTGGAACGGAAAGGATAGGATACTGTACGAATACAGTTTGCACGATGCTAAGGGCATAATAATATACTTGCATGAGACATTGGAAACAAACAAGATATTCTGAAAACCCAAAGGATCTAATTTTATTTCCTCTTATCAAATGTTCATATATGTACTCGCCTGATAATACTCAAAAACCATAAATAATCATACGTAACGCAGTCAGAAGATGTTTGTGCTTATTGGATATACTTCTTCAAACCGCGCAATCTCTCCTTTGCAGTCTCAAGAACGTCGTCGTTCTTGCAAACAGCAAAACGGAGGTAATCCTCGGCAATATGCTCATTCGCATCGGTGTAGAACTCAGTAGGAGGGATGGCAGCAACTCCAACTTCATGGATGAGGAACCAGCAGAGTTTGAAGTCGCGGGGACGGTTGGCCACATGAGGAGGGAATTTGTAGTCCTCTGGCAGCTTTACGGAGGCCATGTTGGCCAGCACAAAGTAGCCACCTTCGGGGTCAGAGTACTGATTTACGATTAGTGCGGTCCATCGAGCAATGATCGGAACTAAACGTACCGGAATTCCAAGCTCCTTAAACACTTCACAGAAGCGTTCCATCTTGCTCTTCATCTCTGCGCGACTTTCGTCCCAGAAACCAACCTGGTCTGCTTGTTCAAAAGCGATAGCAGTCGCCTCTTGAAGAGGAGACACGGAACTGTAGCAGATCCGAGTGTGTGCGCCAGCAACATACTTGATCAGATGCTCGGGTCCAATCAAGTATCCGACACGCCAGCCGGTGGCATAGAATGCTTTACCGGCGGAAGCCACGGTCAGAGTGCGCTCATAGAGCTCTGGAGACAGGGTGGCAATCCTAGTGAAGGGGACGTAGTAGAGACGGTCGTAGACTTCGTCGGAAAGAATGATAATGTTGTGCTTAACACAGAGCTCACCGATACGCTCCAGTTCAGCCTTAGAGAAGACCTTGCCAACAGGGTTGTGACTATCATGGTTAGAGATTCGCAGGAATAGCATATCGAATGCAACTTACGGAGAGTTCAGCACCTGATAGAAGTTAGCCTTTGTCAAGAACACGTTGATATTGAAGGATGGAACTCACGATCATCTTAGTCTTAGGGTTTATGGCATTCTCCAACTCCTCAAAGTTAATCGTCCACTCCGCAGCAGACGAAGTCCGGGTGGCTCCGTCTGTGGGCGGGTGAAGCGGAACGTAACGAATAGTACCACCGGGCATTTCAATGTTGCTGATGTACCTTGGAGAGTGTCAGAGTAAGAATGTGATGGTCGTATGCCGCAACTTACTGGTCGAAAAATGGCTCGAAGATAATAACCTCATCTCCGGGCTCAATGAAGCCCATAAAAGCACTCAGCATTCCTATTGATATGACCCGGAGTCAGCCGCGCATATCCGGTATAACCCCGAGAATTGCAATAATATCCCACCTTCATTGGCACCGGTGGTGATCGAGACCTCGGTATCTGGGTTCAAGGTGCGTCCAAAGAACGGGGAGTAGGCATCCGCGATGGCTTTCTTGAGGCGAGGACGACCCTACACGGCATCAGCGTTGCGTCTGATGTTATTCCCCATGCGACAAATACCTTTGTCGGGGAGTATTGGTTGCAGTCCACACGATCCAGCGCATCCTTCGCAGCGTCAAGGGCGAACTTCGGGGGGTTGTAGCCACTACCAGAGATCGTAAATTAGCATTTATTCATATACTTACCAGAAAGGATATAACAACTCACAAGAAACCTTGGCCCATGTTCACAATGGGCTGAACCGGCGAAGCAGCAGCGGCTTCGTTAACGATTGACCTGAGCAATCCAGTAAGAAAGATACGCCGGTTTCAACTTCCCCCAAAGGAATGATATCTCACCAGACATCCTGTCTCTGACCAGCGACTCTCGCGGCTGGACGAAAGGGATCCGGTCGAGCAGCAGTCGCACTCATGGCTCGGGCTCCGGGGAAGTGTATGCGGGGTAGTAAAGAGGATCGATAAGTGCAGGAAATAGAAGGAAGAGTGACAGGTTTTCTAAAGTTGGCAGAAGATAGTGAAAAAGGAAGAGGAGATCTGAGGAGAGCAGGCATGGGAGTCACACAGGAAATAAGAGAGTGGTTATAGGCTCAGTAGAATTCACGCAATCAATTATGGCTCTGGTGGGACAAGCCCGGGTTGACTCCTGCACTATGCCGGGATAGCAATCAACCAGCCAATTGAGGTCCACCATGGCATAAAATGCAGATATGGTACCAATTTTAAAGAGAATGAGGCATTTGCTTTCAATTACTCCAAATTCAACGCTTTCCGACGCTTTCGTCCGTATTGTAGCAATTCAGGCACCAAGGTGTCAATTGATAGTAACTAGTTAATTACTAATTATCACGTGACCTTATTTTATCACGCGCTTGGACGCGTCAAGATGGCAGTTCGATGATATCTTCAGCAGAACAACTGCTTTTGCATCGTATTGTTCGTGTCTGACTGTCTCAATGGTCCAGGCAAGATGGTATCTTGTCCCATTTGCGGGAATTCTGTCCCTCCACTGAAAATAAATGACCATATCGATTCCAGCTGCCAGAGTTTCATCGGCGAACCAGCCTCCGATCCCCCATCGTCTCAGAAAGGGAACGTTCCCAGTCTCTTCCAACCTACATCTGCTCGAAAAGCGTCTGCGCAAGCCAGCTTACAGAAGGAATCGTCACAGTTCGATGCTTCACCTCTGCGGAGCGTTAATGGAAAGAGAACCCACGAGACAGATTCCCCGCTGGAACGGAATAAAACAAGGTCAGATGACCTCTCGACAGAAGAGCAGACGCAGTGGAAACGGCCAAAGACGAATGCATTCCAAAGAGCTGCGCCGCTAGCAGAGCGTATGCGTCCCCGCACATTAGATGATGTTTGTGGCCAGGAGTTGGTTGGACCAAATGGCGTCCTCCGCGGGCTTATTGAGCAGGATCGAGTCCCAAGCATGATTCTCTGGGGTGGTCCTGGGACAGGCAAAACAACAATCGCGAGGGTGATTGCATCGATGGTGGGCAGCCGGTTTGTGGAGATCAACAGTACTAGCACGGGAGTTGCGGAGTGCAAGAAAATCTTCTCGGATGCCAGGAGTGAATTGAGCCTCACTGGTAGAAAGACTATTGTGTTTTGTGACGAGATACATCGCTTCTCCAAGTCGCAACAAGACGTCTGGTTAGGGCCCGTGGAAAGCGGGCAAGTCACGCTCATAGGCGCGACAACGGAAAATCCGTCGTTTAAAGTCCAAAGTGCATTGCTCTCCAGGTGCAGGACGTTTACTTTGTCCAAACTCGCTGACGAAGAGGTCGAGTCGATCCTTTTTCGGGCTCTCAGGGTCGAAGGACCAAACTATTCGCCGTCAGAATTGGTGGACGATGAACTGGTCAAGTACCTTGCAAGATTTGCAGATGGTGACGCGCGAACATCCCTCAATCTCCTAGAACTTGCCATGGACCTGTCGAAGCGCCCATCGATCACAAAAGATGAGTTGAAGCGGTCGTTGACCAAAACGCTGGTGTACGATAGGGCGGGAGACCAACATTATGACACCATATCGGCGTTTCACAAGTCCCTTCGTGGCAGCGATGCAGATGCAGCACTATATTATCTCGCGCGGATGATCCAATCTGGAGAGGATCCGTTGTACATAGCAAGACGTCTCATCGTTGTTGCATCCGAGGATATCGGTCTGGCGGATAATTCGATGTTAACACTGGCCATCTCAACGCATTCTGCCGTGGAAAAAATTGGCCTCCCTGAAGCACGGATTAATCTTGCACATGCTACAGTGGCTATGGCGCTTTCGAAAAAGAGTACTCGCTCTTATCGTGGCCTTAACAATGCATTTGCTGCTTTGGATGAACCGGGGATCGCCGGACTACCAGTTCCCATACATTTGAGGAATGCTCCCACACGATTGATGAAGGAATTGGGCTACGGCAAGGAATATAAATACAACCCGAACTATGTTGATGGTCAGGTCGTGCAGGATTATCTTCCTGAGACTCTGCATGACCGGCGGTTCCTCGAGGACAGGGATCTAGGCACGGCGATTGACCACGACTTGAATAACTGATCTTGTAAATAGATATTAGGCTACCAGGACTATAGTCTCTTTTGGTCAATGACGATTAATGACACCGCATACTGAGTATCTCGAGGTACAGTAATTATAGCCTGACAGGCAGCCGTTCGCTTAGCAAGTATAATCGCCTTTCTACCTCGACAATAGTCTTCCATCTTTCCTTCTTTTCTGCATTTATTATTAGGGTGGTTTTTCTTGCTTCAAAACTAGCAGCTGCCCTTTCTCTTGCTCTATTTGCTCTATTTGCTCTAGCATCGACTAATCCACTAGCCCAGTGTCGTTCGCTTTTCGACACTTCATCTCGTTCAGGTCATCGACTAGGCTTTCTTTGCTTTGATACAAAAATTCGACCTTTTCATCACTCATCATGGCATCTGGACTGTCACTCGCTCAACCTCAGCCCGTTCAGTCCACCGACAAACAATGTTCTGCTGTAAGTCCTTTCATTTTTTTTTTTTTTTCCCCTACGCTTCCATCATCAGCTAACCCTCTCTACAGCCCAGCATGGAGCAACATTATCAAGGCTTCAACGGATGTCCATCTGGCTATCTGTCAGCCGATTGCTTCGGACCAGATGGTCAGTTAAATGCCGCTTTTGACCTGGATGTTTACATGCAAGGCAGTACATCCGGCTACAACAATATGGGAACGCAAAGATACGCTAGCGTGTTTAATGAAATAGGCCCAAAACAAACCGACGCCACCTCTGCAGACCAGAGACTCGATCCATTCAAGCTCGGATTTCATGCTTCCCTTGCAGAGACGGGTACTAACCAGGGTTCAAGCTGCGCTCCACAGCCCCAAGGTCTCACTGCCATGCCAGTTGAAATGGCGGCGGAACCACAGGCCAGCGTCAGCGTCCCTGGCCCTCAAGGTTCCGTTGCCATGTCGAATGAGATAGTAGCAGGACCAGAAACCAGCACTGTTGGTCGGGACGACTTGCAGGTATGGGATGATGGGATGGGTGAATGGAGAGTAATTGAAGCTCATCCTCATTCTACATCTATGGGTCAGTGTGCAAGCATCGTGCCTGGCCCTCAAGTTCCTGCTCCCACAACTTACATGGCAGTGGAACCACACATGAATGCCGAAGCAATGGGCCAGGATAGCCCTCAGCCTACGGCTACTTTCTTTAGGGTGTGGGAAGCACGTCTGAAAGCTGTCAAGTCTCGCCGGAAATACAAGGAAAGACGTTCACGCAATTCGCTTCACTCTCGAAGGTCTGCTGGCGTGAGGATAATGGCAGACATGTCTAATGGAATGGAATCAAGACTACAAAATGGTATCGACTATATGGGCCAGGGATTTAACACACCTGGGCAAGTTTTTACTGCCATACCTAACGGAATGGCAGGACAAGGCGGTTTTACCGGGAATTATGTAAACCCTCAACCCAGCCCTACGTGCGGGTTCCAGAATTACACCCCCAACGACTGCAACCAGGCACCAGCACAACAGAACTCGTCCGGCCACAAGAGAACAGCTTCTACGACTTTCGTGATGGAAGACCCAAGTGCCCCGCCCGAGAAACGAGCTCGTTTCAGAAGCGAAGAAGACGAGCAAAAAGCAAGAGAGGAACAACTGTTGATGAAGAAGGCAGGAGGCTCGTGTCTCTGGTGCTACCGCAATAAGAAGAAGTGCGACGCCATGAATCCATGCTCGAACTGCAAGTTCAATAAATACCAGTGTATCCGGGACTACACACAGCTGATTCTGTCGTCGTCGGCAAGTAACGCGACAGACGTCTTCCGCCGGCTACGCGACACAGCCGTGCGATCGTCGTCAGAAGCTCATATCAACGTCAACTTCAGACAGCCAGGCACCGGGGCGATCGCATTCTGGTCTGCTAGTCTGCCTCGAGCCGAGCCATACTCCCCAGGCTACGTGAACGAGCAGCTTGTCTCCACATTGCTAGGGTTGGTTAGAGCACCGGGACTTGACTGGGTCGAGAATGAGACGGCACGACACCCTCTCGTCCTATCAGCATCGGCCATGGTCAGACACCTTGCCGTCATCAAGTCCCTATTCAGAGGGCAAGTCTACGTACGTCCAGCTGAAGCAGACGCAGGAAGGATTACAGCATTTTACATTTTGACGGCCTTTATCCAGAGCCTCCTCGAAAGATCACAAACTTTCTCCTCCAGGCTCTGGAAGGCAGTCCGTCACAAAAACAAAACCTGCTCCGACAGCTTGAACCCGACCAGGAAGCCCCTAAACCCAGAATGGGTAGCAACGGGTCTCTACTACCGCGTCATTGATGGCCTCCGACCCATGCAGCAAGACCCGCTCTTGAAAAAGGCCCTCGGTGACATCTCCCACCTGCACAACCGCTCAAAAATCGTCTTGAGCGTGCTGAGATGCCTCCCCTTGTCCACCGGCAAGCTGAACAGTAAGATTGAAGCCCGCGACTCCCTCCGCAAACACATTCCCGTCCTAGAAGAGCAGTGGCCTCTCGACATCGCGCTGTTGCCTGGTGTCAATACCAACGGCCAGAAGCTGCCTCCTACATTGATGCAGCGACTAGCAGAGCCGTTCTCGGGAACCTCGTACTTTATAGAGACCTTTCTGGACGGTAACTTCGGTTTCCTGCCCGCAGTCATCACGGCACACTCGGCCACACCCGGCAACAGCAACATTAACGAGTTAAATGAACCGGACCTGGACTGGGACTCCTTTTTGGACTTCGACGCATCTCAGTCGTCGGAGCCATCGGCGTCTCGGTCCTCAACTCCGTCTACTGAGGCCTTTGATAGCTCCCAGGAGAATGTTTTAATCGTCGAGGATGAGCTTTTTGATGATCGGTCTTTAAATGTTTGGGGTAATTTGGATGTTTTTGATGGGAATAGCGCTGCTTATTCTTTTTGATTTCTGATAGTGATTGGATATAAACATTACAATGCTACATGGTTTGCGCGAAGGCATAATTAATATGGATCACCTGTGAGAATCCAAAAAGAAAAAGAGATACGGTTTATGGTTATTGGTTATTGCACTGTACTTCGTAGCTATAGTAGGGCTGCTACGTACTTATGCCGTCGTTGAGTAAAGCCAAGATGGGCGAAAAGAAAAGAAAAGAAGAAGAGAATTATATAACAAAAATTCAACTGACTATTCTCTTTAATATCCTGCACTGAAAATATCCCATTGCCATCACCTGCATATCGTACTACTGTAGAGACTTTGTTTGCTCGGCCCTTCCGCCCGCTAATCATCCCAGCCGGAGTGATCAACAACAACAAAGCACCCGATCCGCAACCCAATCCGCACCCACTCTCTCCAACCACCACCCACACCACACCAATTACTCCAACCAACCACTTCCATTTCAATCGGAATCGCAAACGACTGGAATTGTAATGGCCCAGCCATTCGCCTCGCGCTCCTACGCGGGTGGAAAACTCCCCGACCGCTCGGTCAACGCGAACGCGCTGCCTTTCAGCGCCTCCTCGTTCTCGCGTCACCGCGGCTTAGGCGCGACGACGGCCACGGCACCAGGTGATTTTGGCGCGGAGGGATTGAAATCGCAGGGTACGGCTGGTGCGGCTCCATTACATGCGCAAACACATGGGCCTGGGGTAGGGACGGGGACGGGAGCAGGGGTAGGGCCGTCGCAGGAGACAAATCCGTTGAGTCGGTTGACGGAGGAACAGAGGGAGGAGATTAATGAGGCTGTATGCTCGCCTCACCCTTTAAAACGGACTGAGATACAGGAAAGGCTAACATGTTGGTAGTTCACGCTCTTCGATCTCGACCGCGACCGCCACCTAGACTACCATGAACTCCGCGTTGCCTTCCGCGCGCTAGGCTTCACCCTCGCAAAACAAGAACTTATCTCCCTCTTAACGACCTACGGTGTCCCACGGCCACAAGTCCAGGCACAACAACAATCCAACGCCCAAACACAACCCCCGCAACCCTCGACAAACAAAGCCACAAACCCGCAACACCCCTCCAACCTCCTCATGCCACTAACGGCCTTCCAAGCGGTGACTGCATTAAAGATATTAGAGCGCGATCCGAGAGACGAGATTCTGCGTGCATTTGAGCTTTTTGATGAAGGTGGGAAGGGGTATATTGATTTGGAGGATTTGAGGCGCGTTGCTAGGGAACTTGGGGAGACGGGGTTGGAGGAGGATGAGTTGAGGGCTATGATTGAGGAGTTTGATTTGGAGGGAGTTGGGGGTGTGACGAGGGACGCGTTTGTTAGTATTTGTTGGCAGTAACTGCGTTTACTCGGGTTTTTTATTGGATTGGGTTTCTGTTTTCTTTTCTGGTTGTGCATGGGCATTGGGTGGGCGTATCTGTGCTCTATTTGGTTTATTACTTATTCCCAGGGATGGTATCTGGTAGATGGGGTTCAATCTCATGATTATTGCATACGTTGTACGGCTGAATATAGTCAAGCTAAGTAATGACATTTTAGGCAATCCAAACCAGGATGCCATGCAGGATATTAAATTTGGCACATAAATAACCCAGATAACCCTCGTACGCCAACAATGGTCCAACCTAAATAACGGCAACATATATCACATAAATGTACACAAAGTACAGGTGCAAAAAAAAAAAAAAGAAAAAAGAATCACGCATATCGCGTGTGCACCGCCGGTGCCGGATTAGCATAATACGGTCCCGGATACGGCGGTGGAGGCTCATTAGAAAGGCCCTGATATCCAGCACCATTAGGCCCATTGGCCCACTGTCCCATTGACGGCCGTGGCGGTGGTGGCATCGATCTCTGCCAGCCACCCGGCGGTGGTACCGGTACCGGTACGGGCTTGGCTCGGGAACGGCGGCAACGGTTGAACAAACAAGACAAGATAGCGAGAACGATCAGTCCACCGACAGCACAGCAGATACCAATTACCACGCCCTTGTGTTTGTCGACCCAAGATTTAATCTCTCCACCAACAGAGCTGCCCGCGCACTTTCCGTTCTTGCAGTGGCCTCCGCCTCCACATGGTGTGCCGTCGATGAAATTGTTCTGCTCCAGGATCGAGCAGGAGTTCGGGCCCGTGGTGTCAGAAGCACAAACCACGGTGCAGGATGAATCGTCGCATGCCCATGTGTCGTTGCTGTTCAGCAGGCTGCCCATCAGGGACTTGCATTGTTGATCCCGGCTGGTACATTGGCCGCTGGCGCATGTCAAGCCCGAACCACTGCCACAGCTGGAGCCATCATCCTTGTAACTGTCCGAAGGACAAGAGCTCGAGTTGCCACTGCACTTCTCCTCGATGTCGCATTCGCCACGGCTCGCGCGACAAACGGTATCCGCAGACGAATACTGACAGTCACTACAGCAGCCGTCATTGGCATCGTCACAGACAGCGTTGTTCTTGAATTTGCACGTTTTAGCATCGCAGCAGTTGTTGCTTCCACAAGAGTCTTCGCCGCCACAGTCACAATCCTCTCCGTCCTCGACGATGCCATTACCACACTGGCTACCTGTGATGGTAGTCACTCCCTTGTTTTGGGAAAGACAGCTCGATGAGACACTGTTTCCACCTAGCGCTGAGCAGATGTTTCCGATGGTACAGGGTGAGAAATTTTTCACATCCTGTGCGCTTGGGTTCATGATGTACTTCGCATCCGCATCGCAAGTAGAGCTGGAAAGAGGACAGCACTGCGACGAGCTATCGTAACCCTGCGCACAAGTGCTGGAATCACAATCGTGAACGGCTCCAAAGGTATGGCCCGACTCATGGGCAAAGACCTGCCAGCCACCACCCGACGTCCGAACAACGATGTTGGTTCCACTGACAATGCTCGAGCCTTGATCGGTCGCGTCGGAATTGCAAAGCTGCCCTAACCACGAGAGTCCAACTTCGCTGCCGGTAGGGCAACCGCTCATCAAGGTCCAGTAGGCGTTACTGTCCTTGTTGTCTCCCCGCCACTGAGAGAATAGGTTCAATCTGGAGGAGACGTTGCCTTGGTCGCACGGTATATTCCACTTGGTCGATTCCGGTGCAGTCGTGGGGCAGTCGGCCTCATTGACAGTTAGGTTACGAAGGCCGATGGAGATGTTAAACGAGCTCTCGTAGACGCTAGAGGCACTGTTGACTGTGTTGATGATCCATTCACGCGCCGTTTGATTGTCGCTGAACCCAGAGGTAAAAGAGCAGTCGGTTGCAATACCGATCAGCGCAACTTGCTTTGTGTTGGGGCACCCAGACGTGTCGTCAATGGTGCTCTTCAAGTTGGCGTTACCGGTGTTACCCGATACGCCACCAATGTCCGACTGACGCTTGCTGAGTCCGAACATAGAATTCAAAGACATGGCACCCCATCGACTCGGCTCCCTATAGTCGTAGGCGCGGAGGACGGGGTGGTCGGGGTCAGTGTTGAAACCCAGCTGGTCGGCCTGACACGTTGCTGCCTCGCCAAAAGAACGTTTCAGTCCAGAGTGCTGTACGTGGCGGACCATGTCCGAGTCACGGTAGACAATCATGAACTCCTCCGATCGCTGCGTGATTGCGATATCATCCTCACGCTTCTTCGAAAGATACGTCGACGAGAGCTCTATATGGTGATGGTCGCCATGGACAAGAAACGCGCCTTCAAACAGGGGCTTAACACCGTCTCTCTTCATGTAAATCCGGGCCCAACCCACGGGGTTCCATCGCCCTGGTCCAGTACCGACCAACGCTCTGCCCTTGAAGACTTTGTGCTCATGCCGCTGAATGGGCTCCGCCCGATGCACGTTTCCTTCCTTATCCAGGTATTGCACGTAGGCGTCATCGGCCAAGATATCATGGTTTGGTTCCAGCTCGAGTTTTATCCGCTGGGTACCGCTATGGAGACTGAACGTGAGGTCGAAGTGGGAAAGATGGTCGATTTGGTGCGACGGCGCCTTGATCACCGGATGGAGCACAGAGGAGACATGTCTGATGGCTTTGGGGGCCTGTGATCGGGCTATGGAGAAAATCGGTTAGCCATCAGGGAGGATGTAACAAGACGATCTATAAACAGAACACCCACCTTCGACGTCACCCACGAACAATGCTGGGATCACACTTGCGACCAAGGGCAAGACCTTCCTAAACAACCTCATCGCCACACAAATCTCCTGAGGAGAACTGGGTGGCGAGTTGATGGGGAAACGAAGGGAGAAAAAAAATATCAGAGAATCAGGCAGCCATATAACATATCAAGAATCCTGAATTGGAATTGCTATCAAAGCGATCGTCCTTAGTACTTGAAGTGTTCAAAGCGAATCGAGACGCGCACAGCGAGAGTCGGTAAGCAAAGAAAGAAACAAGTGGATTACGAGACTTTGGTATATGTCAGATGTACGCTGTCTTTGTGTATGCCTGCCGCTGGTCTGTTTTGTCCGAACCGCCGGTTGGAATGAGGCGCAGCAGACTTGGCTGGAGGCGAGCCTGCGATGGAGCAATTGCGATGAAACGTAGCGAGTGACAATGAAAGAATGATGGAGAGACAAATATGGAGAGGATGCAGAGGACTGAATGGAATTGGAATGGTTGGAGATTGAGACCGGAACACGCGGAGAGCCTTACTAGTAGTCGCACGTGATTTACCAGGGATGGTCACGTGACAGGCATCCCAGGGACAGGAATGATGACCCTTGGGTCGGCGTTTATACGGCCTATCAATCTTTTACGGCGCTACTAATCCAGCGCTTGGTGGTACACTTCATGAGCTTCCAGAGCCAAACAAGGAATCATCACCCCACAAATCCTGCATAGTACACTTGGCATGGCTTCGTCCTCATCGCTCTCTTCCCACGTAGGCTCATCTGCATGGATAGTCACATCCTCAGCAGGAATGCGGACTGGTTCCTGTCTCTGAAACATAGATCCAATATCTCGCCCGCTGTTTTGCTTTCTGTCTCCCGCTGTGTCAACCATGTTAGTCACGGCGATGTTTAGTAGACTCAAATTCCACCCAGATTTCTCCGGGTGAAGACGCCGAAATAGGGCCAAGACATGTTCCTGCACTAGTTTCTCGGCTACAGCCTCAATCCGATCTCCCATGTTGAAGACGTAACGGGGCAGTGCCACAGAACGGGACATGCGATTGTGATAAGGATTGTCCGGGTTGGAAGGACGACGGGGTCGGCTAGTCAGACGCAGGGTTCGCGGATGTGCACGCCATCGGATGGCACCCCCGGCTGAGTTCTCGGTCAGATCTGTGCGCATCCGACGAAGCAAGCTAATCGTTAGCTTCAACAGCTCACTCTTCACAACGTCAAAACGGACTAGCCAGCCGTAAGAATCTTCGATGCTTATCTGGGTCGGAACGCCTCTGGCTTCCAAGACTTCGGAATCATCGACGCCGTGGATCAGGCCCCAAACCCTGGTACCCATGCCCTTAGAATGCCCAGGACCCCCCAAGATGTGGTTGAGTAACCCAGGACCCATTCCAGGCAACAGACGAAGCTTGCGCACGGTAAGGGGTCTGTCATCCATCGAGTGAGACATGTGGTCATGGAGTTTATGTGCAATTTTGGAGCCTATCCCCGGGATTTCGCGGATCTCATGACTGTCCACGAAGTGGATGACATTACTGTCAATAGTGACGTCTGGTCCCTCACCGACTCCGTAGGGTGGCAGAAGCGTGGTTTGACACTTTGGTTTATGAACTTTGCCTACCAGCTTTGCCAATAATTTGTTGGTGGAGATTCCTACCGTGGCTGTGTAGCCCTTGTGAGACTCGAGCTGTTGTCGCAGATAGCCAGCTAAGTGCGAAGCTACTAAGAGCCGCATGTACAGTAGATCTGATTCGGGGGCCAAGAAGTATCCTCGTGTTTCTGGTGAATTGGTTGGGTGCTGATCAACCGGGGGCCATGTAGGACCGTAGAATTTGGTAGCGTTGTAGATGAAACCGACAGTAGGATCCTGGCGGTCAAGATGAAAAAAAGAGTGTTCCAAGTCGTTGGTATTTGATAAGTCGACGTTGTAGTCAATCATATCGGTTACATCAAGGAATAGCTGCATCAACCAATCAATCTCTATCCACCTACTCTCTCTCTCTCTCTCTCTCAGTAGAAGGCTAGCCATGGCTTACCTCGTCAAAACCTAATTTTTCAACACGATCTCCCCAAATCAAGCTTCGCAAATAAAGGAAAAGTTCTTTGGACACATCCCGGAACCGGGTGAGGTCCTCCCCCAAAACAATAACCGCATCGGGACAGACCTGCCTGGCATCCTGGATACGCTGCAACTTATACAAACCCCTCCTCCGGGCTTCGTAGTTACATGTCACGACAATCTGTTTCTGTTGGATGGCCAATGGACGTGATTTCAAAGCCGGCTGGTCGGCCTCGAAAACGGCGGCATAGAAACAGTCATAATCCTAGACCGGATGGTGGTCAGTGGTGGCCCAGTGGGGTATAGGCTTTGGGGTCAGGAATAGTTACAAACCAAGTGGAGGATAATCCGACCATTACCGTCCCTGGAGGCCATGAACAAGAGGATTTTCTGGGTCTGGTGGGAAATTGGAGATATTTTGGTGTGATTTGCGATTAGAGGGCCATCACGTGCGGTGGTCTATGATTGGCGGAAAAGCGGTGGCTGGAATGGGGACAATATTAAACAGAGAGATTAAGAGATGCCACTATTGATTAGTGTCATGGGTCTACCAGCCTCTTTTTTTCAGAATACTCCAGAGTAGCATACAGAGTCCGGATACTTGAGACCACTGCTACTGCCTACTGCTACTGCTACAGTATCAGGTGCGCCCCACGTGCTTTTTATAGCTGTGACTAAGCAGTGATGGCAAGAACCATTCTATACACAGTAGGGATGAGAATCGTACTCGCATAGAGTACAGAGTAGAGTATTTGTATAGTACAGTAGAGACAGTAGAGAGTAGAGAGGAGAGCAGAGTGTCATAGTACAGAATACTAGCCGCGTGGCAGTGGATCTGCTCATATATTATGGACCCTCAAAAAGTATGCAGGAAATAGTTAAAAATAACTGATCTATATTTATCCTCACCTTTTTCCTCCTCTTGTTTTCACCATTAAATATTATTATTCCTTCTGTTTCTCTCCATCTCTCTGTTTCTGCGTCTCTCTAGTCTATCCAGTCTCTCTTATCTTGTCCTAGATCCCTGCTGTCCTCGTGCGGGGTGCGCATCTTCCATCTTTCATATCTTCTCACTTCCATCTCACCCCTCTCTAAGCGCCGCACTATATCGCACCTCCACACTAAACACACAAACACACGCACACAAAACGAATATATTCTTGAGACCCCTCTGATCCTCTATACACACATCACCACCGTCATGCTTGTCGTCCCAATGCCCCCGCAAGCGTCGCATTTGCATCCTCCCTCCAACTCGCCCTCTTCCTATTCTCCGCCGTCATCCTCTGCGCCAACAACATCCACTCCCGGCGAGACGCGCCCCAAGCTCGCCACCAAACCCAAGCTCACTCTTCAAACCTCATCGCTTCCAAGAACCTTCGGGCGTTCTACCACTGGCCTTTCTCTCTCAGTGGCCACTGCCTCACCGACCGTAAACAATACCTTCAAAAATGCCTATGAGCCATGTCCGCCCTCCGCCATCCCCACCACATCCTCTTCGACGTCCTCTCCGATCAAGACCTCTACTTATTTGAAACACTCAAGACAACCCTCATCCAACAATCCCTACCAACTGCCGTTAGGTGTGAAGAGCATCCTGCGCAACTCTCCCTTGGAATCCACATCCCATCGCCGGTCGGTCTCGATCGGTGGTGGCAATGGCGCATCGGGATCTCGTCGGGTATTCTTCCCTACCAAGAAGCAAGTGACCTTTCGGCAATCACTGGAAGAGGAGATCCGGACTGTGCATTACGTGGCACGGCATTCAGATCTCCTCTCGGAAGAGTCGGATCCAGACGACCAGAAAAAGGAGCTGCAGGAGCTGGAGCTGAAGCAAGAACAGCCGGTACAGGGGGGATCTGACTCGGACTCCGATTCGAACTCGAGTCTGGCACCGTCGGATTCCGGATCAGATGATGATCAGACAAAATCAATTTCCAAATCTGAACGGAGAAAGCGGAAGAGTCTCAGTGCAGAGAGGCAAGTTCGCGCTGCGGCATTACTAGATGGCCTTGAGGGCGATGCGTATGGGATCTCGACACCACAAACACCCCGACAGGGTCGTGTCAAGCGTCGTCGCGAATGGACATGGACGCTTGGCTCAGTCGAGGCGCGCAATGAAATTTACGGCCTTCCTCAGACGCCTGAAGAGGCCAAATCTTTTGAGTCGGAAGAAAAGAAACATGAACACGAACACGAAAACGAAAACGAAACAGAAAGCCAGGGGTCATGTGAATCCGATTGGACTTCAGCCTCGTGGTCCGGTTCATCGGTTGCTTCGTTTACGAACAAGCCTGACGAGTTCAAGACTGCATGATACATGACATACAATGACTTGACCATGAATATGACCATGACCACGATATATTACTTATGTTTATTTCTTTTTGGGAGGATTATGAATCATGTTGCTGCATTGCATTGCATTAGTTATATACCCATCAGCATTATTTTTTGGAGAATGCATCATATCTTCTCAACCATAATACTTCCATCATGACTGCAAGGCATCCGCCATATCATAGTAGCTTAGACTACTCTCTAAAATTACATCGCCCAGATTATCCATTCCTCACCACTAACTCCATCCAGCTTCGCACTAATTTCACCTGAAGCACTCACGCGACAATTCAAAAAGCTGAGTGCTGACGACCAAGCAGTAGCCATTGGACGGGAAGATATCGCCTTTATCGCAGCTATCAGTGTCATTTTATCGAAGCAGAACCACCCTGAACCGAAATACCACCAGCACGAGGACCATCAAGTCCAAATAGCGAGGCCAATAGCTATCTACCAGAGGACCTTCCTGCTAACACCGTACAGCCACGCCCCGGCGAACACCAAGAGTCTTAAACTACCTACATATTTCAAGAACAAGAACGAAATCGTCTACTCACCATGCCTTTCCGCAACCACACAGATAGCTCACCCTCCGTCATCTTAGAATTTCCCCCAAACGGCACCCCGTATTCATCACCATGGACTCACTCGTAACCACCGCCCGCGCCATCCAAACTCAACTAACCACAAATAGCACCGGAAGCAATGACCAATACCTCCTAGTCCAAAACCTGCCCCCGGAAATCATTGACAACCTCATCGAAGACAAGAATGCCCTAGACGGAATCCCCTTCCGTTTCACCTTCGAGAGATACACTGGGCTAATCAAGATGATTTCTGCTGATCATATCGCCGTGACAAGAAAACTAGCAGAGACCGTCCTGCAAGAATGTCTTCTTGCTGGCGTCCCAAACAAAAAAGAGATACACTGGGCTAATGCCGGTGCTGGTGCCGCTCCCACTACGTACAAGGTAGTAACAGGGAACAACAGCAAAGACAAAAGGAAACAACCAGATGACAGCTTTCTGCCGCTAACTCGGCAGCCGCACGGTTGGCTGACTCTGGTCATCGACACATGTCCCCCAGAATCTATGCAACGTTTTCGCAAAGACGCAAAATGGTAGTTTAAGAATTCTGCCGAAGCTGTTCACACGGTTCTCACTCTGGGAATCAACACGTGTACCAAGACCGTCGAGGTGGAGAGGTGGCGGTATACTCGCACCTCTGCTTGTGCTGCTATAGTTCTGGGCCTAGCACAGAGTGTTATTATAACGCTTGTGAGGATTAAGGGAGGTGTGGCTGTTTAAATTCCGTTCTGGGAGTTGTTTGGTGGGGCGCCAAGGTGGGAGGATGAGGGATATTTTACTGGGGGGTGAAGGGCTGGTTGATGTGGCTGGGGTTTTGGATTAGGGTAGTTTGCTTTATGGTGGTGTTTGATTTGGATTGTTTGGTAGGATAGGTTGCTTGACGTCCTTAGTGTGATATGAGTAGAGTAGAATATAGTCATCTCAAAACCAAGCCCTTTTATCTAACAAGGTCAAAATAACCAGATTCCAACTCACTGAACCACGCAACAATAACGCCCTCTATAATGATTCACAGTGACTGGGCTCTCAAAAACTTTATGTATTGACTGAAGTCCACTGCTAACAAATACCTCCTCTGTAACTCTGTCTCTGCTCCCAGGGAGACTTTTTCATCTGGGGACCCCATTCCATGGGAAACTTCATGTCCTGGTGCTGCTAAGTGCTGTCAAATAGCTCGACTGAATCCCAATCGGCACACCCGCTACCGTTTGCAGGAGTAAAAGTAAAAACAGCCCAATAAGTAAAGTTCAACAACAGGCATGTACTGTACTCTTTGATGACCAAAAACTAGAGCAGCTTCTAGAGAAGTAAGCTAGGTCTCTACATGATTGAGAGCGGCTGGGTTTTGTGAAGTCAGCTATGCACCAGGGTAAACTACCGGGGAAACACGCTCGTGTGCTGATTGTACGTGTATGCACATTTTTGTGTGAATTTGACGGATTTTTCCCAGAAATCTCTATAAATAGGAGGCAATGCTCTACCCGTTGGCGTTCGTTTAATGTATTTCCAACTCAGCTTGACTTGATGATCAATTTGCCAAACTTTGTAGATTGAAGCAGACAAGGGACTTCTTTTCTTATGATCCATCAAGACCACGTATCGCAAGCGCTGCTTCCCAGTTCTCGTGTTTCCTTTGAGACACTTCCTCGACTTGATTCAAACCTCAGAAAATGCATCATCGCCTATGCTGATATACGATACATCAGCTGCAGACCGACACCGAAGTCCAGGCATTTGGCAATTTTTGGTCAATATCTATGCAAGTCCTAGGATCACTGCATAGAAGAGCAAAATAAGCAAGAGAAGGAAAGAAACACACTATGTCGAGCTCAATGTAAAGTTTTCGGGTCCTGGAGATATTAAAATTTCTTTCATCGAAAACTTTTTTGATTTCCTTCATTCAGGCTGCCTTCGTGAGACTTAAGCTCCCAGGTGTATGTTTCTCCTCCAGAAGATTTTACCATCAACGAGGTTTTTCGTCCCAACCTTTTGAACCTTTCCACTCTTCAGAACCGACTGGTCTGTCTGGTTTCCCCTTCCAGCTTCATTGTTGCAAGATTCAGGCTCAGGTCTTTGAAAGTGTATAATATCCCAATGTTGCTACGATGCGGTCAAGCCGTTACTGACTAGGCCAACTCCCAGCCCAGACATATTGGTACCGAGTATCAGTTCCACATTAGGTTGCGGTTATAGTTCGGTATAGCTAAAACTAATTTTAAACAACTGATCAGGGATGCTGGTGTCTCTGGTAAGTACGTACCAGAAACTAGCACCGGGCAACTAACCCCTGTCTAGGTCGTACTAGATCTGGAAAACCGGGTTCGGGTGTTGTTTGTGCCTGTGCATCTCCAATTCACCTCTGTGGAAACCACATGGGTACATTCTAGGAGGCATTCAAAAAAGGACAGTCATATGGTCTAAGTGTGTCTTTCAAAATGCGCGTGGAATTGCAGATCAACCGGGCCTCCGTGAGCCCTATCTGGAGTAAGGTCCGGGGTTTTCGTTTGCGAGGGTACTGGTTGGCTATGGGTTGCGAGAACTGAGAGTGCAATATTCACATCAGCTTTTTTCACGAGTCGGTGTGTTCGCTCGAGAAAAGGCATCCACGAAGTGCCTTGCCATTACTATTATGGCCCTAGTTGCTTTTTTTTTTCTTTTTTTCGCTTCCCAGTTCTCATACTTCTGCCAACTTCCGATACACGGCGGTATAACTTACTGAACAATATTCAGAATCTTTGAACCACCACTGTACGTTTCTCGTTTTTGTGATAGTGATTTGGGGAAGCCCGTTTCAATGACGAATTTCCATTGTCTTGATAATGGCATAAACAACTATAGCTGACTTTTCTTTCATTCTGGATGTTGACGATACACTTGTCAGAATATTTTCCCTGTAAAACTTAGTTCCTTCTGGTTCAACCGGTGAATATTCATCTAAGCAGAATATTTCTTCCTTGGTATTTCTGTTAAAATGAAGGATGACCAAGGCATCTACTCCCCAAAATCCATAACGGCATTCCGTTCAAGGTATTGCTGATCCTCGTTATATGGTAGTAGCAAGTATATATATATGATTATAAAGTACGTGTTGATTCCCATTCTCCCTAGTTTCCACGTTCTTCGTTCTTTTTGAAATGATAGGGGCGTTCTTCCTGTGGTAAAATGCGAGGTTTTGCCAGGAAGCTCTGAGCAGCGGAAACAAGCTGGTTATTATCCCGTAGGCGAAAGGTTCTCGGGAATATGGTCAATGTACAGGGTAGATGATAACACTAGGGATACAAGAAGATGATGATACTAAACCACCCTGAATGGCAGTAGGTAGGCGGTGTGAGGTACGATAAAGAGGTTGGTTCGTTGCAAATGTCTGTATACCTCTATGGAGGATTAGGTTGGGGGCTTGAGGAAGCTCCTGAATATTAACAAGAGCAAATGAAAGATTTAAGTGAAAAGGTAACGGTGAATATGCATTAGGCTGAAGATTATCATGACACATAATGACCCGAAAAGGCAGATATTCACAAAACCAACCCTACCATAGCATACAAAAAAAAATCCTAAATAGATACAAGAGACAGAACAAAAACTACGTCTCTGTCTCAACATCCGGCTCCCTTCCTGCCAAATCCCCCGTAAATTTCTTCCCAACCTTTCTCAGCGCATACTTCGCCTCATCCTTTGCAAACGCCACATTCCTTGCCGGCTTCCACTGCATCAGACCGCGTTGTTGACGTTCGTCTGTACGTTTATTCGCCTTCTTGGTTGCTTTATCGGCTTTGTTGCCATTGGAGTTGCTGCTGGCGTTGCTGGTACCGTTAGTTGTGGTGCTTATGGTTGTAGGGGCGTCTTCGGTTTCTGTCGACGATTGGGACTCGGAGTCTTCATCATGCTCGCCGCTGTGTCCCTGATTATACGTCTGGGCCTCACCAGACTCTCGTGGCTGTTTTTCCTGGGTTTCCTCGCTCTCCTCGAACTTGTTGGTCCCTGGTGCTTGTGCCTCGACTGGTGGCGGGACAACAGGGTCATGAGGTGGCTTATCACGTCCTGGTTCAGCGACCTTCCGTCCTTTATGGTCCGTGTAAGCACGGGGATCATCACCGAAAGCACCACTCCAGTCAATACCTTGCTTGTCAATCCAGCGCTTGCGCTCCTTTGGATCTGCGTGCTTGAGCACGTCGCGCCCATCCAAGAGGGATCGCTCATGCAGCTGCTCTACTTCCTCAGGGACTTCGGCGATGACGTTGCCTGTGCGCACACCTTCAGCAACGCAAGCTTCCCATGACTCATAGGTCTCACGAGTGTTGTTATCGACGACGAATTGCTCGTGGGATTCGTCAATGCCTGGGCTGAAGTGGCCGCTGAACTTGAGGCGGCCAATTTCAGTCAGGTCTTCAAGACCAGGTACCTTCTTTGCTTTCCAGTTTGTCTCCGTGATATAGTTCTGTGTCAGACGGGCACCTTTCTTTGTCGACCAGATGGGGATGTCCATAGGAGTGTCTTCGTTGTCGATGAGGTGTTGGAGCCAGAAGACCGCGAAGCCAGCTGCGTGGTGTTTGCCCTGCGTGTGGAGCTCGAAAACCACAGGGCTGCGGTAGCGGTGCTTCACAGGGAGACGGAGCCGGTGTCTCTGTGCTGTTTTGCTAGTGAGGTCGAAAGTAGCACTACTGTTTTCGAGGTGGCATCCGTGACGTGGGAGCTTTCCACTACTACCTCCCGTGCGGAGCTTGATCTTGCAGTAGTGGTTGAAACCTTCCGCGATGAGCTTTTTCGAGGTGAACTCGAATGTTCCAACATCCCAGCCCAGCATCTGTGGAGGTAGCTTGGTCTCGACATGGCGGAGTAGGAGGGAGATGCGGATGCGGCCGAACCCGACTCCGCCGTCAAGTGGGTACCATCGTGTAGACTGTGAGCTGTTCTGCAGGATGTCGGTAAGCTTCAAGGGCACTACGCCTAGGATTGGATCGTGCTCGCGATACCGCTGGTCGCGAACAGTCACAGTGACTACGGCAGATCTCCAGTCGCGAACGAACCGCTCGGTTCCGGCATTGAAAATCGGCTTGGAGCTCACAGCTTTCGCTCGAGTGCGGTATACCTGTTCATGTCAGTTCCCGTCTCATTCTTCCATAGTATGAAACATACCAATTGGTCATTGAGAATGATCTTGCAGTAGCTAGTTGGCAACTCACCACCCTGTTCTTCAGTATTCTCACCGTACTTCCTAGCCGGTTCATACTCTCTTCCTTTTCGATTCCCATGGCTACCTTTGATATCGACCAGTTGCAGATTCACTATCTGGTGGACAATGATACTCAGTATGCCACTGGGCCAGAGAGGATCCGGGGGCGTGCGGACGATCGCATCTTCTTCTTCGTTGCTAATAACACCCTTCTCATCTTGGAATTCCGGGATACCTTGCATGTTATCCGGCAGGTCCTTCTTCTTGCCATCGGTGATCAATTCAGGCCTTAATCTAGGCTTGCCAAAGAATCCAACTTCCCAGTGCAGTTCACCCGGCATTTCACTGCCTTCGCTCAGGCCCTGAAGCTTGGATACTTGGGGATACATCCGAGCCGGGTGCTGGAGCATTTCACGAATTGGGAGTTCGACCTTGCCAACGATGTCGTCGGCAGTGGTGCGGTCAGAATCCCAGAGTTCGACACTTAGGCTCTCATCAGCCTTGATCAGCTCCGGGGTGACAAGAAGCGCAGCAGTTTCCTCCCAAATAGGATTGAGATCATCTGTGATCACACGCGTACAGTACATAGGTTTTCCATATTTGGAGAAAGACAGGTTGATGTAGGGGTCGCTGCCTCCACCCTCGCTGCCACGGGTATCCTGCTTGCTCAGCCCAACAGCACGGTGGATGCGAACCCACATGATACCCAAAGCTTGAGTCTCTTTGACAACATCGTCACCCTTCAACATCATACCCAGGTCCATCGTCATCGACTTGGGAGCGGCAAACATACTACAAGCGGTGCCAATGGCATAGTTGACGAAGTTGGAGATCAAGGGAAGGTTCAAGATGTTGACACCGCCGCGGACCATGGGCATACAGCCAGCCCTAACATGGGGAATTCCCACTAAACTGAAGGTCACATCTTTCATGAACGGAGCCTCGGGCATCATCTGAAACCGCAAGCGTACAGTCCCAACCATCTCAATTAATTCCACGAAAACAGGGAACGGTACGCCAAAGAGACCCCGGCTTCCCAGGTAGAAGACGAGTTGCATGTGCATGTTACGCGCTTTGGATGAAGCGGATTGAGTACTCGGTTTCGCGTGGTAAGCAAACGATGCTTCGAGGTTGTAGTAGCTGCCACCCTCTTCAGCAGCGGCAGCTTCTTGTGGGTCTTTTTTCTTGTTCTCCTCGTGAATATTCTCTTTGAGGTTCTCAACGTGGTCGTCCGGCAGAGCGCGCATGCTCAGGATTCGTAGGGGGTTACTTCCTTGATCGATCTCGGCGATGCGTACGTTTTCAATCACGCCCGGTGACGACGCCTGCATAATATCCTCAATCGTATCTCCAACTGGGGACAGCATCTCTGGGTTAACAAGTCCCCAAAAGACACCAAGGAAACTGTTCATCCACTCGACCGATTCGGGAAGGAGATTTGCCGTAGCCTAGACGATCCAGTCAGTGTGGTTCTCAATGCATAGAGACAAAGGGCACAGTACCGTCTGTCCTCGGAGCTGCTCACTGCTCCATTCTAATTCCCGGCCACTTCGAATGACCTCCTTCATCCACAACCATACGGCTGATGTGATGCAAGCAGCCAATGGCACCAATCCCCACAGGGAAGCACCAAACATTCTCCCGACAAATAAGATTCCCAGTGTAAACCCCAAGCACATTCCTGTCGCGCGCTTTTCCAGGTGCTCGAACATGGGCTTAAACGAAATCGCCGGGGTAGGATGAAAGAGGACATTTGTTCTCTCGCCTCGAATGGGGACGTCGGATGTTGTTCCTTCAGCGACGGGATCTGGAGGGGCCGTGACATCTTGTGCTTCTTTGTATTCTTCGTAGCTTTGGTTCGCGTCAGTTTTGACGCTCTGTGCTGGTCAGTTCCGGTCATTCTTCGATCGCTGGAGGGTGTACAACTCACCGTTTCTTTGCCAATGTTGGCATTCGGAATCGCCAACTGACTCATTATTAGCAAACTACCGACATCCTCCGGCTAGAAGTGACATACGGTTGGATTTTTAACCGTATCCATCGAATCCTCATCCTGATCCTCCACCTCAATGTCGCGACCCGTTATCGGATCTGTGACCATCCTAGTCTTCCCCTTGGGGATCTCCCGATTCTTGTGAGCAGCCGTCTCATCATCCAGCTTTTCTCCGCGTGCTTCTTTCTCGCGACGCTGCGTTTCTTGTTTCTTGGTGATCTCTTCTTCGTGGACTTTTCGTTCGTGTTTCTCGGTGTCGAGATGTTGCATAAATTTCTGGATAGTGGGCACCGGGTTGGCAGCACTCCAGTGCTCACCTACCCGGTGTTGTTTGGGGGAATGGGGCCCCTGCCCGTTGGTGGTCATGTTGGTGGATTTATCGGTGGTATCGTGTTAAGGGAAGGATAGATTCGGAGGTAGTGTATATTCGACAGACGGCATTAGTTCCCTCCCAGCGCCGGCTAGAACTAGGATATGGTTGAAAAGAGAAAATATCGACAAGCTTTAGATAAAAATAAAGACGAGAGCATAAGAGTAGTCGACGAGCGACGACAGGGCTGAGAGGAGCTGGGGTCACGGTCCAGCTACGTCATTGTGGAGGATGAGGAACCGGGAATTGGCTGTGGTCGTAGTATTCTACCAATGAATATCACTTGGGAGTATACGTACACTCGGCAGAGATGACGAGGATTATAGACACAATTTATCTTAGGAGATGAGGAGATGAGGAGATGGACTACAAGTATAATATATGATCATTGGCAGTGTTCAGGTAGTATGAGTATAACTTCCAACTTCAACCCGATACACTTCAATTGCACTTTCTTCTCTGTTCAAGAGAGTGAATCTACTTTCTATGAATAGATCTCTCTTGAGGCTAAAAGCCATGACCGAATTGACTCACATGGAATACTTATAGGCCATAAAGTGTGTGTATTCACGATTTATGATGTCACCAGTTACAGCTATGTAGACACCTCAGGCATATAAATACGGCAATCATCTCTGCCCTGTACGGAATAGCGTTGAATTATTTTTATGAGGCCGCATTGAATGGCAATTATTCGAGATAGTAGTGGCTATAATAACTTTCTACGAGAAGCAATTGCTGATTGAATAGACATGGTCTGCTGCGGAGTCGTTTATATATATTCTAGTGCTGCGACAACAACAGCAAAGGTATTTTGATCTACAAATGACATGATTGCCCTCTTAAGTCATACCGATCTCCTCCATATATACCCTCTACATACGGAGTAGACAGTTACTAACTAGGATAATAACAATGATACCATAGTTGTAGATATAGCAGCCTGAGATACGTAGTTCAGCCAATGACCGCCAAGCTTCGGCAGTCGTTCGTTTTGCCGCCTAACAATCAAATCCACACTTGGCTTCTTCAACGCTATTCAGACCTCCTTCATCCATTGCATTGAACCAACAAAAACTATATCTTAATATAAACACAGATCCTGAGATAACAACTATAGCAGTTGCCCACGACGGATACTGCCACGAGCGAGACGATAAGAGACTAAGACCAACGAATCATTATTCCTGCCTGTCCCCATTATCGCGCAACAAGAACGAGAACAAAACAAAACAATGGCTGCTCCAGAGGAATCAGCCGCACAGAGGTCTGCCCGTCTCCGTCGTGAGCGTCGGGAGGCCAAGATTAGAGATGGAGGCGCTGAGCGGCTGGACAAGATTACCAGTATGAGTGGACGGACGCCAGCGAGTGGTATGTTTTATTCTCGTTTTTCTTCATTTTCCCTGCACTATCAACATGAAAGGATCTTACAAGGTAAACAACACTGACTGCTACAGACCGTGAAGATGCGTCGTCAACTCCAACACCACTGCCAACGAGCTTGACATCCGCCCCTCGACCGGCACCGACTGTGGCTCCGGTTACGGATATCCAGGATCAACAATCACCGGACGACCTTCAGTCGCAGCAGGAGTACTTCCGGGCGCTTCTTCGGCAAGCCGCTCCTGCGCAGGGACAACAGCAACCGCTGCAACAGCCAGGGACCGAGGACGAAGACCCAGCCGTGAAATTACTTCATTCAATTCTCGCAGGGAACGTGCCGGGATCAGAACAAGGAGGGGCAGGGGCAGGGGGCGCAGAAGGACCATCACAGGCCGATTTGCTGTCTGCACTAGGTCTCCCACCGTTCCTGTCAAGCCTGGTTGGAGCAGCTACGCAGACTAAATCGGAAGCGGACAAACAGGAGACATGGGCGTGGAAAATGATTCATGTGGTTTTTGCGCTGGTTATGGCGGTCTATGTTTTGGTCGTGATCGGCACGTCGGTAGCAACCTATGGCAACTCTCCTCCACCACCAGCGACAGCGCGGAATCCGTTTGTGGTGTTTACGACAGGGGAGATGGTGCTGAGTGGAGCGCGGATGGCACTCAAGAGCCGACAGGGTGCGAACGGAGGCATAGGGGTGTGGGTAGAAATGGCGCGAGATGCGGTTCGAGATGGAGCATTGATGGTGTTTGTTCTAGGGATGGGGACATGGTGGCAGGGATGGTGATTTGTCTAGATAATCGTATTATCTATTCCGTACTCCGTATTCTGCATGAAATTCTACAGTATTCGTGTCCATTGTTCAATTCTCCTACTGCTGCGCCGCATGAAGACTTTCCGGAAGTGGCAGCGTGCAGCAAACTGTCCACGATGGCGGGAGGACGATCATCTTAGCGGCACTTAGTAGGAACTAGCAACTGACCGAGCCTTTTTTAGGGAAAACGTGCTTTGGCAGAGGATGACCACGGCTACTTATATACTCCGACAGAATCCAGCATATTCGGGCCATAGTAAAAAGAAAAAAAAAAAAAAAAATCCTTTCCTCCATAACCTCGGTGCTAACTCGGCGACGGTATAAGGGACTGGTTAAATCAGTATGACCGAACTTCCGTGCGGCCGTCTGGGGAGTGGGAGAGGGAGGGGAGTCGATCCGAGTTGGTGCCCAATCGGTTCGAGTCCGTAATGACAATCATAATCGTCTTTGGATTCAGTGTCTGGACGAGTCGTCTGAGTAAGAAATACAGAGTAGAGTAGTTACAGAAGTATGGCGGGGTTGGATATAACTACTTTTGAAGGATTCTGCATTATTAGAATAAAGAATAGAGTAATTTGGAAAAAGCCTCCCCGCCATTTGCATCTTTGGAATCAATTGTACGGATTATATTCGGTCGAAAAAGACAAACCCCACGAATGCCAATATGCATATCTTCCAGTAGGATTCGATGTATTCCATGTGCTCCCTCTTTCTCCGGAGTCCAGCGATTCTCCGGAGCAACGGAACAGAAGCCTGTCACGCCCCGCATGGCCGAATTCGGTTGAATGGTCAGAGTTGCAGTGAGTCTGTCTCCGGAAAGAAGTCATATTGGAGGTATTGAACAGTGGTAAAATAGACTCTGGTAGTAGTCATTCATCTGACTCGCCTCATCGCCCGAGAGTGTAGAGAAGTGGTGGCCATGAACCGGTCCCCCGACCAATTCAATATAAGAAGATCCCCTCCCCAACGCTCTCCCATCCAAATTCATTTACTCCTCCCCACTGCTCTAATTCTACTTAGCATCCTTTCTGTCCCCTTTTCTTCCTCTCTTTTTCTCTTTTTACTACTCCTGTACTCTCTTCTTCCTCTACAATTTACTTCCTTTACTCTCTCTCCTCTCTTCCTTAATTCCTCTACTCAGCAACCCCGCGTTCCGGTGAGTTTATTTTACTGTCATTTCGACTCTTGGCCAATTGCTGACTTTTCTCTCGCTCGCAGTTTCTCAATTCCTCCTCTTTTCTCATTCCTCCCTAATTCACCACCGGTACCACCACAATCATGTCTGAAGGAGACGTCATGCCCCCGAAGCCAGCAGTGGTAAGCTTTAGCGTCAAGGAGGGAAAAAAAAAGGCACTGCCAGGCAGAAACTAACTTCTGCAGGTCTCCGAGGCCCACGATGTCGACACCTTTAACATTCCCAAGGCCTTTTACGACAAGCACCCCACAGGCACTCACCTTAAAGACCTCGACGAGTACAAGAAACTGCACGAAGAGTCTATCCGCAGTCCCGACACCTTCTGGGCTCGCATGGCCCGCGAGCTCCTCACCTTCGACAAGGATTTCCAAACCACCCGCTCCGGTTCCTTCGCCAACGGTGATGTTGCCTGGTTTGTTGAGGGTCGCCTGAACGCCTCTTTCAACTGTGTCGACCGTCACGCCCTTAAGGACCCCAACAAGACCGCCATCATCTACGAGGCCGACGAGCCCAGCGAGGGCCGCACCATCACATACGGAGAGCTCTTGCGTGAGGTTTCCCGCGTTGCTTGGGCTCTTAAGCAGCAGGGTGTCAAGAAGGGTGACACTGTTGCCATCTACCTTCCTATGATTCCTGAGGCTCTCATTGCGTTCCTTGCTTGCTCCCGTATTGGTGCCGTCCACTCCGTTATCTTCGCCGGTTTCTCCTCCGACTCTCTCCGTGACCGTGTCCTCGACGCTGGCTCCAAGGTCGTCATCACCGCTGACGAGGGTCGCCGTGGTGGCAAGGTCATCGGTACCAAGCGCATCGTAGACGAAGCTCTCAAGCAGTGCCCCGATGTCACTAGCGTTCTCGTCTTCAAGCGGACCGGCGCTGAGGTTCCCTGGACCGCTGGCCGTGACCTTTGGTGGCACGAGGAAGTTGAAAAATACCCCAACTACTTCCCTCCCGAGCCCGTCAACTCCGAAGACCCCCTCTTCTTGCTCTACACCTCCGGTTCTACCGGTAAGCCCAAGGGTGTCATGCACACTACCGCAGGTTACCTACTCGGTGCTGCTATGACCGGCAAGCACGTCTTTGACATCCACGACGACGACCGCTTCTTCTGCGGTGGTGACGTTGGCTGGATCACTGGCCACACCTACGTCGTCTACGCTCCTTTGCTTTTGGGATGTGCCACCGTCGTCTTCGAGAGTACCCCGGCCTACCCCAACTTCTCTCGCTACTGGGATGTCATCGAAAAATACCAGGTCACCCAGTTCTACGTTGCTCCCACCGCTCTGCGCTTGCTCAAGCGTGCTGGTGACGAGCACATCAAGCACCAGATGGAGCACTTGCGTATCCTTGGCTCCGTTGGTGAGCCCATTGCTTCAGAAGTCTGGAAATGGTACTTTGAGAAGGTTGGCAAGGAGGAGGCTCACATTTGTGACACCTACTGGCAAACTGAGACTGGCTCCCACGTCATCACTCCCTTGGGTGGTATCACCCCTACCAAGCCCGGTAGCGCCTCTCTGCCGTTCTTCGGTATCGAGCCCGCCATTATTGACCCCGTCTCGGGCGACGAAATCACTGGTAACGATGTCGAGGGTGTGCTTGCTTTCAAGCAGCCCTGGCCCTCTATGGCCCGTACCGTCTGGGGTGCCCACAAACGCTACATGGACACCTATCTGAACGTCTACAAGGGCTACTACGTAAGTTTTCCTTCTCAACTCCAGTAATTTTCACGACGCTAACTTATGCAGTTCACTGGTGACGGTGCTGGTCGTGACAAGGATGGTTACTACTGGATCCGTGGACGTGTCGATGATGTCGTCAACGTCTCTGGACACCGTCTGTCCACTGCTGAAATCGAAGCCGCCCTGATTGAGCACCCCCAGGTTGCCGAAGCTGCTGTCGTCGGTATCGCCGATGAACTCACCGGCCAGACCGTCAACGCCTTCGTCTCTCTCAAAGAAGGCAACGAGACCAACGAACAAGTCCGTAAGGACCTTGTCATGCAGGTCCGTAAGTCCATTGGACCGTTCGCCGCCCCCAAGGCCGTCTTTGTTGTCGACGATCTCCCCAAAACTCGCAGCGGTAAGATCATGCGCCGTGTCCTGCGCAAGATCCTCAGCGGCGAGGAGGACAGCCTTGGTGACACTTCGACACTGTCGGATCCTTCTGTTGTGAACAGAATCATCGACACTGTTCACGCTTCGCGGAAGTGAGCGAATTGAATTAAAAAAAATAATGTGGACGACGACTATATGCATATGCTGCTTTATATATGTGTGGGCTCTTGTCACCCCTGCTTTGTTTGATTTTCATACCTTATGATTCCCTTTTATTGCGTTAGTTGCAGATGTTTATAAATGAATTGCATAATATCATTACTTCAAAGAGTACTTCAGCCTGTAGAAAGCTTCAATTAGAAAACTAGGTCAATTTACCCCAAACCACCTCCAACCTATCCCGCACAACCCTCGCCGGCCAATAATTCAATTCCCTGCCCATATCAACAATCACATCCATCAACGTCCTCTGCAACTCATGGCAACCAACAAACCTCTCCGCGCAAATACTAACCGCAATACAAGCTGTCGTCAGCGCCGGCGCAGATTGTTTATTCGAAACTGCAATCCCACAAATTTCCAACACAGCAGCTCTCAACTTCTCATTGACATTCTCCATTTCTAGGTGTAGCGTAGGTCCTATGCGAGGAATGTATGGTGAATACGTAGCGAAGAGGATATCGAGAAGGCTGAGGCTTTGGGCTGCGACGATGTGGCAATCATCTAGATACCATATTACTGGGAAGAATGTTGGCTCTCCCGAACGGGGTTTTTGAACGTACACCGGTGAAAATGACACCGGTCTCGAACGGACCCATTTCTCCCGTAGTGACAATAGCTCGTGATATCCTGCTACACCCCCGTATCCGGGGAATGTATCATCAAAGCAATACTGAATCACCCGTGCTCCAATAATAAGCAGACGATTCGTCCAAGCTGCATCTGACGCAGGAGTCCAGACCAGATGACCCTGTGTAACGGAGAGGGATAAAGGGAGGCGAAAGGGTCGTTGCTGTGAAAACGCCATGTGGAATTCCTGCCGGAAGCCCGTCCAGAATACTGCTTGTCGGAGAGTGCCATTGGTATGAGGGTTGGAGGTAGGAGCAAGAGTGAAAGCGGTTTGCGCTTGTGCTTCAATGAAGACGTGTAGTCCGCGAGCGGCGGTTTCGGTTGGGAGGGTTACGAAGGGATCTTCAGTTATCAGTAGCGTTTAGGGGAGAAAAGGGGAAGGGAAAGGGTGGTACTGTCAAGCTCCTCATAAAATCTCAGGATAACCACTGCCGCGAGCAGATTCTCGTTCATGGACGAGTCTGGTTGAGCAGCTGAGAAGCGGAGATCTGTGATGCATTGGTTGTGGTAGTATAGCACCGCTTCTTCGTTGATCGTTATGTCATGCTTCATGTTGTATTTGCTTAGGGTAGCTGTCTGTCGAGATGTAGGCAGGGTGCTGAAATGTCTCGCTGATGCAGCTAGAATTGCATGCCGGAGAGTGAGACATTTGCGTGCTCGTTGGGGGATGGTGCTTGTGAAGCGGTTAGAGGGATCGCAGATGTCGAACTAGACATCGTTATTAGAGTGGACGGGTTATATGCTAGTGATGGAAGCTAGGCGAGTACCCATCTTGCTAGCTCTTCGATAAAGTAACGAAGAAGACATGCTTCTCTAGGGCCGATCTGGGACCAAGGTGTGTGGCTTGGCTTGAGGTCTGTGTCCGGTGATGTAGATTGAGAAAGAGATGGAGTAAGACGTGGGCTGTCATTTGAGACACGACTTGGCCGGGCAGAAGGATCCGTTGAAGTCCCAGTGAACTTGGACGTCTCGTTGATATATCTCACTAGTCCACTATTCAGCTGGTGACATGGTTATATCAAGTATATACAGGGTAAGCAAACCAGTTGAGCTTGAGCCATGGCGAAACCTCGCCCTTCGATTAATACGAATACACTCCCTCCCAAATTTCTCGCATCGAGCGCATCTAGGGCTGCTATTATCGCCTGATAACCGTTAAAAGACCACCATGGTATTCAAAGAGATCAATCAAATTACATTTGACATGATGTCCTGTCTCCCACCCATGTTAGCCTCGCAGCAAGCGACATATATTCATCACATACTTCGACAATTCTCACTGGGTCGTCTTAGCAATGATTCACTGACAGTGGCTAGCGACTTACCAGGGATTGTGTCTTGGTGGCATCGTAGTATTATACACAGATTAAGGCTGTGGAATCGCTTGTAATTCTCTTTAAAGAAGGGCATCGCCGATGTTGACGAACGGGGGGTTTTCGGCGATTTCCCCGCATTTTACTCCACGACAACTCAACGAGCAGCTGTGCTCTGTCCGGGGTATATTTCTCTTTTCAGATCTAAATTGGTGTAGCAGAGAGGAGAGATGTGATGATACTATTGAATTACGCGCCAGCTTGTCTTCTCAGCTTACTGCATAAAGTTGTGTCAGACATCTCCAAATTCCATTTGGGACGAGAATCGCCGATGGCATTCCTTTTATGGTAACCGTTCGCCGATTCTGTATCTGCTGTTGAAAGTATCCCAACAGATATCCAGCAGACACCATGTCAAAGATACCTAAGCCAGCTGTTTTGTGGAATATATATAGACCAGTAGATATCTAGACGAGATTACAACATGCCACAATTTCTTTGCTCACCTTGTTTATCGAACACAGGCGTAAGTCCACCATGTACGTCGAAATCCTAGCAGCCCTATTTCTATACCTCTTCACCTCCTATGTGATGATCCCAATAGCCACATACTACCGCGATCCCAAAGGTCTTCGCAGATATCCCAACTTTTACAAATTGTCCGGCATATCCGACCTCCCCTACATCTACGAAGCCCACAAAAGCTTCCGTTCCAGGAATCTCTACGAAGCGCACAAGAGCCACTCCGTCCTACGTGTCGGACCGAACTCGCTCTCCTACGGTGATCCGCGTGCAATCAAAGACATCTACGGCCACGGTACCACATGCATCAAGGACCGGTTTTATTCAGAAACGGGAGGGACGCATGCTCATCTCGCGGATGTGGTAGATAAGGGTCAGCATGCGCGGAAGAGAAAAGTTTTGGCTGGTGCGTATGCGCTGAAGAATCTTGAGGAGTGGGAATATAAAGTGGGTGATGTGACGAAGAGGTTGGCCAGGGCTTTTGATGAGAGGTGTACGGACCCGCTGCCTCCTGGGGGATTGCCGAAGGAGGAGGATCTGAGGGTCGATTATCGGATGTGGACGAATTTATATACCATCGCCGCGATTGCGAGTATTGGGTTGAGTGAGGATTTACGGTTTCTGGATCAAGGGTCGGATTTAGTGAAATCGGAGACTCGAGATGGGAATGTCAAGCATGTTTCTTTCCGGGAGTGTCAGTCCGCTGCTGGTCGTGTTACGTATAACTTGGTCTGGGCTTATGACTGGTACCAAACCCTGGCTCCAATCAGCAAATTGGCCTCCTCGACTTACCGTCGTCTGTGGAAGTTGAGCGACGACTGGAATGGGATCATCCTCAATCTTGGAACAACTCGACTCAAGCGACACCTAGCTGGAGAGAAGCTGGGTGATTTCTTCGCCGCCATGATGGAGGATAAGGATGGCAAACCACATAACCTGGAATGGGGCGAGATTCTGGCTGAAATCAGCATCATGATGAACGCTGGATCTGATACCACTGCCATCTCGCTACGGAATGTCATGTTCTTTCTGTTGAAGAACCCGCAGTGCATGGAGAAGCTTCGTGCTGAGGTTGACGCCGTCCTCGACGAAGATGAAGTTGTTGCGCCCTATGCCAAAGTTAAGCACCTTCCGTACCTCCGCGCTTGTTTGGATGAAAGCCTCCGCATGCTGCCACCGGTAATCTTCGCGCTTCCCCGTCGAACACCTCCAAGAGGCACAACCATCTTAGGCGATTATATCCCTGGCGACACCTCAGTCAGCATGTCAGCATACGTGACTCACCACAACGAATCCATCTTCAAAGACCATAATGCCTACAGACCAGAGCGCTGGCTTGGTGAAGCTGGGAAAACCCTGCAGCCGTATTTCATCCCGTTTAGCACTGGGGCGAGGGGGTGCATTGGTCGGAATATTAGCTATCTTGAGCAGACTGTACTTTTGGCGTCATTGGTGCATCGATTCGAGTTTGCTTTGCCGGGCCCTGAGTGGGATCCTCCTGTTCCGGAGACAACTAATTTGAACCCGGGACCGATGCCATTGAAGATTTGGAAAAGGCAGAGGCAGAGCGTGTGATAAACTCCGTAGGCTTCCCCGGAAACGGAGCAGAGGAATCCGTGGAGAGGAGAGGCCTGACAAGACATAGTCGCATATATACAAGCACTCGAGGTTTTTCCGATTCATTTTCAATTCTTTCCATAATTCTAGCTAGTTCTACTTCAGTTTCCATAAACAGTTAGTTGCTGTAGCGGCAAAAAACCACGTGACCCATACATCTGTGGCTGCACTTTTGGTCTGTTCCGCCACCCGCGGCTGTTTCTCTGCCCGACTCCCGCGAGCGTCTCTTCTCTCTCTTCCACATCTTCCCCTTCTGGCGGCGTTCGCGTCTTCGTTGCGGCAACGTTTTCTCTTTTCTACTAACCAGCAGCTCTGGTTATTTCTCTTTCGCATCGGCGCATTCTGATATCGCTTTGAGTCAGCCTGCGTTGCTCTTTATCTGAGTGCGAAAGGGGAAGGGGACTGAAAAAACAGAACTGAAGTTTTTGCGCGTCATCTCGACTTGTACAGCTTCAATCTCTGACGACACCTCTATCCTCTCGGTTTTCTTTCGCAGACTTATCTTCTACTTTTATTCTTCAAATCCTTGCGTATCTCTTATTAGTACTACTTCATTTAATATCGCGCCGCGTTCTCTCGAACCTGCGAACGGATGAATCCATAATCTGAACGAACAACCACGACGAAGCAAACATGTCTTTCGGATTCGGAGGATTCGGTCAGAATAACCAGAGCTCCGGCTTTGGCACGGGCTCAGGATTCGGAGGAACGAGTACCGGTGGAGGTAGGTTTCTTCACTTGCTGCGTGACCCCATCCATTCACTTCCCATTTTGCCCCCTCTGTTTTCTTCCTATTTGCGCGCTCCTTGAGACACGTCCAAAATATACGCTGGTGCTCCTTGATGTCGCATCCGCCACAGTCCGCAGCCGCCGCTCCAACAGTTACAGCAAAAGACAACGATTTACATCCTTAAAGCGCGGAATGGAATTCCTTCGACACAGAGCAACACAGAGCGACATAACGACATTCAAAAATAAACAAGAAAATAAGGTTCATGACAGTCTCTGACCGCATCATCCCCGTTATCTAGGCTTTGGATCATCCACATCGTCTCCGTTTGGTGGTGGCGGTACTACTGGTAGCACCGGCGGTGGCCTTTTTGGGAATACCTCCAGTAGCTTCGGTTCCGGTGGTGGTATGTGCTTTCTGACTACACCCTCATGAGCTTAACGACTCTTTCGACGGATTTTTGTGGCATGGACTCTCTGAGTGGCGCCTTACGATTGCTATCTCCATACTCGATGTCCTTCCGGAGAAGCTGACATCTCCAAAATTTTCTGGATTTTGGAATCCCTACATCATGACCAACAGAACGACTGGATAAACCACCGGGGATCTGTGTCCAAGGATCCGCTTTTCTTTATTTTCATTTTTGAAGTAGCAAACATTGCACATCTCCGATACTGACATGTCATTTCTCTGCAGGATTTGGTGCGCAAAATCAATCCAACTCACTATTCGGAAGCCAAAATCGCACTAGTGGCTTCGGCACGGGCACGGGCACGGGAACCTCGTCCGGTGGAGGCCTCTTTGGCAGTGGTACCTCTACCACTGGAGGTGCTGGGTTTGGTGGCAGCGGCGGTGGCTTCGGATCGAGCAACACTGGCGGTGGTTTCGGCAGCTCCGGTGGTGGGCTCGGAAGTTCAGGTGGTGGGCTATTTGGTAACAAGACCGGCGGAGGCTTTGGTACCGGAACAAACGGATTTGGCACAGGCGGCGGTGGGTTTGGAGCAGCAGCAGGGGGCGCCACTGGTGGTTTTGGTGGTGGAACAGGAACTGCCTTCAACCAACCCGTTCCTCCATCCGATGGTACTGCCAGCACCCCATTCAGCCCTTTCACCGAGAAGGACAACAGTTCCAACGTGACCAACCACTACCAAAGCATTTCGTTCATGCAACCCTACAACAAGTATTCCTTTGAGGAATTGCGATTGGGTGATTATAACGGTGGCCGTCGATTCGGAAATGGAAGTGGTCAAGCCGGTGCTTTCGGTACTTCTGCGTTTGGAGGATCCGGCTTTGGCGTACAGCCCACGCAACCCACACAACCCACAGGAGGCTTTGGCAACACCGCTGCCTCGCCATTCGGCACTGGTACCAGCGCTCCTGCATTTGGTACCCAGACCCAGACCGCCGGTGGCTTTGGAAATACGGGCAGTTCCCTGTTCGGCGGCCAACAACAAAAGCCCGCAACGTCTCTGTTTGGAGGAGGCACCACTACCGGAACTTCCCAGCCAAGCATGTTTGGCAACAACACTTCTACTACTGGTGGTTTCGGAAGCACCGCAGGAGCTGGTACCGGCGGCTTCGGCACCGGCACCGGCACTGGCAGCTCGCTGTTTGGCAATAACAACCAACAGCAACAACAAAGTAAGCCGTTATTTGGCGCCGGGGCCACTGGAGCCACTGGAACTGGCACTGGCACTGGAACTGGATTCGGCTTCGGTAACCAGCAAACTACTTCAGCCAGCCCGTTTGGAGGCACTCCGGCTACAGCCTCGCCATTTGGCGGCACCCAGCAGACTGGGACCAGTGCCTTTGGCGGCGGCGGCGGTTTTGGCGGTCAGAATCAGACTCAGAACAAGGGAGGGTTGTTTGGCGGTGGTGCTGGTGGCTTCGGCACGGGCACTCAACAGCAACCATCCACCGGTGGCGGTGGTCTCTTCGGAGGAGCCGCTGGTGGTACGACAGGTTCATCCCTCTTTGGGCAGAACAACCAACAAAACCAACAGCAAAATACCGGTAGTTCGCTTTTCGGAGGTGGAACTCAGCAAACTGGAACTGGAGGCGGCCTTTTTGGGGGCGGCGCCCAACAACAACAACAACAGAAGCCGGGCCTCTTCGGCTCGTCGACTACGGGCACGGGTACCGGCGCTAGCCCATTCGGGGGCGGGGGCTTTGGTAGCACCCAAACCCAGCCAACTGGAACTAGCAGTTTGTTTGGTGGTGGTGCTGCCCAGAACCAACAGCAACAACAGAAGCCAAGTCTGTTTGGTAACACCGGCACGGGCAGTTCCTTGTTCGGCGGCGGTGGCCAGACCACAGCCCCCCAGGGTACTGGCACTTCGTTGTTTGGTAATACCCAGAGCCAGCAGCCCCAGACGGGAGGATTGGGGAGCAGTCTGTTTGGTGGCTCCCAGCAATCTCAACAACCGCAGCCGCAGCAACCAGCGCCAGGTAGTTTGCAGGCTTCCCTTTTCGATGGCAACCCCTACGGGAACCAATCAATCTTCTCTGGCCTGCCTGGGCCAAGCGCCCCAAGCCCCGGTCCCCTGGCCACACCTTTGTCCTCCTCTATGAAGCAAAAGCAACGAACCCCTCTGCCTGTTCACAAGATCACTCCAAGTGCTTCAACACGTCTTGCCACGCCGCCAAAGCGAGGATATGGTTTCTCCTATTCCACTTACGGGTCGCCCTCTAGTTTCACGAACACACCGAACGGTCTTGGAGGCAGCCTGATTGGCGGTAGTAGCATGCGCGGAAGTCTCAATGGCGGTGGCTTCAACCGCAGCTTCAGCAAGAGCTTCTCCACTACCAACCTGCGCAAGAGCTTTGACCCCGATACGGACAGCGTCTTGTCTCCTGGTGCTCTTTCCTCTGGCACCAACCGTCTCTCCAGTGGTGGTCTTAAGCGACTTACCATTGACCGCAGCTTGAGAAACGACCTCTTCGCTCGCCCCACTAGCACGTCGCCTACCCCCATTACCAATGGTGAGGATTCCGCCCAACCAACCGACAAGGGCAAGAAGAGAGTTAGTTTCGATTCTGCAGTCTCCAAGACCCCCGATGGTTCTGACGGTCAGCTGGTTGCGGCGGAGGTTGAAAGCGCAGAGCCGACTCCCGAGGAGCTTGGTTTCCTGCGCTCCGTCCGCAAGAGTGGCAGCACGAACGGAATCAGCAGTTGCAAGTCGTCGTTTGATGGCGCAGAATCTGCCAAAGAACTCCCTGCCGTCCCAGAGGATGCAGAGCAATCCGTCACGACGAATGGTGAGACCAGACTTCCATTTACCCCCGGTGCAGACCCTAAACCCGGTGATTACTGGATGAAGCCTTCTCGTGCTGAGCTCAGCAAATTGCCCCGTGAGCAGCTGAAGAGCTTTGTGGGTCTCATTGTCGGACGCCAACGCTGTGGTCAAGTGATCTTCGATGAACCCGTTGACTTAACAACCGTCGACCTTGACCAAATTTTTGGAGGTCTTGTGGAGATTAACGTGAGAAAGATCACGGTGTACCCTGATGAGGCTATCAAGCCCCCGATGGGCAAAGGTCTTAATGTCCCGTCGACTCTCCGGATTGAGAACTCCTGGCCTCGTGGCCGTGACAGGAAATCGCCGTCTCCCGTGACTAGTGGCCCCCTCTTCGAGAGGCACATTGACCGTTTGAAGAAGGTCGTGAATGCCGACTTCGTTGACTACGAGACAGAGACTGGAACATGGGTTTTCCGGGTGCCTCACTACACTACCTATGGCCTCGATTATGATAGCGAGGATGAAGAAGAAGCAGGTGAGGGCCTCAACCAAAGCACTGTTAGTAGTGCGGCTCCTGACACTCCGACTCCGAAGGCTCCGACAACCGTCAATTTCGATCAAACAGTGACATCCACCTTCTCTACTGATGACTCGTTTGTTGGTTCCGTGGCCGGGGTCGACGATGACACATTCGATTTCAAGAAGCGTAGGATGGTTCCCGGAGCGTTCGGCGTTCAGGAGATGGAGGTGGAGGAAGAACAACAATCGGCCGATGGCGAAGAAGAGGGTTCTTTTTTAGGGGAAAGCTCCACGGGTTCAACAACTGAGCAAGAAGGAGGCTATGAAGAAGATGCCACCGTGAGCCAGCAGCCTGGCGAATCAGAAGTTGAATTGGATGAGGATCAGGAAATGGACATGGCGGGCGCCTTTCCGAGCCTTCGTCCCACCGTGGAGCGCCAGGTTTCTCCAAGCACCGACAGCTACATGGAGAACCAGCCCTCGCTTAAGCCTTGGAACACGCCGGCCAAGGCTCGTCTTGATCTGAGTGGTGATTGGGCTGAGCAGCTGCAACGAACAATCAGCCCTAGGAAGCAGAATCGTGATGCACTCCGTGAGATTCAAGGAAATGCTTTCAATGACCGACCATTGCACGACACTACTCCCACCAAGAAGTCAACCGCGGAGGTCCAATCGAAGGGATTTGCGACCAGCATTGATTTGATGAATTCTTTGTTCCAGCAGCCACGAAAGCAACAAACTCAGTCTCCTCTGAAGGTTCACAATGTACAACATACTGGTGTTGAGGTTTGATTCCCCCCTCTTTTTTCTTTCGTTTCATTTGCGATTTGTTATCTTTGCACGTTGCTGTAACAATATGATGTATTTAAGTTGGATGACATTATATACACTTCAGATAGTTGAATCATAAGCTAAACTGTTCTTCTTTCTTTTAGTGGCCTTATCACAAGCAACCAAAGACCTTTGCTGGTGAATCGAACGAGCTGAGTCGCGACGATATTGCCTTCCATCACTCATTCAAGCCGCGGTGGGGTCCGATGGATTCCCTTATTACGGTCAAGAACGAGATGAAGGATACTCAGGCTGAGGATGAACGATGGGAGCAGGGAATCCCCATTACTAGCGAGAACAGAGACATCATTGTCTTGGCCTACAACAAGGCTCCAGAGGTAAGTCTATTAGCACTTTGGCTATAGTTCACCGCTGACAGTACACAGTCTAGTGAAATGCTTGACGCACAAAAGCAGCAGTCAACTATCAATCGTGTTGATGGTATTCCCTTTGCCCGTCTACCTCAGGCTGATTTCCGACGCTTCACCCAAATTTCCTCCGTCTCGGCACAATCCGATAGCGAGCGACTTGTCTGGCAACTGGCCAACGTTCTGTTCAACGACGACATCGAGGATGACCTCTCTGCAACAGTCCCCGTTCAACTTCGGTCCAAGTATGTGGCCCGCATTAAGAAAGATCGACTTAGCCGCTTGTGGGAAGGACTTGTTAGCCAGAAGCTTGTGCGTGATTTGGAACGTGCTTCTTCGCCGGAGGAGCGTGCTGTGTATTTGCTGAGCGCGCACAGAATTGACGAGGCTTGCAAGGTTCTGATGGCGAGTCAGAATCTCCGCCTGGCCACCTTGGTTGCGCAGATCGGCCGTGATCCTACGACTCGTGCGGATATGGCTCAACAGGTTGACATGTGGCGCCAGCACAACGTGTACTCGGAGATGAGTGAGCCTGTCCGTGCGCTTTACGAGCTGCTTGCTGGTAATGCTCTTCGCAGCGAGGGTAAATCGAACGGTGCTCTGGAGGACCGTGCTTCTACGTTTACGGTTACCGAGCGGTTTGAACTGGATTGGTTCCAGGCGTTTGGTCTCCGTCTTTGGTACTCCATCACTGATGATGAGCCCCTCGAGGTTGCTGTGTCCAAATTCCTTGACGAATTGAGCGTCGGGGGCGAGCCTGCTCACCCGTGCCCCTCTTATTTCGATGATGCCGGAGTGATCCACACAACGTCTGATTCGCTTGGTCGAGAATCTCCGCTCTGGGTTCTAATCAAGGTCTACTCTGTACTCACTGGCACTACAAAGGGTGACAGTCTTGCTGCACTCGAATTCCCCGCTGTTCTCCTGCCCGAGTCTGTCTCGGGAGACCGGTTGTCCAACCGCCTGTCATTCCAGCTGTACCAACTGCTCACAGCCGCAGTGGGGCAGAACCAACATTTCAAAGCCAACACTACTCGAGCAGATCAGTTGGTCTGGGACTACGCGTGGGAACTTAGCGTCGGCGGTCAATTAGAGAACGCCATTTTTGTCCTTCTGCACCTTTCTCGGCCATCTGACCGCGAGCGTACCATCAAGGAAACGCTCGCACGATTCGCCCCGCAACTCCCTGAACCTGTTACAGCAGATGGTTCTCTAGATGCTGCCTGGCAGTACCTCTCCAATGAGCTGCAGATCCCTGAGGCTTGGATTTGGGTTGCCAAGGCATTGTGTGCTCGTGACGCCGGCGACGCTGCTCGGGAAGTCGATTGTCTGATTCGCGGCAAGAACTGGAACGATGCACACGCGACTTTCTGTCGTATCGTAGGTCCTACTGCGGTCATTGAAGGTGATTACGCGACGCTGGAGGCCTTGATTTCTGGCTTTGGCGATGGACCGGAACGTAAGGTCAGAGGATGGGCTAGTGGTGGTGGTGTTTACGAAGACTTCCTGCGTATTGCCACAGCCAAGGGTGGAAAGCGTGATCCAGCTCGGTTGAACCGTCTGGTGAATGCGTTGATTACGATGGGTGAGAAGGTTGGAAAGGGATCGAGTGTTGAGGGATTAGAAGAACGGGTTGCATTCAAGGAGATGAGCCGTGCTGTTGCCGTGTGGACTGCCCAGGAGGATGCGAATGTGAGTGCCTTTCCCCTGGAAACCAGCTTTTATGATAATGTTACTGACGAGTTTCAGGCTGTCGAATTGTCTTCCGTTCTCAGCCTGCCACTTACTGGCGATGCTCGCGTTATGCAAACCGCAGACATGAGTCGTCGGTATTACAGCATGATCATGGCCGGTGGCTATTAGAAAGGAAAATTCTACAAAAAATAAAGACAGGAGGAAGATGGGAATAGAGAAGACATTTGTATTATGAAAATGTTTGCTTATTACTTCTTGTGTATTAGGGCGAGCGACGATGACTTGTGTGTAATCGATATGATTTTGTTTTTCCTTTCTGGTGCTTTAGGTCTAGATAGACAATGATAATTGAATACTAACATGATCTCACCCTCCCATCATCCACTGCTCGCGTCTAGATCCCCACTGCCTGTCCAGGCTCCCCATCCCGGTACCGGGAAATTTCTCATTGGCACCTTCCTTAAAGAGTCATGCCGGTACCGGGAAGCGTATGTATACAGAGCCATCTTCGCATTACACAGCATGTGAAAACGCTTCTTTTCTTACGCATCACAGAATCCTATTCTCTTCTTTTCCTGCGTTGCATCACTGATATTCAGCGTTTAGCGTTCGTCTTCATCTCCAACGCTTCTATTCGCCTGGTCTAAGAGTCATCTTGCCGGACAACGCCTCGAATCGTCTATTCTCGGAGGTTACGGTAGGTGGATATCCTTGACTTCGTCTAGGTTTCCGTGTTCCCTTAGTCTTGCCCTTCCTGACTGACGGTGTTTCCCCTCCAGATACGCTAATGGGAGCAACGATGGAGAACGAAAGGCGTAAAGAGTCAGAGAGTACAATGACCTCGCTATCTACCTCTCACACAGCCAAGGACACCACCCCAGATGTCATCGAATGCAAAAACGATGGCGGATCGAGCCAGGACCACCGTGGAAATGACAATAATGGCAAATGTGATGGCGGCCAGGCAGGCAAAGACCCCTCAACCCTCGAAGCACAGCCAGCAGATGAACAAGGACCAGTTCATTCAGCCTTTACCAAGAATGAGAAACGCTTTATTATCACAATGATCTCCATGGCTTCCTTTTTCTCGCCTCTGTCCGGCCAGATCTATTACCCTGTCATGCCAACCCTTGTCCGCAACTACCATCTGACCACGGCTCTCGTTAATCTTACGGTGACGACATACATGATTCTACAGGGCCTGGCACCGAGTTTTATGGGTACGTTTGCGGATTCAGGTGGTCGACGGCCGGCCTACATACTGGCGTTTGTCATCTACACCGCGGCGAATATAGGTCTAGCAGTGCAGGATAGCTTTGCAGCACTACTTGTACTGCGTTGCCTTCAGAGTGCGGGAAGTAGTGGTACAGTGTCATTTGGATACGGTGTTGTGTCAGATATTGCTACCCCATCTGAACGAGGCCGGTTCGTTGGCCCCATGGCGGCAGGTGTCATGGTAGCACCAGCCCTAGGCCCTGTTATCGGAGGTATCCTGGCAAAGTTTCTCGGCTGGCGCAGCGTATTCTGGTTTTTGGTGATTATCAGTGGTGGATATCTAGTCGTCTTCACCATCACGATGCCAGAAACCGCGCGCAGGATCGTCGGGAACGGCAGCGTACCCCCGAAAGAGTGGTGGAGGATGTCATTGATCCAGTACCTTGCTGAACGTCGTCGAGTGAAGAAAATGTCGAGTGAAGAGCGAGAGGAACATGAAGCACAGCAGCTGGCGCTGAGCAACAGTGCGAGTCATACTAGGAAACTTAGGTTCCCGAATCCGTTGGAAACGTTTGCGATTCTGCTGGAGAAAGATGCGTTGATTATCATCTCATTTATTGGGACAGTGATGTTCGCGAATATTGCGCTGTTGACCAGCACACCCAATATTTTCACAAAAATATATGGGTTCAATGATCTTCAGATTGGTTTGTGTTTTCTGTGAGTCCCCTTCCCTCTCCAAACACTTTCAACGCTAACAGAGACAGTCCCCTCGGAATTAGCGCCTGTCTTGCCGCCATCCTCAACGGCAGACTCCTCGATTGGAACTACCGCCGTACAGCAACCCGCCTGGGCTTTTCCATCGACCGCAAAAAAGGTGATGACATCCGCACTTTCCCCATCGAAAAGACCCGCCTCCAGACCTTCTTTCCGTTAATGTCGGTTGGTATCCTCACTTACCTCCCCTATGGTTGGGTTCTACAAAAGCGTGCACCGCTCGTGGCGCCTCTTATCCTCCAGTTCATCATCGGGTTCTGCTTTGTTGCTGCGCTTAACACACTCAACACTTTGATAGTGGATCTGTTCCCGGATCGGTCTGCCACTGCGTCTGCAGCAAATAATCTGGTTAGGTGCTGGTTGGGAGCTGTGGGAGCGGCGTTAATTGATCAGATGCTTAGAGGAATGGGTGGGGGATGGTGCTTTACGTTTCTGGGGCTAGTTATGGCAGTTGGGCTGGGGTTTGTGTTGTTGGAAGGGAAGTATGGGATGGAGTGGCGGGAGCAGAGGCATGTGAAGATGGAGAGGAAGGAGGAGAAAGAGAGGAAGGAAGAGGAGAAGAAGCAGGAGGAATAAATGAAGGGCCAGGAGGGGGGACAGGAACAGCAGCAAAATGGGACTGTTTCTGGCACTGGTAATTCGTAGAAGGGTGTTATGTTTTGGATGGCTTAATGATGATACGTTATTTGATGATTTGGATGTTTATAGACACTAATGATCAATTTACCAGAAAGTTTTCAAAGTGCTTGGACTTTCCCTTTGCGTTCCGAGTTCAGGTTGCGAGGCTGCAGCTAACGCTGGGGTTGAGGCTCTAAGGGATGATGGGCTTGGACGGGGCAAGGTTGTGACTCTAAATGGCATTGGTATTATCAGGCCTGGCGCAGGTTTTTTCTGTATCCATAATAACCCTATGGCCCGTTTCTTATATAGTCTCTCGATTATCCCCGTAGGACATAGGTAAATCTACTCGTGACAACACACCAAAGTTAACAAAGGGAAATATAATTGCTACCATAGAACTGACTGTACATGAACAAACATAAACGGACAATGAATAAAAGTAAATGTAAAAGGCAAAACACGCCAATCTTGCTCATACACGATCAACACATCACTTTATCTTTATAAGAATGCTCTTCATCTTTTTTTTCTTCTTCCATTCAATACAAGGAGAAAAGATATTTTACATGCCAGGAGAAACCAACTTGCCCTCAGCCCTGGTGTTAGGGTGCCAGCCACCAGCATAAGGCTGAGCACCATTAAGCTCCTTCTGGTACTCCTGGATTCTAGCCTCGATTTGGGGACGGAAGTGACGGATGAGACCCTGGATGGGCCAGGCAAAGGCCTCACCAAGGGCACAGATGGTGTGACCCTCGACCTGCTTGGTCAACTCCTGGAGCATGTCGATCTCACGCTCCTTGGCCTTGCCAGACTCGAGACGCTGCATCATCTGCAGAGTCCACTTGCTTCCCTCACGGCAGGGCGTGCACTGACCGCAAGACTCGTGCTTGTAGAAGCTCGACAGACGACCGATAGCGCGGACAATGTCAGTGCTCTTGTCCATGACAACAACGGCGGCGGTACCCAGACCAGTCTGGGAGTCCTTCAAGGCATCGAAGTCCATGAGCTGGTCATCACAGACGGTCTTGGGGATTACGGGAGTCGACGATCCACCGGGGATGACGGCAAGCAGGTTGTCCCAGCCACCACGTACACCGCCGCAGTGCTTTTCGATAAGCTCACGCAGAGGGATGGACATCTCCTCCTCGACGGTACAGGGGTTGTTAACATTGCCGGAGATACAGAAAAGCTTGGTACCAGCGTTACGCTCACGGCCAAACGATGAAAACCAGCTAGGTCCACGGCGCATGATAGTGGGAGCGACGGCAACGGTCTCGACGTTGGTGACGGTACTGGGGCATCCGAAAACACCGACGGCTGCGGGGAACGGAGGCTTCAAGCGGGGCTTGCCGGCCTTGCCTTCAATGGACTCGATGAGCGAAGTCTCTTCACCACAGATATAGGCACCCATTCCACGGTGGATGTAAACGTCGAAGTCGTAGCCGGAGCCACAAGCGTTCTTTCCGATCAGACCAGCCTGGTAGGCCTCGTTAATGGCGCGCTGGAGGACAGTGGCTTCATGGTAGAATTCACCACGGATGTAAATGTAGGCAGCGTTGGCGTTCATGGCACGTCCGACGACCAGACAGCCTTCAATAAGCTTCTGGGGGTCTTTCCGCATAATCTCACGGTCCTTGCACGTTCCGGGCTCACCCTCATCAGCGTTGACAACAAGGTAACGGGGTCTAGGGTCCTTGTCCCAGTCCTTGAAGTTCATGAAAGACTATGACATACATATATAGTTAGAATGTTTTTCCTCAGACCAAGAATCTACTCCACCACTTACGTATTTCAGACCCGACGGGAAACCGGCACCACCACGACCACGAAGACCGGAGGCCTTGAGTTCTCCAATAAGCTGCAGACACAAAAAAAAAAAAAAAAAAAATATTAGCACATGCTATTCCCTTTCATCCATTGTCCCCGAATGGTCCTCAATGTCTTCAAATGCACTGTCGGGCAGAGGGATCTGCTTACCCAGTCATGTCCCTTTAAAATCATATCCTTAGTCTTATACCAATCTCCATACTTCATCGCAGACTTCAGATCCGCCCCATGGTGTCCGTAAAGGTTTGTGAATATCCGATCCTGGTCCTTCAGACCGCCATGACGATGTACCGGGGGAGCGTTCTCCTGGACGGTCGCGAAGGAACGAACTGCGGCGCCCTGGGCTCGGACGGAGCGGGAGGAGAGGTTGGTGAGGGAGGAAGACGAAGGAGCCGCCGCTCGAGATATCATATTGGAGGAGGAATATGTGACACGCCCAATGGCTTGCGCGGGGAGAGGTGGAGGAGGGAGGACAAGAGGTTGAGGTTGGCGATGGTCTGCCGTTGGAGCCTCAGTTTGCGCTTGCTGAATATCCGCTTTTGGACGGTTGTTGATTGGCCATGGGTCACGTGTTGCTGAATAATCTCACTTGCATGAACAACGCAACGGCTGTGATTCGACGATACAATATTGATTATTCTTTGGCATTTCTATTTCATCACTTATTTAAACAACTACATTAGAGTCTCTACTGTCCAGACTCATCCTGCGGAATGTAAAGATACGACACCGTCGACAGCATCACTTGTCCCGAGCCCCCCGCGGACAACATCTGCAACGGGTCATCGGGCGCTTGAACGGACTCCTGCTCGACCAACATCCACGCCCATCGGATCCAATTGGAAGAAAGCCACCAGCTATCGCCCTTCCAGTCCCCGGTAAACACAGCCAAATCATCGAACACCGCCTGATTCCGAGACCTCATTGTCTCGAGCACCTCTTCGTCAAACAGGCTGGCCAATTGTTCATCGTCTTCGTCCTCGAGCATCCAAGCGACGTCATCAGGAGGCGGGGGATATTTTTCGAGAAGGAAGCGGGCCCATTTTGCCAGACGTGGGGGAAGTTCCGATGTGTCGGGGGCCGCGCGATAGACCGCTGTGATAAAGCAGACAAAGATTGGGAAGACGAAGGGAGATGACTCGCCGCTGCCTCTCAGCATGGGAATTGCCCGTTCCGTAGTTGTCAAAATGGTTTGAAGGGAAGATGTGCACGGTTGCCGCATCTTGTCTGGGAGGGTGTTGTACAAGTCGTTGAGGGTAAAAAGCTCCCCGTTGGCTGTAAGAATTGACGGGCGTTCCAAGATTCTCACACGGATGCGAGACACAATTTCTTTGGGGAATCTGCCTGCAGGCACACGAGCCATATGGGCAACGAGGATATTCTTGGTCTGTTCCCAGGTTCCAGTGTAGCCATGCTGTTGCGCCCGGTTAAGGGTCCATGCAGCGATGATCAAAGCAGTCTCGGAGATCATGATCTGGCTATCACGGTAGATATTCCCGTGAGTTTGCTTGATGTTCTTCGGTTCTTCCAAGTCTCCTGCAGAAGTTCTTAGCTTGACCACATGCGTAATCAACTCGATGACGATCTGGCTTAGTGCTGCGAGAATCGTGCGCGAGGTTCCATATTGATTAGGAATCCGGATGCCCTGCTCGGAGATCTCAATCGACTCGAGCTCCCGGTCATTTGCGGCTAGGATGGAGACGGCGTTGAAAAGCGCAGGCGAGAAGATTGAATGCTCCATAGGCGTATCAGGGGCAAGCAGAGGGTAGAAGATGTTGAAGACGTAGTATGGGTCGTCTGTTTCCTTTGCTACTTCCGGATACATCTGTCGTTGCGCAAGTTTGGCTTCATACAACGGGCTCCCTGGTGGAGCTCGTAGACTGACAATGCGATAGTCGCACGGGTTATTGCTCAAGCAGAAGCCGTAGTTCACCATCACTGCAGCCGTTAATCCAGACATACATGAAGTAGTCCATAGTGAGAGCACTCACACTGCTCATTGTTCCGTGGTCCATAGTTATTTGCGATCTCTTCACCAGCACTCACATCTTCCAGAGTCAAAAAGAAAACATCATTGTCGCCAGCACGCCATTCGACCTTGGCCAGAGGACGATGGTTCAGAATATCAATGAAGGGCAAAAGGACCGACACTTCCTCAGTCAGGATCTCTTCGGGAATTGCCTCCGACAGCACCTTGGACGAGAATGCACGGGACACAAAAATAGTCGAGGCCCAAAGATACAGATTCCTTCAAACAATAAGTCTTTTAAACAATTTTTTAGCAAATGCACGATCACTTACCATGTATACCGCTCCACATTCTCAAAGCCCACCTTTCGTAACTCCCCCACACCATGCTCATACTTATCCATAAACAACGCCATCTTCTGCTGCCTTGCCCCCAACAAACTCGTCCCATTCAACCACTTCAGGTCATCCCCCTCGTAGTACAACGGCGTCGTCAAGGAACCCGGCTGCGGCAGCGTCCGAATATATGGAGCCCAATACCCCTCTGCACCAAGCAGATACTGGCCCATCAGAAAGAATACAGACGCTTCCTCGGGTCCAACGGCATCCACAAACTCCCTCGGGAAATGCACACCATGTGCGGAGAAAGTGGACGCATCACCATCTCCGGCGGGCTGGTAGTCAATAGTATTGAAGTAGGACATGGTAGACGTGAGGGGAGTCTTAATGATGCGAGTCTCCTTGGGGACACGGTCTTGCCAATCCTTTCGGACTTGGAGGTGGACTCCTCGAGCGTCATCTCTAGCTAATTGAATGCTCTCGTGGAGGTGACCGTCTTGTTGGGCCATCCATTGAAGAAGCGCGGTATATGCTTCTAGGGGATTTTCGTTGGGTCTAGGATTAGATTAGCTTGGAACATAAACTGTCAATATAATTGCAATAATGATCATCCATCAACTCTCTAGTTTATCCCGAGTTTATAAACCGATTCCGATGAAATAGCGGGGAAACAAACAACTTACTGCAACGAGCCCGGCATGGGTTTTGTTTCACCTGCCATACTCAATTGATGATTATTGAGTCTTTAAAAGCTTAAATCAGACTTTTTTCACTGCTGAGACCTGAAAGGGTCGTTGAAGTGATGGAGGGGCAGCAGAAAGATCCGATCAATGATGAATGCGGCGTCCCACTTTTTTTCTGAAGTTTTTTCTACTGGAGTACTATGAGTAGACATTAATTCATTTACTTCGGCGTGAAATGATTCTCTATTCCTTATATTCAGCTTTAATTGGAAGCATATGCCTATTTGGATTCATTTAATTGCGCATAACGATGTATATCCGTCCGTCTTTTTTTGCGCTTAGTTTACCATACGATGAGCTTATGGCAGGCGATCGATGCGAATTCAGTTCTTTCGAGTTTGACGCATTGCTATCACCCAAGAAGAGTTATACTACTACATAGGCCTCGACCAAAAATTGTAAACAAGCGGCTGAGGCAATCGCACACACCCACAAGAGGCATGTCACTGCGACATAGCCCTTCGGAACTTCTTACTTGATCGAGAATCTCGACCTTTTGCTTGCGGATTTCCAGGGAACGCTCAAGTCCAGCCACGATGGAGGAATTATACTGGACGGGCTTGTAAGAGGTGAGTCAGGGTCGTACATGCCTCGGAATGACAACGAGATGAGTGTGTGTTGATTGATTGATTGAATTTTTTTTTTTTTTTTTTTTTTTTTTTTGCATTTGGATCGGCCATCTACTTCATCATAACTAAACATAAGATTTTCTCGGACACTTTAGAGGAGGAAGAGGAAGAGGGGTTGGAATCTCGGCTTAAAAAGGGCCAATTATCTACTAACAATCATGTATGCTCTCATATTACAGATAAATGCTGGAGGCAACAGTATGAGTCCGCTAGTGAAATCATTTTTAATCTTTCGCAGACTAAAGCATCCTAAGAGGGCCCGAGGAAGCAACGCAATGATGATATCAAAAAACAAAAAACCAAATTTATTACAAAAGCAAGGTATGAAGAAATGTTATCCTCTTTGCATGCGGATATCCAACCTGCATTAAGTCAGCAATATAACCCATCAGCAGTAGAGAGACAAGGCTCACTCTCAGTATCCTAGATGGTTTGCTTCCATGAGTCAAGTTGGGCATCTCATGCAGTAATCAACGAGATTACAGATAGGCATCCAGGTGTCATAAATAACGGACAGAACTAGGAGTTTCATTTAGTCTAGCTGGGGCCCCATGTCCCTGCATATTTTTTCGTATTGGCAAAAGAAAATAATGAGAACAGTTGGCGATGGTAGGATGCATATCAATTTTTATGTGTTGGCTGCATTTCTGACTCTAGCACTCGACTGATTCCTATCTTGTCAATTAGGGTTTGTCCAGCACCGGAGCCGAGAGACGCACATACATTAGGATTGATACGCAATGCTATATGGCTTTGATATAGGATATGGCAACCTAGTGGTCTAGAGCAACTCGCCCCTAGCGATTCCAGAGGGGTTAAATAAAACTAAATGGAATGCGTAGACTCTTCGGGAATTGAACATCGAAATAAAAACTATAGTTGCCGTGGTGCCATCCAGATGTCATCCAACATAGAACTTACATATGCCATCCCAGATCTGAATAAATGGACCCAATAACAATCAATCATTTTCATCGAACCCAAGCATGCAAATGCCATCGCATCACAGAGGATGAAATATTTACAACGTAGTGTGCGTTTAGTGTACAAGTCATATCATGATAGCACATATACCACCGAAGTAAAGACAGTAATAACAAGCATAAAAGTCTAGGTTTGGGAAGCCGTCGAGTTTTTTCGTCCTGGTACCAGGATCTCGACTAACCCTTCATCCTCGCCATCACTACTGTCATTCTGCCCGTCATCATCGCCAACGGGTGAGGCCCCAATGCGTGATCGCCTGAAGTCCTGGTATCGATTCGGATACCCCATTGACTCATCAATGATGGCTTCATCATCGTCGTCTGAATCCATCATCGTGGATCCTACAGAGGGCCCCACCATTTCGCCCATTTCGTCATCGTCATCGTCGACCTCGAGAGGTGCGCGGTCGTTACGTCGTGCACCTTCGAGCCGTTCATCATAAGATGAATTGGTCGAGAAGGAGTCAGGAGGACTAAACCGGGCATCTGGGAAAGTGGGCGATGCGAAAGGCTCGTCTTTAAAATCTTCTGATGGGAATGCTGCGCCTTCGTCATCATTATTGCCGTCATTTTCTAGCCCCGCAATCACAAATGGGTTGCTCGGCCATTGAGAGTCCGTGTTCTCATTATCGTTATCGTTCGACCTATTCTCTTCTCCTTCGTTCTCAGCATTTTCTGTTGCTTGCTGCTTCTGAGCCGCCAGTCGAGCAGCGAGTTGTCGTCGAGCACGAGAAGGACCTGTGCTTAGAGGTGCCGGAGGCGGAGGGAGAATAGGAATAGGCTGACTTGTGGAGTTTTCAGATGACTGTAATGAGAGTCAGTTCTAGAATGGTAAAAAACGAAGAAGCAACCGTAAAATGGAAAAGCATTCGTGCCTCGATGATGTTCAAATGGTATGGCAGGTCAATGCTAAGAGAAACCCAGAGGGTTATTGAGTGGCTGAGAACCAAAGAGAATATATCATGATTTCAGGTAAATGAAGAAGGTTCTGAATGGCCTCATATATGAATGCAAAGCGCTGCTAATAAAACGCCCTATGTATATGGTCCTTTCAGAGACCTCCATCATTCCTGTATCCATCATGCAAACCCTCCTAGTCCTCAAAATGAAATATACATATAAAGGAGGGGGGTGTCAGAAAACAAACAAAAGGGTATGCTCAGATGCAGGACTGTCACGAATCACGCATATCAACGTCAGAAAAGGAATAATAGTTACCCACGTTTTCGCCTCCGCCCTCAGCGGATTCATGGCTAGCATTCCGGTCATCTTGGTCCTCCATGTCTTCGTCTTCGTCGCTCGAACTTCCGAAGCCACTCAGAAGAGAATGGCCGCCACTGCCACTGCCGCCTCCCAGACCAAAGGCCCCACCAGAGACGCCTCCCTGGCTCATATCGAAGCCTTGGAAGTCGGACACATTAACTCCACCATTCAAGCCGGCTTCAGCAAGGGCCGAGGAGCCACTGAAACTTTGGCCTTGGCCGAGCATGGACTGACGTTGCCCAATAGTCATGTCCGGCCGTACACCACCAAGAATAGCGTTATCACGCTCCCTTGTTTCAGACAAGGTTTGCTCAACATAATCGATCCAGTCGGGATTTAGCACGTATTCCATGACTGCGGGAGAGAGTAATTCAGGTGGGTGTCGCTCGGTGAACTTGACGACTTCTTCTGCGATGAGAGTCAAGTGACCCATGTAGCCAAGTCGGATCCGCTTAGCTTGCTGCACTTGATCATTCCGCTTTTGACCTTCGTAGATTTGTTGCGAGATCCGTCCAGTCTCGAAAACATCAATGGCCAGTACCCGGTTGTATCCACGGTCCATGTGCCCGTTGAATACTTGCTGAACAACATCGTAAACCACATTGTGAAGGAAGTTGTTCCAAGGAAAGCGGAAAAAGAAGCCCTGTAACATCAAAGTCAGCTATTTTTTGTTTGGTTGTGCTGCAGTATAAATGCATGTATACATACCAGAATTGTCGGCACCACCTTATGCTCCACAAACATGATTTTGAGGTAATCACCAACAACAGGTTGGCCGTTTATATCAGCTTGAGCAAATGGATGAAGTTTCAGAGTCAGGGCACTCTCATCCTGCTGAGCCTGATCCTTTTCAGTAGGCGTCTCAGTCTCGCCAGTAGTTGAAGGCCCTTCTTGTTGCTTAGAAGCAAATAGAGGAGCCGGGACGTCTTCCGGATTCGAAGACATTGGCGCAGAAGCTGGCTCTTGTTTCGTTGGCTCCTGAGTCTCCGACTTAGCTGGTGGTGGATCCTCAGCGGTAGCTTCTTTCGAGCCTTCGCCTTCAAGCTTAATTTCACCCAATTGCTCAGTTAGGTCAGATGCAGTGGGCGACATTGGGCCAGCTGCCTCTGAGGATGCCAGGTCTTTCTTCCCAGCATCTTGCTCCTTATTTATGAGAACGCTTGGTGCAGAGACGTCTTCAAATCCCTCCTCTTCACCAGCATTCGTGACTTCGAGTGTCTTCACATCCTCTGGCGACCCCGAGCCAAGAACCGATGACCCGTTAACAAAATCGGAGGAATCGTTAAAATCAACACTGGAGAACCCTTCTCCATGCACGTTGAAAGCGCCTTCCCGAACCAGCCGTTCGCGCTCGAGATCCCTCTCCCGAATGTAGTGCTCACTTCCAGGTTGGTTCAAAAGACCCATGTTGCTGCAATGCAGTAATTCGGCCATCAATTCACAGGTTTTAAATCGGTCAAAGCCCAGCGGTTCGACCTTGGCGCCCCATGGAGAAGTGAGATCTACTCTCTCAACCCTCTTTACCTGTCCACCCTCGCTGACGGTATGTTTTGAGCTGTTGAGCAATGCCATGAAGTCCGGAATGTGCTGTCCAAATATTCGAAGCAGCGTACCGAGATAGATTGGATCGTATGTTGTCGGTACTGTACCGGGGGCGTTGATACCAGGCGGATCATAATCAGAGTTGTTCTTCCGAATAACCTCAATGATTATTCCCACCCCCACCGTTAGAGGATTTCCACCTTGCAGCATCGAGTTTATCAAGCTCTCCACGCATGGCGCGGATACTAATTCCCTCGTCAAGCTGTTGGGACCGATACACGAATCGTCGTTTTGAATTGCGTTGGCGGAAATGGTGATAATGGCCTTAATGAAGTCACCAGAAGAGGTTTGAACGGTTGTGGGGTACTCGGGGGAGAGAAAAGAGAGGAGAGTCGGAATCAAGCCTTGAGCTCTCAGCCACTATGAAAACGGAATCGGTGAGAGTCAGTTTCTGGCCTCACTATTAATCTCCCCATGTAAATTTGAGACTCACGTCCACAATACCCTGGCCACCTTCAGTCTTTTCTAAACTGATGATCTTTAGCAACAAATCCATGACCATCGGATTGTCAATATGCTGGAGAATCGCAGGCAGAATCCCATCGAGGGATTTGAAGAATTCCAGCATATCCTCCGTCTTCCGATCGAACATAGTCTCGTTAACCTTCGTGAAATAACTTGCTTGGAGGGGATCCAAAGACGGAGGCCTCCTCAGGAAGTTCCAGAAACCCCGCAGGTGTTCCTGATTCAGCATAATGGATTCGATTATCGACCATGTCGGCGTCGAGAGAAGCTCACATGCAACATATGCATGTCTAAGACGGTTGTTCTCCGCCCTTTCCAAGTCCTCCGGATCTAATGCCTCCTTGAGCGGATCGGTCGTCTTCTCTTTTCCCTCCTCGCCGGCGTTAATGTCGTTAAGTTCGTCCGCGTCATCGTCGTCGTTCACCAGACTCGGTGCGATCACATAATCCATAAGCCGTTTCAAGACATTATCCTCTCGTAAATACTCGATGAGCTTGTTATTATTTTGGTTCAACTCCTGTATCACCTCTGACTCGTCCAAGAGTTCTTCCAGGGACGCATCCGGCTTATCGAGCAGGGCATCGATGGTGGAGATACCAGCGTATCCACCAAACCGCCAAAACATGTTGGAATTATATAATTAGGACGGAAGAGCAGAAATGCGACGGAAATAAAAAGAAAAACGGGGTATCGCAAGGACTTTTGTTGGCGTTTATCGCTTTCCTCGTCTCCGGAGGGATATCGTAACAGAGGTCTATATGGTACAAGGCGAAAAAAAGGTACCCGGTTCTAAATCCTCATGTAATCGAAAAAGGGAATGAATCCAGCTCGTGGTTATAATTGAAGAAGAGGGAAGATGGGGGATCGTAAGCGGAAAAGAAATCGGGATCGAAACGGCCAAGCGCTGATACGCAAGCAAGAGTTAGCAATCCGATTGATTCCATCGAGAGCATTACGCGCAACAATGACGCTGGAATGTAGCGAGCACGAGGGAATGCGGTAGCCAAGAGGGGAGGTTAAACGAGGCACAGATCAGGGAGAGATCTGGGGATAATGATGATGACAGCCGGACGCACATACCTTCGATACCCTCTAGGGAATGGCGGAACAAAAGAAAAGAAAAAAAATACAGATACTCGTATAGAATTTTTTTTGAGTCGCGAATGGAAATCGAGGAAGAGTCGTGAAGGAGAGAGAGAAGAGGAAGGAGAAAAGAAGAGGGGAATGTCCAGGCCTGAATGGGGGGGAGAACAGACCGACAGCGGAACCCAAAAAGACCCTCGAGACCACCGGAATGCACGAATGCACCCACCACACACTGATACGCGCGCGGCCAGATCCGCCTTGGAAAGAAGCCACGAGGATTCGCACAGGGATGATTATGTATTATGTATTATTTTTGTGATTGTTGTTCTTGTTATCATGCAAGAGGGAGGTCGAGTTCTCAATCTGTACGAGTACGTCGATTTCCGATCACTACCCGAATCTGCGCGGTGGGGGGATGCTGCTGTTCGAGCGATGTTTCAGGTCAGATGACTAGGAATTGCGAAACAGGTGTACAAAAAATGGGATAAAAGTTGATTCGAATCATATTTTCTCAAATACAGACCAACTTGACATTTTGAACTGGCTTATCGGTGCTTCGTACAGGATACCGAATTCTCCTCCCGGTATACTCCCTTACCCACCACACTTCAGTTCCAGTCTTATACATCTCTCCAACCCTATAACTCTCAAAACCTATGCTTTTCCACGTTCTATTCCTTCGACTCCAGGAGGATACATCGCACAGTTACTAGCTCCAGATTCTGTATCAAGCTGCGGTACCTTGGAGTTACGAATATAAATTGAGCACCCGGAGGTCAAGCACAAAGCCTGTGCTAAACTTTGATAATTTGCCATCTACCAATGCTTTGAAGGGATTTGCTATTATATGGAATCACTTTCCTTTGCTATGTAACCCGATCAACCGTTGGTCATTCTATTCAGCGTCGACAAGACGTGGTTCGTGCATCAAATGTGTACACTTTTCCTTCTCTGAATATCATATTCTCGAGCATAACTTCGAGCCTTTGCGCCTGCGTAATGTTGTGCATTATCAAAACTCGAACGAGATATTTCGGTCCCGGGTGACCTTCTCTTCGAGGTGCTCCAGCTGGGCTCATGTCAAAGGCATAGTGTCTGAACAGAAGACTGCTCGCCTCCTTGCAAAGCTTATTGACCAGATAGAGTGCACAATATTGCTATTAATCGGTTGAAGCCCAACCAGAAATACCTGGGCAAATGCTCGGCTTGGAGTGCCAATAAGATTCAGCTTAGCCAGAGGCTTGCGAAAAAACGGCTTTTTGTAGCTTGATTTCTAACACTCCTAGTGAATGGCCATTTCACGCAGCATGCAAATTTATTTAGTCGAGTCTTCTATGACGATAGCGAACGATTTCTCCAGGAACCTTAAGAGATGTTCAATGTGACCAATGGCTGAAGTGACCATTCTGAAGCTCTCAATTGTGAATGCCTTCTTTGAACGCTCATTCCGAGCTTGCTTCGCGAGTGACAGTCAATAAGAATATTTTGTCTTGCCTGGACTAGTCTTCTCAAACTTGCTTGTATCTATCAGCAGCTTATGCATATTTCTGAGCCACATCAAACGGCGTTCGAATGAGAAGCACGGGAAGAAATCCCATCCCAACGCCTTGCTCTCTCAGCACCATGCAGAAGCCCATGAACTCGGAGAAAATAAGCCGTCCAAGTGGCTTATTGCACAGCAAACGACTAGATTCTGTCTCTCGCGGTGGCTAGTATGGCGAGGCTTGCGTCTATACCAGTCCCTGGCCATGCGTTACCCTTTATGCTTGTGTGGATCACGCCCGGATTCCGAACGTTTGGGTGTATAGGCGGATTCATTATGAGGTAGAATTGGATCTCAGTTTAGCTGTTCATGTACAGATATTGATTGTGTCAATGTATGACAGTACTCCGCAGGAGTGGCGTCCTGTCAGCTAATATCGGCTACGTCTTTGGTTAACTGTTTGATTCGAGGCTGAATAATTCATGTTGGGAGAGGTGCTCTGAGCGGAGGATTGACTTTTAATCGCGATAATTAAATGGTACGTTATAGGCACAGGAAGATGCAGACATGGACAGATGTTTGATGTTGGGCGGAAAAGAAAACCTTGAAGCAGGGAAAAGAACTGGTGATTGCAGGCAGCTATTCACCCATTTTTTTTTTATTTTTTAGACCAAGCTGCCTGTATACTTGAATTATACAAGCATAATGCATCAACGTAACTTTTTCTTGGAACAAATGACCATCCGTAGCGCTTTATTCGTGAAAAACCACGTGATATGCCCCAAATGAGTCAGCATCTAGCCCTGTTGAAAGTCACGTGCAAAAGCGGACACTAACGTTGCCTCCGTAGATAGCGGCCCAGTGTTGATCTCCAAGAGGGACAGATTGAACGATCAACGGTCACATAGCAACACAATCCAAAATGAATCGACTATTCGGAACAAAGAATACGGCACCAAAGCCGACGCTCGATGGGGCCATTTCAAATGTACGCGCTGCCTTCCTCTCCCCCCTGTTATCTGACAGTCCGCTAACAAGGTAAATAGGTAGACAACCGCATCTCCAGCCTCGACGTAAAACTCGCCTCTTTAAACTCTGAACTCTCGACCTACCAAGCCAAAATCTCCAAGATGCGCGATGGTCCAGGCAAAAACGCACTCCGCCAAAAAGCCCTCAAAGTCCTGCAACGCCGCAAACAATTCGAAGCACAGCGCGACCAACTCTCGCAGCAGTCCTGGAATATGGAGCAAGCGGGGATGATGCAGGATAACCTGAAGAATACAATGACGACGGTGGATGCGATGAAGACGACGACGAAGACGCTGAAGAAGCAGTATGGGAAGGTGGATATTGATCAGATTGAGAGGTTGCAGGATGAGATGGCGGATTTGATGGATGTGGGAAATGAGATTCAGGAAAGTCTTTCGAGGGCGTATGATGTGCCTGAGGATGTGGATGAGGCGGATTTGGATGCGGAGTTGGAGGCGCTAGGGGAGGAGACGATGTTTGATAGTTCGATGGGGGAGAGCGCGATGCCTGGCTTCTTGCAGGATGAGGTTGCACCGCCGCAGTTTATTGATGAGCCGCCGGAGGAGGCTAAGGTAAAGGAACCTGCTGGCGGGGCAGTATGAGAAGGTTGTCCATTGCATACGAGACTTATGATGAATGTTATGAGCAAGGCTATGGAGTTACGGCATGTTGTATTGTTTCTTTGAATTGCTTGGGATATCTATCTAGTCTTCTATTCACAATTGCTTTGACGGCATGTTTTACACTTCCGGTTGTTCGATTGCCTAGAGGTTATTGGCTTTTCTCGTGCGTTTTGGTTTTAAGATGCCTTGCCCATTCCGATTAAAACCAGCAAAGCTACGTTCATGACTGCAATAATCAGCCATATAAGGACGCCAAGAATACACACGAAGATATTATTTCTCATTCCCACTCCCTCAGGCTGGAGATGGCCTTCGCCATGAGCAGCTCGATCCACAGGGACGGTCATATATCGGTTCCGGCAAGTAAAGTAGATCAGAGGCGCAGTAACAAACGGAAGGATGACACTCAGCACCACTTGACTTGCGTTCAGGGTCTTATCCAACCCTTTCTTGCCCACAGCCGCAGCGATGATAATGCTGGGGATGATACTGATCGAGCGGGTAATGACCCTCCGAAGCCAAGGCCGGATGCTCCAATTCAGCATGCCCTCACTGACCATCTGTCCGGCCATGGTGCACACAATTCCTGCTGAAATACCGGAGAGAAGAAGAGCCAGGGCAAAAATCAACCCCGCAGCAGGAGCGATAGAGTTGGAGAGCAAATCATGAATTCCCCAAAGGTCAGCCTCGTCGGCTCCAGGCTTCCCGTATAGCGAGGCACCTGCGACTATGAGAATGGCGCTGTTGACAAAGAGCGCAAATGTAAAAAGCGACAGTGTCAGTTCAATGATGGAATACTTCATGCAGCTTCGGATTGCCGCAAAGGAGGGGCGATATTCCACCTCTCCGCCATTGCTTCCTAATGGGACCGAAGCATCGACATAGCCTTGTGTGACATCGAAATCCTTCAGACGTGCTTGAACAATGCCACTCCCCAAAAACAAAGAATGTGGCATCACCGTAGCTCCGAGGATGCCGCAACTCTGGTAGAGACTATCTCCGGATCATGTTAGTGACAAACTTGCTTCGATGCATGTTATGGAGTGGTGGAAACGGACCCTTGTGACTGGACCACGGCAGGAGAGGGCACATAACCCCTAAGAACGTGCCCGACAGATTGATTCTCGATCAGAGCGAGTTGAATGCAAAAGCAGACCACGACCCCGAGCACCAAAGCCATAACAAAGAATTCAAACAACCGTAAACCCCACATGGCACCATTGGGCCTGTAGAATATAAGAAGGAAAAGCACGTCTGCAAGTGTAATTGCACATCCTGCTACCAGCGGGATATCGAGAAGAAGATTAAGCGCAATGGCTGATCCAATGACCTATGGCATGTCAGTAAAGTGACGGAATTGGCGATAATTTTATTTTAATATATCATACCTCTGCAATATCAGTAGCAACAATGGCAGCCTCCGAGAAGACATAAAGGATGATGACCATCCATTTTGGAAGATGTTCTTTGCAATTCTCCGCCAGATTCAACCCAGTCACCGTTCCCAGTTTGACACACAATGATTGCAGATAAACGGCGAACAGGTTAGAAACCAGAACGATGAAGAGCAAGGCATACTGGTACTGAGCACCGGCGGCAACGTCGGTAGAATAGTTTCCCGGGTCGATATAAGCCACGGCGACCAGAAAACCTGGGCCCACGAAGCGGGAAAATTTGACTATACTCCGAATGACATCTTGAAAACAAGATGAGATGGAGAAGTTAGGGATTTTCTTGTAGAAAGGACGGCGAGGTGATCCGCTGTCCGTCTCGGGCTGTTGTTCACAGAGCCCAGAGGCGGCAGTGGTCACTTCGCCGGCGGTCTTTTCTTTCTCAGGATCTGTCTTGCTCCGTTGTTGAATGTGAGACTCGATCTCCATTGTTCCCTCTCTAGGAGTACCTCCTACCCCAGACGCATGTTTCCTATGGACCTTCGAGTTGGCGATGCCGTTGAAGTCGTTCCGTGTGGTAATGTCGGGGTTCAAAGGAGAAGGGTTCTGGTTCCAGTCGGGATGTTCGAGGGTCTCGTCGGTTCTCGAGGGGCAATTCATCGTGTCAAAATTGGCGGCTGTCTTTTTCTATCCCCTTCCAACGAGGTGGTGGTTCTTTCAGTACCGGAATTTAATGTTAGCTGTAAAATCGAATTGACGCAGACAGGCTTAACCGGCTTCGTAGTGTACACTGCGGGACAGAATGCCCGAAACTGCCCGATTCCGGAGGATTAATTGCTGAACGGGTGGCACCCCACGATTATGGCTAATCTCAGGTCGAGAAATCGGAATTTAACTCAGCATCGATGCAATTGTTTTTTATTTTTCTCTTATTTTCTTGGAGGGCAAAATGGTGCTTGTGATGGGAAATCGGCGTGGAGACCAGCGTCACAGAGAGATAAGAGTTGATGGAGTAGCTAACCGTGGCGGGCATAGTGCACTTTTGGCGTCATCGTTGGAGAGTACAGGCACTGCATCAAGTTTGCCGGTGCAGTCCTTGTTAATTGGGTCATGGTGAGGAATTTTGAGCTAGATGATTGAAAAGAAAAAGACAATTGAGCGGAGAAACATGAAAACAGAGACGGTAGGGTGTGATAGAAAACATAGAAAATAACCGTGCCAAGTCTGGGCTGAGAGGGGCGTTGCATCTTGGCAGGTACTCTATGAAGACGACAGTTTGTATACAGCACCAAAACAAGCACCTTTGTACAATCTGAAAAAGCTCCTTTTTATTTCTGAATTGTGCCACAGTATATGCGTAGTAACTCAAGGCATATTCATTGCAAACTTTGGTCAGTCATACAGCGAAACGTGTATCGAACTGACCCGCTCTAGCAGAAGGCCTATATACAATACAGAAAGAATCCTTGGTATCCATTCTGAGAAACAGATTGAAACAACAAGTCTGCGTGGAATAAAAGTTGAGGCAAGGGACAGCCATTGTCTCCTGCGGATCTGTGCCAGACGAACTCATCGCAAAGTGCAATCGAGAGCCAATGCCAAGCAGGCAAGGTCTAGCAAGTGTGATTTCTTCAACGTTGGAAATAGGGTTGAACAGACTAACTAGCAAGTAGCAAATAGAATGTATATTATTGTTGAATCGAAGGAATGGACGTCACTAGCATGTTGTACTTGATGATGCATCGTGAGAAGTTGCCACGAGTGATCGAGGTCGGTGAGAGATGGCGAGAATGGCACATGCTAGATGGGAGTACTCAAGAAGTTCATCAGTGTTATGGTTCTTTTTCCAACGGCCCAGTTACCAGCCCCTCACAATTGGCAATTCTGACGTGTCAATGTGGGAATCATGGTTATGATCATAAGCCCCGCATACTGAGCTGTCAGCACAAGTTGAAGCCAAATATATGGAGTATGCCGGTCTAGTTCAAGAGAAGAGTAAAGTGCATAGGGGGGCGAACCCCGGACGCCTCAGCAGCTGACCGATCATGTGAGAACTTGCATCATGCCAGTATTTGTACAGGGGTACTCCGTGGAAGAAGAGTAAAAAACAATGAATCGGTAAACCAGATCGAGTGGGATACAGTACCAAGGTACCGATAGACGCCATGACCACACACAAAACTGGCTCAATCCCAATCAAGATAAAGAGGCATGCATACAAGTACAGCAGAAAGACCATTTTAAGAAAGTAATTCAGAAATTCTCCGCTGTAACCGTCCGGAATGCAGTCATCTTGCAGAAAACGCCCACTTAGCCAGCCATCAAACGGTGCGTTGCCCCCAGCAACGGCCGGGTGTTTACTTCGTACTCGCGACGTGCAACGCTGGCGGATCTCCTCAGCTTTCCTCGACGATGAAAAGGTTCAAAAGTCTCTGAGGGGCTTCAAATTTTGTTTTGAAATTAATCCTCTGTTGTGCATTATTGTGCAGGTCTTTGTTCTCTCTCTTTCTCGTGGTTGTTCGCTGGTCTCCCTGGCGCATTCCTCCCGCTTGAACTCTACTTGTACTCTCTACTGTCGGCGCAACTCGTTCTTCCTTTTCCATGTCTTTGCTTCTCTTCGGCTGCGCAGCTTTGTCCTTCTCCAGCGTTTCTTGATCGATTCGTTGCTTGATTTTCTTTGTTTTGTTCTGTGTGATTTCTTTTTCCCTTATTGTCGAGTCCTGTGCCACGCTACGAGATCATCTCTGCACCTGTACGTCGCTTATCAGCAACCGCCCATCGATCTCGTCTATACTGACAATAATGCTTCTGCAGCTCCTGGTCAAAGATAACGAGATATGGCTCCAAATACGCAGCGTCCCCCCAATATTTTCGAAGACACTCCTCGTTCCCCCACCAAACCGTCCGTGATTCGAGCCATCCTATCCGCCAAATCACACAAGAGAAACCTCTCCGCGGATGAGGCGATCGCCCCTAAGCCCTTGAATCGAAACAAACCCCTCAACAACTCTTTCGAATCCTCAGTCGATGGACAGAATCAACACTATCAGCAGCCCTTGTCAGAAATAACCGCCAATCGTGACGCGGGTGATGGCCCTCCCAAGTCACCCACCAAGTCTGACGGGATTGGTTTGCACAAAAAGACAAAGAGTGTCGTCTCGCTAAAATCGCTGATAAGCTATATGGAGCGGAAGGACAATAAAACAGAGGACTTACCGGATGAGGAATCACAGGAGTGGAAGCCCAAAAAGGCCAAGTCCGCCAACAGCCTAACAGCCATCCTGAAACGTTCCCAGCGGGGTCGCAAGAATTCCACCGCCTCCTCCAAAGACAATAAAGAGAACCGGAGCCCAAGCGATAGTCTGCCGTCGCCCGTTTGGACGCAGTACACCGCACGGTCTTCACTCGAACAACCCGCACCTCGACGGTCGCAAGACACACGGCGAACGTTGCACGACGAAGTCTCTCTGTACACCCCAAGAGGCTACGGGCCCCAAGAACAACGAAATTTCTACGACTTCCATCAACCGTCCTTGACGAAACGTACCGAACCAAAACCCCGTCCCAAGTCGGAGATTCTAACGGGAAACCGTAAGATGAAGGAAGTACTCAGCGCCATGCGTACCCCATCTGACAACGCGTATCCCACCGACGCGCCAGAGCCTTCATCACCAACCAAGCCCCAAGGACGGCCTCGAAGGTTTTCGCGACCACGGTCGCGTTCTCGTTCCCGTTCTGGGATTGAGCAGAAGCCGGAGCAGAGGCCGGAACAGAAGCCAGAGTCCAATCCCCAAAGAGTTTCCCGCGTCCAAGCAGCGATATCAGCTTTCAATGCCAAAGAGCAAGGTGCAGATTTACATCGAATGAGCGTCAAAGAACTTGAAAGCGAGTTCGAAAAGCTCTTGGTCAGTCCAGACACCGCCCTGTTTCCGGAAAACACAAACTAACTTAGAGTTGCAGGACGCACGCAACACTCCCCATAACATGAGGGATAAGATGCGGTCATTGGATACAAATATCAAGATAGATTTTATCCAGAAGGATCGCAGCGAAAGTGCAACGCCATCCAGTGCCAATCCCGGTGCGGACACGACGGACAGCAGTCGCCGAGGTCGCAAGAAGGAACAGAAAGACGACCAAAGTCGGGATGGCAAGTCGCGCTCGCGATCGAGAAGCCGCGGCTGGAGCTTCAAGGGCAGCATCTCGCCGACAAAGAAACGATCCGGGAGTGGAAGTTCCCACCGGCGTCCCAAGTCGGCTGATTTCTCGCAGCCCGCAACACTGGCGAATATCTTGACGCCGACGACTTCGGTGACATCGCTTGCCATGACGGCAAATCACGATACTGCCATTGATCCCTCTGACTTTGTGCACTATCTAAGGGAGATCCAGAAACCAGAAATGGTGGAGGTTGGAAAGGTGCATAAACTTCGCCTTCTATTACGGAACGAAACAATCACTTGGGTGGACACCTTTATTGCAGATGGGGGTATGGATGAAATAGTCCAACTGCTTTACCGGATTATGAAAGTAGAATGGAGGTATGTGCTCGTCTCTCGCCTTTTTCGTTGTCCGTTTCACAAAACTGACCCTTCCAATAGAGAGGAGCATGAAGATAATCTCTTGCACGAGACTCTGCTCTGTATGAAAGCCCTCTGCACAACTTCTGTGGCGTTGAAGCGCCTCACCGAAATCGAGAAGGAGCTCTTTCCAGCATTGCTGAAAATGCTCTTCGACGAGGAGAAGAAGGGACCAAGCGAGTTTACCACTCGTCAGATCATTATCAACCTCCTATTTACGCAACTTGACACGGCCAGCTCCAACGATGATGCAATTACTCGTGCATCACGGCTTCTGTCCTATTTGCGTGATCCTACACCACCCGAAGAGAACCAACCCCTGAATTTCATTGCCAACATCTACCAGTCTCGTCCGTATAGAATCTGGTGCAAGGAAGTAACCAACGTCGCCAAAGAGGTATTCTGGATCTTCCTGCATCACTTGAACGTGATACCTATCGTGAAATCCGATGACACAACTTCAGCCTATCGAGAGCGCCATTTCCCTGTACCTAGGCCACCAGTCCCAGCAGCGCCCTATGTGGGCGGAGTGGAATGGGATGCAACCAACTATCTGGCTGCACACCTGGACCTCCTCAACGGTCTCATTGCATCGATGCCAACCAAGGAAGAACGCAACAATCTGCGCGACGAGTTCCGAGCTTCCGGCTTCGAGAAGGTCATGGGTGGCAGTCTACGGACATGCAAAGAGAAATTCTACTCGTCCATCCATGACTGTTTGCGCACTTGGATATCGGCCGCCATAGAAGATGAATGGCCATACACCTTTATCCGCGAGGGACCACCTCGACCAGAACCCTCCAAATCACCGATCAAGACTACTGGGGGTAGCCCTAGTAAGGGTATCATCGCCGAAAAGCCACCACAGTTGGAGCTGCCGCTCCCTTTGCCCGTTGGCAACAACAATGGCAACCGCCGTTTCTCGCCCAAGGGTGATATCAACAATTGGCTTTAACTTGCATATCTGATCGAGACTTCTCTTTCTATCTATATTTATTTCTTTCACTCCTTTCTGTCGTTTTCTTGTTTGGTCTGGTTGCCAAACACTTCATGCATCATAAACGACCATGCAGTCATGATTTGGCGTTCCAGCGATTACCCACCATTCCATTCGTTCTTTTATCTTTCTTGTTCATTCGTTTGCAACATTATCTCACATATTGGAGTCCTTGGGACATTGGGCGTTAGCATATTCCGGGTGTTTTTCGGCGCATCTAAATTGGATAACAACCGTGGGGATTGGTCTAATGAAGCAACGGGGCTTAAAGCTGACGAGTCTTCGCATATCTCCAGTGTTCGTTTGCAGTTTTTCTGCTTCTTGGCTTGTCATTTTGTTATCTTTTGGATACAAGCATATCGTAGCCCAGATCGGTCTTTCATGAATGAGGATTGGACTCATTTCCCTCGTTTCTAGGGCCAAGGATTAGTTTGGTCTCGATTGAACATGTTTATGTGTTGCCTATCTATTGTACAGTATAGTTATTCTCTAAGCTGGGATAGTGGTGTTGACATCAATATCAATCACACGCCTTACCTTAGTCTCTGTCTGATTTCTTCACAGAACCCGGGGCCGAAAACATTGCCTTGACACCGGCAAAGAAAGTGTCCCGAAGCTACCAAAAAAAAAAAAGAAAAAAAAAGAAAAATCCATCAGCCATGCCATCGCAAAACATGCAAAGTGCTAAAGGAGTGTACTCACCTCATCAAGCGGACTCCCCTTAATATCCCACTGCATGAACAAAAGCGCATACACAAGCGTAACTAACCCTCGTCAGCAAATCTCCAAGCCAAACTACCTGGTCATATTTCATATTCATATATAGATCAAAACTCACATCCAATAACCCCCCACTGCACCAATTTTGTCCCCTTAGTCCACTTCGGCCTCGCAAACTTCAGTGCCGCGCGCCGGCGGTACTTCCGCTCAAGCCGGAACTGATGTTTCTGTGATAGCTTGCTCATGTCCGGTGGCCATTGGCGTTTGGGTTTGTATTGCGAATAGTGGGAAAGGGGGTCTGAGGGGTCGAGATCTTGTTCGAGGTCATGGGCATCGTTCAGGTTGGTGGTGTGGTTGTTGTTCGAGAGGCGGAAGGGGGAGGAGGCGGTTGTGGGGGTTTGGGAGAAGGGTCGGGTGAGGGTTTTTGGGATGTTCTAGGGTAGGATAGTTGTTAGTCGCGAGATTGAGTTGGTTCGCGAGAGAGAGAGAGGACGTACACGAGGGAGTGTTTTTGTGAGCCATGGTGATAATGTTGGTGTTGATGTGATAAGGGATCGAGATGATAGAGTAGTCATTGTTGCCGTCGTTAATCTGCGTAAAAGGATGTTTGTATCCATGTTGAGATCGTGGTGTATCTGCTGGAGTAAGTACAGATTATGTAGTACTTGAAATCCGAAACTTTTGTGAAATGCGGAGTCGAGGTTTTACTTGCCCGCTGACCTGCAGTCGAGCCATATACTACGGATTACACAGTCCTACGAATCAAAGAACAAATGGAGCAATCAATTCCTCGTGCTCTACCATATTAAATCCATATCCTGCTTCCAAAGACACATGATCTATGCGAACTTCATCAATTCACATGATATCGGCTGGAATCCCGTGACTTAATATCGGAACAAAAATAATGCGCGGACCTCGGCATTTTCACAGGAATGGCATACAAATGGCAACATGACCGAGACCGACCAGCTTATAAGTACAAGATCTCAGCCCAGGGTTTCACAGGTTTGTTCTTTTTATTCTCCCCAGTGATTTTCCATTTTTCCAGCGTTGTTCTTTTTCACTTGATTTCTCCAAATTATATACCCCAGACTTCTATATATTGACGTCATGTCTTCTGGTAAGTAATTTTATCTCAAGATGCGATCATCTGTCTCACCCCTGAACTATATCTAACCTTCTCTAGCCCAACAACGCCTAACCCAAGTCTCCTCCCACTTCGGTGGTAACAAGGGAGCCGCCGCCCTCACCGAGAAGCACCCCGATGATATCGTCGTAACATGCGCTCTGCGCTCTGCCATCACCAAGGGTGGCAAGGGCGGTTTCAAGGACACCGCGGCTGCTGACCTACTGGCCGGTGTTTTCAAGGCCGTCATCGAGCGCAGCGGCATTGACCCCAAGCTCGTTAACGATGTGGCGGTTGGCTCTGTCCTCCCCCCTGGTGGCGGTGCCACCGAGTTCCGTGCAGCGTCACTTGTTGCTGGATTCCCCGAGTCGACTGCTGTCCGGAGTTTGAACAGACAGTGCTCGAGTGGTTTGCAGGCTGTCGTTGATATTGCGAATGCGCTGAAGACAGGCATGATTGACGTTGGTATTGGTGCTGGTGTGGAGAGCATGAGCTCTCAATATGGGTATGTTTATTTACCCTGCGCTGTGGGTTCAAAATAATGACAGTGTGATAGTCCCGGTGCTGTGACTGAATTCTCCGACCTTCTCGAGAATCACATGGAGGCTGCCAATTGCAAGGTCCCCATGGGTGTGCTTTCTGAGCAGATGGCTAAGGAGCGCAACATTACTCGTGCCTCCCAGGACGCTTTCGCCGCTCGTTCGTACCAGAAGGCCATTGAGGCTCAGAAGGCCGGTCTTTTCAACGAAGAGATTGTTCCCCTTGATGTCAAGTGGACAGACCCCAAGTCCGGCGAGGAGAAGACCATCACTGTTAAGGCCGATGATGGTGTCCGCCAGGGCATTACCGCCGAGTCCCTCGGTAAGATTCGCCCTGCCTTCGCCAAGGACGGCTCCATCCACGCCGGTAACGCCTCTCAGATCTCCGACGGTGCTGCCGCCGTTTTGCTCATGAAGCGGTCCACCGCTGAGCGTCTCGGCCAGAAGATCATAGGCAAGTACGTCGCTGCCTCTGTCGTCGGTGTTCCGCCTCTTCTGATGGGTGTTGGTCCCTGGAAGGCCATTCCTGTCGCCCTGGAGAAGGCCGGCATCACCAAGGATGACGTGGACATCTTCGAGATCAACGAGGCTTTCGCCTCGCAGTGTGTGTGGTGTGCCAACGAATTGGGCATTCCTCAAGAGAAGGTCAACCCCAAGGGTGGTGCTATTGCCTTTGGTCACCCGTTGGGCTGCACCGGATCCCGCCAGGTCAGCACGCTCCTGACGGAGCTGAAGCGCACCAACAAGAAGATCGGTGTTTCTAGCATGTGTGTTGGTACTGGTATGGGTATGGCTGCCGTTTGGGTTTCCGAGTAAACGTTAGGCGTTTGACTTTAGGGTTGTTTTCCGTTCACTGTACAGCTTTCTTTCTTCCTTTGTTTTCTCTATGTACTTGATATCCGCTACAATACCACTGTTATGCAATAGCATACCTTGAATGAGATTTATTCAAATTTGATATACATGTGACATTTCTAGACCAAATATCGTAGTCTAAAGCTTGGTCCTAAACTTCTTGAAAGCATTATTAACCGTCTCCCCCTGCAACACTGCCTCCTTAACTTTATCATCCATAGCAACTAACTTCGGCATAACCCCCAGCACCTGATCCAGCAACTCACTTGGAATAGCCACAACCCCTTCCAGCGGATCACAAAAAATTATATCACCCTATCCTCGTTAGCCTCCATTACTGAAACACCATGCGCACGCAAAACATACCGGGTTCACAGTAACACCCCCAACATCAACCGGCACATTCCTCAACCCCGGCTTCGCCTCCGCCCCACTCCCCACTGTCGAAGTCCCCTGCGCCCAAACCGGCAGCCCACACCCCGTAATCTCACCTAAGTCCCTTACTCGTCCGTTCACAACCGCACCCCTTACACCGAGGTACTTCATCCGCACGGCCATGATACCGCCCAGGACAGCGCAGTGCTGGGACGTAGGCTGGTCGATGATGGCGATAGTGTTAGGTTCGGCGTGGTCGACCCAGTGGGTGTTGCTTGGGAAGTTGTGCTCGGGGGAGGACATTTGTCGCGCTACTTCGGGGGGAAAAGAGGTGGTTGTTTTGGGGATGAATTTGAATGTGCTTGCCGGGGCGATTATTTTGGGGGAGGTGGTGTTGCGGCCGAATGTTGGGGAGAAAGGGGCTTTTTGAGATTCCGGATTAGCTATGGGTTGGTTAATGGGGTTGGATGACCTATTGTGGACTTACTGAAATCGGCGAGATGGCCGGCTCGTGGTGTAGCTCCCTCTGGAAGTTTTTGGATTTTGAGTAGGGCGTCTGATACCTGGTATTGTCAATGACCTTGATTCAGGTGATTCAGTATTATGAAGCTCACATCACAAGCAGAGTAATCCTGCAATGTCTTGATCTTCTGCTCAATCGAGGCCATGGTGCGGCGTGTTCCTGGAGTAAAGCGGGGCGTGTGGATGGCTGCGGAAGTCCGGGGTGAGATAGAAGGTAGTCTGACTCTGGAAGCGAATCTTGAAAGATATTCCATGAGTAATTGAGGTCGGAGGTTGTTGTACAGTAAAAAGAAGTGGTGGTAGAGGGATGTACAGTAGTATGTCCGCTGGTCCGTCCGTCGGTTGAAATCGGTTGACTTATATCGTGAGGGGTTCTCAATGGATGTTAGGTTGTCACAGGGGTTATACCAAAACTCATTACTGTCTATTTTTTAGATCAAGGCTCTACTCTGGTACTCAGTTCGTCTGTCGATTAGTGAACTGATTGATTTGATTGATAAGTGTCGGCTACGCCTTACCCTACGTCATATGCTAGAGATACTCCGAGATGCCGAGGTAGAGAACACAGGTCCCATACATGCTTACAGAAGCTAGTAAGCAAAATTCCTGGCCAACAAGCTTCTCACTCAGATTTCATAGCTTCTTTGCTTCAAGGCAACTAGTTGCCCACGGCCTGATCGTATCCGAGAGAGGATCACCGATGCGCCAGGGAGACTGCCATAAACATGTTAGCGGTTTTTGACTAGCCATAGGCATACCACTTGATATCGATATTATAGTCGTCGCAACGACGTCACTGCTCATTTTCAAAGGTTTAAGAGGCGAAAATGACTGTGTACAGACCGATGTCTCGGCTATTCGATACTCGCCGACAATAATGTTACTGGTCTCGAGAACGTTGTACTCTACTCATAATCTGATCACAATGAGGTATGGTATGTTTCCAAAGCTTTGAAATATAGTCACGTAGTGCGGCCAAAGGACCTACCCTGACGGTTGAATAAGACTATTCCCACTGTAAAAAGTAAATTCGATAGCCATAGGTTGTCCCAACGAAAATGAGTAAAACTAATCCCGAAAAATAAACTCTTCATCTCCTTCCACCTCCCATCCACTAGGTGCTAGATACACCGTGATGACATTCTTGAACCTGAGATGTTCATAGATAAAGTTCACATACTAAAACAACCTATATAACTACACATTTGGACCACCAGGGTTCCTCATAAGGTCCAGCATTAACCCATCTTGCTGCCAACTCCACAAACTCCTCCAATTCTAGCCACGCATACTCATCGGGATTCTTCCATTCCTTAGGCGGCGGGTACACTATCTTATCAAAAACCAACCATAGCGTAAACATCTCCGTATAAGAATAGATCGATGAATGACTCATAACTTCTGGTGTCACAGAAAGACCCTTTTCCAAACTCACGGTGAAAGTCTTGGGCTGAAAGCAACCTCAGTGAAATAGTGTTCATTGAGGAATCGCTGACCTTTGGGGTCAGCAGAATCAGGAGCACGGGCGTTTCGTAAGTTGCAGCTCAATGTCGAATTTGGAAAGGAGTTGTGGGATGATTTTGCTAGATTTATACTTGACGCTAGGATCTTAAGAACTGGCATTGACATTGAAAGTTGGGGTTGTGTTGATGATCGTGTTGGAGAGAGCATAAAAGGGTGGTGCCGTTCGGACATTTCCAGTTGAACTCAGCGGCTATCCAGATGACGAGTTCTCTACTTAGGTTCAATCTGAATGTCAAGAAATCTTAGCCGTGCCCTTGAAAATGTAAGGGAGAGAAGGACTTACTTTTCCGGTTCCGTCAGGATTGAATTCCATCCACGTGAATTGTTGTAGGCCCTGCACCCAGCGCCCAGTGGTGAGGTCAGAAGGCAAAGCCTCGTTCACCTCTGTCACTATGGCGGAAGTGGAGAGCTCAAATCAAACCACAGATGCTGTTCTAAAGCCTCTTGTATAATATTCTACGGTCGAATGCTAAAAAATTGTCTCCGTGGATAATTATAAAGTGGACGGTAGGTGTAGGATGATGATTTTGTGGGAATAAGCGGTGGTACGCTCTACTTGTACCTGTACTTGATCATGTTACCATCTATAGGGTTAGTGACTGCCCTGCTTTTTGGGTCTCGTTCTGTGACCACTCGCCTTCTATGTCTTGGTGACTGGGAGGAGCCAGCCATCAGTCTCAGGAAATTTGCTTCTCATAACGGCGCATTAACTTTCTTTCGGCTCTTTCTCAATGATCTTCTTCTCATTTTGTTTGACCACTACCTTTGCCTCTTGATCAATCACCAATAACACGACTCACCACCCAGGTGTCGACAATTTGTCTGGAATTTCTTCCAGTTGACCACAAACCCCGTCAATTTTTTTTATTGTTTTCTGAATATGTCTTTTTTTCAACGTGTTTTGTCACAGTTCTTCTCCCAGGGACGGCGGAAGAGTACTTATAAGCTATCGATTTGTTAGAGATGTGCGTTAAGTCTGCTACTTCGATTCTGTCCGGAATATTAACATGTTTAGTATCAAGCAAAGAACTATTGTCGAGCGAATACCGTCACCCCGGACCCGAACGAGAACGGAATACAGATTGGGAAGAGGGCGTATATGTTCCCTATGCCTGGGGTTGGTGGAGCTCCAAGCTCAGAGTCAGTGATACGAGAAGAATATCCATTAAGTGACAGACCCTGACATGCTGCAGGCACTGCACGGTATGGGCTGACCCAAAGGCTTAAGAGCCAGTCCCTAAGGCCTGAATACTTGAAAATGACCCATACGGCCTACGTCTGTGGGATAAGCGGGACTACATCGACAAGCACATCAATGGCAGGATCCCGAACTAAGCCTCCGCGGCCAATATTAGACCCTCTGCTGTGTTCGGCTATCCCGAAAAGCGTCAAATGGTTATCCCCCCGCGGGGGCTTCTTTCCGAAGCGGAGACCCATTGGGCTTGACGGCTCGTTACCAGAAGGCTGTTTCTGAAATCCCAATTAAGGTGGATCTGGGCTATGGCACTATCAGGAACACGCTAGGGACTAAGCTCTCGCAACAGGTATGTTAGCAAGTACATGTCTTTGTAGGATATATATGCTGATAGATACGAAAGCTATAGGAGCCATACCAATTCATATTGCCGACCAGCTCGAAAGCCACCTTAAAATGACCCAATATTCGAACTCTGCTAATCCCTGACTTCCACTTCTCCACAAAGCAGCCCAGAACGCCCTCTCCAGACCCTAGCGGAGTTACAAAGACGACATCTCTCCTTTATACCATGGGGCAACTCATCATTTCATTGCCCATAGCACCGAACCATTTCTGTGCATCCTCAATGAATCTACGAAAAGCTGCTGCTCCGTGACCTTGACAGGCACAGTGTTGGGGTGACAAGCCTTTTTACGGTGCCCTGCAGTCCCTGGGTTATCAGGTTTACCATACAGGCGAGAGGGCTAACCGTCAGGGCACAGACGGGATAGAAATAAATTATTTACACTGCTGTATGTTCTCGCTTCCTCGCCGCCTTTGAAATCGAACAATTGAAATTCTAGTAGAGCACACATGGTATTGATTGTATGGATCAAAGGAGGAGCTTTTGTGGTATGTTATCAAGAACGGCCATATCTGGACAGATACTAAAGGTTTAGGTAGATTTTGGTTCCAGAATCAGCTGCGCTACCCAGCCAATTCTTTTCAAAGAAGACATCGTCACGCCTTACACCACACCGGCGGGGATGCGCCTAATCCGAAAAAGTCTGCCCGAATTCACTGACAAGAACCACCACGTTTGGGCCTACCAAATCATGCACACACCGCAGAGCAATTGGATCACTAGCATCTGCTTCTCGAAGGCCAAATTCCTACCCCGGGATTTCACGATGATGAACTCCTTCCTCAGCCAGTATCCAGGCTGGTTTACCCAATCACTTGTGTGCAACATGATGATCATGGATGATCAAGAATAAGAAGTGGAGGGACGGTGCACCATATTAAAGAAAGAGGTTAGAAGAATTATTAATGGGCACACAGAGATCCTAGAGACTTTGGAGAACGAAGATTACCGGTCCAAGCATTGACTAAACGATTCGGAATCCAGTTCCGCAACGAAGAAATCGAAAGAATTCGGGGAATAGCGTCTTAATAGAGTTAGAATGTTTCGTTTCTTGTATTATATTGAGCCCCGGGGAATTGCTTCGGTTTACTGCATTCCGATAATACAGACTACTCATAGAAAGGGAATTTCCGTGGTAATCTTTCAGATGTAAAATTGGGAATAACAGCTATAAACACATAAGACGGAGACACGTAGCTCCCTTAAAAGATCCGTTTCTCGAGCTGCGGTACAATTAGCATGCGTCTTATAGGCCGAATTCAGTCCCAATCAATTTCACCTTCCACGGGTTGTTGACTTCGAATCCCTTTGGAGCCACGGCATTGCTAGATTGGCCTCTCAGATTCCCTGTAAGTCTGAGGTCTCTCTCCATCACTGTTGTTTCGATGGCTTAGCGTCTGCGTTTCGGGGAGAATATCAACAAATAAAATTGAGAGTCACCACGTACTTTGCTGTAAGTTGAGAAATCACATATCAGCAAAACCGCAATTCCGATCGCAGAAACAAAAAAGATCTCGACTCACTCTGTCCCACAGATCCCTGTTCCACCGCGCCTTTTTTCCGTCATTCGAGAGGTACTTGACAGCAGTCAAACCGGCACCGGTGACGCCGAACATCTATCCATTATCATATCCACGATCAGTCCGTAGGTCCGCATTGTACCGCAATTATGAGGGGCGCACCGTGATGATGATTCCATAAGGAATCAGGGCCTCGAAAGGAACACCCATGGCGAGTTTGTGGTTGATAAGTAATAGAGGAGAAAAAAACACTCTCGAGAGCTGGACTAAACCAGGAATTGTGAGTTGGAGAAGCAGTGAATCGCGGCGAGCAAGAGTTCGGCTTGCAAATCGACTGGACGTCGTTGGAATCCGCCCAGTTCAAGTGAGATTACCAAAAGCGGCTTAGCGTGTGAAATGGGTCCAGTTGGCTGAGTCAGCACCCTTCCCCCAGCAACCTCAACGAACAGCAGGAGAAGGAGCGCCTTTGATGCCGCCGCAGGTCGATTTGGATTACTGGATGGAAGCCACGGCCAGTATTGCTGCTGCTGTTGCTGCTGCTGCTAATTTACAAAGTCGTTATTCGCAGTGGTTGACCCTGTTCAATTTGAGGTAAGTTCCTCCCCGCTCCTTTTCGTGGCGGCCGACGCGCGTGGGTTCACCTCCTCCCCCAACGAAAAGACCCGCCGTCAGGACCTCGACTGACACTTTGTCGCGTGCGCCTTGATCAGATCTACCCTAAGCGCGCAACTATACCGAGAAGATCGCCGCTAAGGACGGCTGTGTTGAATCAAAGCTATCCAAAGGACCACTCGTTTTCCTTACTCGCTCTCCATGCCCCTTTTCCACGTTGCCAGATGACTTCATCCTTTACGACGAATTCCGGATAGCCTCTCGTTTTGGGCTTGCTCTACGACGACGAATCCTATACTTCTCGAGGCGAACCGTGGTGCGACCATATGCTCAATCTGGCGACTGCAGTGACATCCACCATGCCGGCGACTAGGCCGCCGGCCAACGAGGTTCCGACAATGGACCCGCCAACCGATGCAATGGACAGCGACCAAGATGCAGAAGGGGAAGAGGAAACAGATTTCTATCACATGGATCAACAACTTCAGAATGCGGTCCATCGCGCATATTCGGGGGAGGCAACAGCCGAAGAAACTAAAGTCGACGACGATAGGGATGCAGAAGGGGAACCAGATATTGAGGCAATCTTGGATGGCGATAATGATGAGACGGAACCCGTTGGTGCTGTAAAGCTGCCTGATGAGGCCGCCCAGTCTTCTGATAACGACGAGGATGCCGATGCTGAGGCTGAAGCCGATCCAGCGTTTGACCATCAGAGTGGTAGTGACAATGGCAAATCTGAATCCAGCAGTCAAGCTTCGGATGATGAGTGGGAAGCAGAAAGCAACGACCATGAGGATGCGGAGGCGGAAATCTCATCCCGTAGTAATTGCATGTGAGTGCAGTTCTTACTCCCTCATTTTCTCCCCCTTTGGAACTGTCGCAAAGCATTTATATGAAGTGTATACTGACAATATGTTCTAGCTTCTGTGGCCAGGATGAAGACCATGACCCTAGCGAAGAATATGAAGAGTATCTGACTTGCACTGTTTGCGGTGATCACTGTATGTTTATTTGCGGCCCGGAGAAGATAAACCTTAGCAAACCCTATTTCCATGGCGCGATTGCTGACTTGGAACCTCGAAAGCTCATCGCCAATGTGCTCGTGAACAGGAAGCGTTGCACGAAGGAGATGGTATGTTCGTTCTCTTATTACTTGGTGCCTTTAAATCTGGATCAGCGCTAACGCTTAAATATTGTACAGATGCCAGTCAATGGCGGTGTCTTACTTGCACGCAAGAAAACTTGGAACCGGGCGGCCCCGAGAGCAGTGCTCAAAGAAGACTCGCACGAAAGAATATGTCCAAAGAGCTTCTGCCAGCACATACTGGAGAAGAAGGCTCTGGCTTTCATTCTATTTTCAATACGTTGTCTGTCAACGAAAATTTGTTGAGTAACTCACGATCACTGCGAAAAAGAAAGACACTGTCAGTTGAGGCTGAAGAACACACGCCCGTACTTCGAAAACGTTCACGGCAAACATCGCTCCGCTCTGAGCGTGCAGTCTCGAAGGATCAAGAATTTGAGAGCACTGAGGCGACAGGTGATGGCGTCGCTGACGAATCGCCCGTTCGGACGCGATCACGACGAGGACGCCCAGTGATGAAAGAACAATGCCACGTGGTATCGAAACAATTCGAAAAGCTCGTCGTTAGTTTCAATCTCCCGCCAAAAAAGCTCTCCAAAGCCACCAGTTCGCGACAGCGGTCACGTACCCAGGTCAGAAAAACTCCAAAGCCGCCGCCCGTCGCACAGGAACCCCAAGCTCATTTTGCCCCTATCACAAACACCACACCTTACATTTCCCCATTTTACTCTTTTAATGATCGTGAGGCGGATGAATCAAAAACGAAACCTTACGGTGGTATATTGTCTGAAGCTGATGCGGATACCACCAAAACTCTTCCGACACAGCTTGATCGAGAACGATTTGAGGTAGCTCGACAAAAGGCCGAGGAAGAATGGCAAAGGAGAATGAAAGAAGCTGAGGATAACGGGGAAGCTGTTCAAAGTGCTTCGCAGAAGGTTTCTGGTCCTCCATCCAAAATCAAATATATCAACTTTGGTGGCTACGAGATTGAGACTTGGTACGCGGCACCATATCCAGAAGAATACAGTCGCAACCGAGTGCTGTATATTTGTGAGTTCTGCTTGAAATACATGAACTCGGATTTTGTCGCGTGGCGCCACCGGCTCAAATGTCCTGCGAAGCATCCACCAGGCGATGAAATCTATCGCGAAAGCTCCATCTCCATTTTCGAAGTTGACGGGCGGAAACATCCAGTCTATTGCCAAAACCTTTGCTTGCTAGCCAAGTTGTTTTTGGGCTCCAAGACACTCTATTATGATGTCGAACCATTTTTATTCTATGTCATGACGGAATTCGACGACTTGGGCTGTCACTTTGTCGGTTATTTCAGCAAAGAAAAACGGCCCAGCTCGGCAAACAACGTTTCTTGTATTCTCACATTGCCTATTCACCAGCGAAAGGGCTATGGGAATCTCCTTATCGACTTCTCTTATCTCCTTACCCGCATTGAAGGCAAGACCGGCTCCCCAGAAAAACCGCTTTCTGACATGGGTCTGGTATCTTATCGGAATTATTGGCGATTGATATTATCATATCACCTCCGTGATCAGAAGGGTACGCTTAGCGTTGCGGATCTCTCGGAGCGGACAGGGATGACCGCCGACGATATTGTGTCTGGGTTGGAAGGATTGCGTGCGCTTGTCAGAGATCCTATTACCAAGACTTATGCATTACGTCTTGACTACAAATACTTCGATGAATGTGTACGGAACTGGGAGAGCAAAGGCTACATCCAGCTCAATCCAGATGCACTGGTTTGGACACCATATACTATGGGCCGAAGCAACCAGTCACATTTCGATCGTGCTCCATTGCACGCGGTCGCCCCACGAGAAGGCCTGGAAGATGAAGGTGAGGCAGGAGCTTCGTCAGTCAATGATGAGAATTCAGATGGTTCCATCCCGGCAGCGAATGGAGTTGGCGATGAAACCGCGTCAGCAAGCTTCCCGTCTAGTGCTAACGGTCTCCACCAATCGTCTACTGCTGCTGATGGTTCAAGTACTCCCGCGGAGACGACAACAGAGAATAACCCTGCTGCGGGAATACCGCCATCGCGGTTTGAGATCTGGCCCCCTATCCAGGCGCCCGTGTTCAAACGACGACCCGGTCGACCGTTCGGCAGCAAGAACACGTACAACCGTGGTTACTCTATCACTCCAACAACGGCTCGAACAGTTGGCCGTGGCACGCCTAGGAAAGCAAGCACGTTGACGTCGGAAACTCCAACTGCTAACCCATCGAGTGTCCGTCGTGGTCGCAGCGCAATTCTCGTGGATTCTCCTGCAATGGGATCGACAGTCGCGAAGGCAAACGGGGACGAGATATACCAACAACAACCAGCGGAGGAAACAGCCATCGAAGGACAGCAAGAAGCTGGTTCTCTTCCAGATGCACCACCCGAAACGGAAACGGTGGACTTTAATCATGCTAAAGGTGGTGAAGAGCCGACCGGAACTAATGGCACCAACCATGCAGATACCTCTGTAGAGGATACAAAGACGCCTGAGGCTAACCCTCCAGAGACTCCCAGGGGAAGGAGCTCGGAGACCAAGTCCAAACCGCCTAGATCAGGTAATCGAAAACCAGCTTTCTTGGAGAAGGTTTCGGTCGTTATTTCTGCAGAGAAGCCCAATGTCGCGGGTGAAAATAAAGTAAATGGCACCGACATCGATGGAAATGTGTGATATGGTAATGTGGCGATGCGATTCTCTATGTACTAGAGGGAAATGGAAAGGATGAAGAAAAGCGAGACGGAGCACCGGTCCCACTCCGGCGACGCATTCTAACAGGGCGTTATAGCGTTATTTCTGCAAGATGTTGTCTTCTTTTCTTTCTCTTCCTTGATGGGATAAATGTCGTCTTTTGAACTCGTCTTCTTTTTTGGGCTTTTACATTGTCATTATATCGAGCAAGGAGTGGGCAGGGAATCTGGAGTTTGGCTATTCATCATTTGCGTCTTGTCATGGATTGTTTTCATGGGTTTTTTTCGACTCGATATCTTGCTTTTGGTCAGTGCATCATCTTGTTATCTCGTTTTCGTTCCTTCGTATAGAAGGTTTGGTTTGGTTTGTTGTTCTTGTTGCTGTTATGCCATGATCGAGAAATGCTTTCTCTCTCGGAGACAGTTTTTATTTTTCTATCCGCAGGTTCTATTTTGATTCTTCTTCATGTATGTAATGTAGCTAGAGACGTTATACAATTGGGCCTCCGAACGTTGAGTGAGAACAGATATATCTGCACTGTTTGAGTAAATCTCCCAAAATATGTTGGCATCTCATGATACATTTTAGTTTAAATTCGAAGATAACTATTCAATTGCCTGTATGACTGGTCTAGACGTGTCGCGAGCGCCCCAGATTGTATGTAGGGTTCAAATGGTGAATTGATGGTAGCATTAAATTATCTTGAGTAATAAATATAGTTTAAATAAATAAATATTGGGCGTGTAACTCAGTGGTAGAGTGTTCGCTTTGCAACTGCCAATATGCGAAAAGCCCGGCGTTCGATCCGCCGCTCGTCCATTTCTTTTTTCGACATTTTTTTGGTCGACACCCCATGACTAGCATATAGTACACTTGAGAGCATAACGCTTCATTTCCACATTTCTTTTACCGTTATTATTTCTATTTCTTTTTGATATCACACTACAAAACAGACTTGCATACTACTTAGATATTGATCAGTTGGTAGAGCTGTTGCGAAGATGCAAAATCCGGGCTTCAATCTCACGTCTTGGCCTTTTCTCTTTTCTTTTTCGCCCTTTGATCTATATAAATCATCTACCACAGTACTACTCCTTGCCTTTAATCAGAGTGTATGGAGTACAAGTATCCAAATGCCCTTCCATATCTTCCCACATGTGCGGCTGCATTGTGTACACCTTGTGTCTGGGATATAATTTGAAGTAGACCAATATTAGTCATGAATGGGCGTGTAACTCAGTGGTAGAGTGTTCGCTTTGCAATTGCCAATATGCGAAAAGCCCGGCGTTCGATCCGCCGCTCGTCCAACTTCTTTTTTTCTCGCTCTTTTTTTTTTTTTTTTTTTTTTTTTTTTCACTCTCTTTTTCTCGTCCCCTTTTTTTGTTATTTTTTTATGATTACTTACTCGTTGATCTTGCGCGCACATTTATTCATTCAGAGAATATTACACTGCGAATGACTATCCTGGTACTCCGTGGTACTTGTACATGTGCATTCAGCAAAAAGTAAACAACGAACTCAATTATCATCTATATGCATTGGTCCGGTCCGGTTCATCTGGCGGTGAATTTCGGGATTTGAACAGACTGATGAGCCATCACCGTTCTATTTTCTGGGCTATCGAGTCGCTGCGCATAGTTCTAACTCTGCAATCTCTGCATTATCAGGTTGCTGGAATATCCCCCTTCGGGAGGAGTCAGAAGATCGTTATACGAGATATGATGCATCGATTTTTTGCCCCTTTTTCCTTACTTGGATAGCGTGGTGTTGGGGGCATATACGAAGCACGGGTACTTGTAGGGATTGATATCCTGGAATCTGGCATGAATGACTTGTTCTTATTGGATTGTTGTTTGATGTGCTTTGTACTGAGTACTGTGCTTGTGCACGGAGTGTTGAGTAAGAAATATACAAAGGGCAATCCCCAACGCTTGGTCCACCTCAGATCGTTGGACATGGCCGAGGCTTGATCGTCGGTCATGTTGCTGAAAATTATTTATCCTGGTTCCGTGGCGTCCGAGTTCTCCGAATATGCAGCGATGTTCTGTTCTGTTGTGCGAGGGTGCGTTCCGCGTCAAGTCCTGTGCGTTAACCAAATAGTCACGTAGCAAGCATTGTAGCACTACAGAGTACATAATATAGTGTACAGGAACTGTAGATTCATTTGGATCGAGTTTCGATCGGCGCCATAACCAAAGGTACTGACTCGGAGTGTTGAATTGACCATGGAACCAAAAGCCACCAAATGCGGAACCTATAGCCTAGGGCCAAAAATAAGCATAAACCGGGGCGTGTTGCGATCTTTGGTTCAGTGACGGGAAGGAGCCGCTGTCAAGTCGATTGTTTTCTTTATTTATCTTCGACGCAAGGATGCATGCTATGGGAAATGAGGACGGAAAAAAGTCTGATGAACACCCACTCTGCACAGAGTACGGAGTACAATAGGACTATGGAGCTGTAAGGAATAAGATGAAAAAAAAAAAAAAGAAAAAGGAACATCGTTTATTCTTTCTCTTCTCTTCACTTTTCCCACTATGTTTGCTTGCATTGGAAATCAAATTGTTTGCTATAGAAGGACCCAGCTCAAAAGTCTTCCGCGAAGCTTTTCAATATCGGACCCTGGCCGGGCCTCTTCCCGGAAATCAATGCACGATGCACAGAGTAATGCTTCGAATTGTGCACCGCTAAATATTCCTACGCCACCAATCTGTGGCATTGGCTTTGAAAATGCGGTTCAGCCGTGGCTGGGAAGATGGAGTCTTGCACTCCGTTCTCCATAGTGTGGGAACGTTTGTGTTAATTGGCCTCTCTTTCTCCTCTCTCCTTTTCTTTTCTTCTTTATTTCTTTCTTTCTTTCTTTTTTTTTTTTTTTTTTTTAAAAAAAAAAAAAAAAAGGGAAAAGGAAAAATAAAATACAGCCTCCATCACCGTTCGTTCTTCTCGAGTATACCTAAAACCGACCTGAACTGGTTGCACCGACCGAAGTCAATAAATCACAGACGTCATGTCGGAGTCAGCGCTATCTTGACCAAGCCGCAAGGATTCATTATCACCAAGCTTTCCCGCTGATGTGACGGACCGTCCCCAGATCTTGATGAGTTTTCGGCCTCTGCCTCAGCCACCCTTGCGTGACAAGCCGACGCTAAGGACAACCATTGTACTCCGTACTCGCATCGTGAACTCAAATTCTCGTCGCAAAAATACCCCGTTGGATAATTCTTTCCCCCCGTTTCCTGTCCCTGCCCGTCTCTGTATCGTCACGATGCTTCCGTTGAGTTATCGTCATTACGGCAAGTATTCAGCGATGCGGACTGCCGTCACGGAGAGAAAGTAAGGCAGACGAGATTCTGATTGCGTGCTCCTGAGGCAGGTAACATGGTAGCAAATCGGTTAGGTGCAGATGCCACCCTATTAAATTCCAGGATCCCGTACATTTGTGATGTATACACTTTCGTGCTTCTGGAGGATGACCAGGAATAAATGGCCCACAACTCCATGGATTCACGCGCAACTAAAGCACTAGGGTCACTTGCCTTAATGGGACGGATGCATAGGAGGAAGCGTAGCCCAACAGAATTCTTCCACCTCCAAAAGTACCCCATACTGGATACTATTGCTTGAAGAACTTTGACCTAAGACCCAGTGAAAAGATATAAGCCACTTGTCGTGCATCCACTTGTGTCATCTTCCTTTCTTGCCCCTATTTTCGCACAATCTCGGTCAGTGACTTTGCACATTGCTTCCTGCAGCATCATGGACACAAGATTCGGTCACCGTACTGGAAGACTGTATCGCATCCACAGAGGCCAATATCTCGGAACGATCCCCCCAGCTGCATGGTCTCCACGGCCTGCATGTCAGATACAGGCGATGTGATCGAACTGGATCGGCCGCATTAGGGACTTTTTTTCTTTTCTTTTTTTTTTTTTTTTTTTTTTATTAACTCATCGTTGAAAAAGAGCCGCTTCCGCCCCGAGCTGAACTTTCTATGTTTTCTTCTTTCTGAAGTGACACGGTTTGTCACTACTTTTGCTCTACTCTATACTCGAATTGTACCCAGAGCAGAGCATCTCATCATCTTATATTCTGACCCCGACGAAAATTTCTCTCACCGAACGCGCGAATAGAACAGCAGAATCGTGTGCTCTAACTGGCGGACGACCGGGGAAAGAACAACTCACAGCGTCGAGAGCCAACGAGCTTGACGATTTTTTTTTTTTTTTTTCAAACTCTGGCGACTTCACAATAGAGGTAATTTTTTCAGTTTTTCAACTCAATTCAACGTTCCTTCATGGGAAAAAAATCCAGCGTCCAATCCTTTGGTCGAGGACCCTCCTTCATTTTGACGTCTGAACCTTTCCTTGGAACCTTCCCTTTCCGATACACGGAACGTCTGGAAATGACATTCAATATGACATTAGCGGAAAAGAGTACAGACGTGTGAAATGATGATGTTTTCAGCTTTATGTTATGTTATTATTTATTGGAAAATCTGCTGATCGCTTTATCATAGTGACCGCACTAATTGCAAATAATTCGAAGAAGAATTTGGACGGCAAAAGAAGAAGAAAATTCTGAAGGAACGGGTCCGAAATCGAAGTGCGTGTGCATTTCCACGAATGCGGTGTTTGCTACGCCAAAGGACGACGGCGACACCCGAGATTTCTACGGATTAAGTGTGGCGTACGACGCATACAATCTAAGGGATCAAGCCATTTTTCCATTACTGGAATGCTTAAACGCGCGCACCGGCCAAACAAGCCCTGGCGTCTGTGACCCGATCTAACCTCCGACCTTCCGAAAGCGAAAAAGGGAAAAAAGAAAGGAAAAAGAAAAGAAAAGAAAAGAAAAGAGGAGACCCTGCACGGCGTCTAGTCTAATTGAAACGGGTCAGATCACTTGCATAGCCGGCTCCATCTCCGCGTGCACGAAGCCAAACCGTTGCGCTTGCGGGTTTTGGGTTGGCTCGGGGAAGTGTGCGCTGGTCTGCCGCAAACGCGGTGGATTTCAATGCTCAGCTTCTGACCAAATCTATCGCCAATCGCCAGTCGATCCGACCTAAACGACGAGGCAAGGTCCGGAGTAGACTTTTGTGCCTTGCGCAGGTGACCGAACTGAATCTCGGTTCTCCGATATACCGATTATCGTCTTAACACCCGCCAATGTGTGCGCATCAGCTTCAATGTTGTTGCGGTTCCTGTCGGATCGTCTAGACTGATATACACGTCTTAGCCAGACCTCCCATCTGACGGCCGAAAAGTGGCCGACGCACTCGTTTTTTTCCCTCTTCCCTGGTCTTTTCTGGAACTGCTCCACCTTTTGATTTGTCTGGGCTCAGCTGCTGGTTATTTGCTATCGCGGTGACTTCCAGTAGAGTTTTTTTTTTTTTTTTTTTTTACTATTCTCTATTTTCATTTTTCACCTTCTTGCCCACTACTAAACCCTTTTTTTGTGCCCTGTGTGCGTCAGAAGGATTAGTTCGGAGGCGATCTTTAGAGAGGGTCCATCTTTCAGCTGCTATTGTTCACATCCTCTTTCTTTTTTTAACATTTGCCTCGAAAAAGAAGGTTTGTCTTTTGTGATTCGTCTTTTCTTTTTCTTTTTAAGCTTTTTTTTTTTTTTTTCCCTCTTTTCTATCATTTGCCTCAGTCTTCTTTTTTTAACTTCATCTCGGAGCATCTAAACGAGATCCGTTGCAACTGTGGCATTAAAGCACCACTGCCATTCGAGGTAATAAAAAAAAGAAAAAGAAAAGGAAAAAAAAAAAGAAAAAAAAAAAGACTACGGTCGGGACTCCATTCTTTTACATACTCTCATTTTCTTCCTTCCTCTTTCTATCAATCCATCCACCTTTCTGGCTTAAGGTTAGTCTGGAACCGTGACCGGCAGGTGTTGGTACTTCTTGCCGCTTGCATTCTGACGACACCAGGTTCTTTTTTCCTCCACCACCACTACTATCCGTTTTCAGTTACGACTACACTACGACTACGACTTTAATTATACTGTTACTGTTACTTACTTTTACACTACTTCTACTACTACTACTGCGACTATCAGGTACTGCAGTATCGTCATCAGCGTCATTTATCGTCATTGTTGGTTCAATTACTGGTCTAAGCCCCGGAGCAGACGGAGTCAGTTCGGTCAGACAGGCGTGAGTCCACAGACCTGATAGACGCTGATTGATTCCCACTCATACTCCACCCATGGTTGAGAGTTTCTGGCTGAGCTCCGACTACTAATCATACTGCTCTGCTCATCTTTAACCAGCTCTGACTCCCATTCCTCATTCATCAACTTCCTTTACTCTGATCTCCACTACTGTATATCCATTTTTTCACTATTTTAAGGTGCTTCTTGTCGAACCACAAGCGTCCTATTCAAGGTTCAGGCCCCTTACTGTTTCATCGGCCTCAGTTCGCTCCTGGAAAGCCACAGGTTCAAGTCTTTTGTGTACCCTGTCTCTTCCATACGTGGTTCGTGGCGCTTCGTCTTTCTGCGGGTATCCCGACCTCGGTCCCTTTGGCTCCTCGTCTGCCCATCCCCAGTCTTTTAGGTTGTCTTCTTACTCTTGTTCTTTTGTGCGCGACAAAAGCTCGACTTGATGAGTGCGCCGGCCTTTTCGGACGCCACTCTTACTCGTGAATCCCAAAGGTTAGTTATATTCTCCGCCCTTCCCTATCGGAATGGCATCAACTCTTACGAAGTTAATCCAGGGCTTCGCACTAACCATGTTGAACAATACTAGCTCTGACTTTGAATTGACCATTCGCCAGCAGCCCGAACGGGCGCGCGTGGCTGGTGGGAAAGAAAAAGGTGCGTCGCTTTCGTTTT